GACTATAGCTTCACTATAGCTCGCGCCAAAAATTAAAGTACGGGTTTCATTGTCTTCGATGCCTTTTCCAGAGCAAATCCCCAGACCGACTATAGCTCGGAATATCCACTGTAGCTCAATTCTGGTTGGTTACTGTCAACAAAGAACGAAACTTCTGATTCGTCTAAGTTTTAATATTAGACCATTCTGCGCTCAGTGTTTTATATCTTATCTGGAGAGGCATTGTGATGACACATTGCCAGCATTGCATGTTTGTTAATCGCATTTGATAACCTAGGCTTGATAGCAGAGGAGGAATTTACACTTAACTTTGAATTCCGAAAATCAAACACGGAGATTTTGACTATAGCTCGAGCTACAGTTGCTATAGTCTGGATCCGCTCCTGCTTCAAATACTTGTTTGTTGTTGTCCAGAACTTTCTGAATCTCAGGGTCTATTTTGTGCTTAGTTGGCTTTTCTTGACTGATTTCATTTACTGACTTGTGAAGTGAATTTGTTGGATCTGCTTTAAAACCTAGAACTGGGCCTACTCTTAAAATAACAAGCTTTTCTGCTGTCTTTTGTCCTAACAATGCCCTTCCTGAACCTTTTGTGACATAGAATTTTGCTTGGGTTTCTGAATGGTTGAATACTGATGTTTCATCATCATTTGAAATTTCTGCTGTGACATCACTTGCTCTCACTTGATGACTTTCTGGTTTCTTTGGATTTTTGGTCTTACAGCATTTTGCAAAGTGTCCCATTATTCCACATTTCATGCACTTTTCTCTTTTGGTCACTCTACAGTCTTCAGTGTTGTGATTTTTCATTCCACATCTGCCACATTGTTCCCTTTGTTGAGTGTATTTTCTATTTCTGTTTGCTTGCCTACCTTTGTGCTGTTATTTATTTAGCCTTATTTTATTCAGGTCTAAGAAAGATTCTTTCATTGTGTCGGCTGATGAGCCTGCACCATTTTGTTGTTCTATCTTCTTTGTCTGATGGTCTGATTGTTCCATGAGCTTTCCTATTGTTAGAACTTTATCTAATGTGAGATCTAGCTCTTGTAGCAATCTTTTTCTAAGCTTACTTGATTTCCATTTTGCTATTACTTGATCTCTTATCTCTACCTGCACCACCATATTCACAATGAATGATTAACTTTTTCAACCTAGTGACATATGAATCTATGTTTTCTCCTGTTTCTTTACCTGTTTCGTGAAATACACATCTTTCAAATGGAATGTTCTTCTTGATATCAAAATGACTATCTAACCTATTTACTGCCTGGTCATATGTTGTGCCTACCTCACCTAATGATTCAAATATATCTTGCACTTCATCTCCTACAAGATGCAAAAGTGTTGCCCTCTTTTGGCTATCATTTTGAATATTTGTTGCATTCAGAAAATAAACAAACGATTTCTTCCATTTTTGCCACCTTTGACTTACCGTAGATTGGTCTCCTTTTGGATCAAATTCCTTAACTGGAGGTAACTCAATCTATACTGGTTGCGGTTGCTGCGCCTGGCCTATTTGATTATCGTTTTCTTCCATATTTCGTATTCTTTTGTCAAAATTATTACTTTCTAATCCTTCTTTGGGTTCTTTAGATAGCTCGTCGCTATAATATGTTGTGTATGCGCGCGCGATGCCTATGATCCGCTGCGACCTAACGCTAGACGTAGAGAGCACACGAGACAAGACGCCATGTTTTCAATCCGACCCTGATCTAATCTATCAATTCTTATGGATAGAGAGAGAGACTTGTAGCAAGTCCAACAACAGGGCTGTTGTGTGTATGCGTATGTCTCAACCACATTCCCTCTAAAACCGAATCAGTTTCTCACGAAGATATTTGTATGTAAAACTTAATATTTGCGTGTACACTAGAAGTATAAACTCGTGTTATAGTGTACATTTATACACTTGAATTTTTGCTCTTGCCTACCCGAGATCTCGTAGGAAACTGTCATACACTGCAGTTCGGGTAACTAGCTGAGTTTGGACTTCTAGCCTGTCTGCATGTATCTGTGATCGAAATTCAACAATAGTCCCAATAGTCCAAAAGTACACGCATGTTATTCTATTCCAATGATGAGAAAGTGGTTCTTTTCTCATGGCTGAAATTCATTCAATTCAATAAAAAACCTACCCTTTTCCAACGTGTGACCCATTCTTTTTAAATGCGCCCTCTTTTCTAATTGGGCGACTCATTCTGCTTTATGTGCGATTTACAGAATTTTATGCGACTGAAACTAAAAATGTGTGACGAGTTCCATTTTTCTGCGATTTTTTTTCTTTTTGAGCGACTCACTTGAATTTTGTGTGAGTGGTTTATCTTTCTACGTGAATCGGTTTGTTTCAATGTGAATCTGTTTTGTTTATATGTGAATCAGATTAAAATAAGTGCATGGCAGTTGTGGGCCACCGTAGTTTTAGCATGACCCCAAATCCCAAATTTTTCCTAAAAATCAACAATCAATGCCTTTCTGAAAATCGTGATTTCTCTATTCTGAGTGGTATAGTAATTTGTTGAATTTTAGTCTAGGAGGTGCATTTCTAGCCATTCTAGAAGGCTTAATTTCAAAAATTTTCTTTCCTGTCAGACCCAACCATGGTGGGTCCTTCTATGTCGCTGAAATTGATTCCTAGCCCCCCAACCCCAGCACCTCTATTGTTGTGACACTATTATTTTTCAGAGTCCAGAGAAGTTGTTAACCTTCCTCCAGACAAAAACATCCCAGAAGGCAAACCTTCCTCACAACACAATAGAAAATGGGCGTGGTTTGGGTGTGTCATAGGAGCTTCTATTGTTTTTGTGAATCTTCCTCCGGTCAGTGGCCGTGCGACCGTAATATTTTCCTGACTCTGCTATTTATGCTATTTTACCCAGCTGCCCCGCTTGCATTAATAGCAAAAAAGGTTTTTCTGGAAAGAGTGGGCCCCGTTATGGTTATTTTTTCCGGCCCTCTTCTAGAAGCCACAACGCCCCTGGGACAGCCACATCGGTCTTGCAGATCTAAAAACAATAACACTAAAACATGCGATTCTGCTATCGGGTTGCATTTACTGGAAAACCCAGATTGTGCAAAAAACTATAACGATGACATGTTTCGGATTTTCGGTATCGATACAGCAAAAAATGATAGCTATTTCTCGAATATCTGTGAAATTATTCCTGAAGACGAAGCAAATATTTAGATACATTGTAAAAAAATACACGTGAATTCTCAGCAAATTAACATTTCAAAATCATTAAAGGAAGTTGAAGATCAAGAAGAAAAAAGCGTGCTCAAACAACGTTCAACAGTCAGTGAAATTTGTTACTTGCTTTTTCCTTCGACCGCTTGCTCTTCACCAGCCTTGTTGTCAGATGCGGTGATAGCTTTGATGAATCTTACTGCCAAAGATCTGACAGAACAGCTTTCATTGATGATTTTAATTTCCTTTTCAAGCCATCTGTCTACGTAATTCTGATCTGTGCCTTCGTCTGGAATGGCTTGAAAATCAGTACGAACTGATGGCAAAATGGCAAAGAATCCCCTGCATCCACCACTTATTTCTTTGGCCTTTGATCTCATTGTTTTGTAATGCATCACTTTTGGGCTTCCTGCTCCTTCAGCACGTTCTCCCTTCTGCTGAAAACTTGTCAGCTCTTGATGGAGGATTTCGAAGAAACCAGCAACATGCTCTAGACCATCAATGAAATTTCCAAGAGCTGGAACCAAGACATCAGTCACAACCCTGCTTACGGCGTACTGGATTTCAGTTTCCTTTTTCTTCGCAGTGGCTTCTGCTAAATCTCTTCGGACTAAGCCAAACAAAATTGGGGAAGCAATAACACCGACAAATGGTACAAATGCAAGTCCAATTGCCCAAGCATTTTCAGTACTTGCAGAATCTTGGAGTTCTTTAGCTTTTCTTTCATACTCGGCAGTCAAATCTCTCAATTCAATTACAATTACACCGGCTTCATCTTTTCGCTTCTTTAGTGTAGTTAACATTTCTTCGTGGATCTTGACAAGCACCTTGCAGGCCTCTTTGTGAGCCTCTGCTTCTTCTGTGATATCTTTAATGCTCTCCCACCACTCATCCATGGTTAAGGCCTCATAGTATTCAAAAAAGTCCCCAATGTCTGCTACACTTCTCGTAACAAATGGAAGCACACCCTTGAGATAAGCAACAGCATCATTTCGGGTTTGATCGCGTAACTCCCTGGCTTTCCTTGCCGTGTCTGATTGTCCCCCAAGTGCTTTGTCAGTGAAGAGACTCCTCATGCTCAACGAAAACAGCCTCATGTTTACAGGAAGGGAGATAAGTTGAGAAGAAATATTATCAACTTCTTTTGTGAGTGTTTCTGTCATCTACAGAGAGGGTTAACAAATTCAGTTTCATTTTAAACTTTGCTCTTTCATACAACTCAACGTATTCAAGACAAGAAACGATTTAATTTAAATTTTAAAATATCAAAGAGTCAACTGATCAACCTATTACGTAGTTTTGTTTTAGGTTATTGTTATTGTTATACGTAGCTGGCCCTCTGTATTCTTAGAGCTAAGGAGCTTTAAGGGCTGAAATTTCATATGTTTTAAGCAATTTTGAGGGCTGATCCCAAGCCAAGGTGTCGTTCAGGCGCAGATCCATCCAAAAATCTGAGTTACGCAAGAACTTTAGGGGCAAAAGGGCGTGGTCTTGAAAAATGCTGTGGAAATTTAAACAATCCAAAGCTTGAAGAACCGTTTCGAAACTCCGGATTACAGATTAACAAGAGGAGCACTAAGAAAATTAAAGAATACATTACTGACACGAAACCGGAAAATCTTTTGTTTAACATCATTTCTAACTATATTTAATTTAGCTTTTCTGATTGTTTTTTGTCACGGTTGTCGGGTACTTGTTCAAAAAGTACAATAATCCCTTGGGTACATATTTTGAATGAGAAAGCAGATGTTAGTTGAAAGCGGAAAAACCACATTTTTTCCTCGTTGACCTTTTAGGGAAGTTTCTAAAGTAGATTTACGCATTCAATTGTTTATCAACGATCTTCTTTGTACCTTTCGGACTCTATAAATTAAAGATAGAGACGATAACAAACCAGTCTGATTCATCCAACTGAGTACAAGAGCGCATCAAACAAGCGAGTCTGAAGAACGGAAAAAAGGCAGATAGCAAAGGTACGTTTTTTAGCTACTAAATATTTCTCACATATCAAGTAGACACAATTTGAATTCTCTACACTTATTTATACAATTAAACATACTAGAGGCTGGGAGACCATGAAGTTTGTTGGCAGCTCCATCAAAATAGCATCAAATTTCAAAAGAAGAAATGGAAATTTTAGAAATTTTACGCATCTTTGCCCAATCATTTTATAAAAGCAATTTTTCAACCACCAGTACATACAGGTTTTTTACTAAAAAATTGACTTATAACCGATAAAATACTGGGTTTAGTTGGAAGGTGTTAAGAAACCTGAAAACTTTACATTTTAAAATCCCATATAAATTAGGTTCAAAATTGCAAATATCTAAGAATGAGTTATGAATAACCGCAAGGCACAAACTTCTTCAAATCCATGAGTTTTTATATATGGGATTTTCTATCAATTTTCAAACTTCAGTTATGCTTAAACTTCAACGCTGCTGTTATGCTAAAATGCAGTTTAATTAAACGACAGGTGCAGATTCAGACTACAGCGACGTATGTTTGAGCTGCAGTCAGATTTTAAATTTGTGAAGTGAATTTAATGTTTCAAAATCTCCACAACTATATTTTCTGGATAATTTATAATCCATGTTTGCTGAAATTTCGAAAAATCTGCCTCAATTTTTGGGTCTGTATGTAAATTTAATAAAATGTCATTTTTGGGTTTCTGAAAAATTTGAAATCTTTGTGATTGAAGAAATCGCCGCCATTTTTAGCGATTGAAATTTTTGGCTCATCTTTTCTTTAAATTTTGTGAGCCTCCCACCCCAACCCCCTTTGGGAAATATGAAAAAGCTATTAAGAAAGAAAACGAGAAAACTATTCACACTTTGGAGTTTCGAAACGGTCCTTTAAGCTTAAAGTTTGGATTGTTTAAATTTCCACACCATTTTTTCTGACCACGCCCTTTTGCCCCTAAAGTTCTTGCGTAACTCAGATTTTTGGATGGATCTGCGCCTGAACGACACCTTGGCTTGGGATCAGCCCTCAAAATTGCTTAAAACATATGAAATTTCAGCCCTTAAAGCTCCTTAGCTCTAAGAATACAGAGGGCCAGCTACGTATAACAATAACAATAACCTAAAACAAAACTACGTAATAGGTTGATCAGTTGACTCTTTGATATTTTAAAATTTAAATTAAATCGTTTCTTGTCTTGAATACGTTGAGTTGTATGAAAGAGCAAAGTTTAAAATGAAACTGAATTTGTTAACCCTCTCTGTAGATGACAGAAACACTCACAAAAGAAGTTGATAATATTTCTTCTCAACTTATCTCCCTTCCTGTAAACATGAGGCTGTTTTCGTTGAGCATGAGGAGTCTCTTCACTGACAAAGCACTTGGGGGACAATCAGACACGGCAAGGAAAGCCAGGGAGTTACGCGATCAAACCCGAAATGATGCTGTTGCTTATCTCAAGGGTGTGCTTCCATTTGTTACGAGACGTGTAGCAGACATTGGGGACTTTTTTGAATACTATGAGGCCTTAACCATGGATGAGTGGTGGGAGAGCATTAAAGATATCACAGAAGAAGCAGAGGCTCACAAAGAGGCCTGCAAGGTGCTTGTCAAGATCCACGAAGAAATGTTAACTACACTAAAGAAGCGAAAAGATGAAGCCGGTGTAATTGTAATTGAATTGAGAGATTTGACTGCCGAGTATGAAAGAAAAGCTAAAGAACTCCAAGATTCTGCAAGTACTGAAAATGCTTGGGCAATTGGACTTGCATTTGTACCATTTGTCGGTGTTATTGCTTCCCCAATTTTGTTTGGCTTAGTCCGAAGAGATTTAGCAGAAGCCACTGCGAAGAAAAAGGAAACTGAAATCCAGTACGCCGTAAGCAGGGTTGTGACTGATGTCTTGGTTCCAGCTCTTGGAAATTTCATTGATGGTCTAGAGCATGTTGCTGGTTTCTTCGAAATCCTCCATCAAGAGCTGACAAGTTTTCAGCAGAAGGGAGAACGTGCTGAAGGAGCAGGAAGCCCAAAAGTGATGCATTACAAAACAATGAGATCAAAGGCCAAAGAAATAAGTGGTGGATGCAGGGGATTCTTTGCCATTTTGCCATCAGTTCGTACTGATTTTCAAGCCATTCCAGACGAAGGCACAGATCAGAATTACGTAGACAGATGGCTTGAAAAGGAAATTAAAATCATCAATGAAAGCTGTTCTGTCAGATCTTTGGCAGTAAGATTCATCAAAGCTATCACCGCATCTGACAACAAGGCTGGTGAAGAGCAAGCGGTCGAAGGAAAAAGCAAGTAACAAATTTCACTGACTGTTGAACGTTGTTTGAGCACGCTTTTTTCTTCTTGATCTTCAACTTCCTTTAATGATTTTGAAATGTTAATTTGCTGAGAATTCACGTGTATTTTTTTACAATGTATCTAAATATTTGCTTCGTCTTCAGGAATAATTTCACAGATATTCGAGAAATAGCTATCATTTTTTGCTGTATCGATACCGAAAATCCGAAACATGTCATCGTTATAGTTTTTTGCACAATCTGGGTTTTCCAGTAAATGCAACCCGATAGCAGAATCGCATGTTTTAGTGTTATTGTTTTTAGATCTGCAAGACCGATGTGGCTGTCCCAGGGGCGTTGTGGCTTCTAGAAGAGGGCCGGAAAAAATAACCATAAAGGGGCCCATTCTTTCCAGAAAAATCTCTTTTAATATTGGTGCAAGCGGGGCAGCTGGGTAAAATAGCATAAATAGCAGAGTCAGGAAAATATTACGGTCGCACGGCCACTGACCGGAGGAAGATTCACAAAAACAATAGAAGCTCCTATGACACACCCAAACCACGCCCATTTTCTATTGTGTTGTGAGGAAGGTTTGCCTTCTGGGATGTTTTTGTCTGGAGGAAGGTTAACAACTTTTCTGGACTCTGAAAAATAATAGTGTCACAACAACAGAGGTGCTGGGGGGGGGGGGGTAGGAATTAAGTTCAGCGACATAGAAGGACCCACCATAGTTGGGTCTGACAGGAAAGAAAATTTTTGAAATTAAGCCTTCTAGAATGGCTAGAAATGCACCTCCTAGACTAAAATTTAACAAATTACTATACCACTCAGAATAGACAATTCGACAATTCTCAGAAAAGCATTGATTGTTGATATTTAGGAAAATTTTGAGAAAGGGGGGAGGGGGTGTCATGCTAAAACTCTAGTAATAGACGTTAAGGAAAGAAAGAAAGGATGACCTTTGGTTCAAAGTGCACATATCGGTGTGAATATCAAGAAACTGTTGTACTGATTGAGAGAATTGTACTTCTTGAGCAGAAATGTGCATCTTCTTGGTCTTGAGAAAGCTAGCTACTGAAGCGTTACAAATAATAGACAAATAATAGAAATATACCTAAATAAGTTAGTAAAAAGATCAAAGAAAACCAAGCAGTATATAAACAAGTTTGAGCATTTCATTTTTATTTTATCCTCAAATTTTAGACGTTCTGAGCCTCAATGTTCTAATAAACTGCAAAGTCGATTGCGTGGATTATTTCAAGTTAGTAATGAAAGCATCACAATTCTCAGGAACCTTCTGGCAGAAATTTGCTGTTTTGATACTCTAAAATATAAGAGCCTGTTTAGCCAAACAATTTCCAACAGGTTCTTATATGTGGGGTTTCACCATTTAATTCATATACTTTTTTACCAAAATTGAAAAGGATGACCGAATATCAAATTGTTAAAATAAAACGCAAAAAGCACAGTGTATGTTAAATTTGAACTGTTATTATGAAACAATTATTGCTACTATTTTATATACAGTACAGTATCATTGATCAATTGTTGGTGGACATTTGGCAACATTGGTACACTAATTAATAGTCAGAATGGAGAACAGACCAGATTTAATGCTATTTTCTGATAATCAACAACAATATCTACTCTATAGAAATTAAGAATCTAGCTAAGAACCTATTTAGCCTAAACTTTCAATAAGTACCCCATAATACAAGAACCTGTTTTGCCAAACTCTGAAAAAATTAGGTTCTACACGTCGGTTTTTACTGTATTCATCTTGTATGACGTTTAGGATTACAGACATTGAGTAGCACCGCTTTTCGTTAAGCATCATTTCCTTGTCAAGGCACCAATTAAAAAGTTTCTCAAAATCGTCACTCTTCGTCCTCAGGTAAGTATATTGAACTGCAGCTCCATATATTCACAAAAACAATAGCAGCTCATATGACACACCCAAACCACACCCATTTTCTATTGTGTTGTGAGGAAGGTTTGCCTTCTGGGATGTTTTTGTCTGAGGAAGGTTAAAAACTTCTCTGGACTCAGAAATTTAATAGTGTCACAACAACAGAGGTGCTGGGGTTGGGGGGCTAGGAATCAAGTTCAGCGACATAGAAGGACCCACCATAGTTGGGTCTGACAGGAAAGAAAATTTTTGAAATTAAGCCTTCTAGAATGGCTAGAAATGCACCTCCTAGACTAAAATTTAACAAATTACTATACCACTCAGAATAGACAATTCGACAGAAAAGCAGAAAAGCATTGATTGTTGATAGTTCTACACGTGGGTTTTTACTGTATTCATCTTGTATGACGTTTAGGATTACAGACATTGAGTAGCACCTCTTTTCGTTAAGCATCATTTCCTTGTCAAGGCACCAATTAAAAAGTTTCTCAAAATTGTCACTCTTCGTCCTCAGGTAAGTATATTGAACTGTTCCGAAATAATTTTGACAGTTGTTAGTGTCACTTTTCAGGTTTTATGAAAAGACAATAAATACACCAATTTGACTTACGGCCTCGTTTTGAAAAATTCTTCAAAATTTTTTTGTATAGAATTTTTGACCTCAGATTCAGATTGAGAGCAATGATTTTAGTCTTATTGTAAGTTTTCATTATCATATTACTCACGATATTGATTTTATGACGACACAAAGATAAAAACTTTATAAGGGATTTGACCGTGATTGGCGACTAGGGGGGTAAAGTTTCCCCCGGAACAATTTTTGCGGTCAAATCCCTTACAAGTTTTCAAACTTCATTTCTCCGTAAAATCTAAAATACAAGCTGAAACAATATGAAAAATGGTATCCCGCCTAAAATTATGGCAATAAAACCAAATCTGCGCTTAAAAAAGTCGTATAATTAAGTTTGGAGAAATTTCCAAAACGAGGTCGTAAGTCGAATTGGTGTATTGTTACCCTCATTTATGCCCCTTTAAGCCTTACTGAGATTATCTGTTTTCTCGAAATCATTTTGTCAAAACAAAACACCAGCCAGATCAGGGCTGTATTTACAGCTTAGGGATAATTTTTCTTTCTTGGCAAGTTCTAAATTGCTTTTCCAATGAAATAGTGGTATAAAGTAGTTTAGACTAAGATTGTAGTGCGATAGTGGCAAGTAGCTCTAAAAGACTAGGATCCCATTCTTCAAGACCATGCCAACCCCCCTTCAAAGTTCTGACTACTTTGTGATAATGGGGTGTGTAGGGTCTAACATTTCCCCAATTGACCATCAGTGGCAGGCAAAATCGTTGGTTCGCCAGTGAAATCAAGAAAAGTGTCTACAGCTTTTTCAATTCAGCTTTGTCGCTAGCAGCCCCTTCCAGAATCATAAGGAAGGTCACATGACAACACTGTCCCCTCTTCTTATTGGTATGTGGTTTTGTCTAACGTTCCGGTCTGTCCAAAAGTATCTTGACTGGGTGCGAGGTTGCCATTTTTGTTTAGAAACGACTTTACGTCAAAAAGCGTTACCAAGGAGGAATGACCACCAGGGAACTGGTGTCAATATTGGCATTGATGAAGAATATGGGGATAACACAATGCTCAATAGAAAGTAAAATTAACAGCAAATAGTTCGGCCGAATGTATTCACTTTATGCCATGAATTATTTATCAATGAAATTGATTCTACTGCGCTTCATGTAAACTTTATATTAGCAAAATGATGAGTGCTAGGCCGTTACTGCTGATGTAGAAACCTCATAATCAATACGAATTCGAAGCATGAGGTGAAATCGTGTCCTACTGCGCTGACCCTTATGTCTCGACACACGGAATATCATATCATACAATCGAACCAAATAGCTGAACCAAATAATGGCAGAATAAATGGAGCTTGGACGGGGATTGAAGCCATTTGTTGAGCCCGAAGGCTTGTTCGCCCGTAAATCTTCATCTAATATTCTATCAGATCCAAGAATATTGGAACATTTGAGAATTGTTGCTGAAGAAGCACAAATTCAGGAGGCTGATGAGGAAAATTTATCAGATGATGACGAAATGGAGTTTCAACGAAAAGAATTGGCCGATAAAATTACAGCATACAATAAACGCAACCAGTTTGGTGCTTTTCGGGTGGAACAAAACGTAAGTTGCAGGAAACCTGTCTTAATATATAAGCCCATAATATTTATGAATACACCTCAGTGTGCATTTGCTTTCTAACGAAGGGAAAGCCGCCGAAATGGTTACGAGATTTGATAATCCCGTATGGTTCAACAGAAGCCAAACGATACTCAAATTACAGCAGAAGGTATCCCTGACTGAATTTGCCATGTAGAATAAGGCTCAAGGAGATTGTCAAACAAGACTGTCTCTTTCAGTCAATTAAAGCTGTCCTTTAGCAGTCAGATGAACTCAACTTGAATTCAAATTTTTTGCAAAGGTAAAAATTCAATTTTTTCAGACAAGTCTAGGCATATTTCTTTAAGTTATTAATCCATGCATTGCCTCGAACTGTTTTAGCGAAACTAATTTCGTTGCACTGGCAGGTAATCCAGCGTTTATTTTCAAGATCATTTCACGCCAAACCTCCTTATCCTTAATTTCTTCAAGCATAACATGAATGATTCCACTTGTAACGAAGGTAAAGGATATACCAAATATACACGATTATCGCTGTTACTCGACCAAAGTCTAGTCTAATATATATGATATATATTTGTATGTTATATTTTTCTCATAAACCATTCAATAAACTTGAACTCAACGGACGAAGCTCCAGAATATATTTTCGATTTATCAGTTGAATCAATACTTAAAAACTGAAGCATCAATTTGCAAGGACTGCTTGTTTATGAACGTCGTAATTCATAACTTTATTTCTACTGGCCTGACTAACAAATGAATAACAATTTATTTGGCAGTTTTCCCATTTTTTCCCAAGATAGCGCCCTGTTGCATTGTTTTTATGTGCATTTTTGTAGCAACATTTATGAAAAAGATATTAGGGTTGTTGCAAAGACAAAACATATGTTGTATATAAACATGTTGCAAATTATTTCTCGAGACCTTAGAGGATTTATAAGCCAATGCTTTTACGTATCAAAGTGCTGTTTTTCGTTGAAAATTGTTTAAAAGATATGACTTTCTCCGACCAAAAATATTTTCATCCATATTTAGAAGAATCGTCCCCAAATTCCCCTTGGTTCCATTATTGTATTTGTTTACGTTTGCGATCCTTACTTTCAAGCTCTTTTGTCCTCACCACAAGGACCTGTTGATTGGCACCAAATTTCCCTAATCAAATTATAAACCAACAGGTTAAAATTAGCAGTAGCTTATTGGCAGTAAGCTACTGCTAATTTTAACCTGTTTATTGCCCAAATTTTCTGCGTCATAATAAATGTTAGATGAGCCAGTTTAGTTTATGCGTGTCTGATACTAATTTTATAATAGATTGGCTGAAAAAACGACTACGGCTTTGCAACGTGGAATGAATAAAATGGTCATAAAATGCTCGATTCAATCATTTTGATTCAAAGTAAGAAATACTTGCCATAAACGTACGTAGACAGACAATTTGTAGTTGCCCTTGGTTCCCTCCCCCCCCCCCCCTGGACTCCCCCCCCCCCCCGATATTCCATCTTGTGTCAGAGCCCCTGAGCTTGATACCTTGAAAGCTGAGGAGGCTATCCTCTACCCGTAGATGGCCAAAAAGGACCAGACCAACAGTGAGTGGGAGAAACCAAAAAACCTATTCCGCAGATACAGGGCCATTTCTAAACTTGCCGAGAACAGCAAAAAATTGAATGCCATATATAGACGCTTTCCTTAGTTCACAAAATCTAATATAAAGGCATTGTCCGTGTGTTTTGACAGTGATGTTTCAGCAACAGACAGCTTTGTCCCTGTCTATCTACCTCTAATGTTTTGAGAAAAGCCTTGAACAAATATCGTCTTTATGTCTCGAAGAAACATTTATCTTCTTGCGAAATTACTTGCTCTAATTCAGTCTTAGTCATTTGTTTGGTGCATTATATCAAAATATATCTAAAATAAAATAATGGCAGAGGCTCAACAAATCCATCGATTTTTTAGTTCAGATGGTAAAGTTCTGCTTTCTGAACAGGTCATTGGGACTGAAAGTGTACAGAAACACAGAAAAGCCGTCAATACTGAGGAAAACTGGAGCCACTGCCAGGATAATGATAATAGCGTTCTTTGATAATAAGCAGATCGGCCCTTAACACTCTCTACAGAACTGCAAATTTGTCGTAATTTCGATGTTTTTTGTTTGCCAAATTAAACACGGTCGAATACGAACACGTGTACTTTTTGTTTCATTACTGGTGTTGCACAAAACGATAATTACTATATCAATGATTATAATTTGTTACTGTCATCCTGTCAATGCAATTAAGACTTTGACGATTTGAAGAAATTTAAGACTTTGGAGCAGATATTTCAGTCGGGCTGATTGCTGTTTACGTAGCTACTAAAATGTGAAGGCTGAAAACATGCGAGAGCAGAATGATCCAAAACAGCCGTGATCGATAAACTGAGTATACACAAGCAGTTGATCATTACGTAATTTATAACACTCTAGATACCAGGCCCTTAGAATGGGTCATGGAGTAAAACCACTAGTATATAGTTGACCCATTTAGGCTAGGGCTTAAAGGGCTAAAACCTATTTAGGAATGTAGCAATGTTTGGGCGGGAAGGGTCACCATGATTCTTGGCATTGCGACTTAGAAGATCAAAGTTTTGCATCTTGTTTAAAAACACCAACCCCAGTGGCCTCCAGATGGCTCTGTTTAGCTAGTTATCAATGCAAATGGACAGGGCGGGAGAAATGTCCTTTCGTTTACGGCTGCAACATTTTCCTGTCTCTCTCAATTATTCTTTGTAAGAGTGTATTTTTAAGAGGTTGCATCTTAAGAAACTCGGCAATTAGTGCGTATTCAAACCCTATACGTGCATTTTTTTACTTATAAGAAACTGGTTTAAAAGAAACTGGTTTAAAAGAAACTGGTTTATAAGAAACTAGTACTAGGATGGCCAAATATTTATTTGTAAGAAACTTTAGTACTAGAATCAAGAAAAATTAGGAAATCCTAAAATTTCCATTCTTAAAAAAGAGTCCAAAAGTTTTTCTCTTGTTGATTTTTCTTTGAAAATGATAGCTCACCTGTATTTTTTATCTGCATGGGTTTTTCTCGTGACGCTATGCTGGCCTTTTATAATTTTGCGGCTTCACGGCCTAGACCTTCTTACTCCGTGCGGCATACGGATTTTCAAATGGATTTTCTGCAGATTGAGGCTTCAGTTCAGCATTAATGTGTTTTGCGCCTTTTGGTGTGAAAAAGCAATGGTTGACAGGCTTTTAGGATTCGGATACGTTTTGACGATAATGTGCAAACAATAAATGCTGAATAAGATTTGGACCAATGCAACAGCTTGTTATGTGAAACAGAGTGGGAACCATGAGATTTTGTCTACGGCCATTTCTAGAAATATTTCCCTTTTCTTATAAGCAAGAATCTGTCTTTTTACGTCACGACTCGTTTTGCCATCGCGGTTGCGTCTTTGCCCTTTATTTCATTGCGGATTTTGGCTTATTTTTGCACGGTCTTGCGGCTTGTGGATCCCATATAATAGGCCCACTATGCGTTTCTTTACTTTCAAAAATGCTCAAATCCCGAAAATAAGAAATCAACAAAGAAACTTTTAGTACCAAACGCCAAAATTTCTATTCCAAATTAAGATACTTTCAGTACTCAGTGCTGATATAAGTTTCTTATAAAAAACGTGTACATGCTCTCACATAGCTCCTTACCCCTATCTTGAAAGAGAAAGCTCTGAAGCTCTTGTTTTTGACATCAGTAAAAACCGTCTGGTTCTAGTGCAACTAGAAAAGGTAATTATAAATTACCAGTATTGGCTTGGCCGAAGAAAATTAGAGGCGGATTCGGGTCTCGAATCTTTTCAAGGTTTTGACTGCGGGCAAGAACAGATTTTCATGGTTTTCTCAGGATTTTGCGGTACAGCTGTTATAATTGCAATTTACGCAATAAAAATGTGTGCAAAATACCTATAAATATGCTACAAGGGTAAAATGAATTATATCAAAGGCAATAACCATTAATTTTACATTAAATGTCAATTTTTATTTTATTTATATTTTTAGATGCTGTCAAATGTTTTCCTTCTGTCTAGTTCTTTCAACACGGAAACCTGTAGATAAGCCTCTTTTTCGTTTCAGGAACTGGATTACAAAGGGGCAGTAAGATTTTATTTCGAAGCTGGAAAGCAGGAGTTGACCAAGGCAGTTGAGATATCAAACAAGACGACAGTCGCTGATCTCTTGCCCATTCTTGTGGAAAAATTCAACCTTAACCAAGCGAATTACCAATACACACTCTATGTTGTACATGAAGCTGGTGAGTTTTTTCATCGTTAGTTTACTTGTGCCACCAATTTCATCCTTACTTCAACATTGCGTCTCTTGTTTACACTGTTATTTGTTTTGCTTAAACCCGCGTGAATTCTATAGTAACCTTTGGTGATAAAACGGTCGAATCTAAGTTATTCCCATGAAAAAGTCTGGCAATAGAGCAGAAATATTTTTGGCAGCAAATGTACAACATCCTAGCACTGAATTTCCTCATGCGTTGTTATGTTAAATTACACGCCAATTAATTTAGGACTGTTTACTTATTTTGGGTTTGATTATGCCTTTGTAATATCTTGCAAAATTTTTTATAAAACAAAATCAGAATTTATACAAGGACGGAAGTAAGGTAACTTTATACAGGGTTAAAAGCCCGTCGGCTTTGGACAGAGCGATTCAATTATCACGGCTGTCAGTAAGGTATCACTTTGTTCTAATGTTTTTGGCGATGAGTATCATTCATTCGAAGGAATTCAGTGACCAGCCCATTTTTATTTCGCATGTAATAACTTCTGGGCCTAGCCTCCATTAAGAAAAAAGGATTGTCACCTTTAAAGATAACCTTTGTTGTATGATCTAGTTTGTTTGATTTGTACATTCCATCCAACTATTTATCAGAGAAAGAAGTATGAAAACTGGTTTATTTCCACAGTTCAGTTCAGTTTAATTTTAAAATTCCACTACATACAAAAATCTTTCTAAAATACATACAATTAACTAGAATAAAAAAATTACAACAGATGACAAAAAATGACAAATTTTACAATAAGAGTACATAGAATTTCGTATGGAGAGGAATTTCTTAAGGAGAAGCTCTCTCAGTAGGTAGACTAATCGAGGAGAGAGCACCCCCTAAGCTAAAAACTTATCATTCAATTTATGAAATCTTCTAGTGATTTCATTGATCAATGTAAGGAAGAATTATCTTGTCGAAAAGTTGAAAATATCTGAACAAGGGTTATGCCATTGCAGCAACCATTACCTAACTATGTTTCCACGAAGTATACCCTCCTTGTTTGGTACAAGAACATGACTAAAAATTAGGTGAAAAGCTTTTCTGTTGCCGTCCCCCAATATGAAGCTCAAGACAGGGCCCTGGCTAAAATCATTCAAAAACCACTTGTAAGGATTTTTGGATCTCTACAGTTTATTAATATATCTAAAAAGCATTATTTATAATGATTAAATGTGATAAAAAGCAAAATGAAAAAATAATGAATATAGCTAACTACATCAATTTTTGTCATCCCAAACACCATCATTTCTTTTGCAGAATATTTGCATAGTTACTGCAATCCAAGGTGCAGACTCTAAATAAAATAATAATTTAGTTTTTTCTGCCTGTTGTAAGTCACCTAATTGGAATGAAAAATGTTGTTGTAAACAAAAGGTTGACATAATCTTTCATTTAAACTTTCTTGAGTTTGAACAAATTATTTTCCTGTAATCATTATTTAAGAAATAAAGAGATAGTTACGTAAAGCTCTTTATTTCTTTAATCATTCATCTGGTTCACCTGGTTAAGTTTCAATTTTAAGTGTAAATTCAGTATATATCACTTTAACTAATATCTTGAAGTCTGGAAATAGGAATTAGTTTCCTGAGCGTCTACCGTTAAGTCTTTTCTTTTCTATATTTACACTGCTCATGATTTACACTGCTCATGCTTAGATTTTATTCTACCTACATTGATTTTCAGTTTTCCCACAACCTATTTTTGAAAAAGATGGACAAGCCATTTCTCACATTATTTTTGTTATGTAAATGTTCAAGCAAATAGTAAACATATAGACCACCATAGATTATGTAAAAATGTATGTTATAACTAGAATTGCTGGTTAGCAAGTCATGTTTGCTTGTTGGCCACAATTGTGCAAATGTTTTTTTTCTAAGGTGAAAGTTTGAAAATAATAATAATTAAGGAAGTAGGAAGAGGTAGCCAACAAGTTAGCTTTGGAATAGTATTGTGAAGGGCTTGGGGCTTTAGGAAGCATATAAGCCATTTGGCATTAGTGTAGGCCAAGAGGGGGGCAAAGACCAGTTGAGCAATGGAATAATAGGGGTCCACACCCTTTGGAATGCCAAAAGTATTTATAAGAGATTTTTGCCTCTGGGGGTACCTGCTTTTTTTTCCTTCCCCTCACGACACTACTGCCATTTGGATGGCCATCTCATAAATTTAAAGGTCCATTTTGAAGTGCAGTCCAGAGGGAAGCAAAGGATGGAGAAGTACACAGGTGTATAAATCCTCTGTTTATGACTTAAACAGTTTGGATTGCAAAATAAAATACCTCAATAAACCAATACACCTTTGGTTATTGGTCCTGAGTATTGTACAATATATTGGTTCTAAGTATTGTGTGTGCAAGAGTTTGGATTATATATTTATGTGAACATCATGTATTACAAAATAGCATCTTCAGGGGCTTCATGATGATAACATTCCAGAGCAGGCATCCTTTTTAAGGTGCCAGTTATCATGCCACTGGCGCTCAAACAGATAGAAATCATGGAAAGTTTGAAAGAAACACCAATTTATTTTATAAGATGATATTAAACATACCCTGTCGCTAAATAATTGAAAAAATCAGTTAATGTAAAGTTGTGACTTTTGTTTATTCCCAGATAATCAATGCTCACTTTGTATTGGAAACCTTGAGATACAAACAGGATTATTTAGAAATATTTAGGTGCATTATTCAAAGAGCTTGAAGTGACACAGCAAAAATGTTGTAGGCCAGTGCTGTAGGCTTAATGCTTTGGGACTTTGTGTCAAATCAGCTCTATGTAAATGAATACCCAGATCATTTTTCTTGGCTTAGCTTTGCTCCGTTTGAAGAACACTGTTTGAAGAAGTAGAGTTTCTGAACACTTGAAGTGGTTCCCCTTTTCTCCAATAAAAGTGCAATTTTTGAAACCTTGCATTCAATTGCAACTACTTTTTGTTTATTTTATGTAATAATTATAAAATTTACCCAAATTTTTCTTCCTGGCCACGTCTCCTTTTGCCATTGTTAATTTGTTTGCATTATTAAAGATAAATTTTCCCGTTGATTCGATTCGTTTCCTTTCAAAGACACAGTGATGCTTATTTCACTGTTTTTTTGGTCATGCAACTTTAATTTTAACTTCAGAATTGTTAGCTTTTATAGCGTTTTTCGTTAGCTTTATATTTTTAAATGTTGGATGCTATGCCATTGTTTTTCGCTATGCTATTTATCCATGCTTTCAGCTGTGTTTTTAAAGTGCTACATCTGTTTCAAGTGAGCGGATGATGTATCTTCTTATTTTCACGATTTTTGTTTTACTTTCAGATGAAATCGCTTTGGATCACAGTGATTGCCCATTGGGGATAGCTATAACTGCAATAAAGGCACCAAGGTTCGTCCTCCGTAGAAAACGCCAACAATCCCACGATACAAACGAACTTGTGTTGCAAAACCAAGTGTCACGAACGTCTTCTGCTTCAAGTAACTCGTTAGGCCAGTGTAATACTGACCCTCTTGTTTTCACTCCTCGTTCAAACTTAAAAAGCACGGCGTCCTCAGGCAACAGTTCGTCAAGGAACGTTTCAGACAAAAATGTTTCAGTGGTTGAAAATTTAAACGAGTCTACCCCAACACATAGCGCTAAAAGCCAACATAAAAACTCAGGCAAAGCCAAGCGAACTAAGTCATTTTCACAAATAGCAGCAATGGTACGAAAAAAGAAATCGGCAGATAAACCAGAAAGTTCTGAGCTTTCAACATACAAACTAGCACCAGGAATATTAAAGGTTTTTGGTGATCACGTGTCTCCTGGATCAAATTACAAAAGCGTTCGCGCCTCAACGATCTCTACAGCTCGAGAGGTCGTTAAACAGGCGTTGGAGAAATATTCCATTGAGAACGCCAATCCAAGTGACTATGTCCTTTGCGATGTTGTTGGGCACTTTAAGATCGATGCAAACAGTAAAGCCGATCAGGACCACGAGGAGGCGCAATGGGTGACTGAGTATATGCGGGTCGTGAATGATAATGAAAAACCACTTGTGGTACAGTCGTTGTGGAAACCTGCAGCTGGAAGATTAAGGAGATTTGAGTTGATGAAAAAAATACAAATGGATTCAGGGTGCTTCTTTATAAACACTGCCGACAATCTTGCAAAGGACTCGAGCTTATCCAGCCCTACGTTAGATTCTGAGCGGTCCAGTATAGTTAGTGATCATGCCTTGGGTGAGCTAACACCAAGAGATAGTTCGTCACTGACGTATGCAACAGAGGACCATTCGTATGCTGTCCCACAGAAGGGGCCCTTCCTGTTGCTAATCAAGGGCTTTGATGCGCTATTGGACAAACTACTAAGTCCCCTTGACAGGCCAATGATGTCACTAGGGAATCCAAAGAGTAACAGTGCCAGTAGTAAGCCAGATGTTTGCCTTTATGCACCAGACATTGCCCCAGAGCACTGCTACATCCACAAAAAGATCTCCCTTGATAAAGGTGCTCATGAAACCAATATCGACGACATCAATTTCTCGATTTTTATTGATCCTATGCCAAATGCAAGTGTTCATATAAACGGCATCAAAATCGACCATCTTACGATGCTACAGCCCGGCCAGTTGGTATCATTTGGATCAGAATACTGCTTCATCTTTAAGGACCCGTTGCAAACTAAAGAAAAGCATCTGAAACTTTCATGGCTTGATGCATTGAAAAGAGGAAAAGCTGCATCACAGCCATTAGGAACGCCGAAAGTAAACGAATCGGTGCAAGTAGACTTTGCAAACGCTGGAGCTGAATTTGTGAATGACACGGCTGATAGTCCCAAAGACGTGATTGACGGCCACGGGGCGGGGGAAATTTCGGATGCTGTCGAACGAAGTGCAGTGAGTTTGTCCTATAGTTATGAGGATGAAGATGAATTGCTTGAAAAAGTCATGCACAAATACGAAGAACGAAGTTTGAAATTTAAACTTACCCCCGCATATTTGTTGACAATGATGATCGAACATTCGTGTGCCTGTTTCACGGAGTCACATGCAAGAAAGCTTCTTTTGAAGATATCGAGCGCACTCCAAAGTGTTGCCTGGGTAAGTGAAGGAACAGCAATTTATGCTTGTTTACTTACTGAGATATTCATACTGTTGATAAAAAACCCTGCGAAATTGTCCAAACGATTTATAAATGTGCCTTGAGATATAATTATTTTATAAAAACTTTGCTTTCCAATGACCCGTTATTTTGATAGATATTTTACCATAAAATTTCGTCGTTGAAACAATGACAATTTTCTGTAAGATCAAATTGATGTCAACGAAAGATTCTTTCCCAGCCTAATGCCTTTCAATTCATTGAGCTACAATTTCTACGAAGGACCTTTGAAACGCCCTGTGGCCTTAATGTTGCCTTAAAAAGATGCAGTTTATTTTAGAAAAGGATTACACCACATCCCCGCTTTTCCAAAACAGTGGTGGTTGTAGAGCCAGATAACTACATGAACAAACTTGGCTACATTAAATCACTTAAAATTACATGAAACAACATTTTTCAAAGGGAGAATGGAGGATGCAATAGAAAATTTGCAAAATTTCATTGTACCTTACCAAAACTTTTGCAGCGATTTTCGTTGCACTTTCTTTCTTAAAGTCGCTGTCTAATTGTTTTATTTCTTCGAGTACAGCATCTATTGAACAAGAATACAGTATGTGTTTTATTACCTGGATGTTACACGTACTTTAAGTAAAGTTTAGATAATATTAAAATGGTAACTTACAAAACATAAGCTCTTTTTTTAAAGGAAAAAACGAAAGAAATAGGGAAGCAGTATGGAGAGAGGTATGTTTTGCTATTGTCTACATATTCATTTGTTGATTATCGGCAACATATTCTTTATAGTGTCATATCTTTATCAGGGAATGACGATACGTAACGTTTTTGGATAGAGTCATTAATACTTTAAAGCAAATCTGCAGACAGTCGATTTGTAATACATAATGCATAAGACCTATGTTTTGATGAAAACTGCTTGTGCTTTGGCCAATTAGTATTTCAAGTAATTAATTTGAGTTTGCCCTGTAAATTCAATTGTCAATGACTTTGTTTGTATGTGGATATATTTCTCTATATAATCAACAGAGTGTGTAAATTAATAGAATTCAGAAGCTTTTTAAGCGCATTTTTAGCCTGCTGTTTTTACAACGTACACATATTTTCGTTGTTGGTTAAATGAACGGAAATGCATGCTTGTCGATGTAGCTGTCATGTATTTCATTTAGTGCTCAATATTCAAAGCTTTCAAGATTTTTCACTTATTTTTTAGCGATATATAGGCTGAAAGTTTCTAATCATGTGCTATATCTTACAAAGATTGTTAAAGACAGATAAAATAAATGATTGGTCTAGATAATATCAGCTAGTGCCATGTCATCTTTTATGCATGAAGGTTTTGTGTAAGACATTTTTCAATAAAGCATCGTGTGGCCTTTATGAGAGAGAATTTAATTAAACAGCATTACAGAGATTGCAAAGACAAATGTCAGTTATCGATATAGCCAATGGCATTTTATTATGCAGTATTCAATTTGACTTTTCAGGAAAGATGACGTGGTAGAATATTTTGATGCAATGCTGCTCGAACTGTCTCCTGTTGTGAAATGGATGGCTAATGCACTCGAGATGCTGCATTACTTTCAGTGCAATTTGAGCAAATATTTGCAAAATGCTTCACCTTCAAAAATCAGGGAGTCTTTAATGTCTGCTGATGAAGAGCTACTGACAGTCTTAGAGGAGGTCATCATGTTTACATTCCAGCAAACAGTTTATCACCTAACCAAGGTATGTGTTGCAGTATTTTGTATGTTAGAATGCAGGAAATCTCCAAGCAGAAATTCTGCGATTATTTCTCTGCTTCGTTTTAAGGTAAGACAAAAACAAAGGAAATTGTCAGTATCAGGGTCAAACGCTGCGTTTTTTGGCAATTTTTTTAGGAAGGTTTTTAGAGCATTAGGTTTTTTATCTGTAGAAAAGACGGGCTTTTCTTTGAGTCCTGAAAATTTCTTGTTTTACTTCAAAAGTTCACCGTAAAGAAAGAATTAACCCTGTGGATCTTATAGGGGATATGCCATAAGACGTCCCTCGTGGCAATGCGCCAAACACAAGTTCTTTGTGGGTGAATTAAGTGCTCGATAAGAAAGCCAACATTAAAACATTAGTTCTTTATATCAATGTTCATCGTATAAAGCATTTTTATATGTTTTAGCAAAGGGAATGAATCACAAAGTCTTTTTTCAGTCTTATCGCGATATTTTTTATCATCACAATATTTATGAAATTATCATGCGATAATTTGAAGAATGTGTAGCCCTAAAACAATTTTATCGCAATAATATCTATCTTTATGACGCGATATATGAGAAGCTTTATTCCAAGTTTGCAAGAATCTTTTGTTTGCTACCAAAATTCAACACAAAGAATGATTTTAACCTCTAAATTGTACACTAATTTGTTGAGAAATGGTAAAAGAAAGACTCCTTTAGTTGAAGACCTTGAGAGGAGTGACTCGTATGGTAAAGTGGTGCATTCATTATTGTCAATTCATAATTGCCTCTCTTTAGAACGTAACTGAAAGCTTTAATTGTCATAGGTTTTATATTCAACGCTACCCGCCATTCTGGACACAAATCCGTTCCAAAGTGAAGATGGAGATGACGATGAAGAGACCACCTCTACTCCAGTTGGTGTCGCATTGATAATCGAGATCTTCGAAAAGACGCTGAACTTAGTCAGTAGCAACAATGTCCACCCACAGATCATTACCCAGTTGTTTGACTATCTCTTCTTTTTTACCAATGCATCTTTATTCAATTCTTTAATGGAACGTGGGACTGGTGGCAAATTTTACCGATGGACAAAAGGGGTCCAGATCCGGGGAAATTTGGACGTTTTAGAAGAATTCGCCAGTAAAAGTGGTTTGCAGGATAATTTCTCTAGCCATATGAAGAAGGTTGTCGCAGCGGTGGCGCTCCTGTCAATCCCTAAAGCTCAACTGATGTCTGTACGTATGGAATTTGCTTGCAATTTTACACGCATTGTTCTGTTTAGTTATAGGATATTAACTGTTGGTCATAAGATAAAATGCTTAGACATACCAAAATTTTATATATTTGTCAATAGACTGTTGTCTATTTCAGATTATATGTTTGTGTATAGAGCTTCTTATAATATACCAGATCTCATAGGTAGAGAGTTTTAAAATGTTGTAACCATTATATTAACCAATACACGTTATGATTTTATGTTCTATCGCAGATGGACTGGAATTCAATAAGAGATGATTACCCAGACCTCAACGCGTCCCAAGTGCAGCAATTGCTTGGAGAGTATCAACTGGGTGGCAAAAAGCGGCCCAGAGGCTGGTACCCGCCTCCTGAAGAAGTCGAGGCAGCCCTTCGATCTTGTAAGTTTCAAGTCTCTCACTAGCTTTTCTACAATATTTATCTCTTCAACGCTGTTTTAGCGATTTATTTTGCACTGAAGGAACAGCTAGAAGCGTATTCTACGGCATGCTTTAGTGCCTGTTACCAATTCATTCTGAAAAACATTTTCGTTTTCATGGCGTTGATATCAGGAGATTATGAGTTATCAATTTTCTCATCTGTCGACTTTATTTACTATATAATGTTACATTTATGATTTACCAAAATACTTCGTATTTTCTGCAGCTGATGTTCTTGAAAGTTTCGCCACGCATCCACCGCTGTTGCTCCCGACGACAGATTTCATCATGGATTTAGAAAACATCCCTCATGAAGATGACTTTTCAGGAATCCTCACTGAAATACAGAAGTTATACGGAGAGAAAAGCGGTATGTTGTTTAGGTCCCTCGATTTTGCCTACCACGAGGAATGTGGAGGATGATTAAAAGATAAATTCCTCCAAACCTTTAAAGTTGTATAAACATGCAAACCCTCCTGGGTGTCTCGCCTGGTATATATTTATCCGCCCTGGGTGTTTCGCCTGGCATCATTTTTGGAACAGACTTTGAGGTAATTGTGAATGGCCACAGGGTTGTTATGAAGATTCATGCCCCATGGTATCGTACTGTATTTGTAGTAGTGTTTTGTAAATTTCTATAAGCATAAAATATTGCTTCAGTATTATGAGTTGAAAACCAACCTAATAGCTGTATATTTACAGTATTTAGACTGATACTTGTTTGCTATATTCTGTTTCTCTATCAGTGAAATGATGGTACGTCTTTTTGTAAAAATGTCCCCCTTAAGTATATTTATGTAATTCAAAGAAGATTTGCTTGAAGAATCGCCAGATGTCATTGGTTTGCTTTTCAGCAGACGCCACCGTGATCTCTAAACAGACAGAGGACAAACAGCCAGTCCAGAAAGTTACATCATCTTCAGTTGGTCAAAAGTCTGCAAGCGGCTTTGTCGTCAGCGTGCATCCTAATATGACATCAACACCGCAAAGAGATGTAGCAGAGATTGTAGAAGTAAGAAGAACACCTCAGACTCCCTCTACTAGCTTGACACAAACAAACGCAAAACAATCGGCCTCGAATGACGATAGCGATGATTCTTCAATCTCCAGCGAAGCTCTTGAAGGGACGCCTGAAATTGCAGCGAAATGGGACGCTGGGCATCGCAACCCTACCCCCGTCCCCGATGCAGCCCCAAGTATTATCATTCAGGAAGACATTGATATCGGCGAGGACGAGCCAACTTTCGACGAAGAAAGACGGTCGTCTGCGCTCGGGAATCCACAGTCGATACAAACGGCGCCTCGTAAAGGATCCGCAGACGGGCGAATGTCTAAAAGCAATATAATGTATGCTGAGAGCACTGTGAAAACGAATGGAGAAGTCAAGGGGGATGTTATTAATAATAACGAGCCGGCAGATTACTCAAAGAAGTTCGTTGATGACGGGAAAATTGCAGATGTCGACTTCACTTCTAGCGATATTGATTTCACAGGCAATGGCGATCTCAGTGACCCTGATGACGTCATTGTTGTTGATCTTGTTCGTGGAGAGAAGGGCCTAGGCTTGGGTCTAATCGATGGTCTTGTGAGTTTATCAAAATTTTCGTTTCCCTATTCTAAATCAGTCCATTCATAACGAAGTCATTTGTGTTACTATCGTATTTCTCCGCCGCCAGAAATTGAATACATAATTACTCCCTACTCAACATCTACGAACAACTGAAATTCCCTGTACTTCCAGTGACATAATTGGTAAATAAAATAATGCTTTCAAAGAGAGTAGTTTGACAGTTTCTTAGTGATCACATTCGAGCAGCAACTTAGAACCTTCCTGTAGCACACCAAAGCTTGATAATGAAGTCATATTATCTTGAAATTATTTGAGAGACCTAAGGAGTTTTTCTCACTTCTTTTCGTTACCTTCAAACCAGTGTACTCTTGTCTCTTTTTGCACCTATAGTCTCCTCTAGAATAACCCAGTGTCTCTCCACAACCAACAGTTCATTCAGTTGCAAAAATCTTTCCCAACAAGTGTCAGTTCTAACGAAACTACAGTATATATAATTTAGAAATGACAAGATAAACCATGTCTGTTTCTATTTTATTAGTGATTGACAACTTTTTTGTTGCAGATCACTCCACTCAGCTCCCCTGGCATTTATATTCGCACTGTTGTCTCGAACAGCCCGGCTGCAAAGGTTTGTTATGCAGTAGAACCTATCTTTGTTGTACGCAGATTGAACAACAGAAGAAAACCCTTGTTTCTCGAACGTCGGATTTGCCAACGAGTGTAGATACATTCATCATAAAGTAACAGTAAAAGCTCTTAAGACTTACGATTTGAACGTTTCTATTGTTTGAAATTAGGGTTATTATGAAATTATAACAATATAAACGATAGAAACATTGGCTTGATTTTTTCTGTTCATAAATTCCTAGAGCTAATTGTTAGCTCGACCCAATACTTTTACGGTTATCCCTACGTCTCTATTTTTCTGTCGATTTCAAACAAGTAGAGTGTCCTCTAGATGCATTATATTATATGGTACCTTATCGACATGTCTCCTAAAACATGGTACAGTTTTCTAAATTTTGGTTTTCATTTATTTTCCTTTGTAACCAAACCTTAGTTGTAAAAGAATTCATAAAAAATTAACAGTTTAAGATAAAAATTAACAGACCCTTTTATTGCCTGACAATACATTAATATTTAATATGTTATGACTTTCTACATTCAGGACGGACGAATTCAGCTTGGAGATAGGATTCTTGCTGTGAATGGAAACAGCCTTGTGGGATCGGACTATTCACGGTGAGTCATTCTTCTTAAACCATTTGACTGCTAAGAGGCCAATTTACAATCTTGTCAAAAATGCTGAGACTTTATAATGAAAGATCAAGTATCTTATCTTTATATTAAACACACTGGTGACTTTCACTGCTTTTCCCTCAAAGTCATCGTTGGGGGAGAAGGAATCCAGATAAGTTTGAGGTTAACACAGTAGCAGCGGTCTGTAACGATAAGTATGCTTGAAATTGTCTTGTACACTCTTTTTTTTATAAGAACCAGTAAATTTAAGTTCAGGCTGACTGTTCTTAATTTTTCGAAAATCTGAGGCTGGATTGTTCTTAATTTGTTCTTAGATTAAGAGGGTCTAAGCAGTGCTATTGCTAGCTTTTTCGCTCTTAGGAGGTGTTCAAGCCTCATTTGCCAACAAAGTGAGTGAGACAGCCTTAATTTGCTGAAAAATTTGAGTATTCGCCGGAAAAGCACCCACACATCGCTAAAAATCCTCGATTTTGAGAAAAAACGTTGTTCAAAATTGCAATTTGCAGAAGCTCAGCCTCAGCTTGTTCTTAATTTGTTCTTAACTTAACTTAACTTAACTTAACTTAATTTGTTCTTGACCAGTTTTGAAGCTCGTGTTCTTATAAAATTGTTCTTATAAAAAAAAGAGTGTATTTGTATTTGTTACTTTCAAGCTTCCGAAGGTAGTTTTAAGGATACTGAGAAGCAATGCTTATCGAGCAGTCCCTGGTTCTTCCTCTAGATGTGAAAAGAACATTCTAGAAAAATAATATAGAACATAGAAAGTTGCTCGTTTTCTCTAAGATTGTTTCTTATGACAGGGCAATGGACTTGATCATACATGCTGGAAACAACCTATCGTTCCTCATTGCAAAATCCGACCAGAAGACTATTGAAAAGATACTGTCATCGCAATGCTGATGATTGCCATGTTGCTGAACCGAGGGGCTTATTCTGTTATCTGAATCCGATAAACTCCGTCTAGTCACTTATGCATAGATGAAAGTTCGAAACACAAACCAAATGTTATGAGCACCCTATAGTAAACTTTATTTTCTCAATTTCTTGTGGATTTTATTGTATCAAGAATTGCACATATTGATTTCTATCAGAATCCTCCACATTTTTTGGTGGTAGTCACAAATTTGAGAAGAATTGTAATATATTTATTATATTGTTAAAAGGTTAATGATTATTGTTGATCATATGTTAGTCTCAAAACACGATTCAACGTATACGAATAAAGTGGCTTCTGCTATGTAGGTAAATGTATTTAAATTTGCAGCTAGAAGTACAGTAGTTAATAAAATTTTCAGTTTTATAAATTCTGCATTTTGCTCGGTTCTGTTTTTGATCTTTTAGTTGATTTCTAACCAGCAAAGGAATCTTCAAATATGGGTTACTTATCTCCATACTAGACATTTTGCTCTCTAAAAACATAGCCACGCATGATTTTGTGTCTCCCCTAGATTTTTCTAGACTTTCCCTCCGTGTATTCCCTCCGTATATAATCGTTTCCTATTCATACCCCGCAGTTAAATTTCCTTGCCTCGTCTTTCCACAAAGCCTCGCCCCTAAAAGACTTCAGATCCTAGATGCAGGGCAACAATTCGAGAGCCAACGAAGTACCGAGTAAGACCGTCTCAGAAAGGCTGCAACACAAGTAGTTTATGGCTACAAATTCAATAAAGAGGGCACTTGACATGCTCATGTCGTAACTAAAAGGCTAGAATCTAGATTTTTAAGCCCAACAGCACAACTGCTGTGTCATAAAAATGCTTCAGCCTTGTTATTCTGCAAAATGTGTGTATACTTTTTAGTTTGTATAAGTATAATAATGTGATCGACAGATAAAATAAACTTCGATAATTTAGCTTTTATGAATTGTCAGTAGAAAAATTGCCGTTGTTTATATATTTCTAAGAAATTGTAAGAATAAACATTTGATATTTTGGTTTTATTTTATGAATGATTCAATGGCACATTTTAGCTGTAATGTTATTTTACCCGATAATAGTTCTTTTGATAAAGATCTTCTATCTTTTGCATTTTCACTCTTCAAGCAAGCTCGATGGGACGCTTATTTTGTTACCTTTAGATACATGAATAAGTCATGAAATGATTGACGTTTTTAAAGTACATGCACTAGATTGGTTTTAAAATAAATTCACAATTTCATTAAAAATGGCTTTGAAAAAAGGAAACATGCGAAAGCTCTTCGTCTGACACTCTTTAGAATATAAAATACCAGAACATGGTTCAAAAACTCCAAACTAGAAAATATATGTATACCCAGTTGTGGATCAAAATAGGCCAATCAGGAACGCGAGAACGTGACTGTTGAGGTTGTCCAATCAGTGCCATTTTCCAAAATGTTTTTTTCTTTCATAGACATTTTTAATTTTTGTAATACAAAAAGAATGTTTGGAAATTTTATCAATTGTAGATCATAGAATATTTAAGATTCAAAACATTTAAGACATTTAAAATTTATCTTGTAGTGAAAAATGAAAAAAGTTCATACCACGCATAATTGTGGATGATTTTCTTACAGTGATTATATAGAAATCAGAAAAAGCCCATTTTGAAAAAAATAATTATGGTAAATTGTTGTCACAACCTACTACAGATTTTAACAGCCCTAGCTCCAATGACAAATGTTAGGTCGAGTGAATTCGGGAGATTAATCCTCGTGGCTCCTCCTTTTTTAGTTGCAATCTCGGACATTACCATACTTTGCGACTAGGAAGCAACACTAATGGGATCATTGCAGTGAAAGCAGGGGTCACCTTTTCTTGTCCTGGTTTCGAATAGGACAAATGTCATCTCAAGCAAGCATTTGCTTTAGGTGAGAAGCAAACATGGAGCTTGCCATTGGCTCATTGTGTAAAGGCCATTTTTGCCGACACTTTCCTCGATGGCTTTGGCCTGCCATAAAAAACACTTGGAAATTGTCAGAGTGGGAGGGGGTGCAGTTTTAAAGTGTTTATATATAAGAGCTGGTAAGAAAAAACATTAAATCTTTGGATCCTTTCTTTAACTTAATGATATTAGATGGAGTGCAATATTTTGTTTAATTAAGTCTCGGACCCAATTCATACTAAAGGAAAAATGTGTCAATTTTCACCTGGTTGTTTATTGGCAATTTTAGCCCCTTTATCAGGGTTTGATTTAAAAATTTTTGGGTGTTACCTTTGTAAGTTTTGATGACCACACCTATCGAACTAACTGTATGGGAAATTATCTAATGACACCAGCTCTCATCCAAGCCTTTCAAGATATTTCAACCTGGAAAAGTGGCCTAGGTTTTAAAAAGTTTTCAAGAACAAAGATTTCATAGACGAAGATGGAGAACAAAACAAACTAGATAGCTGATAGCTTCTAGATACTGGAGTCGATAAAATTTAAAATCATTGTTACTGTTATGTTCTTGTTTTTAATATTGTAATGCTCTTTTATAACCTTTATTTAACCACTAGTAAATGCTGTGATTTACTTTTGCACTACCAAGTCTCTTTTTTAGTTCCATCACTTCACAAAATTTGAGCTTATCGCTGCTCAATTGTGATTTTTCACTGCACAGATTGGTTATCACTGCACGTTGAAATAAACTCTTCCATTAAAAAATTATTTGGCCTTGAACTGAAGTATAGTTTGGTTAATGCCCATGATCTTTGAAAACATGCCTTATTATTAGGAAAATTTATAACTTTAATTTATCATGAAAATTGAAGATTTTTGTGCGAGGCTAAAGATTTTAAGAAATCTTTGCTGACGACGCACTTTGTTTTTGTTATTCATGTGCACAATGCCATTTTTCCATAACGATACTAGAAGAGCAATTAATTAGTGATCTTTATTGACATCATAATTGACAGCTCAACTAAGGCAACTAGTGACACGAGGGATCGTGCGATTTACAAATAATCTTCTTGGGTATCAACATATTTGTAATTTCTTCAACTCAATAAAATCCAATGAATCAATAATTTCTGTTTTTATCTTTCCTTCTCTTTGTAAACTATTTTACCAAGTTTCATTGTCTTCTTCATTTAGAAATACATTTGAAAACCACTCTTGTTGGACAGAATTCGATGGGAAGTTCGATTAATCTTTATGCAATTGAAATTGAATGTAAAAATCGCAAGCAGTTTTACTTCTTGTTTGTTTGTTTGTTTGTTTTTTTTGCATTGGCTTAATATGCATCAGGTAATATAGGGCACCAAGAGGTTTTGAAGGCACCAGGGTAAAATGAAATATTTTGCCAAACACACCCTTCAGATTGATTTAAAATACATATTAGGATTTTTCCTTGCAGCCATTTTCTTGTATTACCCTAAAACTTTTTACTGTTTTGAAGGCATATCTTCTGAAACGTTTGATTGAATACATTCTGAGAATGGAATTCATTACATTAAGAGGCCCCCTAGACAGTGAGTTCCTTGGGCAATTTGAGGGGTTTGTGAAAGATGCGTTGGCTGCTGCTTCTAGAACTACCTACCAGTTTTATCAATGCGCAGTTTTCCAGTTTATCACTGCACCTTAAATTGGGTCTGTCTGTGAGTCTAAGAAGACTGCGTTTTTGTTGAAATTTTGATAAGCGTCTCATTTGTGCAGGTTTTGTGGTTTACCGAAATTCCATCAAATCATTGTCAATTATTTTGATATCAGTTGTTAACTTAATATCTTGCTTTGCATGTAAGAGATTAACAATGAAAAAACTCTGAGTCTACGTTCTTTCTATATGCATTTATTAGGCACTGCGAGAACTATAAATATTTCTAGACACCGAAAGCAGTCTTCGCTACATAAAATAATTTGAAAGCAACACCAAGAGGTAAATGATTAGTACAGAGTTCTTACCTTTCACAGACATCGCATTTGCAGCATGCAGACACTTGATGCAATGCGCTTCTACACAATTCATTTTGAAATCAAAATCGTTCTTTCTCCAGCCATTTTAGTAAATGCCGAAGGCACCTAGGCAGAAGAATTATGTTGAGTGAATCTTAAACTAAAGTGGCCAGGCCAGTCCTATTCAGTCGGTTTCTGTACATTCGACCACGTGTAAATATCAAGCTTACGCGATTCCCTAAAGGTCTATGCATGCATATAATGCCTCGTGTGGTATGTTTATCACTTTCCCAAAAGGGTTGTATACAAAATGAGCGCGCAATAAAATCTCCTGAGGATAGTTTGGTCGTCATAAAATTTCACTTCTGCAAATTTCACTTATCTTATCATACTTGGATGAGAAATACAATGCCTGCATAAAATCTTGGAACACCAACAACATGTCTCCCTTCTGCCCTTTCACATAACGCTGGATTTCAAACATACCCTAAATTATAAAAAGTAGAATCGCTGAGGTGTATTTCTAGCTTGCTCGTATTTCTAACATAACCAAGCCATTCGGGATATGGAGATTCTTCGTCGGTGGTCGTTAAAACCCAGTATCTTGTGAAAAAACGTTTTTAGAAGCCACAAAAAATAACAGAGCAAAGATTTTCAAGTACAGCAATTTCATTTAAAAACAATATTTACATTCAACTAACCATGTAATAAACTTATTTAAAAGATTTACAAGTGATATTTGCAACACTAACCTCCAAGCAATCTTCTTTATATTTGTTACACTAAACTTTACGTATCGTATCATAGATAACTGCGAAAATTCTTGATGCAACTTTGTGAGCTTATAGAGTTTAAATAAACTGAAACCCTGAAGTTTCTTCCCCAAGGCTATGTATCAAGTTTTTATTGGCTTGTCCGACCAACACTAAATCAATAAAGGCATCAATGAATCAATAAAACAATCAATAACAGTTAACTGTTTGTTTAAATGTTTGATCTTCTGAATTATGATTTTAGAAATTTTAGGTAAACTCAAAGAGCAACACGTCTATACAACTGTTGCAAATATCAGCAAGTCAAATATAACCTAAGAAAATATTTCGAAAATATAACTCTACATTAAGACTAAACAAACACATAATTAGGAGCAACGTTCAACAACATCCACACACAAACAAACAAACAAATACACACACATACGCGAGTATGGCAGACACTGTCATAAATCGCAACACAGAGTAAACGTCACAAATCTACACACTGAGCAGTAGAGCAACACCAGCCAAGGTCCATCTTGCTGGATTCTCTTTTGTCTTCAAGAAAAAGTTCCACACATAAGTTGGACCACGCTGGCGCGTCTTATAAACTGGGCATTCGTAGACATTTCTGAAGTCTTGTTTGTCAACGGGTATAGCTCGTATTGCCATGACTGGCATGGCGGGTGTCAGTTCTTTCAATCTGGATTCGGCAATCATGCCTGTCTGCGTATCCCATCTAGCACCTTCCATAAACAGCCCGTGAATATAGGCCCCTTCTCGTGGAGGTCCATTGAAGTCTTCCTTTTGCTTCTTGGTGACGTCAACTTGCAACGTCATCCGATCTAGTGGCCATTCGTTCTTTCTCGCCATTGACTGTTCGATAGCTGTTAAAAATGACTGTGGGTTGAAGAGTCCAGCCAGCCAAACAACATTGGGAAGGTTGAAATCAGATGTCCATTGCTCGAGCTCTTTGATTCGCTGGAGCAAATCAACAAACCACGCTGCGAGGCCTTGCATTGATGGGTAAGCCAGTCGAGTCCAGGACTCTGGAACCTGATCCAAGAACAGTGCGTTGGACAAGTCTTCCATTGCTGTGCTTATTGTCAATTCACCCTGGATGGAAAGGAAAAGAGTGTAAAATACAGACGCATGCGTTGAAAGTCAAATGATGCATAAAGAATATTATTTACTTATCATTTGTTCATAAAGCAAAATATGGACTTTCGAGAATTATAGTAAGCAAAAAATATGCAAGCCCTTGTTGAAAAGCTGATATATTTCTCTGTTATTTTCAAAATGCGGAAACATAAATTACATCTAACATAAAAAAGTGATCAAAGACAAAACAATTGTTGATGCTTCAATTTAGCTTACCTTCAATCCAAGATCAAGTTCTTTCAAAGAAATCTTCATTTCATTAGTCAATGAATTCATTCGATCACATTCTTGCAAAGCGACCACGGTGTATGGGGTTCTGTCTTCTGCTTTGGCCATCAATTCTGCCATGTTGAATTCTTCTGGTAATTTTTCCAGAAATTCGTCCAGAACTTGCTTCACCTGTGTTGACGAAAATTATTAGCGATGAAAATGAAAATAAACAAAGAACATTTTCATACTGTTATGTTATTACATTGATATTGTTTATTGAAATTTAATGAAATTTATTGAAATCAAATAAACAAGAAAATACCTAGGCAGGTGATTGAAATAAAAAGAGCTTGAAAGGACAAAAAGAAAGAAATCTTGTAAAAGAAACCATTGCTACAAAGACGCAAAATTTGAGTATCCACCAAAGGGAAGACATTATTTTAGAATTTCTAAACAAATATGAATTCATATAGACAACAATTGTTTCGAAAAGATGAGCGGTCAGCTTCATAAATTGTTCAACTCTTAATTCGCGTCTCAAACATGCTGACCGTCTCAACAACGAACAGGTAGCAATTACCTTCTCCTCCCGAGTCTGACCACCACTGCCCATTCCACCGGAATCTCTTGGCTGCAGCTCAAGAATTGTCTTGAAAAGATTTTCTGATGTTGCTGTGAGGAAACCGATCTCTGCGTTTGGATGCAACCCATACAAATATGGGCTCTCAGGTGGAAGAGCGTCGTCAATGTATTGATGATACCCTTTATAATCCATATTTGGAGGAATTGGGAAACCAGGACAGAGATTAAGTTCACCATCCAACTGCAAAACAAATTCACATGTTAGTTGCGACTTGGGGAATGGGGAGGAAAATCAGCAAAGCAGAAGGGTCACATGTTTGAAAATTAAAAAATAGCTAACTATTTTAAAGAAAATGGATGAAGGCGACAAAAAGCAATTGCATATTGTGCTTTGTTCTGAAACAGATAAAAAGGGCAGAAAATATTGACACGGTTATCTCCAACTGATACAAATGCAAACTTTCATAATCCTTGACGCATGCATACACACCCCTTGAAACAACGAGAAATGCCTTATAGCATGTGCCAAAATAGAATACGATTTCCTGTTAAAAAATGTGGGCAAGTTTCCTTGTGAGACGTTATAATGTGATTTCTAATCAAACTGTTAAAATGAGCCTATTTCTGGAAACTTAAATACTGCGTGCTTGGTGAGACAGGAGATTAAATGCAACCATAGTAGAGCTTAGTGGCATACCATTTCCGGCTTCATGTACTCTTCCAGATATGTCTTGCATAGTCTACGGTCCCAGTCATCTGTGATGTGCCCACCATACATGATTTCTCCAAACAGATACCGGAGATCAGTCCATGGCACCTGCAAATTTAAGTAAGCAGCGATTAGAAACATAGTTCAACACTGCGAAACAGATAGAGCTTTTCAATAGGCAAGTAACATCTGACGATTTGCCTCTTGTGTATACAGTGAGCCATTATATTCACATAAATAGACAATTTTCATTAAAAGAACGGAAAAATGGGCTCGGATTTTATCGTGTGGAAATCTTCAAAAGGCAACAGCAAAGATCTTTCGAAGCCAAAATAGAATGCAGTCTTTAATTACCTTAGAGTTGGCTTCAAGATAATTGTAAAGGACATTGACACTGATGGTAAGATCTCCAGTGTTGAACGGATAGCCTCTGTTCCATCCTTGTGGGCCAAATTTGCGTCGCTCAGCAACAACAGCATGGAAGTAGCAGAGGGCAAACAAGATGCTCTTGAACTCGTTTTCACGAGAACACATCTCAAGGGTTTCCTGTTGAAAACATTTAGAAAATGATTCAGCAATATAATAGCAATAGGCTATTAAAACTATCGAGCGTTTAACACATTAAAGGCATAAATTAACAGAAGGAGAAACCACATATGTCAGAAGTACAACTAAATCCGTAGTCAAGGGTATTAGATTTGGAATGAGCTGATGTGCTGGTACTAAAAAGGTCGTTTGGATAGTGTAAGAGAACACGAAATTATCGTAGATTCATGCATTTGACCTGCAAAACTGATATTGATAATAAATAATATCAATGTCTATGACCGTGTCTATTGCGTGTTTTGTTGGAAAATAGATTGCCTCGAATAGGTAATTTTTCCTTCATTCGGAAAAGAGAAAATTCTCCTGCAAATATTCGCTTCAGCACAACGTTACCACAAAGATACTCCTCTACTTCTTCAGAGAGATAATAAATACGCAAATACTAGAAAAAACCTTTGGACAATAAGTTGCTTGACGAGAGAAGGAAATCCCTGCCCAGACTCACCTGACTGAAATTATCCAGCGATTTGTGCAGATTTGCGTGCATGCCGGTTGGAGGTTCGTTCGTAATTTTAATCGAAATCTCGAGGATGCCTTGTGGGATGATGTGTCCGGCCGGAGTGGGAGCTGGCTCTGCAGACATGAACACGCGATAGTTCTCGTTACTTCCAAGCGTGTATGTCTCGAGCTTTTTGTCAAGAGTGGGCAGCCATTTTTTGACAAGATGGATGTTCTACAAGAATTGTGTTCCATGATATTATTCGCGACTTTTTTTAAAAAAAATCATCAATTGAAAATACATCAATGAGAACTATTGAAGTGAAAGTTGTGATGATTACACAAATGCTGATAAATATTGAATCATCGGGAAAACAGTGTACTTAACTAGTAAAATCCAACGTTTGGAAAGCGTTTAATAAGTATTTAGAGTTAACAACGCACCTGTAAGACCACCCAGTGACCCTCGTGAGCTGCAAGTTCTAGTGCTTGTTCTGCAACGATCTCTTGCCCCTATGATAGAGTTATCAAATTAAGCTACATTTAAATACATAAACATTTCTTAGATTCCTTTTAATTAAATTCTCATGCACAATCATCGTTGAAAATCGTGTTTATAAAGCCATCCCTTACCATTATTTAAAAGTAAAGCTATGTGTCTTTGAGTTTTGAAAACCATATGCATAATTTGGTATCTACTTTCATTCTGCTGCAATATATTATCACAATTAAAATTTCAATTACTGTCTCATCCTCTTATGTCTAAAGGCTGTTCAAATTGGAAGTCAGAACACTGAAAAGTTCTTTACCTGTCCAAGCGACACATTATGAAGGTTCTTGTTATCTGTGGTAAAGCCAAGCTTTTTGCCAAGGGCCTCGACATCCTTAAGGGGTCTACTCCAGGCGATAGAATAAAGAAGATGGGTGTTCCAGGACCGCTCTCCTCAAACGATTTGGCAAATTCAATTGAACGTCCTTCAACATACTTGGTACCGAGCTTTTCTTCCACGAAGTTTCTACGAAATGGAGAGAAGAAGTAAAGACAAATTAAATGATGAGTAAAAATCGTAGACCTTGTACACAACTCAGAATTGGATTAACTAAAATAAAAGAATGGGTAAAAATAATGGATTCATGTGGTTATAGATATGGTCGAGAACCGTCACATAGCAGAAAACTGCTGTCAAGTAGTAGAAAAACAAGAAGTTATAATTGGACATAATCTAAGTCATCTAGCACTTTGCAGCATTTCGAGTCCATGGAAACCACATTAAGAGACTTATTTTTTCGTAAAAAACAAAACCTTGGTATTATTCATGATAGTTTACTAAACAGCTAATACATAATCCTTAAATAAAAATTATCAGTGGATTATATATTAGGTTTTACATTATGTTCCTTATTGAAATATATAGGTAAAAACATTTTTCAAGTAACATTCACTTTAAAACTTTGTCAATCTGTACAGATAATTTTGAATAAATTGTATGTGTGCTGCTTAAATCAGTAACACAACTCACTTCACTGCATAAGTCATACGGTCTGGCCTAAGAGCACGAAGCATGCACAGCTTCTGAAGCGAAGACTTGTTTTTCCATTCCTGAGGGAACTTCTCCTTTTCAGGGCATTCACTCTCAACAAACTTTTTCCATCGTTTGGCAGAACCTTCAATATCTCGATCAAGATTTCTGAATTCTTCCATTGCGCTTAAAGCCTATAACAAAAGAAAAAGTAAAAAGAATCGACGACGAAGCACTAATCTTTTTACAAAAAACCGGAGCAATGTATTTAGCTAGCTTCATTTGCACCAAAATATTAATGATAATTAAGTTTGCTTTCTAGGCGAACTTGTTTCTTTATTCTTTGTGGCTATTTGCTTTTCACTTGTCAGTAAACAGACAAAGAGTTGAAAATGGCTTTGAAAAAAGCAAACATTTGAGTAAACTAAAGTTTTTCGTCTCACATTCTTCAGAGTTACTGGGTATATATATTTCCCAGCGTAAAGTTTTCGATCTATGTTCTGACATTTTAAACTCAAATATTTGTTTTTTCAAAGCAATTCTCATGCTTTCTACCACCAACAGATTGTAGACAAAGAGTTAGTAAATAATTTGAATAACATTTGTTGGATACAGTTCAATTAAGGTTTGTTAAATTGAACAATAGTTTATCAAATCAAAATCCTGTTAAATCCTGTTTTGTGTATGACTTGGAATTTTAGATGAAAAAGAATTAAACGGATCTAATGGAAACATTCATTGTTTACTAGAAAATCTTTTTTGCTGGGCAGATTTTCAACACTTCAAGCATAAAAATATGATCAGAATAATTGCCAATAGAAGTAGAATAGAAGTAACTTGTGCATTGAACTCAAAATCTATTCCATGATTCTACCCTCCATTCTTAAGTGCAATCATAACGTAAGGGCTTGGCAATCATAACTTTATAAAGGATAGATTATTTCTTACCTTGATGCCTCCCCAGCATAAGTTTGATAAGAAATCAACTGGACTGGAGTGGTTCATCACAACAGGGAAACGCAGCAAAAACTCTAGTTCGACAGGGTTGATTTCCTTTTTCATTAGCAAGATCTAGAGTAACAGATAAAGGATTAAAAAATTGGCTTCCAACATACCATGTATTGAACACTCGAAACAGAATATGAAAATAATTACTGAAGGACGAACTGTCAATACAAACCTGGAATGCAACTTGTGCAGTGAAGATGAGTTTGTCTTTCTCGAACAACCCTCGCGTTGTGTAGATGAAAACTGAGAAGGTTACGCAGTCGATCAGATTTGATACACGCTGTACAACTTCTGTGGCAGGCTCGGCCTTTTCAATGGCCTTCTCAAATACGACGCTAAAAGCCTGAAATTTAGAAACACGAAGTGATATTAAAGAACAAGATAAATAAATTGCAAATGGGGCTAACAAAATCAATCCCAAAGGATAAAAGTGTCACTTCTTAAACTTATAGACTTCTCCTTGAGTTCTTTCACTGATAATAAAGTTTTGCGTAACCAAATGTATCTTTAATATAGAATTTTGGCCAAACTGCTTTAACAAAACTTCCCTTTTGTGACCTATTTGTCTAGACTTTAGACTTGTGTAGAAAACTGACAAGTACCTTGAGCGAGAACTGGTAGATTGGATTGATTTTATTCAAGTCGTTCAAAATAAAGTATAGAAGCGAGGCTCGGGCCGCAGCTGGTCTGTAGGCTTCTCTGGCTTCATTGATTTTCACTTCTGTTAGTTTTGCCTCTTTTGCTTTAACCTCGATCTCAGCAGCCGTTCTCTTAGTAGTTTCAAGGTTCTCCACCAGCGCGTAGTCTCCTAAGAAATTTCCTCCTGCGGCTGAAAGACGTGACAACAAGGAATCCTCGAGCTCCTTCAAGGTGATCGTGAACTGGTTTTGTTGCTGGGTAAGTTGGGCCTTAAAAGGGGAAAATAACAGGTAAAACGATCTTGCTATCAGTTAATGTTAACTATTTGACATGCAAAACCTTAAGTGGCAAAACCAAATTTGCGAACTGGCGAAAAACAACCAACCTTGGTTTCCTCTAGATCTGGTCTCTCTTTTGCAACGACATTGGCAAGCAGTTGGTCCTCAAGACCCTCACGAGTGACAGTAAAGTTGATCAATGTAGTTTGTGCTTGCATCTCAGGTTTGTAATGTGGATTTGCAAGTTTGGTCTGCAAGATCAGTCTGAAATTCGGGTGGTACTCGACTTCTTTATCACCAATCTTGATGCATCTGCAAAAACCATCAGAATGTAAGCCCAAGTCCAAAATTACAATACACACGTTTTTAGTCCGTGAATTTTTACCTTTACTGCGTTTACTGTGAAGTAGCTGAATATACTTAAATAAACAGGTGAATACTGACCTTCCTTTCTTGATTGTGTTACGACCAATAATCGGGTCCAGGACAGGATCAAGAGATTCTCCGATGTTCTCAATCAAAACACAGTCACCGTTACTCACAGCACGTTCAATTTGGTCAAGGTACCTAGAAGAAAGCAAAATGTATATGCATACAGCAAAAGACGCATAGTGATGTTGCATTGGAGTAGTCAATAGAAACCTTAAGCATTAACCTGAGGTAATTTACATCCCTGTCAAGTATGATCAGCAAAGCAACATCAATTTAACAATTCTATGAAGTATTGGTCGTAAAACGTTCACCATTCTCGATATCTTGAAAACAACATATCAAACTATGCCCAACAAATCAGTTTGTAGCTACAAAACTAATAACTAACTGTTTTACACCATCTTTTCATAAATATTTAGTTATGCCACTAAAATTCAAAGAAAGTACCCTTTGGCTCCTAGTTTGACAACATTAAGATCTTCTCCCTCCTTTGTTTTGATCCACTTGATTCCTTGGAGTTGCGGATCAATCATCAGCGGCCATCTTTCTGCATTGACGAGGATTGTCGCGTTTTCAGTTGACATTCGGTCACTTGGCAGATTTTCGTTGTTCCACTGCGCAACAGTAGCATTGTCAGTCAGCAGACTAAGGACATCTAAATTTTCTGTGATTGGTATAGGAACCTGTATAGAAGTAAGATAGCTCTGATAACCATTGGGTCCTGTGCTGTTTACGATATATCAATATTGGTGCACTGACCATTGACTGAAATCTATTAATGCCATATACAGTAACAGTAGGATATATCCATGTCCCTCCATAGAAAATATCAGTCACTATGTATAATGCTGATGTGGTTAATCAAATACAAAAGCCAGACGCTTTTTATTCTGGTATTGCCTCAAAAGATAAAAAATAAATAATAACAATAATAACAAAAATAGCTAAATTAATACGATAAAACTTCAAAGATTTAGAATTGCGATTATTGATGTTTGTCACGTAGAAAGAAAACGGCTTTCAAGCATTCGTATTTTTAAACGCCTTTCCCTTGAAAGACCGTGATGCTACTAGCATAGTAATAATTCTGCTGGAGATTTTGCTCACTTAGGCAAGACTTTTACATAAGCAAGTATTCTAGTTTGCATGTTTTAGCTTACAATTAAATGAAATGAATCAATGCGGCTCAAGCAAGGGATGGCAAATCAAGAAGAATTTTGTTTGACAGTTAGCACCTTGAGACTGGTCAGATAAGGTAGCCATTTCTGTTGCAGCAAGTCCTCTCGATATCTTTTAGAGAAGCTACCGACATATGATATAAATGCTGATGTTAGCAACACGTCTCCTGGAAGCGTCTTTGCCTGCTCCTTGAACTTCTCAACCGATTCTGCCCAACGAACGTTTTCGGATGCCAGACCACCAACTAGCCTGTTTGCAAGGTTGATCGTTTTTGTTGTTGTGTCAGCCTCTTCCTGACATCTTAGCTTTTCTGCAGTGGCTCTCTCAAATGAGGCTGTTAACTCTGCTAAACTGTCGTCTAATTCCTGCAAACCAAGATTACAGTAGATAAATAAATCTAAGAAAAGATGAACGTTGGGTCACTGTTAAGAGATGGTAATTGCTTCCTGTAAAATAAAATTTTTGAACAAAGGTTTCAGGTGTTTAGATGTTATAGTCGAACAAATCCTAGCTCTGCTTCAAAAACATCACTTTAGAAGCACCCCAGTTTTGCATCCGTGCTTCTTTTTTTACGTTGTTGTGTCAACTTATTCATATATAACCAGTTTTAATGGCATTAATTCCTTGTTAGACATCGTTGAGTTGATCTAGAAACTTCGAGCATGGGTATTTCTATACTATTGCCTATTAAATAACATTTAAACACAGAGCTTCAAAGCAAATAATTACATACCAATAGAAAAGGGAAGACCAATGGCGAATACTCTGATGACACAAGTGTCCGTTACAAAATGGTTCTACTGTATTAATACTACTTTACAGTTACTAGAGAGTAAAACATGAATCTTTTGGCGACCATACCTTTATTTTTGCCTTGATCTTTGATAGTTTGTCTTCAGCAGCAGCAAGCTCGGCATTTGCTTGTGCAAGAGAAATACGCTTAGGCTCAACATCACAGTACACGTGAAAGAACCTGATAACGTTAATTGTCCATGCGCAAAGACCTCCAGCTGCAAGGGACTTGCTTTTCACAAGATCAGAGTCAAACTCTGGGTTGTCCACGTACACTTGCACTGCTTTGAGGTTTGACTCGTGGATATTTTCCTTATCGTAGTTAAGAAGCTGTTCCAGGAAAGCGTCAACCTGTATTTAAAATATTATAAGTACACACTATTTGCTACAATCATGTTATTGTGTGTAAGAACATACAAATTTACGCGACCTCAAGGGCAATACAAATCATTGCATATCTGACCTCTATCAGTTCAGGACGACACCCTCGTTTGGGGAGTTTGGAATATAAAGCCAGCCATGGCAAATAAACATAATCTTTGTGAGAGAAAGGGGAGTTTAGATTTATCTGAAAAAATTCAGCGAAGACCAAAATAGACAACAGGTTTTCTGGCATACAAAAATAAAAAACTACCACCGTTAAAAATCGTATGTGATGTAATCAGAGAAACGTACATTGGATTAATGGGATTAGTGGAGTTTATCGCACATCGGTTATCTCACCTTGTTCATCATGACTTTAGCAGCTTTCCAGCTTTTATCTTTGGGTATTTTATTCGGCTGGGCTAACAGGCACATGACAGCTGAGGTAACGTTAACAACCGCAGCTGGAGGGGCACCAAAAGACTTCAGCTCAGTCAAATTATTTTTATTCAACGTGTTCAAAGCCTCTTGTGCAGCGATGAGGGCAGGTTCTGCTTTAGCCAGATCATCTTCACAAGACTTTTGTTTTTCCGAAACGTCCTTCGCAATAACAGCAACCTTCTTCTCCTCGTTATCTGCAAATTCCTTCTCTTTGCTCACTTTCTCTGTTTCTATTCCTACTTTCTGAATAAGCTTGTCTGCATCCTCGTTCTTCTGCTGCAGCTCGACTTCCTGTGCGGCTAGCTTGGCCTTTAAGTCATCAACCTGAAGGTGGTAAACCCAATTAATGAGCTGTGTTTCATATAACACTACATTAGATGACATTAAAACCAAGCACAAAAACAAATAATTACTAAAGACCTTTTGCCGGCTACTTACTTGAGATGCAGTACTCTGCAGTTTGGTTAAACCATTTTCCAGACGTTCCATACTCTGCTGGAGCTCTTTGCTTTTGCGTTTCACAAGATTTTGATATAACTTGATCTGTAATCAAAATCGAAGCTTAGTTAAGAACAAAGTAAAATAAGAACTGAAGGAAACCTTAAGGCATCCGAGACGGCAAATTACAGAGCGTTGCTACAGACAAACAATGCTTACATGCAAATAACAAATGCAGTTTTAGATGAATTGACAGTCTATATTTTGGCTCAATACGAATCTAAGGTAAGAAGGATATCACTGGGTCCGAAATAGGAGAAAAACGTTTTAGGTTGATAAACTTTGCAAATGAATACATAGGCAGGAGTATGTTTGAGCTTGCAATAAGCATGTTTACCTGTTCAAGAAAACTTTTGGGTGTTGTATAGTTGTATCTTCGTTCGTTCATCAAATAAAGCTGGCTCATATCATTGACACTGGTATGAACAAAGGCCATAAACTGAGCAACAGATTGCTTTTGGTCCAACTGAAATGAAAGAAATAAGTAAAAAATTTACCTATAAAACTAAAATTTTGACTTAAAAGATTTCGATCGTACAAATCATCTTCGGTCTGGTGTAAAAAAATGCAGGATTTTGCGAGAAAAGTAAGAAAAAACAATATATAATAGCTGGAAAATTAAAATTTAATAGCTGGGAAATTAAATTTAATAGCTGGAAAATTAAATCTAATAGCTGGAAAATTAAATTTAATAGCTGGAAAATTAAATTCAATAGCTGGAAAATTAAATTTAAAAGCTGGAAAATTAAATAGCTTGAAAGATACAATGCTTTATGTTGTATTGTCAGACGCGTAGAATAAGATAGTTTGAATTTTCAAGAAAAAACAAAATTTGCGCGAAGTCTCGATAAAATTTGGCAGAGTCATAAATAATTATGCAGTGATTCACCATAGATTAATAAAGCTCAGCTCTTAATAACTTTATCGATGCGGCCACCTTGATCTGGCTTTAAACTCAAATGTGATTTGCAAATGAATTACAATTACCAGCGACTTAATAATTGGAAAACAGATCGAGAGTTTAGAAGGCAAATCGGCAACATGAACCTACAGGCACTTGTTCTGTTTCCTGCAAAAATCGCTTGCTTACTGACACAAGAGCTTCTTCTGGCCATTCATGGAACCAGTCGATGGCCGTGCAGTTAGTAATTGCAGGGAATTTACGACTTCTAACGCGCAAGGTGCTTCCAACAGGAGAGAAACAGAGAACAACCTATAAAAAAGACATTGTAAAGATGACTTCAAAACTGGACAAGAAATTCCTTTGATAAGCATTGGTAACTATCCTCGGTATTCGTTGCATTTGAGCTCGTCGACATCAAATGTTATGCGAATACGTCGTTGTAGGTTGCTAATATGCTACGTATATACAGCCAAAGACAGGTAGATAATTCACGAGAATCTAAAAAACCCCATATTTTTTTATTCTGCAAGTACTTTTGCGTTAGCATTGACACAGTGTTTTCATTTTATTTTCATTTTGGATTTGAGGAAGATTATGTTTTGTTGCCATCTAATAAACAATGCACCATAGCGAACTTTCATTTCAAAACAAGGCTTTTAAAAATAACCGTTCTGTTTTTAAAGAAATATCTTACAAAATTTCTATACTACTCCGATGCTTCCAACAAAGCTTAATTGGTGCAAAGCCCTTTTATTGTCATGTTTGAAAAAGTCCATTCTGAATTTTTTTGCAAATGAGCAATACAAGATTGTTTCTCTCACCTTAAGTTGTCTTCTGACTCTCTCAATAAAGAACTTCCAACAATTTTCCCTGGTATCCTGTAATCCAGCTCCCTTCACTTCGTTTCGCAAGCTAGCAATAATATTTTCAACCTCATCGTCTGGGAACAACCCTGGAATCTCGCCAGATGCCAGAAGATCGTTAATCAAGACCAGGAACTGCTCATCCGGCACTTGGGCATCAGTAAGCAAGAAAACTGTTCCAATGTTTTTCAGTCCAGCTTTCGTAGAAAGCATTGCCAAATCAAGCTGCCAGAGAGAAGAATCATGATTTCATAATAGGGTAAATATCACCAGTGGAGGAAACACTTCTCTAACATGTGAAATATATCGTTGAATAATAGTTTTTGAAATAGAGACATGCAGTAGCCTGGTTTTCATGACCATACATAAAGAAGGTTGTTAAACTATGTGACCTTGGCTGGCCAACAAAGCCTTCTATAAAACAAAAGACGGAATCAAAGAGAAAACAGAGTAAGAACCTTAAGAGCAGCAAATGTTCTATGCAGTTAACTATTAGTGAGTTTTTACCTTCAAATCTGCAACTCCATATCCCTTTCTCAAGGTGATCTGGAAGACTTCTAGCGCACTAATGTAAGCAGCAAGCCTTGCCAAGCTTTGTTTACCACTTCCTCCAACACCGACTAACAGTGCATTTCCTCTGGGTGATTCCAATATACGATTTATGCGACATCTATAGAGGGAAAGAAGGCGCGTGGCAAATGAGATGTGATCTTATCAAACGATGCAAACGTAATCTAACCTATTAAAATCTTTTAAGAAGAACTAAAGCAATTCGACATTATATTTTCCACGGGAGAGATAGGATTATACTTTAGCTGAACAAAATTGCCAATCAACTAGCAATGTTTTTAGCCATTTGAAAACCAATTCTGTTTCACGTCCCATTGGTGTAACAATTTTTAGCTATAGAACGCAAAGAGACATGTAGAAACTTACACATGAGCCATAGCATCTTCGAAGAGAACTAGATTCATTGCTGCATTGACTTCATTGTAACTATCAAGGGCTTCGGTCAATATCTTGTTGAGGTTTTCCCAGGACGGACAAGAGAGGTATTTTGGTTCACCGACGCCGGATGAGAAATGAGAGTACAACAAAGGTTTGGCATTCAATGCCTCTTCTTCAATATCCTGCAAGATAAAAGCAGCTACATTGGTCTTACTGGTCACGAACGCAATATCAGATTGCATCTCTTATCCCAGATATGCAATGTAACATGCAGCTTTCGGTTACTCATCGCAAAAGAACATACAAAAAAGAACAAACTTTTACTTGAGCGTACAGAGAGCTTCTAAAGGGCAAAATTTAAAAGAGCACTGAATAAGCATAACTGAGTAACTAAAACGCAAACCCTAAATTTGTTTTAAGATACGCTTTTTCATTAGTGCTCAAATGATTTCGAAAACAAATGTAACTGTTAGAAATTATGCCATTCGGCTTTTTGAAAGATTTGCTTAACTGTTGAAACAACTTTGATTTGTCTTAAAATGAGAGAGGTTAAAGCTGGCGTACCTCGAAGAACTTTCTGTTGAAGTCCAGCTGAATTTTATCAAAGTGCTCCATATCTTTTTCATCAAGGAGCTTGTCCTTATAGACACGGTTGCATTCATGATTCCAGAGTCTCACCAGATCCATTGGAGACTTCAGCGAATCGGGAGTTGAGAACAGCAGCCCCTTTGGTGAAAAATTAATCAACGTTGGGCAATGAATTTTATTCTATCAACGATAGGTAATGAATTTTTATCAACGTTGGCAAAGGATAATAGAAAAGTGGAAATAAGTGGGAAACACAGTGAAATAAGAAAATTCATCTAATCATCTGATACTCATGAATATATGTAAAGGATAAAAGGATTTATATTTATCTAAAAGGTAAAGTAAATGACTTTTAAAATATTTAACAAAGAAACTATAATGCAATTTCATGTACTACTTGAAGTATTTATGACTCAGAAGGAATTGTAAATTCTTTTGAAAGACAAGTATACTTTTACGAAATTCTGACATACTTGGAAGATGTTTGAAAGGTCTCGCAGGTTGAAAATGTAATGGAACTTAATAGCTGTTGGCAGGAAGGAACTTGTAATCTAGAAAGGAAAAGGTGAATCAATTCAAAGCACGGATAAATTACATAAAATTATCATAGCATGTGACGTAAATACTAGTAAGAAACCGGAAAATATACTCTAAATTGTGTACAATTTCTGAGTTGTGAGATCAAGCCAATACATACAGTACTGGGCTCTATAGGTCACTGGTAAGCCTCTCAGAGAAAACTGGTATGATGAAGAGGCCAAAATTTTCATCGTTATTAGTATGATTCAATCTAGAGAGTTGAAAGACACTTTATAAGGTGCTAAAAATATCAATAAACAGAGAAAAGAAGTATTTCGATCGAAATACCTTTGAGTTCAATGCAATTGCAGCTTCGGTAAGTCTTTCAGCAGTCTTAACAACAGATCCAGCGATGCTTTGAGATGCCAAATGTCCAGTGAGAATGCTTTGATAAATGGTCTTAAGAGCATCGACACCAGGAAAACTCAGTGCAAACACACAGAAGTGGCGCTGCAAGGAAATGTCATTGGCTTGATTCAAAATGCTTGCGAGCAAAAGCAAGATTCAGAGGCTATTGGTATGATATAAATGAGAATAAAAACGTGTATAGAGGGAATCTGAAATTACCAATCTTATAAAGAACAAGGCAAGGAAAATGCTTTGTGAAAATGATTAATTATTCAAGAGGTCTTTTCGTTAAAGGCAAAATGCATCTTTCTGAGAAAAATGAATAGCGGATGTTTTCATCAAAATTAGTAAAAATTAGTTAAAAACTATACAGTATTTCAATACGAGTGTAACCTTTCACATAAGCATGGAATAATCGAAATTTGAAGTCGATAAAAAATTCAACGTTAATGATATGAGCAGTAAATTACAAGAACAATTATAAATTGAAAACAGTTGGTAATTGCTAAAACAATCTCTGCTGAAAAGCTGACAAATATTTTTAAAAGGCTGGTACGACAAATTTGGGAGATTTCGCTTGAAATTGGCAGTTGGAAAGCTGGAAACAAACGGGTACAGACCTGCAAACGAGGATTGATTGTAAAACTTCCAGCTGTGGGATTCATGCAGGACACATACTGACAGTTGTGCACGTCTCTCAAAGACAATTTGTGACGATCATACCAGTGGCTGTAGTCTAAATGCTGACGAATCAGGGTATGTGGCTGTACTGTTCCATAAGTGTCCACCTGAGATGTAAAACTTACTTTGAAATATAAAGAACCTGTTTCAAAATGGCCCAAATATCAAAATAGCTTGAGTTAGATACCAGGGAACTATTGCAGGCAACAAAGAATAGATCGGACAGTAAAGAAGAAAAAGGAAACAGATACTAAGAAAGAAAAGAATGAATAAGGAATTTAAAGCTATCTTGCTCTTGGTTATGTGGACCTACCATATAATGTGATGGGAGAATGTTGATATTACCATTTAAAATACTTATCGTACGAAGAGAGTGATAAAGGGCTTTTCGTGAAATGTGTCTTGGAATGGGAAAAGGCTATATCTTTAAATAGAACATAATATCTAAATTGTTTTCTATTTATTCGTGATTCTTGCCCCTCTCCTTAACCAGCTTCTGCAGGTATAACAGTGTTACCGTTAACAAACCAAAATATGCGGTTTAATAACAATTATTATGTCGAATAAGATACAAACAAAAAACTAGAACAGAAACTCTACCTCTGGCATGTTCATATCATCAATGAAGTAGATAAGTCGCTTTGTTCCGGGTGGTCCGTAATTTCGACCAGCTTTCTTTTCAAGTGGTTTCTCAAGAACAGATTGCAACATGGCTGAGGTGGTGTAATAGTTGAATGGTACATTTGCCACCATCATGACATCTGGATCAAGAGAAGCAAACTTGTCTCCGACGAGAACCGTTTTGCCAACACCAGCATTGCCAACTAACATTACAGGTCTTCGGGTCTCCATCAACAAGTCGATGAAGTAGCGAACGCGAACGGTCTCTGACGTATGCACTAATACAGCCTTTATATAACAGAAAGATACAAAGGTTAATCAAATGTAAGGGGATTTCTTCCTAAAGGCCTCTCTTTTAAAGCAGAAATACTAGTGTAGCTTAGGCAATTTCAGCATTAGCTTAGGCACGTTACAGGTTTGTTATACAAATCTGGAGTTTGGATAACTAGGTTAAGGTACAACACACCAGTCACAGAAACAACATACAGAAAGATAAATTTTTTTAGGATAATCAATGTTAAATTTTGTGATTATTGATACGGTAGATTATTAATAAGGTCACATCGTATAACAGAAAAATAAGTAGTTTCAGTTATACTAAATCTCGAAATAGTGAAAAAAAATCTCAATCCTCAAAACATTCTCAAGCACTCTATTCGTGCTTAAAAATTGGGACAACAAAAAGAAAAGCAAAATATTCATCTTACCTGAAGAGGCATTTCTGGATCATGTTCGAATTTAGGAACCCTCTCTGTCCACGGAGCAAATTTGTGAGTCTCACTGTCAATGGCGTAATCAAAAACAGTACCAGCGGATGGGAATTTGATCGTTTTGAATTCAGTTACCCACCATTTTGAAAATTCTGTTCGGTAATCTACAAGCTGTAAGAAAGGATCAAGTTTTCATAACCAGAAACAACCTTATCATTTTAGGACAGATAATATGATATAAATGACTGACAGTTTTGCTTTTTTAATAGGAAAAAGTATCAAAAATACTTTCACGGACGGGCTTTTAATGTTATCACAATTTCGAAAAAAACACATCTTTTACGTACATATCTAATAGTAAATCATGTTTTGATGATAAAATAGACAACACATGCCCCAAGTTATACAATAATCACATACATTATCTTTCAAGAAACTGGAAAGCACAAGCAAAAAAATAACGGTAGAATGCCTACTGGATGGTAGAGAGTTAACACCATGAATCCACCCGATGGACAAGCAGAAAAGTTGATAACGCGTTAACTCAACTCTTTAATAGTCGTCAAAACTGTAGTTAAAAATCTTTGGTTTTCGTTTACAGGAGGAGCAGAATAGCAGGAGAATTGCAGGACTGAATGGTCCTGAAGGAATTAACTAAAACTGACCTACTTAGCAAAATAATGTGCTAAAATTTAAATAACGTGGGAGTCTGAGCCAATAGGAAGGTAGGCATGGCAAGAGGGAAAAGAACTCGAACCTGGTCCTGGAACATGCTTCCGCCAAAAGCCCACACGGCAGCAAAAACAAAGTAGAGCTCATAGAGCTCTTTGTTACAGTCAGGTGGCGTGTTCTGTGGAGTGAGGAGGCACTCAAGCAAATAGCACAGTGTTTGCACCATGCTTATGTCTGCAATGGGCGTGATTTTCTTGAAGCGTACACGTAGTGTGTCCAGGCATGCAGGCACGTATTTATCAAAAAGAATTTGCAGGTTGGCTTTCTCTGATTGCACTTCTCTTGTATCGATCCAACTTTGTACGTATCTATTTGAAAAAGATTTTGAAGTCAAAAAACCTGATTTTATAATTTGGTACCTGTTGAGACCATTTGAGTACTGTTTGCCGAAGAAATCATTTGTAAACCGAGGATATCATTTGAGTACAGTTTTCTGGAGTTGACATCTATTTCTTTATATAGCTAAATACGTGAAAGGCATGAAGTAAAAAGTTTACTAGCTTACATTTACGAGTTTATACTTGCCATTTAATTCAAGTATAATACTAGTCAAACTATTATATAAACATTAGAACAATGAGCATCAGTGGTTAGCAACACGATTGACGTAGGCATCGTCGATCATAGGACTTGGATTACACGTATCAGCGAGTCCTTATTTTCGTACCTCAGATCTCTGATCGAAGCAGTATCATAATTTCTTATTCCTACTAAAAACGTTTGGACGGCACCGAACTCGAACTTTACTTACGGATTCCATCCAACATCAGCATAGTTGAGGAAAAGAATTCCTGCTCGAGATACAGTGGCTGGAGTAGCTGTCTTCAAATGTCCAATTTCAAACAAAAGCCTCATTGATGGGGTGAGAGGCACACGCTCATTGCTTGCAAGAGTGAGCACCTATAAGAGGCGAGAAAATGGAAATCAATGCCAAGGTAGGAATAGGGTATCTGTACAACAGTAAATAAAGAAAGTACTGGGTAGTGCTATGTCTATAAGCAGAAGAGGAAATCGAGATATAACGTCTGAGACAGTTACATCAATAGCTGATTCGTGAGCAACTCGATAATACAATGCGAGACATATAATGGGAAACAGTGGGTTACCTTGTTATCATCCATAACAGTGTTCAAAGATTCGATCCACATCGGATCAATGTCTCCATCAAGAACAATCCACTTTGGATTATCGTTGTTAATGTTAGCAAGATCACGCATAATATTTGAAAACAGTCCTGGCATGAAAAATGGAAGTATCTATTAAACAAAATTCAAACAGAGGTTTCACATTCATCCATGCGGGATAGTACTTTAAAAGAAGAATAAAAGAGTAATAAAAATAGATTGAAATATGTCAAAACCCAGTTACTGTAGAGGAGAACCGTTCCTTGGTAATAAGTTGTAACAACAAATACACTGGTCAATCATTTCAATTTCAAATCAATTTGTTAAGGGAACTTTTAACAGTTTAAGACATTGTAATCTCAAGTAAAACAAGAACGTATCAGAAACAACAAAGTAGTTTCAGCTTCTAAGATTATAAATTGAACAAAAAAATGTTTGACTTTCATAGAAAGAGATACCAGTTCAAACACTGAAAGAGGATTTTGAATACAGATAGAAAAAATTGTACCGTCTCTCCACTCTCTTGTAGATGGATTGATAAACCCAAATAGCTCATCATTGGTTACTGCTTTGGGGTTGATGTCATGCAAGTAGGGCTTCTTCTTCATGTTGAAATAAGCCTTGTTCAATGTCTTGATAACCTAGCACATTGAAAGGAAGGTGATTAAATAAGGATGATATATGCAAAAGAGCAGAGAAGGAGCTAGCACCCAAAATGCAATAGGATCAGGTCACAAACTATGACAGAGACTTCAACTTTATCCAATAACATTATCGTCGAATTCTTAACTAAGGTACTGGTTCCTTATAAATAACACTAGGCTAGGAAAAATAGAGAGTGCACTTACTTGTGTCTTGCCTGTGCCAGGTGCTCCAATAACAAAGACAGAATGCCTCACTTCAAGCAACTCTTGCAATTGAACGACTTTCAAAACAAAACTATCCTCCGGCTGGAGTTTCAAATCCTAGAAGATAGAATTCGTTGTAATAACAAGTGCAATTCGCCAATGAGCAATTGTTTAACAAGCTAATAATTATAACCTGTAAAATAATAAGTAAGTTTGATAGAGCATTTCATACTGAATACAAATGCTTAGAATCAAGTACGACTTACTAAAGCAGACTTCTTGACAGTTGCTTCGAAGTCAAGATCACGTTTTCTTGGCACATCCATTGCAGGGAAGAGGTCGCCGATCAAACCCATGAAAACAGGTAAATCATCAGTGACAATTTTTGGAATGTTGAAGTCACGAAGTGCTCGCATCAAGACTTGCTCCTCCGGGCGGTTTCTGTCACTTCTTTTAAGTGAGCCAGCAACAACAAGAACAGATTTTATAGCACGCAGACCCCAATCGTAATGATCCTGGAGAATAACAGAACAAGCTCACTCGTAAATGAAAACTAGCATCTAAGAAATATATATACAGTACACGATAATGGCTCTCAAAGGGAGAAGAAGGACTAATGAGTGATGTAGTAACTTACTTGACGTTACCGGATAAATTTATAAATACATGCATATTTTTAACATTCATATAACTGGTAGACGGAGCATAAACAAAGGCAATATAAGTGTAGATAGTTTGCCGTCTAACAATCCTTGTGAAACAGTAGGATGTAAGGATGTAGGGAAAACGATGCACTTGATACAAGTAATCTTTCCAAAAATCGTAGCTGCCAGAAATTTAAATTAGCAAGCTGCACTCTGATTCTTCCTACCTGTTTCGACAAGAGCTCCTTGCACAGGGTATAGAGAGTGATGAACTTTCGAGCGAGAAGCCTAGCTTCAACGAAACCTTCAGCGACCAACATAATTTCGCAAATGAGCTCAAAGTCTGGAACAACCATTGCACAAGGCCTAGTAAAAAATACAGAGAGACCTTAAAAAACATTTCCCCGTCAGCTAATGTGTAGCAACGTTGAAAAAATGCGTTGTGAAAAAAATCCATTGTGTAGCCAACTATAATGAAGATATTAATATCGAACAGGTAAATTTTGCCATTGAATGTAATCAGAGTCACAAGTATATATACAGAACTGTTTTCTTGATATATATCTTGAGTCAAATGTTATGCTAATAATTTCAATATCGTACTTTGGAACGAAACTCTAAAAGATTAAACAGAGCACTCTTTGATTGATGTTATAATCTTAACACATAATTTTGGACATACATGATGGGCAAAGAGAAACAGTCGAGAATTACCTTATAAAAACAATACGTATTTGCATGTGAACATAAAATTCATCAAATAGGAAAACTTTTATTGTAAAAATCATTTATGAAGCTAACCTGAACAAAGACTTCAGGTTCTCTGGTAGCTCGGTTCTTCCAGCATAACCCGGGTTCATCGTGATGAAAATTCCAACAGTTGGAATGATGGAGATTTCAACACCCTGGAAAATGAACCTGCTTTTCTTGTCGCGTATAGCATCTTGTACTGACTTGACCTGTACGGCTATCACAGACAGCACTTCAATTGATATTCTGTTAAATTCATCAAAACAACCCCACGCTCCTGTTTGCGCTAATCCTTTGTAGATGTTTCCACAACTCTAATTGTGAAGAGAAAACAATAAATTACAAAAGACAAAACTTCACATGCCAAATAGACAAAATACTTCGAAGAAAATTCCAAAAACTTTTTGAATATTGAAACAAGAGAAATATAACATACAGTGGACAAGTCTAAAGCTTTTATGGAAAATTGAATTTGCTTTCAAAAAGCGGGTGTTTAGAGATAGAGATCTAGAGGAAATTGAACACCCTATAATACCGAATAAATCAAGGGTAGCGATCTGGCTCCATAAGTTTAGATAGTTAGTGCACCTTGAAATTCTACATATTTTTGAATAAGGAGGCTTAACTCGTAAGATCCATACTTGAAAGAACGAGGGTTAGAATTTGGACAGTGATTGAGCCTAACCTTGTAATCCATCTGTTCAGAGCAGTTGAAGACGTATACCATAATTCCCAAGGCTCTCCCAAGATCCTTTGTTGTCTCTGTTTTGCCAGTACCAGCTGGTCCTGCCGGAGCTCCACTCATTGTCAAGTGAAGCGACTGTGTGAGTGTTATGTAGCATCTGTGGAACACAAAATAAGTTGATAGTTAAAAACTGGCCAATAAAAACAATTTGAAGAGTAAAGAAATATGTTCACCCTTTATAAAGCAAGTAAGCCACACTTTCGAAACTTCACTGTCATATGCATGATTAATGTACTGTATTTTGGGACAGCAGTCAAAATTCATTTGATTTCAAGGAACAATCTCTTGAATTTTCCATCCAGAACGTCAACTATATTTAAAAACAGAATTTCTAAGACTTTTGTAAACAATTTCATTATCCATCAATCAGTTCTAAAGCAAACTCAAATTCATTTAGATTGTCTCTACGTGATTTTAAAAAGCTGTTTCATTAAGGAAGGAAGGTTTTAATACTTAAAGGAGAAACGAAGAAACGCAACAGGAGTGATGAGAGTACAACAGAGATGAGGAGTAAGTCTGTAAAATAAAAATCACCTGTCAGTCAAAGGAGTGATGACAAGGCGAGGTGTATTCCCCAAGTACTCGTATGAATACTTGAACTGGGCATCACATATATTGGCAAAACACTCAGCCTGGTTGTCATCCCACCGATGTCTGAGCTGGCTCAGCCACAAAAACGCCTGAGCATTCTCAACCTTCTGCGATATTAGTTTAGCAACCACATCACGGGCATGCACATCAATTGTGCAGATGGTCATGATTTTTTGTCGGTCTCCTTTCGAAAGATCACCAATCAGCATGTTGATGAGAGCTGTTAGTTGCAGAATCTAGACAAAGAAGAGAACACAAAGCATGGTTAGGAATGGAACGAAATCTTCCAAAGGTAAACTTTTTACTGGATAGCAAAGATTTGTTTTTTTACAAATGCACCAGTAAATTAGCAAAAACACTTATGAGACTGTTAACAGTCTGTTACTTAAACATGTCAACATCTGGATAAATCTAAAAGTCCCCTAACAATAACTTCATTTGCAACAGTTTATAATTAGGCTGCACTATAAAGGAAGGTTTAGCAATCAACAGTCTCACAAAGCAGATATTGTACCTGTTTTCTATTGTATTCCTTTAGAGCACTCTCGTACCCCTCTTCAAGTCGATTGAAGGCAATGTTGACTTCTGTTGTCCACCAAATTTGTGTTCCGCACAGTGCAACCTACAACGTAGATATATAAAGTAAGTAAGCATTTAAAGGAAACAAACCTTTGCGAAACTCCCCCCGGCAGCTAAGACAGACACACTTGGAGATGCGACAATTGAAAATAGGATAGGATTTCAATAGCAGAAATCAAACATACCTGGGCAGGAAAGTCAAATAGCCATTGGTCCCTTGGTTTCTCTTCATACGAAACAACTGCTTCGGACAGCTCGTGTCTGATAGTGCTTCGCATTGTATCAAGAACTCTGTTTAGCCAGACCTCAACCTGAGAAGAGCAGTATTAAATATACTTAATAATAGGTGCTTGCTGAACAATAGCAAGGTATCTAGACTGGAAGGCCACAAGATTACGTCTAAAAACAGTTTTGCTAAAATAGTGTAAACATGAAAATATTTGTATGCTTGGAATAACAATGAAAAATTGCTTTATTCTTTCAGGCGACCAGATACTTCAAGTTTGAATGTTGAAGCCAGAATCATGGCACGCCTTCGAAAATCAAACAACGCTTGGGAAATCAAGAATCGTAAGCACAAACCATCCTTGACAAAAGTGGATCTCGATGGTTCAATTAAATGTAATGCGAGTTGTAATGAATCTCTCACCTGACCATTGCAATCACACGCCTGATCAAAAGCCACATACTCTCCTTCCTTACTGAACATTCCAATTGCTTCCTTTGTTGGCGTTCCATCTTCTCCGTCGGTGAATTTCAAATTTGCCACATTGTCAAAGAGTTTTGCCATATGACGGCATACCTGGGGTTGAGCGAAGAACCAGATTTAACGTGACTTAGAGAACATAAAATGACACATAGAATCGTTGATTGAAAAATTTGGGCCTTTTCACGGATTTACATTATATATATATCCAAAAGAGGGAAAGGGAGAGAGAGATATCCTCCTATTGATAGCCAAGATCGACTTAGCAATCAGTCAAGTATTAACAGCAACAACGGCGAAATACTGTCCAAAAGATAGTAAGTGATGGATACAAAAACCAAAATACTGCTCTCCTCTCATACTTCTCCAACCACAACCAAACCTTTACCTGAGTATCTGTCACCAGTAGAACCCTAAGGTAACGCATGCAACTCCTCTAGTATGTCACCATGCAAAAGTTTAAAGCGAAAGACAAATTACCTCAACTGGTTGGTTTCCTTTGGAAAGGATATCAAGCAGATCTGCTGCAGACACGAAATAGAAACGTGGAAATGCGAGCCGCTTTGTTTCCAAATACTCGGCCAATGCTTTCTCACACAATGCCAGTCTGAAAGGATAAGACCCCACACATATCTACAATCGCATTACAGAAACCAAAAATCAATTTAAAATAACAACAGGATTTTTTCAGGTGTAAAAAGAGTGTCATATAAAATTTAAATCGATTGCTTTCCTTGGGCACTCTTTGGCATATAATTTCCTACAAATTTCTGAAATTGGAAACCTAACTTCAGAGGTTAAGACAACACTGTGATGCAAGGATAAAGAATAAAAAAGAATTGTACTTTCAAATGTCTTCTTTTGCATAATTCGGTGTCACAAAATACAAGCTCTGATGATTCTAACGAGTTAAAGAAAATAAAAGATTTAAAGCCGAGAGTGTCAGATTGACACAGTATACCTCTGAAAAAAATTTACAATAGTACAAAGAAACTATACCTCTTTTGTATGTCTTCTAATTCTTCATAAAGACCAGGCTTGCTGCAGCAAACTACGACATTTGGTGTCTTTTCGGCTTCACCCATCAGGGCCTGTTAAGATGGAAATCAAACAAAGCTATAAATGACAGCTACAGATACAGCAGTGATCGATAAACAAATATTTGGTTGTGTTATGTCACGAAAAGGTAAACCTAAGTATCAAGCAGTGGAGATACAAATTCATTGATGTGAATGTTTGAAGGAAAATTGGAAACTCTTAAAAAGATGACTTTGTGCAATATTTTGATCTCCTATTGTAAGCACAGCTATGGGTTCATTTTGAGATAAAAGTTTGAAACATGTCTTTCTGCATTTATTGATCTTTATGAGAACTTAAAATCAGAGAATCATTATAATTAGCTGTGCAAGAAGGTTTAACGATAAAAAACATGAATTATGCAAGTGCAGCAAGCAAGAGAATTCCTTTTAAATAAGACAAATGAATCAATATGTACGTTTAGGACAGACCTTGAAATCAGAGTCGATTCCATCGAATCTTGCAGAATCCTCGGGCAATTGGTTGCGAATGTCTTCTGATCCGATAAAAATACTTTCCAAATGTGACCAAGTTCTTTGCACTTCAAGCCAGATTCCAATGACTGAGTCAGCAGTTGATAATTTCTTTTGCCAAGAAGAAACCTCTTCGAGGAAATGTGCAATGTATTTTGATGTGATCAGGTTTTGCAGTTGGACCTGTGTACAAAAATAAAAGTTTACACCGTAACGAAAATAAACATTATTTATGTAGACCACGGAGTAATGTGTGAATTGACTTAATCAACAATCCAAGAAAAGAAAGGAAACCTGCGTAACGGTGAGTAAAAGTAAGTTACTGCCCTTGTAATAAGGTTTCCTTTATTCGAAGGATACTTGTACAAAGCTCTGGTCGCAAGGAAGAAATTGTACCACAAACTTGATTGTTTTGTTGCATGGGGGTGTCTGTCATTGAAAGTATTCATTTACGGAAGGTTCGCCAGGCACAAGTTGCCTGATGATCGCATTAAGCGTGAAACTCAGAGTATCACATTGGAATGGTCTTGTTCTATAAACCAAATAGCGTAAATATGTAGCAGATGGCTGCTACGTCTTGCAATACTGAATTGCTGATTCTGATGAAATTCACCCGTACTGAAAGCCATACCTGGAATTCTCATATGTTCCAAAATGAGCCAATTTCGCATCATTGAAGAAAGCTTTTATAGAGTTGTTGAGTGGATATGAAATATGCAACCTACCTGGTTGTCTTCAAGTGTCTCAATCAACTCCTCATTTGCTTTGACCATCGGTGTTTTTGTGCCAAGATGTGGCTCATACTCAAATTCCATTGTCGACCAAGTGACATTCAATTCGTTGAGAACCTTTTCCATTCCAAGTTCCTTGGTTGCTTTGTCAACAATGTTCCTTACATCGTCTTCAAATTCGTGCAGATTAAGGGCTAGCAGGTCTGCCAGCGATGTTTCTTCGTTCATCAAGAAAGTTACCTAAGAAGGTCGATGGAAATGATGCAGTTATATGAATACATAAGAATAGAAGACAGAAGCAAGCAAACGGAACGGAGAGAACCATCTAAACATACTACATTTCCCGTTAAAGACCTACAATGCTAGACAGATGCTATTAAGATTCCGCCCCCCTCCCTTGTTTTAAGAGCTCGGTCAAAATTTAAAGCTTTGATAAAATTATCGAATTACCTTATTGACTAGGCTGAGAATTATCAAAAATATCTTACGTTTTCTGAGCTTACAGTAGCCATATAACATATAAGCTTCAACAACATAGACTGTTTTATCCCCCCTTCGGTTGGAAATATGATACCAAGTATTATCTATGGGAAACTGCGGGGTCTCTTGAAATCGTTGTTTCGCAATAAGAAGCAATGTATTGGTATTTCAACAAAACAGCTACAGCAAAAAGTGCAAGACAAACCTTGGTGGCAACCATAAGTTGTTCCCAATGCCTCTCTCTAATGGCAGGGTTCTGCAGTTCTCCCACTGCTCTTAAAGACGTGACCATGTTCTTCACAGTTGAATCAAGTCCTGTGAATGCATCCCAAGCTCGCATCTCCTTGTCGAGTGATCTGATGTCCTTGACGAATTTCTTGCACTCCATCTCCATAGTCTCGACATTGATATCCTTCCAAAGGGTCTTCTTCCAATCATCGATGCTTCCAACCACAAGATAGATCATATCCCAAAGTGCCTTAAGCATGCACACCTCTTTTCTGCACGCCTTCAGCTGCTTGTATTCTGGCATGTTCACCTCAAACAAACTTGCTGATTCCGCGATTTCGCCCATTTCTTTTTCCATCTTACGTATCTCTGAGTTCCACTGCAAAGAAAAGGAGAAAAACAAGATGCTAAAATTCAGTTAAATATAAGCACCTAAATTGTTATTCTTTTAAAATATGAATAGAGAAAAACTTCTCAGCTCAAAACTGGTCATTAATCTATTAATCAAGTTGTAGTTTTTTTCAGGAATTAACTACGTTAATCATTATTTACAATCATTAAAAGAATAAAGTTTTTGACATAATTAATGTTGAAAAAATAGACAACAAAAGCCTACCTTGTCGATGTTGGAGTATGGATTTTCAGAACTGAACATAAACGGAGCTGTCTTGCGGAATTCTTCTCTAAATTCGTGCTGCCTTACCTAAGAAAAAAATTATTTTTGTAAAAAAACGATCACGTAAACTTGAAAAAGCGTTGCAATACGTTTCGAAGTAGAAACTACAGGCAAAGAAAAATGATTTGGGATTTTACGTACATCAAAGCTGGCGCATTTTCGACGGATTATAGAAACCTCTGTTGCTTGCAGTGGGGCAACTTGTTGTTTGACTGTGACTGCTATCTTTTTCGTGTTGTTCCATTTCTCTGGCAATTCCTGCAAAATGAAAATTCAATAGAACTGTAGGCAAAGAAAAGATGCTCTGAAAATAAAGCTACAACTGTTGAATTAACCTGAGATGAGGCAACTTTTAAAGTGCAACAAAATTCAAGTTTTTAAAGATCTATTTAGAAATTTCACAGATGATTTATTGTTCAGTAGTTTATCAATTGTCAGGGTTTGAAATAATCAGATTCATTGCCAAGTTTAAAGTAGAAAACATGTGTCTAAGAAAGAAATTTTACTCGTGCAAAGGGTAACTAGTAAATTCCAAAACATTAAACATTGTGCAAGCCAAAGAAACATTTAGGACACGGAGAAGCTATGTTAATCGAGGAGTGTTCTGGTCCTTTCTCTCGACGTGACCACACCTCGTGATTCCTTTGCCTGGAATTACAGAGAGGTGGCGACTCTCCTCACTCTGGGTGAAAGTTAAGTCATGCCAGGGACTCGAACCACGGACTCTTGGGTCTGTAGTCAGCGCCTTTAGCAACTGAGCCATCCTCACACCTAAATTTGTACCATCTTCATAAAACAGCAGAAGAGAAAAACCTACTTGCAAAAGTGCATGGGTGTCTTCTGACATTTCTTGGTCATAGCTTTTCAGCAGTTCAATCGTGTGCTTGAGCGGTTCGAACATGGCATCAGTTGTGCTAGTTCGGTCTTTTACTGCCATTAAATGTCCCATGACGTCAACTAATCCATTGTAATCACCTTCTTCAACCTCTTTGGTCAAGCCAACATCAGTAACTTTGATGAATTCAGCAAGGTCGTTTAAGCTTAACAGAGAAACATAATACCAATTAGTACTGCAGTGCAAAATTCAATATCACTGACATCTTGATTTTCAGGTTCACAGGCTTGAAGCACCGGTCATAACATCGGAAATGAGGGTCAGAATAGTCATATTTACACTTTTGCTGTTTTAATATTGAATAAGATAAAAAAACTTTTAAGTCATCAAATTAGCAAAATGATCAAAAGGGTCTAAAGTTCAAGAATAGAAGATGCTTTGCTCGATAGATATATAACAGGGGTAATGTTCATATTATACCCGGTTGCTAGATATGTTAAGGATAAGAAGTAGAAAACAAATTAATTGCCAACTCTAGTTTTCATTTCATTAACCGTTTCTAAGGCAATAGCTAAAGTTGGGGTAGGACGACCTCTACAAAGCTTATGGATCAAAGGCCTTCAAAAGGATTCTAGCAAAAGGTATAAGAAAAAGTAAAAAATCAGGTTCATTACATCTGTCATATCCAAAGAGATTCAAACCACTTTTTTAGCAAAAGCCCGGGAGGGGGTTGCTAGGCCTCTGTATCCCCCAAAGGCAATTTAAGTTTTAGGAAATACAACATACCTGTTCGTCACATGATCGATCAAGTGTTGCTTGAACATAAAGCTCCATCTTTTCACTATATTCAGCAGTGCTTGCTTAAAAGGCTTGGCATCAACTCTAAACCAGTCGTCGAAAATCTTCAGCCCATCGATATCTTCAACTTCGGAGTAGATTTTCTCGTACGTATCGATCTAAGTCGAGAATACGTGCCATTATGGATTCTGCTATGATTTGTTATCTGTCATTGGCATTAAATAGGTACAAGTATTTGCAAGAATGATAGAGAAATGGTTCGTAATATGTCTGAAGAAACTCAAGTAACATGACTGTTTAGAATAACAAAGCAGTTAATAAGTTGCTACAGATCATTTGGACTTAAATAAGACTAGTCCATCGATAATAACAACAAATTCTGTGCCAAGTTACCTGTTCCTTGAATTGCTCCAGTGTAGGTGGGTTTTCTGGGACACCCTCATCAGCATGCATTTCAATTTCCTCAGCAGTCAAGACGTGATTGTAAAGCAAAAACTGTCTCATAAATTCCTGCCTGTCATCCACCCACAAGTATTCGTATGTGCTGAACGAGTTTCTGTATTCATTGACTTTGTTCATAATGCTACTGACTCTCTCCATCAGCTCTTGCTTTATATCAGACAGCTCGTACATTTCTTCCATATCAGGCTGCAAAGAAGATAAAGAAGATAATACAAGCCATGGTTGTTTTCATGGTTTAAGACTTCTTGTATCAATACTGAATCGTCAAAATCAGCAAGAATTAAGACTTTGGATATGTCGTAGCCTTAAGGGTACTATAAACTTCCTAGTTTGTATTGCTGCTCTCTTTAGCTAAAACCCTTCGTCGGTACGGGGATAAAACCACGGGAGAAGGATCTTTTAGTAAAACCTAAAACAAACAGTTTAGAAACCTAATTGCAGAAAATAAGCAGTAAGTCTAAATGGAATTTCCGAGTTGATTCTACGGAGGACTAGGCCGAATATTTCAATGAAATACTAAAATCGATGATCAAGCTGCTTTGCCATGTTTTTGTAGGTACTGAGTTTCTCTTGGCCATGAACATAGACTGTAATGAACATAGACTATGAACATGTACTGTAATCAGCTGTTACCTGGTAGTGTTCATGGCCATTATGAGCTGCAAGTCTCATAACAAGCGAAGATTGCTGATATACATCCACGATAATCCCGTCGATTAGGTCATAAAAGCCGTTTTGCACATTGTAGTCAAGGGATGGAACGAACACCATATCTGGGGCTTGAAGCTCAAGTCTCGCCTCAAACAGTGGGCATACTTGATTCTTTGAGTCAGTGTTGTCAAGGAGGTAGTTCAAACTGCAGCTTATGCAGTGGAAGAAGCCCTCAACCACCATGTCATCCAAATACTCAACGTACGCCTTCCAATGTTCAGATTCTTCGCTGCTTTTGAAACATGACACGTTATCAGCCACCAAAGAATGAATCTTTTCGCCTGCATCTTTAATGAGGTCGTATCTTCGCTTTTGATACTGATCTCTCTCCTTAAAGGCAAGTTAAATTTTCTCATATACATCTTTAAAGTAAACTAACCCTGGTGCAGTCGCTAGATAAATGTTATCAAACAAAATATAAGCTAAAGTTCAAGGTGAAATGTAGCAAGAGTGACTATACTTAGTGCGAGCAATCAGCTTAGGAAGTATTGAAATTTGCACACTGACTACGCGTTGCTGACAACTTATGATAAGAAGCTGGCAAAACATTACGCTTCTATACGACTACAAGAATTCTTCACCATTTTGCAATTTAAACTGCAATTTTTGATACATTATTGCATTAGCAATTGATACAACGAAAGCTTTGAAATAAAGAACTGAATTGAAGAATAGAGAATTGATTAGTTCATAACAATTGGGTCGAATTGAATTTTTCCAATTTTTTTGTAAGAGACAAATAAACTTGAACAGAAGTCATTCATTAAACGAGTGCTCGAAACGCCAAATTTACCTCAAGATTAAGCAAGAGTTCTTTCTTCCCATCTTTTCTTTCATACAATGGGGTCTCTGTCCACTTGTTCATGAGATTGTTCATAGATTCAACGTTGTTTTTAGCCTGTCTCACGCGCTTCTCCAAATCATATACCATGTCTCTGGTTTTCTCAATGTATTCCCAAACTCCTAATGAAAAACGACGATCATGCATAAAAAATCTCTCAAGGAATTAAGAAACAGTAACGAGATTTGGTTTTAACAGGGCTTGGGGTTTCAAAGGCAGGGTCAGATTCACAAACTGCAGAAAGAATGGAGAAAGGAGAACGGTAATCAAGTTGCTACACGTGAGACTCAGTGTAGGGACACAATCCAAAATTATGCATTTTAAATAGCATAGAAAACTTTCTGTTTAAAAGCTATAGATGAGAAAGTAAAGGATGCATGATTCATTGCTATTTGAATATGGTCTACATGGATTTTCGCAATACAGATGAAACCGAGCAATAAAATATCCGTTAGTCCACAGCTAGAGTAATCTTCATGCTTAATGGCTATTTAAACTTTATCTTTTAAATCATGCTTTACTACAAGATGAGCAACGCATGGTACGAAACAAAGGAAAAGTAAAATATACCTGACGAGTTCCATGTCAAGCTTTTCTCTGCTTGCTCTAGCTGTTGGTCGATCTCTTTCAACTGATTGTCGATTAACGGATATTCGACTTCGATTATTGTCTCTCTTATTTGGTTATACCAGGCGACAGTTAGATCCAAATTGGCGCAGTATTTGTGGAACTCCTCGTTGCGCGAATAAACAGTTTTTGCACTGTCGGGTATTGATTCCATCGATTCGCTGTCGGTAGTTTCCAAGTATTTAACCTCTCTTAGAATTGCAACAAGCTGCAAGGAAGGCATTAAGCAATTTAAAAACGAAAATCTAAGTTCCACGCACGAAAAAAATAAATCCTTTCTCTTACCCTGCTAATACAATACAATCTTAGCCTAAAGAAATTAGGAATAATATTTATGAAAATTTCTTCACACAATTTTCAAAATTACACCTAAGTGCCGAAAAGGCTTGTTGTAAGCCAAGTATTAATATGAGATAAAGATATGAGATATGAGTTAAAGGGACCGCTTTAAAAAAAATTTGCTGACCAATTATCGAGTGACAGTTGGTTAGGCTTGTCTAGTGATGAGCGTGAACCTCAACAACAGCGGTATAAATCCCTAAGATTGACCAGAGTTTGTGAGTTTTTCATTTATACAACAAGTGGTCTTGAAGTTTCTTATAACAAGAAAAGATCTGACGACTGCTCGATAAAATCAGCTTTTCAGTGTTCAAAAATCTACCTAATACTGCTAGGTAGAAAGAAACGGGGATATAAAACATTAGATCTTACCTGAGGATCAAAATTAACAGATATCAGCTGTGTATTAGGATCCCTTGATATGAGTGGTTTATCCAAGTTCGCTTGAGAAACATTGCTGACTCCGCCAGTCCATTGACTGTATATCTTATCTTCATACCTAAGATTAGATGTCAAAAAATGCACAAAATAATTCGAGGTTTCAACCGAACATCGTGTTTATGCATAAATGTATGTCCAGAAAGCTATCTATACGGCTAATAAATATATACCTTAAAGAACGTGTTTATAAAGAACGTAAATAAATGCAAGCATTTGATGAAAAATTTTAAAACTAACCTTGACAGCAAGTTGTTCATCTCATCATACTTAGTGAAGATGACTTTGGCCTCTTCCGAACCCAACGAGCTGTAAAATACGCGGTACATAAGCAATATAATTAACATATAATTATATGTCATAGTAATTATCATTTGTAATTAGCTTTGTAATTATATCATAACATTGGTATCAAGAATATAGAAACAAAGTTAGCAAAGGCCTGAATGTAAGCAGAACTTTAAATTCAGAAAGAAACCAAGCAAAAGGTGATAGCAGTTACTGATGGGAAATTTTTTGCTCATCAGCAAAATTGCAGACTAGCTCTGACCCATATTGGTCAGAGTTAGAAACACTACAGGTTACGTAGGGATCTTAAAAACATGAAAATCAAACCTTTGGCTGAAGGATAACTTCAAATTGAAGAGTGGAGCTTTAAGGCGATTACGTAGTTCTTGTGCCCATCGCAAAGCACCTGCAACCGATGGCATGTTCTTGTTGACAGGGCCTGAGCTTTTTTCATCTTCAACACCTGTGTGCTCATCAAAAATTTTCTTGACCTCATCAAGGTCTACTTCAATCATTCGCAGCAAGCAAGGATATCTTGATTTGAAGTCCTCGTGGATAAGAGGTCTCTCAAGCAAGGAGCCAAAAATATCTACCATCTACAACAAGCATAAAGTAATCCAATTAAATCAGGTTGGAGAAATGTAAAACATTGTTACAATATAAAATTGATTTAACAATATAAACATATTTTACTTATAAGTATTTCAACCTTGTTAGAAAATCTTTTAACTTGTTTTTCGAAAACAACGTTAACAAGCGTGTTTAATCTCATTGGTAAAGTTAAGTAGTCAAAATGATATAGTGTACAAGAGAGAGTGTACTCTACCAGAGATAACGCATATCTGACCAGACATGTAGCATACCTTGAAAGCTGATTCCACACCAGAGCAATCGTCGAAGGCTTGACAAATGATTGCAGCCAGTCTTCTGTCCAGATCGTTGATTTTCAATTTGAATTCAACATAATCTTCAACGAAAGCCTAGGAAAGAAAAATATAAACATTAGTTAAAAATATAACTTATACACAAAAAATATACAAGGAAAATGTGTTTTTCGTTAGTTTATCAGTTACTATCGAGGAAAGGACTGCGTCAGAATTAGCAACTCTGTTGCTGGAGAATTGTGTATTTTGTTGATCGTACTTTAGTCAACGTTGGATGGATAATTTACATGAAATCAAACTGTTTTATTCATGAGCCTGTAGCATACACCCTTGAAACAACTTCAATTACATCAATGAACTGCTTAATTACTGTGGCTTTGTTGATTTAAAGAGGTAAGTAAGTTAGCAGTGTAGCAATTCCTTTTTTGTCAGTTTTAGTATTTATTGTTGAGTGCAATCATTTAACTGAAAATCGCAAGATTCTGTCAAAAATTATCTGTGTGATGCTGTATGGTCACTTTTCTATTAAGAATATGCATATGAAAATATGCAACAGTAAAAAAATAAAGGGTGAAGAAATCAGGTCAAGCAGAAGATCCACACATAGGAGAAGTGAGGGTTAGAGAGATGCAAAAACAAAACAAACAGTGAAGCTTTGATAAAAATTAGCAAACCTTTTCAAGTGGGTTCAGTGTATCATAGGTCCTATTTGAAAACACAGCAACGGCCTCTGTGAATTCATCAAACACTTGCACGACATCATGACTCAATGCCTTTCCTTTGACACCACCAATCTCAACTTTTTCTAGCTTACTGAATTCTAGAGATGTCTCGAACAGGTCCTGGACGATTGAAAAATCAAACAAAATGAATGATAAGAAATATAAGCAGCTTAACAGTAGACAGCAAAAACAGTGTAACTTGTTGTCTAACGCTTCAAAACTTACTTTTAACAGATAATTAATATTCTTTGCAAATTTCTGACAGAAGTTATGAAATAGTGCTGTTGGTACCAAACGAGTGGCTTTGGAACAGTATTACTGCTTGGCAAGTTAAGTATCACAACATGCTTTCTTGGTAATACCTGCAAATTTCCAAGAATCGTTCTCTAAAACACAACTAGCTAAAAGGAAATTATGTCAACCTTAATGGAATCCAGCCAGTCAACAAAAATCTTCAAAATGTATTTGTTTTCATACTAATTTACTATTAATACTGAAGGGGCACTATAAAAAGATATAAATCGCAGATTACCACATAATGCACCTACCTCAACCAGTTCAACCCTTTTGATAAACTGATCAAACCTTGTGAAGACCAAATCATTTGAAAACTCCCACTTTTTCACAGGCTCATCATTCTTGAAAAATTTATCAATTGAGTTTCGAGTGTTCTCAAACTGTGCTTTATATTCACAAAGAACACCAAGGCAACATTTGATTTTCTCCATCGCTTCTTCTGGCTCGTTTTTGAATATCTCAAATGGATCCAAGTATGTCCTTGCCTATTATAAAGAAGAAGTAAGAAGTTTAAATAAGAAGGAGATAAGTTGCCAATGCTACTTTCCTCACAGGACACTCTCAGGAAAAAACACTAACAAGTTAAACTGCTTTTAGTTTTTAACTGCATAGTCTTCAATCCTTTTTTCAATTAAAAAAAACGCTCAAAAGCTAATGCATAACCAATTGGATTAACAAAATAATTCATTGGCCCATTCATTCAAATTAGAGAGAAAAAACTTGGGTGAGAAAATCCAATTTTTAACCTTGTCTCAGTACAGAAGCTGGATAGAGGTAGTGTGTTCCAATTTCACTCAATTCTAGGATTTTGGCTGTTATGGATAATTCTAAAAGTCACAATTTCAGTATATTACTTATATGTTATTACTATTCATTAACCTTACCAGTTCAATGAGAAAGTTTCCAATCTCTTGCAAGAGAACAATTATTCTTCCAGGATGGCGATAATATTTTGAGTTGCTCCATAGCAGGCCAATGACATGAAAGAGTGGTGCCATGAGGACTTTGATCTCAGGGAAATCTAGTTGCTCAAAATCTTCAAAGTGTTTTCTCAGTGGCTTCAAATGAGTGCTTATGTCATAAGCTTCATCTAGGGCTGTACAAGATAATACATCACATACAAAATGTTACATGTAAAAAATATACCCCAAAAAGGCCCTATATCATTGGTGGTGACTTACAAAAATTCAGAAAATTCTTCAAATCAAAATGTCTTATTTTGAGGTCTTTAGAAATGACTGATTCAGGCATGCAAGAAATGATAAAATAATTCCCGGCAATAAGCAGACCACTACCTCAAATTTTATCTCATCCAATTGACTGAACATTTTTGGGTTTGCAATGGATGAAGCAGATTCACTAGAATTTATGGTATATAAAAATCAAGCATGCTTTTTAATAGTAAATTAAACTGCACAGTAATAAATGCATGAAGCAAGGAATTATAGCCAAGCAACAACTTGAGAGTCAGTCAATCCCCCTTCATTTCCAAATGAATATGTGCCCATATATTTCCAATGTCAAGGATAATGTAACAGAGCAGTATTCACTGCCAGGCTTGCTGAATTTTCATAATTAAGTTATCTCTGATTACATAAACACCCCTACTTACCAGATACAACATCTTTGAACATTTTTTTGAATGCTGGAAAGTAACTACTTTGTGATTTTTCAAGAAGCAGTGCCATTTTTCTCACTTTTTTGTCTCGCAGCTGCAAAGAAAAAAGGCAATTACTGGCTATATTTAGTGAAATGATATTTCATACAATGTTCTGTGTCCAAGAACATTAAGCAACAAAAAATTGCAGTAGGTGAAATACAATTTTTTGAATAAGACATTTTGTGCAACAATGGAAAAGAAAATCCTAGTCAAATAATCCTTGGGAACTGCAGCCATTTAAGAAAGCATGGGAAAGCAAACACATAGCATACTGAATTACATTTTGTCTGACACCCTTTAAAGTACAAACATCTGACAATGATTAAAGGCTATCAAAAATTCATACCCAGACACAGATCAAAAGTAACATGAGAAAAATAATAGTGTGTTTGATGGTTTCCTTGTTTATCAACAATTGGTGATAAAGCATGCTGCCTTGCTCTCCTGTGCTACTTTCAAAGAATCTAATCATCTAAAATGGCAGTTATATATCTTTGAGGCACCACAGCACTATCTAAATGTGGAAACAATTTAGAATCAAAGATAACAAAATTATTGACAAAATACCTGCTGAAATATGCATTCAAGATTTGTTGCTCGAGCATTCCAGAAGTCAATCTCAACAAAAGGGATGGGATTCAATCCTTCCAAAAGTGGTTGAGCCGAATCTCTTTTCAGAACTGTCTGTATCTGATGGGCCCAGTCAATGATAACTGACTCAACAGCATGAAGTAAAGCTCTGTCTACAACCTCATCACTGAAATGCAAAACAATATGTACAGATCATTCCAATTCAAAAGAGACATTCTTGTATCCCATTGCCTCTGAATGGTTTTATATTTTGTGTAACTTTAATGTTATATTTTTGGGCAACACAAGAATGTGACAAAATTTCTGCATATGGTTTCTAAGAGGTATGGGGTTCCATTTTCACATTTCTGTGTCACTTTGACATGAAAAGGATTATATGCACCACATAATATAAAAATTAAAAGAAGAATAGGTGAACTTCAGAGACAATGAACTAGACATGCCCCCCTCACCCCCTAAGATTTTACAAGTGCCCTCTGAGGGAGAATAAGTGTCCCTTTAAGGTTAAAATTTTCAGTGTCAACTTTGCCAAAACACTGATGACTTAGACCATGACAGGTGCTCTCTAAAAAAGCTGTGTCCCCCCCCACTAGCGATGAATGCTTCATAAATCCATGGGGAACTTTCCAATATTCCCCGTTACAATGAGGCATAAAAAGGGGATTTAGATGCAATATATTTTTTTCATGTCATTCTTCTAAAGAAGAGTGACAAAAGACCAAATTCCATTTAAAGGCTTCTGCAAAAAGAATTTAGCAAATAGAATTTAGCAAATAGAATTTAGCAAATAGAATTTAGCAAACACCTTTTCAATATCGACCATACTCTGCAAACTGGAGTACAAAAAAATCCTCCAAAAATGCCCAAGAATTAGTTTGCAAAAATATAGTTCTGGGGCCTATTTTAGAAGGGGGCTTATTAAATTTTATAGTAAGTTTATGAAACTTTCCAGATCATTCATATAGACTTTTTTCAAAGGATGGGGCTTAATCAAGGATTTTTGGTTTTACTTTACAAATCAACCTCGTATACTAACCTTTTTTGGATATTTTCGATATTTGCAGCTTTTTCTGCTCCAACAGGCAACGGCAACAGTGTCCTTCCCTTGACTTGTCCAGATATCACAAAAACATTGTTTTTCAACTGATGGACATGTCTCATAATATCTTGAGAAACAACTGCTGGCCAGCTTTCATGATTTCTGCTATTAGATAGCAATGGTACCAAAATCTAGAAATTGAAAAACATTTTCATTATCAATAAGATTCGCAAGTATATACTCAATCATACACCTTCAAACAAACCAGGATTTTAACTGCTTAACATTCATCATTCTGAGTTGATATCTTTGATTCTGCATCTCGCTATCTGCAGACCTTTCTCAAAAATGGAATTCAGATTTGAAATCTTCGTCTTGAAATTAGTTTATACTGAGAACTTCATGTTGCTTGGACTGTTCAGACGTGAGTTATGTTTTTTTGAAAATGTAGATATTTCTTTAGATTTGACTAGAATTTGTTGCTGTAGTGAAAAAATTTTACTACAGCAACAAATTTCATTAAGATGCACAGTAATAAGGTAAATTTTGAAAATGGGGTAATTTGCTGCCTGACGGCATGAAATTTTTGGTACAGACTAATTTCAACAAGAAGATTCCAATTCTATGATCCATTTTTTGCAAATATGAAGATAAGAAATATCTTCAATGTTTTGTTTTTATACTGCTTGATCAGACATTGATCTATTTTACTTAGTTGTGTCTGAACATCAAACTTATAATTGCCTAAAACAGCAACTTTCGATTTTCAGATATTTTTGGCAAACGAACTCACCTCATCTACGAGTGCAGATAGTTGTTCTAAGGGTGCAGGAGAAAGATCCCCGTAAACAAGAGCTGTTTTGAAGTTGTCCTTCCCAATAGGCTCTCGTTTATCACGTTTAAGGAAATAGACTGATTTATTTTTGCTACTAGCTTGGAACTCATAAGTTGGTATCAAAGCACCTGCACTGTTCATAGATATTATCAACTGTGGGTTATCCTGCTTATCAAAAAACTCCAGCAGCATTTGTCTGTTTTCTTCGTTGTTTATTAACTTTGACCATTTGTCCGGCTTCAATTTAAACGTCTTGAGCACGTATTCGGATACGTAGTCGATTCTTGGATCTGCTACCTCCATTTTGCAGACTTTGGCCTAGGCGGCGTGATGCTGTACTGACGATTACATACACTTCCTTAAAACTGTTCTGTTAATATATCACTTTGCAAAATGTTGTTGTTTTTATCAAATGCAAGTGTCTTTCTTTTTGCAAAGTAACAATTTTCAGCACGAATCTAGTAAATCAATTGCAATGGTAACTGCCCGGTGAACCTTGGTTTTCCAGACGCGTATAGATATCCATGGTAACCGTCATCACTTACAACGCATTGTGGGATATCCCGTTCGATTTGGCGCCACCCAAGAAAACGAAAATTCGAATTTCGAAACCAAGAATACTTTCGAAAAGGCCCGGGAACCATCCGATGCAGGGCCTCCGACGGAGGAGGGGCCGGGGGGCCAATTGCCCCCTCATTTTTTTCCAAAGCAATAGAGCTTTTTTCAAAACCTTTTGTAATGATTGATAAATTCTATCTTGGCCCCCCCACTTTCCAACCTGCGTCGGAGCCCATGCGAAGCAAATGTCCTCTAGACCCTGGGGGGTACTCCTATTAAGGCCTGACAGGGGTGTCCAGTCAGGGTCAAAGAGTCAGCTTGTAGCTCATATTTCAATCAATCTTTAATTTTGAATGGCTGCTTGAAAAATTTAAATTATACACCCTTTTTTTATAAAAACCAGTAAATTTAAGTTCAGGCTGACTGTTCTAAATTTTTTCGAAAATCTGAGGGTGGATTGTTCTTAATTTGTTCTTAAATTAAGAGGGTGTAAGCAGTGCTATTGGTAGTTTTTTCGCTCTAAGGAGGTGTTCAGGCCTCATTTGCCAACAAAGTGAATGAGACAGCCTTAACTTGCTGACAAATTTGAATATTCACCGAAAAAGCACCCACACATCGCTGAAAATCCTCGATTTTGAGAAAAAACGTTGTTCAAAATTGCATTTTGCAAAAGCTCGGCCTCAGCTTGTTCCTAACTTTTAACCAGTTTTGAGGCTCGTGTTCTTATAAAATTGTTCTTATCAGGGGCGGATGCAGAAAGAAATCTGACATTCGCAAAGTTTCGACCACGCCTATATGACCACGCCCAAAAAAAATCAGTCACATTTTACTATAGTCTCAGAATCGAAGTTTTCCACTTAAAGATGTATTTTTCCTTATATTAAGTTTTAGGATTAGGAAACAGAAAATGTTGAGGCTCACAGGTTGAGAAATTTAAGGATAAATATTAAGAATAACAGCCAGGTCTGGATTTCATTGACAATTTGGCATTTTACTTATTGAGTGAACAAGAAAAGAGATCTCTGGAAAAATTTTGAGAAACACTCATCAAGTTTTTGTTGTGTTGGCATGTTTTGTTTCCTACATGGCTTTTGTGATGGAAAAACAGCAGCAAAGATTTGAAATGTCCTCTTAATAATGATTTAATGGCAAGTCTAGGCACAGAACCAAAAATTGTCAAGAACAAAGAGGATGAGCTAAAATAAGGGTATATTAGATGTGTGTATCACCCCTTCTCAGGGAGAAAAACTCATGAAAAACATTTTATGTCACTCACTTAAAAAACAGCCATTTAAAGAAAGGAATCTTAGTTCTATTTATACAATGATATTATTTAACAATCAAATACTGTGTTTAGTGTAGAAATTTTCAATGCAATATCCACCCAAATGTTTGACTTCAACACCAAATACCTTAGGGGCTCAGAGCTTTTCTGTTATTTATTTTGTGCATTCACCTTTCTATCTAAACTGCTGTGTGATGTGCCTTAAACATGGTCAAAAATACCAGTTAGGTCAATACACATCATACAATTTTAGTATTTTCAGGTGTTGGTAAAACAGCAAATGTAACAGAATTTAAAACAATTCATTGTCTTTCCATAACAAGAACATCATAAATATATATTATATACAAATTTTAAATGTACATCAAACAAAGTCAGTAATGGCAAAGAAATAAGGCAAACATGGTAACTTTTACTTTATGGATTTATATGAGATATTTACTTGGCAGAACCAACTTGCTGTGAATTTCTTATTAATAATGTAGTAATTCCCCCATTAGGATCATTCCATTGATTGCACTTATTTACTACCCATATTTACATTTATTTACACACACAATTACATAGAAAAGAAAACTGTCAGTCACTTGCAAATTCATAAACAAAAATTAATGAATCTTAAGGGTATTTCAGAACCAAAAGTTTCAAATGGTATACTCTTATAGTGTGGAAACCACAAATAATTTTACTAGTTTTAGAGGTTAAACTCGTGAAAAGGGTTACCATATTTATGGCATGACCAGACAAATAAAATCAAAATACTATTACAATTTCTCATTTACAAATATGGCAGTCTAGATTTTTCCAAAACTGACAGCATAAAATTAACAAGAAAAGAATACGCCGTAGAAAATGCAATATCTTATTCAAAAACAAATCCCCAGCACAGTCAAACTATTTACAGGTTTGTGATAATAACAACATCTATCAATAAAAAATATCTAGAACTCTAAAATTCAGCATATTCAAATTCATCAAGATATTTAAAGAACAGCATCATTCGTCAGAATGCTACATCATCATTATCAAGATGTACCTGACTTGAACCCTAAAAGTTCTGATTGAAAGCCTGCATAAAAATGGCTATTTACCTTAAAATGCAACACGTATTTTTCAAAATATTATTTGAGTCTGAATCTCTGTCTAAATAACGTCCTCCATCATGAAAATGAAAACATAGGCAAAATTTTGGTTCAACAATTTTAGGTCCAACTGAACTGTCCTCGCATATTGCCATCTATCAAATTCCATCCATCAACCAAAATCTTCGACAAACTTTGAACATCTTCATAAGAAATCCGCTGATTCAAATTAAAAATCATCTTATATTTGACTCCTTTCACTCCCTCTGAAGTACAATTGCTCCTCTTCTGCAAGCAAATATCTCCACAGCTTTCCAACAACAATCATGGCGGTTGATGTGGAAGCGAGGTTTCAATCTGCTCTCTTTCCAAGGTTCTCTCCCTCAACTGGCTACCGAACATAGTTCGCATCTACCTTCGCCACATTCGCAAAAAAATTTCCCATATACATTTCCTATTGGTTTTCAGATGGCTAAATAACATATCTTGACTGACATTCGCACAAATTTTTGGCATACATTTTTCAGTACTACTTCATTTGCGCACGCATGCCTAATATATTATAATTCCATTCGACATTCGCATCAAACCTTATTGGTGCTCTGTGAATTTATGCGTAAAAGGGGGAGCCCTCTTTCGAATATATCATCTCTAAATCACGAAAACGAGGGAATAAAACCTAAAAAGTAAACAACAAGGTGACATCATAGCAGCTAGGGCAGGAAACAAAACTTTTATTTCTTGTATTCTGTGGACCTTTTTTTTATTATCTGGCCATTTCTAGTACAATATTCACAATGCTAAAATGTATTAACAGACAATTACAAAAAGACATGTGGAAATCTGACATTCGCCAGTGCGAATGTTGCGAATGTCTGGATCCGCCCCTGGTTCTTATAAAAAAGAGTGTAAACTTTTGCAGAACCTTTTCACTTTTCATTCTGTAGGGTTTCATTGCAAATGATTTAGGTTTGTGTAAAAATCAAATTAATATCTGAGAAATGAAAATTATTAAAAACTCTTTTCAATCAACTTTGTTGGGTTTTATTGCGAATGATTTTAAATCTGTAAAAAAATCAAATAAATACACTATTGCTGTATTTTATTCAATCATAATTATCTCAGAATTTGCCTTTAGTTTTTATACTTACACGACCACAATCAACGTTTTAGTTGACTTTTTCAACCACTCCAATCAAGGAGCCACGTTTTAAAAAAAATGGTCAACATTTTTCTTGTTTAGTTTTTATACAAAGAATTAAGCTTCTGGGTTTAGCACAAAAGATTCATCCAGGTAAAAATTTTCACATATTAAACTGTCATGATACTGATTTCTTACGAAAGGAGAAAGTTCGGATACCTATAGAGGATTGACTGAGAGGGTGACTGGGGTATAAAATTAAGTCCCTGGTTATTTTTGCAGAAAAGTCCTGTATAGTTTCAAACTTATCTTTGTCGTAATTAAATTTTGCATATTGCTAGCACTATCAGTTTAGTAACTTTGAGCCGAAAAAAGTCTGGATGCTAAATCCTAATCTTTGGTAAACATTTTATAGAAAGTATTTCTGTGAAATGTTCCGAAAGTAGCCAATCAGTAGTGTATTTTTTATCACAATCATGAATACTTGTATCTATCTACTCGGTGTAAAACTAATACATTGCGATAACCCCCATGTTCAGTCTGCACTGAAAGTATCGGCAAAACAACAAAACTTAAAGAATTATTCCGTGCAACTTTACATTAGAAACTATGTAAAAAACGCCACACAAGATAAAAATTAAGAAATCAGATTGCTGAACGCCCCAAACCTTAAAAAAAGTTTAAAAATGGATTGAAACTATCCTTTGAAAGAAGCTTAAAAAATGGATTGAAACTATCCTTTGAAAAAATTTCAAAAAATGGTTTAAAACTTTTCTTTGAAAGAAGTTTAAAAAATGGATTTAAACTATCCTTCAAAATAAGTTCAAAAAATGGATGGAAACTATTCTTTGAGATGATTTGTGACTGCTTATGATGAAAAATTAAGAAACAGCATACTCAATTTGTTCTTTTTGGACATGTTGTTCTTGCAGTAAGTTTAACTGCCTTTGAAATCTATGAATTTGCTTCATTCATGAAGTTGTTTAATCACTATTGTAACAACTAACACTAAATAAAATACATAGTATGATACAATACAATCCTGAGCTCAATCTTTTATAAAAAATGAGTATAATGCAGCAATTTCAAAATTAATGTACTCTCTGTAACTTTTACAATCTCAGTGGCACTGAGGTGAATTTTGAGGCACTGAACTTGCCCCACCGTTTTTACCTGCTTTAGATAGCTGTTAATAGCTTATTGCATGGACTCCAATGCAGGTTGGAAAGTGGAGGGGCCAAGAGAAAGTGTAACAATCATAACAAAAGTTTTTTTAAAAAAGCTCTATTGTTCTGCAAAAAGTGAGGGGGCCATGGCCCCCCCCCCCTTTGTCGGAGGCCCTGTAATGTTCTGGTTTTACGGGTGTCGGTAACATCAGTGGATGTTTTATGGCTGTCGGTGGCTGCTTCAAGCACAGAAAAGCCTCTGAGAAGTGCAGACTTAAACCAACCCATACATTTGAAGGGTCATTCTCTTATCAAGCTTGTAAATTGAGAACTGAGAGCCACAAGCATGGTAAGTCCTATAAATACTTCATTTAAAAAAGATGTAGCAATTCCTGACCAAAACCTCAATCATTGAGATCATACAAGGTCGGTGATTTTAGACCAAAGCCCGAATGTATATCCATCAAATGGATGGTTAGCTAGTGGCTCTTCTAACATCATAGAGCTCTCATTCAGTTGTACAATTTTTTCCACACAATGTTTGTTTGCTTGAAGAGATAATACACACTCAAAAGACACTCTTACATTGAAATATCATTTTTTTTCATATTCAATGAACATAAAAGTGTTCTTTATATTCTTGATACCTTCACCTGAAAAGCAAAGAAGACTGCCATCAGCAATAAAATAAATAAAAGGTAAAGAGCAAAAATCAGGAATCCATTAGATAAGATTGCATTAAGATTAGATTAGATAAGATTGCATATTATACTGCTCTGTCATTGGATAATACCCTTAATCTATATTTAGAAATATTTTTGCTTGGCTTTAAGGTAACTTAATGTTCGAGCCTGTGTGATTGTCAGTACTAGAGGGTTATAAAGCCCTGGTACTTTGAAAAGCTGGGAGAAATAACAGAAGTTATGTACTGAAGGATGGTAAGCCCACAAAATGGACTACCTACAAATGAGACTTAAAATGTGTCACAGATAACAAACTTGTCAAGGCATGTGTGACAACGAATTAGAGGAATTGATCCATTCCTGGATACAAGACAGGAGCAGTACAACATAAAAAATAAAATATGGAAGACTTAAAGAAGCAGGTCCTTAAAATATGGAAGAATATGGAATGGATCATCATCTTGGGCCTACAATGTCAACTTGTTCATACAGAGAAACAGTTACCAAAAAAGTGTACGTAAATGTTGGCAAATGAAGAGTGTGCTTTGAGCGAGCTCCTATATGGCAAACATTTTTAGAACATATGACAATATCCCATCCTTTCTCTTGACAAACGTAATTTTCAAAATATTCTAGCATTCAAAGATTTTCTGTGTGATTGTGTTTGAGTCATGACTGTGGAAGGCCACCGCAAAAATAATACTGTCATCATCTAGTATTTTTCCATTGCATTCTGGTAAAAAAATTTAATTCATTTGAAATTTCTTTGTTAGCTTAGTAATAGCTTCCTTTTCTCTTTAGCTTATCATTGTAATAAACATTATATTGTCTGTTGTATACTCTTAGTCTTACCTTACTATCAACCTTACTTTGTAATTCATGCAGGAAATAAATACCTTATCAAAGAGTTTTTTTACAACTTGAATCAAAACAAGCAACCTAGTTTTATGGACAATGTTTGATGTCTTTTGGTATTTTGGCACAGTAGGCCTTGAACAGGTACAACCACCAAATATAACTATTATAATATCAGAACAATCCATAAACAAGGCCAAATAAGATACAATTGTATCAGTTCTCTGATAAAATTATGAATAGGGCTTTGAGTCAAAATTGGGTGTCTCAATATTAGACTGAAAACTAGTCTAGAGTGGGTCAATGCAGAAGAAGTGGTTACATGCCATCACAAGGCTTAAGACATTTTATGGTTAGCATCTAACACTCATCTGCTTACCTACTCGTCATCTTCTTCATCTCCACCTCCACCTTGTCCCTTTCTCATATTCTTTCTCTTAACACGACCTGGTCTGCCACAGCCATAAGGTGAGTTAAGGCTGAAATCAATGTGCTTTTGAGAGTCAAGCCTCACAACAAATGATGGTATATTTACCAGCTGCTTGCGTACCCTGAAAACCAAAATCATATACAGTCAATTAAAGCCAGTCACTTTATTTGTTTGCGTAATCCTAAAATCAGTTTGCAAACAAGTTAGCTTTGCAGCATGCCTATGGAAAAATTAATTTTAAACAAGATGCATCGTTTACACAAAAAATAAATACAACTAGTTAATTTTCAATCCATTATCATTCCAAAATGGTGTTGAAACCTCAACTAAGTTTGTTAGAAGGAGGAATGGACTACAACACTGCCATCCCCCAACAATTGTCAAACTGTGTTCTATTCCCTGTATAATAAAGAACTGAATAGGAATCAATTATAAAAGCCATTCCCTCCCACAACCCTGTCAATCTCATTCCCATAGATCTATGGCTCACCCTTTCATTTTAACCATTCATTTCCTACTTTAGGAATCTGCGTTTAAGAGAAAATACAGCCTCTTTTGAAAAGATGCAAGTTTTTCACTAAATAGTTTCCAAATAGTTTAAAAGTTTTCACGCAATGTGCAATCCTTTATAACTGGGACTGGCTGGGAAAATTCAGCTTTCAGATGAAGATTTCTCTTTCCCTTGATATTTTGACTTATATGCGCTACAAAAGAATTAATTATCTTTGCAGGAAATTTTCTCACTTGTGCATTTTTAATAGAAAAGTCTATGTGCAGAATATCAAAGAGTTCTGAAAAATATTAATGCTCACCAACTTTGCACTGCAATGCAAAGAGGGAGGCAAAATGATTAAAAGAATAAAATAGGTTGATGAAATTTGAGTCGTTTTTCAGAAAAAAGAAAATAGATGGCAGAGGAAGCATTTGAAAGTTGAATATTTTTGCAATGAGAAAGAACTGGTTTTGTTCAACATGACAAGTGATATGAAATACCTAAACTACAATTTCAAAACAGGCTTAAATTGTAACAATGACAAATACTCTTAAACGTATTTGGAAAGTATAACTGGCAGAACCTAAGTTATTGCTGTTAAAAAACAGACCTGATGTGCCTCTGTCTGATGATAACACGGGCATGGTGAATTGACTTTGCTAGGCCGAGCTTGAAGACCTGGGTTTGTAGTCTCCTCTCCAAAAAGTCCTCAACCCTAAGTCCAAGCACGTAATCGAGCTTCATTCGGCTTTCGTCCAGTACTCCAATACGAACAAGCCTTCTCAGAAGGGCATTACCTTCGAAGAGACGTCGAGGGTCTTTCTCAGGAAGGGTCAGCAAAACTCGGGCTCTCTTTCTAATCTTGGCGAGAGTGTATTTCACCCTCCAGACCTCTCGCTTGTTCCTGAGACCATACTCACCAATCAGTTTAAGTTCTTGATCAAGACGAGCCTTTTCAAATGGCCGACGTGGGGTCACGTAGGTTTTGGAGTGCACGTTCTTCGCCATCTTGAATTTGAGGCAGGGGAAAAGAACGTGGTTGCTGACGGCGGGGAAGAAGAATCATCCAAAGGACTGGTAACTAGTGTGGAGGACAATGCGGGCAGAAAAGGGGGGCATTGACAAAAGTTAGTTCTTGACTGGTGGGGCGAAGCATTGTTTGACATCCGTAGTTCAAATATGTTCTGAACATCTACGCCAAAATCCACTAAACATTCCCTTTTTTGGTTCTGTAATAAGGAACCTGAAAAGAACCCTGTAAGTGCATTATTAGCCGTATCATACGATCAAAATTCCAAATTTCACTCACAACACAATTACTTACATTGGTATTTTTTTAAGAAACTCTGACGTGATTTTGATTAAAACTTTTGAATTTGGAAGTATTCAATAAACTTTAGAATAAAAAATATGTAAATAAAAATTATAAAATCAAGATTTGCAAAAAATTATAACGACAATGATTCATATAATTTAAAGAAATGGTGATTTATCAGGTTAATTAGTATTGTAATAGCACTAGTTTGGATTTCGTTTGTTTTGCAACTTGTAACCCTAGTTATTTAACACCTTTTGCACATTCGATTGTTTATAATTCCTTTTGTTATCTAATTGCACCTTTAGCTCCATTAATTATTTCATTTGGGATTTTTGTATCTTTATTCAGCTTATCTAATTAATCTTGGGAGTAGTATCTTTTGTAATCACTATTATTTTGTAAATACCTAGCTATGTAGTATTTCGATTAGTTCTCGTTTAGGTTATATTTTGGGCGTGTTATTTTACAGAGTTAGTTAGATTCATGGTTCAGAGCGATGAGGTTAAGTATGTTTAGGTTCTCGGCGATTAATTAATGTGGCAAGATGCTTGTAAAAGATCTTGTTAACACGAACTATGGTTTTTTTTATTGAATACGTATGGATATTTATGGAATCGCGCGTGACGATTTGGATTATTATGGATTACTTGATATGTTTACGAGGACAGTACTTGTGAAAGACTGTGCCTGATGTAACGAGAACGAATCGACGTTACGGGACAACCGTAGGGAAACATTGCTTGATAATGACCTAATTCGCGGAACGATCATTTGATCGGAAGAAAGACATTGAAACATTATTTATTTGTCTCTTTGCCTTAAGTTCTCGTTTTGCAAGAACCCCTATTACAGTATATATGTTAAGATATAGCTAAATAACGTTAAATTTCATAGGTAGACAGTGCTTTTGTGTTTGTTTGGGTTATTCAAAAATCAAATCAGTCCAAATTGTTTAACCTTGTCGATTTATTTTTCAATTCTGCCAAGAGAGCTGCTAAAAGTGGGGGGGGGTGGTCTAAAAAAGTACGGGGTTCACTTCGCTAAAACCGAATGAAAAAGACTTCAATGGTGGTTCACTTCTTGATATTTTTGCATTTGCTGCAAAAAGTGGGGGGAAGGCTAAAGCCCCCCCCCCCTGCTCCGCGTTACCTGAGCTTATGAGAGAGAGAGAGGTCTCGTTGACAGATTGCCTGGCTAAATAACTATGCAGAAAGATGGTTAAAGAAAACATTTATCAAATATATCAGAGTGTTTGTTTTGAAAAATATCGAAAGTAAACTTTCTTACTTCAATTTTGTATAGAAATCAAAGCCAAAGAGTTTGAGGTAGGTAAAAAGGGCCTTTACTGTAAGCTGTTTTGCTAGCAAAATTAATAATTCTAACGGACTTTCTTAAGTTATGTTTTATGGATTTAGTCAAGTTCCGACTTACGCTACCTCCAATTAAGCATAACATAAAGGATATGCCAAAAGCAAGTTGGAAGCATTAGCGGCCGTTCCCTGATCCAATAGCGCTTTAATTTATCTAGTAGGATAGGATGGTTTAAAAAAAACTATATAAAAGTTTTGTAGATGTCTAGAATAGCTAGTGTGGTACCTTTTCCTTATGAAAACAGAACTGATAATAAAAAATTATAGTGTACTTGTTAAGGAATTCTAACCAAATTTTCTTCGAATTATTCTTAAATTTATCAAAGCAAGTTTATGGAATCTATATAGTAAGTACCTCTTAATCAATTATAATACACAAAGATATATTTACTTGCTAAGAAGTTTGGGTACTATTTATTATTATTTTGAATTGATATATAGATTTTAAAATACATTTTGATATCCACAGTTGCAACTTTGTTTGTACGTTTTTTGGAAACAGGTCTTATGTTTATTAGTTTTATTTAAAAGATGTCCTTAGTTTATCTACCCTGGGTACCAGACTCATTATTTTATATAGTGAGTCTGGTACCCAGGGTATAGTTTATCAAACGTATCATTCAAACTATTGCAAGAGTCGATGAGATGACAGGACCTAGCTTCTATGAGGTCATTGACCCTCTATGAGGTCATTGAGCCATGCACCGGCGTTGAAAGTCTTATAATCACGATAAATTTCTGTTTTTTTGCAAGTTTACGAGCTAAGAACTAAAAGGATTGGTAATTGACCAGAAATGTTTGATAAGGTTGCCACGAAGCAATCTTATTGGTTCAATCAATGTTCGGTGAATGCGTGTCTGGAAAAAGTTAGAATACTGGTAGATTTACAAAGCTATCTGTCTTGGAACTTATATCTAGCTCCAAGTGATGATAGCGGTTTGCTATTCTTTTAGAATGATGAGAAGGACTGTTTCAGACTGATAGTGTAAGAATTCGTCTTCTTTCTTTTAACGCGGATGTCGATAAACAACCCTTCAGAGGGCGGGGCTTTGGGGGTGATTAATCTCAACCCAGCAAGCTTCAAATTCATTGTCATAAATTATTATTATTATTATTTGCTATGTCAAGGTCAGGGGGTTCTAAAAGCTAAGTCGTTTTGTAAAAAGAAACCGAAAGAAACAACATTTTAGTTTCCCTAATTTCCTATTTACAAACTGTGTCTTTCTTCTGCAAACTAGGAAAGTCGGTAATCTTTTGGTAATATAACAAAGTAATTTTGTTAATATTCCAAGTAAGTTTTTGCATCTGCTTGAAAGCAAAGAAAGTCTTTTTCAAAGATAACATGTCTTTGTTTTCTTAATATTATTCTTTTCAATTTTCTTTGAAAAAACCTTGAATACCATCGTACTGTCACTATTTGTCTGTGTCTTTAAATATTCATAGATTGTTCAATTGTGCATTTTTGCTGCTTTGCAGCCATCTCATAACATCTCACAATTTGTCAATGCACATAAAACTGGCATCAGGTTTTCAATTCCTTTTTTGCATTCCTGTTCTTTCTTTAAGCTTCAGTTGTTGCGAGAATGCAAGATCTGATATGTATTTATGGCTTTCAATACTTCCAAAAAATTATTATCCGTCCATGCCATGCATTTTGTCTTTTATTAAATTTTTTGAACTATAGATCTTGCTTAGACCCTGTTTTACTGTTTGGATTTTCAAAAGCTTGCAAATTTATTTTATTCACAGAGAAACTATAACATGAATAACTTAGCAAGCACTTCCAGTTTCTTAACTAGCCAAAGCATTTTCATACTTTTGCGGGATGTTTATCGTCAGCTTCGCTCTGGCATTTTCGCATGAATTTGGACATGTATTTTCAGACGTTCAGTATCAAATGGGTTGGGTTTAGGGGGTATAGACTGAATCAAGCATATTTTAAAATATCAATGGATCTGTACAGTGATAAATCTAAACTAAAGTATTTTTTCTGTCTCATTTTACATATTATTTCTTAGGATGACATTTTTCATGTCTTGGCAGGCTGGTGGCTGACGCGAGTCAAAATTCAGCTCATTGTTTTTGTTAAAATGGTGTCCCTCTGTTCTTAAAATTAAGTTATAACAGCTGAAGTCAGGGGCGGATCCAGAGCAAATTTGAAGTAGGTGCAGTTGGTAGTGGGGGCGCTGAAAATTTTTCAAAAATTGGTGACGAGAGTACGCTGTATACAACAATTTTAGACCCATTTTCAGAATAAACAACATAACTTTGAAGTAATCCTTGAAGGAAATTAACCTATCGGTCTCAGAAACTTTATCACCTGATTCTCATTCTTCAAAAGGGGCGCACAATTTCCAAAAAGGGGCGCCAGATTTGCTTCAACTCGTCGAGGGAGGGGCAACTGCCCCAACTGCCCCCCTTAAATCTGCCACTGGCTGAAGTTATAAATTGGTGCTCTTGTTAACATCATGCTGTTGTTTGCCATATGGGACGAAATGACACTGGAACCAAGACTACTGAATGATAATTAAAAATTTTAAAGAAACAACTGTCACCATTTCAAGACATTCGACTTTTGAAGAATTAGAGGCTCCATTTTAAGAGTGGAGCACCATTTTAGAAAAAAGTCATAATCTTATAGAATAAGGTCACAATTTAAAAAAACCAGAGCACCATTATAGGAACGCTGGTTGATGTAATATAAATTCATATATTTTGCTTCTGTTGAGCGTTCTGTCGTTTTTATTTCTTTTTTAACGTGCAGAAGACACGGAGCCAGCAAGAGACGAAGTTGCGTGATCGTTGCGTCTTGATGAACTTACTGACTGACTAATCAAATAACAATACGTATTCACATAAAACGAGTGGATGCTACAAAAATGTTGTTTATTACGTTACTGTGGATGCTGTGGATACAGAGACAATGGATGGTGTTACAATCGACAATGGTCACTACCCCCGTTTTAAAACTTCAGCGCAAGATTTTGAGAAAGGGCACCATTTTATCAAAAACAACGAGCTTAACTTTGGCGGCAATGACACCCTATACTACATGGCTACAGATTTACCTGAGCATGGTCTATAGAAAAGGTAATTACGCGGATTATTCCTTCAGGGATTGTTCCTTCTGCTGGTATAGTTCGACAACAAAAGGAATTGTAAGAAGTACTAGGTGTGAGGATTTAGGGTTGACTAAGGTAACAGGAAAGTAAACATGTCAAAGTGCCAAAATCCGCTGAGTCTGGGTTTTCATTACTGCGATGCTATTGGTTGATCTGGGACTGGTCACATGAACTCACCTCGTACTGATGGACAAAACAATTTCCATCAAAAGCAAGTTGTTAACAACGGATGCAAATATCACATGAAATAGCAGTGATCACGCCATAACCAAATGACCCCCTATAGAGAAGGCCTATTTACCATGACTCAATGCCTTTAAACAGGATCATATGATTGCATCATATGAGTCTATGTCAGACCAAAGGCAGACCTATCCGGTTAAACTTGTTTGTAAGTCTAGGAAGTTTCACCCATATATGTCTGACAATATCACGTGGTCTTCCTTATACGGACCGTACTCGCTGGTCTGAAGATCTAGCGAAGAAAGATGTTGACGGTCGCGACACTGGCGAAGACGATGGGCGATACTAGATTCAGATGACAGCGTTGTGAAACTTGGCTGAAAAGATTCCAAGACGGACAAAGAAGGGGAGATTCATATCAACTGCATTTTGAATGCAAAGATGACTAGGAAGGTAAGGACTTCCCTGTGAAAGGGTAGAATATATCTGTTATATTTTCCTTTGCCCATTTATAGGCCCCACTTTCGAAAATAGACAGGTCTTCCTTCGAACCCAATTTCACCTGTTGTTAGGCTTTACAACATTGCCAAGTAATTTTTCAATTCATAATCAGAAGTTTTAATCCCTTTTAAAGTTATCTGCTGGGTTCAAGATGTCTAACAGCTAATCGCTAGCGCCAAATTGAAAATAAATATACGAGAAAGATTGGCACAATTACCGATTCTTATACCTCTGGTCAAAAAGCTTAGAACATAAATAAAGTAAATCCACGACAGTTGATAATAAATTTTAACTTTCGACGGAATGTAGCAATGTGGAGAAACGTGTAAATCGAGCGAAAGATCGGATGATCAGAATATTTATAGATTGTGATATCACAACACATTGCTTTCTGTGCAATGTAATATCGACATAAACAGCAGGATTTGTTTACCTAATCATAACGATAATTTGAATTTTGCGATTATTAACCTAAATGTGAATACTAAAGCAAATACTGAGTATCCAGCATTTGTCTAAATGCGATTTGTATACTTTTCAGTATGAAATTACTCAAGTGTAATATTCCGAGTTGCAATTTGCATATTAGTCGGCTGTTCAACAGACTGGAAAATACCCTGCAACCATTGTTTTCGCTGAAGTTCCAGGTGTGCCATACTTGCCATACAAAGCTATTCATAGTACGATGCAACATTGATGCAAAATTATCTTCTTGGTAGTGAATGCATGAATAATGAACAACAGAAGGTACCGTTTTGTAGGATAATGATCATTGATAGAGTTTTCATAGAGACCTGAACATGGACATGGACATGGCAAAACAGCCCCATACATTATTTTGATACTATAGGGAGCTGCAGAAGGAAAATTTTTCAGATAATTTTGATCTATCATTTGTACTAAAATTTACAAATATTTTCAATCATTTAAAGTAGACCAACTTGTTGTTTTATTTCAGGATAGATCACTCGTAAAGAGCTTTCTAGCTGGATCTTTTAGTGGCACTTGCTCATGCCTCTTGTTTCAACCTTTGGACTTGATAAAGACAAGAGTACAAACACCAGCTGTATATGGGTATGTTTATATATCTCAAGTCCAGATTTCCTATCTTCTATTTCTTTGCTAGATATTATAGAACTGAAAATAGATGATGGAGAAGAATATCTGTGGAAGCTAATGTGCATCAAATTTTTGACATGTATATATTCTTTTTTCTTTAGGAGTAATGGAATGCTTTCTATTATCTCAACTGTTGTAAGAACAGATAGCATAACTGGATTATGGAGAGGAGTTACACCCGTGAGTGAAATTGTACTTGATGTAATATTAGTGAAAATGTAAATGACATCTACTGATATAGTGACATCTACAGCCTAGGCAACAGAGCAGCAAACAATTTAATGATTATCACATTTTAGTGTATAAACAGCATAAACACTTTTAATGGTTAGAAGGTACTTTAAAAGAACACATTTTAGTATCTTTTAGCTTGTCAAAATCTTGTCAGAGGATTTTTTCTTTTTTCTATCAATGGAAAAAACATGTGAGGTTTAAGTCCCTGCTTCAAAAATCTGAAAAAAGGGTACAACAATTTTTAAATGTAAGCTTTTCAGGCTTTGCCAGGATTGGTTTAAAACTGCACTCAGGTACCTTGACACATACCTAATTTCCCTTAGAGGTGCACTTTATCACCAGCTCAGTTTCTAAAATTTACATTTCAATTATTTTCTCACTGTTGGTAAAATCTATTTAGGGTGGTTTACACTACCCCTGTGAACATGTTAGAATCAAAGGCAACTATTGAAGCCTCAAACTCTCTTGTGGAGGATCAATGTTCTTAAAGCATTCCATCAAATTTGTAAATAACTATATAAAATAGCTTTCAAAATGATTGTCTTTTTTTTTCAATAAAGTCTGGATTTTATCTTTTACTACCAAGAAACCAAAAAATAAAGCTTAAAGCTGTAATTAAATATTGAATGCTATTATTCAACCATAAACCAAACAACATTCCTATGGCAAGACTTGGTAAACCGGTTGGCAAGACTGATAGCCTTTTCTATTTTTGTAGGCATGATATGAAAATCCAAAATTAAGTTATAAACTCTTGAAATCGTGAGATTTTATCAAAATCATTAAATCACCAAAACAGCAAGGCTTTTGAAGTATATAACAGAATTTTGATATTCTACAAGCTTTGAAGTGACTATTCAATCTGTAAATAATTTTATCTACTTTTAGACAATATCAAGGACTGTTCCTGGAGTTGGAATATATTTCTGTGCATTACATGCAATCAAGACCTTATTATTTGTGTAAGTTTCCTTCTCTGTTTTTAATTTTATTCAGCATCAATACCAAAATTGTTATAATTTGCATTGCAACACCTACCAAGAATGACATAAGCGCTCAAGCTCTTGGGCAACCACAGAATGACCAAAGTCACTAAACATCTTATTCAAATTATAGTATGGCTTGTTAGAGGTTTTTCAAGTTTTCTTGTTCATAAAGGCATTATGTCCTGTCAGTCAACCATTTTGCAGTGCAATTGTAATAAAAAAACATCGAGAATTAGCCTTTCCGTTGCTGATTGGATACATAAGGATAATTGTATTGTATAGTCCAACCAATGGTTAATTTAAATGGCCAGCTAAATGTGTCATAAATAGTGCCTTTAATTTATATTCATACTTAAACAAAGTACATATAGAGTTCCTTTGGACTGAAAATTTCCCTTTTTAGACTGCTTTTTGAATAAAACGATCTGTTGAGATATACTTCTTAGCATATAATACACTTTTTGCAGGTCTACAGAGCCAAAAGCGTGGCAGAATGTACTGCTTGGTTTTACAGCAAGAAGTGTTGCAGGGGTTAGCCTGTTGCCAATTACTGTAGTTAAAACACGATATGAGGTACTGTCCTGTACTTTTTTATTGTTTCATCTAAATGTATTTAAATACTTATTCTTTGGTATCAGACACTGGAATTCGGATTGGCCTGCCTGACAATATGAATCAATCATTAGAAAATGCCCCTTTTTATGAGACTTTTTCCCCTCCTACCATGCCTTGCCAAATTGGAAATGCTCCCCACATCCTTGATTCATTTGCCGATTCTTTGTAGCTCAAAACTTAAATAACACAAAATTGTTGATTGGTTTGTCTCTTTTTCTTTTCAGAGTGGCATATTTGACTATAGAGGGGTTTCAAGTGCATTAGTTTCAATTTGGAAGTCAGAAGGAGTAAAGGGACTTTTTAGTGGTTGTGCTGCTACTGTTGCAAGAGATGCTCCATTCTCTGGTCTATATCTCATGTTCTATAATAAAGCAAAAGAACTTAGCAGGAAAGGTATGTTATTATATTATCATGTTATTCTTTTAACAAGATTAGCACAGTGGCGTCTGAGGCCTTTGTGTAACATATCACTTTGAAATCTTCTGTTGCATAAATTTTGCAATTTTGTCAGTTATCTGTAGACTTAGTAACTAAGTGTTATTGTATTGATTTAATATTAGTTTTTAATGATTTCTACCCAGGCTGCATGAGCAACAATGATATCATATTTTGCTGCAGAAACGCCACATTAAATGAACCGTTTACAGTTTATTAGCATTCAGTAGCAACTTTCCATCTAAAATTACAATCATTGCATGACTTTTTTTCCTAGTAATCCTCTCTTTTATTTCACAGGATGACCAGTCATATAAAGCCTGATTTACACGAGATAAATTTTTCGCACAAAGGGAATTTTTTGTCATGAATTTCTACTGGCAAAATTTTTAGCGCAAATCTGCTGCAGAATATAGCAGCTTTTCAGAGACTGCATCTATTGAAAAAGCTTATAATTGTTAAGTTAATTTGCTTGAAAAAGCGAGCTTAAAACGAAAAAGCGCGAAAAAATCAGAACAAAACGACACTTGGTTGGAATATTCGTTGAGAGTGTCTCCAGAAGGGGTGTTTTATCTTTCGGTAATAGATTTACGTTTAAATGACCATCAATACTCGTCATTTACTTTCGAATGTCGCCATCTACATGTGAAGAGCCTTTTCCGTTTGTGGCACCGAAGATCCTTGGTGCATCAGCCCCATCTGCTACGCATATGCTGTGCGTGTGAATCAGGCTTTAGAAACTTCTTTAGTTTGTTTAATACGTAGTGAAACTAGAAATTGAATAGAATATTTTCCTGTTTCCAAGCCAGTTCGACGTCATACTGTGTTCAAACAATATTTTTCACCTCAAAGAAGTTCGATATAGAAAATAAGAAAGGAGGCGTAAATGAGACTTTTCTGCAAAATTCTTTGATTTGATTTTTCTGCAAGTTTCTTAAATTGGAAAATCGAAAGAATTTTTGTAGAATATGAAATAAATCGGAATTACATTGTCAACCTTATTTTTTCAGGATTTGGGGAGAAGGAACTGAACACTAATTTACATTTTATGTGCGGAATATCAGCGGGAGTGTTGGCATCTGTTGCGACACAGCCTGCAGATGTTGTGAAGACTCAAATGCAGCTTTACCCATTTCGATACAAAAGTACCATTGACTGTGTGATTATTGTTGTAAAGAACAACGGCCCTAGTGGCCTTTTTAGAGGAACGCTACCTAGATGCATACGGCGTACGCTAATGGCTGCCTTGACGTGGACTGTTTATGAATCTGTTATGCAGAGGCTTGGATTGAAAGTATGAAACCAATGGGGAGAAGATGCAGTTTTAATTAATAATTCATAGCATGTAGCACACATTTCCGACGCAGCATAAGCTGCAAGTTGTATATATTGTATTCATGTTTTGTGTAGAAATTGAAGATTTCATTGTCAAAGACGGTGTGAAAAAACAAGAACAGTTCATGGCCACCATTTCTTATTCGTGCAAAGTTCCCATAAACAACCGCTCTACCTACGAGCGTAGTAGGGGGATCCATTATGGATCTTGCCAGAATTTACGGTAAAATATGGATCTACCCTATAATGCGATAAAGATTGCCTAATTCAGGGAGGGGGGCTGTAACCTTCCCAGCTCCTATGTCACCTACACCTATGTGTTTGTCGGTGTTTGCCAAAATGTCAAAATGTTTTTTTGTCAGATTTTTTCCTTTTTGATGGTTAAAAGCAACCGTTAGTCGCCGAGAACAAGCGAAATCTAATATGTAACAGGAAAGTTTCGTGAAATAATACGACTTTGTAATGGTATGTAAGATTTTACTTTCTAATCATGAAATATATTTTACCAATATAGTTTTCATAGTTTATTGAAACATAGTTTGCCAAGAACTGCATCAAACTTTAAAAACAATCCTCTCCTTTATCCAGTCAATAAAAGGTAACCCTCCCAATCAGCATTGAGTGAAAAGGAAATTTGAAAACCAGTATCAAAAGATTAGAAAGTAAAATCCCACATACCATTACTGAGTCGAGGGGCAATTCACTCTTGCAAATAGCGTACGAGATTTTCCCTAAAACACAAGGTGATTTCTGGTGATTTCCAGATAAAACAATAGGATTCCCACCAAAGGTGTACGAGATTTTTCGGAGTGATCTGCCCCTCGTACAGAGTCGTATTATTCGACGAAAATTTCCTGTAACATATTAGATATCGCTTGTTTTCATGGTAGGCTCTCCTGTTTTTTTGTATTGCCACTAACCCTGCAATTTAAGATAGAATTATGCATAGCGTTTCTCTTTTCCCATTCATTGCAGAAACAGCTATTTTTTTAAATTCTGTTTTTCTCAAAACAACATTATCGACATTCACATGATGCCTGTCTGCGTCTTGATTGGCTTGCATCTTCTGATCATATTTAATTCACAAGAATGCTGGTAGATGTATCCAATCGTGAGATTTGATATCCATGTTTGCTAATATGGTAATAATCCTGAGCTGGTTGGTACTTAGTAAATTTACATTAAATACCGCAAACTCGGGAAATTAATTAATAATAAGTATTCAATTTAGGGTTCTATATTTTTACAAAGTAAGTGTTAGACTGGTCAACAATGCCATACACAACGCTGTAAAATTGATGTCCTAGATCCTTCTTTAGTCGGAAATCGTGTTTAAAATCTTGTGCCAACAGCTTGTATATATAACTTAAAGACAGTCTGTTGTATTTAGAGTCTATTATTTTATGCATGTGAAACAATTGGAGATGTTAGAGATGAGACAAGTTAGTTCTATTATCATTTCACTCATGTTGTTTTGTTTTACATTTAAAAAAATTATTCTTATTTCTGTATAATCCTGTTTATTTTACGCGTCCTCTTTATATGCCATGGCTGGGGCTCCTGTTTGTTATAATAAAATGATACTACATCCCTTCAATTGAACCAAGATTCAAGATCCAATTATTACCTTGGAAACGATAGTGCATCTAATCTCTTAGACATCTAATCAAATCCAAAAATCACATTTTAGAATTGTGTACTATTCGACAGTTCTGCTAATCTTATCTGCTGATCCATCAGCAGTCATGGTCTATTATCAGCTCACTGACCACAACTACAATGAGAGCAAAAGACTAGGAACACTTCTTGGTTTAGGGCTACAGCTTTCAGACAGGCAGTCTGATGTTGAAGGGCACCTTTGACCAGCGGCGGCGCCAGCTTCAAATTTGACCAACAGCGAATTGAAGGGGAGGAGCTGATAAAGGGGTCGAGGTGAGAAACCGGTGCAACACAGGATGAGAAATTGTGCTCGTTGTTGATAACCCAGTTTCACTTACTTTGTTACCCTCGATAGAAGAATTCGATTTCATTGGGTAGAAGAGTTAAATTTCACAGGCAAAGGTTAACAAGCTAATATCAATGTCGTCAGAGTGGTAACTTTTAACTAGAAGTGGTTTTGGACTTTTTAACGAGGCTTCCTACTTCTATTTTACCTGCTATATCTCGCTCGATGCTATTTTGAATAAGGTTTTCCAACCTTTCGCCTGACATCGCAAATTCAAATTTTTTTAATGGGGTGTTCTTTGAAGGGACCGAGTTTTCGCCATGACAGACCGATTTTTGCGAAATAGCTGGAACCGACTTTATCGTACAGTATGATTGCAGTGCAGTAGGTCCACTATATGCCTTACTGTACTGCAATACAGCATGGTACCAGCAGAATTGGGACCAATTTTTGGTGTGATAGAAAGAAATACTAAATACAGGGCTAAATCGGGACCGACTTTATCGCTATCAAATTTCAACTGGGACCGGGTGGTGAAATTATTGGGGGGTGTGACACCCTCCATACCCCCTTATTTGCGCCCCTGCACAAAGGTAATTGTTGATGATTTTTACCTTGCTGTGTGCCTTTTCGCACGAGGCAGCTGTGACAGGTGGGGCTGCAGCTATACTCTTTTTACAGCTTAAAAAATGTTTGGGTACAAGTTTTAAAGTTAATTACTGCCAAAAACCTCTAGCAAGGAAGAAAGGCAAAGACCAAACTCTAAGAACCAAATGTTTAGCATTTTGTTTTATAGATCATCTTCATTATAGTTGGTCACTATTAACAGAACTGACAATGAAAAATGTTTCGATCTCAGAGAAGAAACATTAGAAAATTGATCTTTCAAAAGTATGTTGAGTGCTCAAAACATAATCCTTCGTCAGTTTCTGTTCTATTTTGTAAAGAAATGGCAGGTAATTGGAAACCATAGCTCTCAGAATTGCTTTTTCAAAAATAAAGAAGAGGTAGATGACATAACATCTAGATCGGCGCATTGCTGTTTTATATAATTCCCTTTTATTTCTCTTCAAAGAAAATGAAGCAAATTTTTCTGAATTTTGCAAGGTCTCCGTGTATGTTTATTAAATATGCTAAGTTGATGAAAAAGTTTAATCATTTTTGGGCAATTAGATTCTTGGTCATCATAATGATAAAGCCTTCTATTTGTGGCCCACTGTCTAGATACAGCCATTTGATTTTTATCCTTGTGGCAGCGGCTGGGGAGCCTTGGATGCCAGAGCCTCAACAATATAATTCGAAACTATTCACAGAAGTATTTATTTGAGGATGGAAAAACTCCTTCTTTGCCACCGCATCGGTCTACAATATATTATGCCCGGTTTCTCGAGGCTCTGGTACCCAGATTATTTTGCGGTCCCTGGGGTGGACACCTGTTGCATCTGTTGACTTTGGTCACACAACATGTATCACATGTGATGACTGCAAATAAAGATCAGGGGCCACAATTTTGGAATCACGTTTTACGCCAAGGGAAGCCATCACTGTGGGCCAGCAAAGCTACTTCAAATGATGATCCTATTGTTTTGCTAGGAACCACATGAAAGTAGGAAAAAACGGAAAATAATAGCATTTAAATCATTACCCAGGTATTGTCAAGGTACAATATGCCACCAGTTGAATCCCGTAGGAGTGTACACAATTTCACAAAAGCAATGACGCAAGCTTGAATGCGTAGTGACGCTCGGATAAAAACCCTTAGCAATACACCAATAGAATTCTTAACTGTTACGTCATAAAAATATATTTTTAGAACTTTAAAATACCACTAATTATGGAAAGTCAGCTAAAAATGTTTATAATCAGGTGAGATGGCCAATGAAAGATTGGGATTTGAAAATGTATTACTTATTAAGGTTATTCATGAACTTATGATAGGTGACCAAAAACAGTGATTTGACAGGGCAAGCGGCGGTGTTTACGTGGGCATATCTCAGCCAGTCTTCTAACATCTCAATTTCTATTTATGTACGCTCCTTTCTAATTACAGTGGAATCCCGATATAACGAACCCTGGATACAATGAACTTCGCGGTATAACGAACTAAATGTCTGGTCCCTTGGATTCTACCTAACAAACTCCTTGTAAATTCTCTCGGTATAACGAACCCCGTATATAACGAACTCTCGTAATTACGAACCAATTTTTAGGTCCCTTCATCGTAATTACCCTCGATAAAACGAATTTTTCATAAATTTTCCATCCGTCATTTTTATTTATTCATTTTCGGTATTCATTTATCACTTAATCTGGTGGGAAATCATTTCTATAATCGGCAAAACAAAATGTGAAGTAATCGAAGACGTCATTCAGCCAGCAACTAAAAGTAAAGTGATACCAGCTTTGCCAATATCTTGGTCCCAAATAATAAGAGGAACATAAAGATTTTCATTTTAAATGACTTACCACTAGTAACCTTTTAATTCAGCTTGGTTTTTTGGAGTTAAATGTGCACAGAAGTTGGTTGGAGATTGCCTGAACATGCCCATCGCAGGTTTTTTTAGACGTGAACTGCGAAATGATCGGTTTATTGAACTCCCGATATAACGAACTATTTTCTGGTTCCCTTCAGAGTTCATTATACCGGGATTCCACTGTAGATGTATTGACAGTGAGGTAGAAGACATAAATTTGATCAGATGCCCAGACAGATATTATGAATGGAAAACGCCTGGAAATAAGGCTACATTCCAATGATATAGCTTCTATATCATTGCTACCTTAGCACTGCTCCGTTTCGGGGTGATAGCTTTTCAGTCCACCTCCTCTCCAGGCACGTAAATAAAAGGGGGCGTGGGGGCGTGACGCCCCCTCCCAAAGGTTGAAAAATCCAATTGCAGTTGGAAAATTTAAAAGTTCACTTGGAATTCTTTCTAACTATTATGACCAAATATGTGAATTTTATAGCTTAGGATTTTGGGATTTTAAATGTAAAAATCTTAGATCTTATTAAAATTCAAACTCTGGATCAGGCACATCTTCTAATCGTTTTTAATTGCGAAGACCTGTCTCCACTGCATCTCAAATTGCACCATTGCATTGTTTGTTTTCTTTTTGACAGGGGTAAAGTTGAATTAAATTATTTCGAACAGGCAAGGTGAATTTCTGGATAAGAAGTTTAAATTTTACCATCAGTATTGATTGAGCCTGAAGTTTTGAAAAATCATTCCCTGTATTGATCAGAACAATTGAAAGTGGGAATTTTTTAAGAAACAACGAGTAGCCAATTCAATTGAAAACATTAAAAATCGTTCATTGCTAGAAATTCTCAATGCTTCTTAACGGGTGTATGCTAAGCTCCCCCCTGCACTTTGTAGACCTCCTTGAATCTCATCATAAATTGCTATGATAAAGCTAATGAGAAGCCACAAAACATTGATCAAAGAAGCTGCAGCAGAAGTATTCGATCAAAGAAGAGTGCTTTATCTTACGAATCGGGCATATGCACTTGCCCTCAGATCACCCTTTTCAGTTCAAAAAAACAAAGGACATTTAGCCCTTTGAAAATTGCAAAAAATTTCTTCGATCAAGAACAAAAGATGAAATGGTCAATTCCTTGATGCTTCTACATTGTTAAAAAGATACTTTATATAAAACTGATCTGCAGCAAATAGCTTCAAGATGGACAAAGCAGAAAATGAACAGAATTGCTGTTAATTGATTTGAAAAAATATTACTTTTTATCATTAAACATATCCAAGATCTAGACTGGTATGGCTTTGATGTTGCTTTATATCTTACGAAAAGATTAAGTGTTCGTATTACGTTAATCAAAATTTTGAGATTTCCTTTATTTCCTTCCGTGTTTTTATGCTTAAGACTAATCATTATAAGTAAAATGTTGGTAAGTATACAGAACCTAAAAATCTGGAATAAGGCTATTTCCAAATCAATTTAGTAGGTACAGAAGATTAACAGGTCGAAAGAAAAAATTCATCAGGTAAAGTTGGAATTTTCAACCTTCCACGACCCCCCAAAATTAGCCACTTGTTTACGTCCCTGCTCCTCTCTCTCCGCCTCCGCAGGTCTCAGAATTTGCTTTCATTTCCATTTTTTGCTGCCGTTAAATTTTGTGGCTCTGGTACTCAAGGTAGGGTGATTGTTGGAGAGACGGACCAGCATTGTCTGAAGGTCCGTTGGCTTTTTAAAGTTTCGCATCATATGCAAAATGCACATGCGTAGTTAAAGTCGATGTCAATAATTTTACGTCGCATAACACGCACTTTGGTAGAAACATTCGTGGCTCTTATTGGAATAAGCCAGTCTCGGATCAAAAGATGAAAAAAAATTAGAGAAAAGGGAGTCAAAATAAGATTGGAAATGAAACTCTGGTTTATATTTTGTAACTATGATGTATAATAGTTTTGAACAAATGCTTTGAAGAGCCATAAATGCAAGAGCAATTCGTTCCTTGACAAATTTGATGACAATGAAGAACAGTGACAATGAAAAAAATAAGAATATGAATGGTGTTTAGAATAACAAGCACTACGTCATCGACAAAGAAACAGCCATTATAATTTGAGAAGTTTGTGAAGGGCAGCAAACTTTCTTGGAATATTGTGAAAATCATCTTTTCTAGATGAAGAGATTTCAGTTGAATGCAAAGTTTTTGACCAGTTAGTTTCTACTGGGTAGTTTAACCCTTGCCCGCTGTTGATACAGTGCAAACATAGCCAATTGCTATGATGCTAATGCAAGTCCAGCCAAATAAGATAAAGTTCGTAGGCAGAAATTTTGCATGAACTGAGTGAACTGTAGTTCAATCAAGACCATGAAAAAAGACAAGAAGTCATTACCGTTTACTAAAACTCTCACGATTGGCATTAACTATGCTCGCAAGCCCATTCGCTTCACTGGTGTCAACATTCATAACGAATTGTCTTTTGACACAAGGACAACCGAATCCTCCAATGACTTTCATAAACTTCTCAAAAAGCATTTTAGCTAAGCGGTTTCAATACTCTCGAGTACCGAATAATCCTACCTACCTTATTAAGTTTTGAAAAATTTATTCTCCCCCACTTATTCCAACCCTCCTTTTTTAAATTCTTGAAACTGAAATGACTGTGAACATAATAAAATGTACTTACATTTTGAAGAATTCCTCCTGAGAAAATGTATTTACATAAATGTGTTAACGAAAGTCTACAAACTATGGCTGCAGCCTCCGATTATTGTCATATCAAAACATTTCCAGCCTCCTGACTAATTTCATCCCTCTCTCTACTCAAAAGGACCTTGGCAATTCATTCTTTTACATATAATAACAATTTTATAAGAACACGAGCCTCAAAATTGGTGAAAAGTTAAGAACAAATTAAGAACAAGCTGAGGCTAAGCTACTGTAAAATGCAATTTTCAACAACGGGTGCTTTTTCGGTGAATATTTAAACATGGCGGCAAATGAAGGTTGCTTCACGCACTATATTTGCAAATGCGGCCCGAACACCTCCCTAGAGCAAAAAGCTAGCAATTACATTGCACCCTATAAATTTAAGAACAAATTAAGTACAATCGAGCCTCAGAATTTCGAAACAAATTAAGAACAATCAGCCAGAACTTGAATTTACTGGTTCTAACAAAAAAAGAGTGTATATTTTATCATCCTGATAAATATAGTCCATTATCAATATCAAAGTAACTTAGAGATTTTCTATATATAGTGGTCTCTTTGCTTTTTTCTTTTCCGTTTAAGTTAATTGGGAAACACGTTGAAAACTGCATAATATTTTGGAGCGTAAAATTCTGCATAAAAATTCACTTCATTAAATCATTATGAATGTAAGCGTCTTCAAAAATCTCATTGTTTCAACGAGCAGCCGCTCGTAAATTGTCTCGAGTTAGATAGGCCATACGCTGGGGTCGATCCCGTAGACATTTTTTATGCCCGGATTCACTCTTCATAATCGTTTAAGTACATCATTATGCAAGTAAGAAAAACGAGGGTGGACATCTGGGCGCGTGGTAGGTTTTCTGGAAATCACGTCGAAAAATGGACCCCTTTTGGTCGCTTTTCAGCTAACGAAAACTCATAACAGGTTTTGTGCGAGGTTTTCTAACCCTTTTCTTTGGAAATGGGCATCCGAATGAAGTAAATAAACGTTTATATTATTGAATATAAAAGTTACCAATTGCTAAAATAGTAAAATTATACTGTGCATGTGCAAATTTATGTTTTCCAAAACTTTTGCACTAATTGAAAATAATAGAACTCTTTGCGCATTCAAGAATAAGACTCTCACTTATATCATTTTTTGCAGGTGTAGTAGATGTGAGAACCATTGTAATTAAAGAATCGTTTAAGGCAACGTGCTTGCTAAGAATCAAACGTTTAAGTGTAAACAATCAACAAAACTAAAAAAAATGTCTCAGTCATACTCTGTCTCAGTCAACCAAACGCGACTGTGCTAAGCAAAATGCAAATAACGTTAATCGTAAAGTTCAATGAATAAAACCTGATGGATTCTCGATCTAGGTATTTCTCGGGACTATTACTCATGGCTGATTTGTTAATATCCTCCTTGTTTGTATAATCATTTCCAGTTAAGGCATATAATGCAGGAGGAATGGTGAACATCATAGCAGGATGAATCTTGTGTGCCTCCTGTCACCGTTTTCACTCAGAGATCTGTAAGGCCATGTGCTTGAAGTGGTTCCAACGTGTTTGGCAGTTGGCAGCACAACAATTTCGTATTCCAGTACCATGCATTGCATGCGGTATGATTCTGCAGTCAGATTTTTCATAATTAACCTGGAGCTGACTGCTGTACTTTCTCACCTAATCCCACTGTCAGTGGAAAGAGTGTGTAGACAATGATTTCATGGAATATCACTGACCACTCTCTGAACATCAGGCTGAGAATTGCTTAACCCTCTATTGATCATATCTTTATGAAGTATTGAGAGGTGCTTCTGCTTGTGGCACAACATGCCCAGAATGACCTCATCTTTACTTCTATTGGTGTGTTTGTATTGCTTGAAAAAAGATCGAGAGGATGGGTTTCTTTTCTTCTCCTTTTTTCAGAATTCTTGATTGAAAGCTCTTTGTACTGGTCAAAAATGCAATAAATTATCTTGGGGCTAGTAGAGCTTCAAATAAGGATTTTTCAATGAAGTCAAAGGTATTCCTGCAATATCCACAAAATAGGATATTTCGTTTGTTTTCATCTGACCAGATCTAGCATAATACACTCTTTTTTTCATAAGAACCAGTAAATTCAAGTTCAGGCTGACTGTTCTTGATTTTTTTGAAAATCTGAGGCTGGGTTGTTCTTAATTTGTTCTTAAACTAAGAGGGTGTAAGCAGTGCGATTGCTAGCTTTTTCGCTCTAAGGAGGTGTCCAGGCCTCATTTGCCAATAAAGTGAGTGAGACAGCCTTAATCTGCTGACAAATTTGAATATTCACTGAAAAAGTACCCACACATCGCTGATAATCTTTGATTTTGAGAAAAATCGTTGTTTAAAATTGCATTTTGCAGAAGCTCAGCCTCAGCTTGTTCTTAATTTGTTCTTAACTTTTGACCAGTTTTGAGGCTCGTGTTCTTATAAAATTGTTCTTATAAAAAAAAGAGTTTATTATACTTTTGGCATAATATTGACCAAAATCGTGGTTTAGCACAATATCTAGCATAACTTAGAATCTAACATAACTCTGGCATAATTTTGATATCTTAAAAAAAATCATCATTGTTTCCATTGGTTTGTTGTCTATCGTTACCAAATACCTTATACCAGCATGCATGGCTATCATTTTGGGAGTAAATTGTGACTTGCTACTTTCAGGGTTGCCAGATGTTTGGAATGATTGGCAGCCAAGCATTTTACCGTTGGCGGCCAAATTCAGCCAACTAAACGAAATATACAAAAAGCTAACTTTTGCTAATTGTGGGGAGTGATCGTGTAATCAAAATTTGCTTTGTAGGTTACGTTGCTTTATCTTAAATTGCTTTATCTAAACTTTCAGTTGCTTTATCTTAAATTGTCTGTTATCTTTTACTTTGTTTCATGTTGCGTCATTTAAAATTTTGAAAATGATTTCTGCAAACATTTTTGCTTCCTTTGAATTTTCATGGTTTTTGCAACATTTACGAACAGAGTTCAGCCAAATTTTGCTTCTTCGGCCAAATCAAATTATGACGGCCAAGGGGTTTTGAAAAACAGCCAAAATGGAGAAAGTTGGCCGTCAAAACAATTGATCTAAGTTGCCTTTTTCTGTATGAATTATGAGTATACTGTGTTTTAGACATAGAGATGAGTAGTCAAAAAGGCCAAATTGACACTCTGGTCATTTTTGCTATTCTGAGCATAGGTTAGCCTCTTTCCCTTACAGGATTGCCTTGATTTGAAATTTAGCATAAGTTTTGCAAATCTAGCATAATTTAATGACAAATTTGGCATGATTCCAAAATTGAGATCGGGTCAAACTGTTGCAGGGAGAGTTTAACTCAATCTCCAAATCTCGATATTAATCGCTCTTGGTCAAGTACATGGCCTTACAGAGCTCTGGATGAAAACTAGCGCTAGAAACCCACATAATTCATCTCGCTACACAGATCAGCAAGATTCATTGGTGAAATGACGTTCCAGCATTTATCCTGCATTACATGGAAATGGTTTTCCAAGCAAGGTGGAAATGAAGCAGTCAGCCATGGGCAGTAGTCTCGAAAAATACCACGATTGCAAAAAGCGAAAACTGCAGATTGCAAAAGCTGTGGAGTTCCTGGTACAGGTGTTGATGAGAGGGACAAGACTAGAAATGATGAACCACGCAGGGACCAGTATAACCATTGCCAAGATAAAATAAGAGAACTAAAATAGTCTAACTAAAACCCTTCGATTTACCTCCCTTTTCGCATCCCGATTCTCGGGGGAACGGGCTCTGTTGTCCGAAACAAGACCACCTTTGACAAGAGCAAGCCTTGACGAGGTGAATGAACGGTTGCTCTTATATCATATCATGTTTTAGTACGGTTTCTAGCTACTTTTCCTTCACCTAGTACTAGTACTAAAAAAATCTATTACCAGTTTACAGAATATGAGATTGGCATACTGCGGGCCAGGCCCTAATTTAACATTTGTAATGAAAGAAACAAGATTCATTAATTCAAAATTTCCGATCTGAAAAGTTCCAAATGTTCCGACAGATTGTATCAACAAAAATGTCATTGTTGATGCAATCTGTTGGAACATTCGGAACTTTTCGGATCGGAACTTTTGAATTAATGAATGTTGCAGTATTATTTATAAGAAAATTGAAGTCCATGGAATCCGATTACAACTTTTCACATGAGAGTTGGTGAGAAACTCTAATATGGTCTAAGCCGGTTAAGGCCCAGACGAAAGGGGCCATATGTTCTTTGGGGTGAACTTTCTAGGGGCTACATGAAGGGGAGCAGCTTATTGGAGGTCATAGATGAATTATTTGAGCAGAAGAACTTCATGGCCCCATGCTCTCAGTCAAAAGCCGCTGCTATTTTTAGTGTTCTAGAATCGCGGTTCTAGTACTGCTCGAAGTTGGAAGTGCAAAGACCGTCACGGATCACGTTTGGTATCCAGTGTCTGGATTCCAGATAAAAGTAGATCAATGTTGTTATTTAAAATAGTCACAGACAATCAGTTGACTTAAAATAACGTGGGTGTTGCTCCTGTGTGATACGACTCTGTGCTGAAAGGAGCTAAAACCTTTAGATACTCCCCAACGATAACCTCGCACCGCAATTCTTTCCATCGTTATGAAACCTTCGCAGTCAGACTCTTAGATGCAGCTCATCTTAATTCATTAAAATTAGGGAGATTCAAAGTTTAGGTCCAGAGGAAAGGGGCAATATGTTTTTTGGGTCCTGCTCCTGGCAACGTCAATCCACCTCGTTGCGTTGATTCTACATGTTTGTTAACTCATTGCATGCAAGCAGTACTGGAAATGAAAGTCTATTGTTCGATATCCTGAATACAGAGAAAACCCAACGTTCCATCCAAAGAGACAAAAAACAATGAGTTATTGAAAGACAGTACTAGAATTTGAAAACTACCAATGGGAAGGGATACCACAGTATCTTGGCTTTGGCACGCCATTATTGCAAAGGTCTGTGCGACACAAAGCAAAGGCGCACATGCAGTAAGCGCTATTGATAATTTTCAAACAAAAAGTTTAAAGAAAAACTAGAAAGTAAAGTGTTGCACCACTACATGCCACCACTGTCACGCACTCTCTCTCACACCAACTGTAGTAGGAATGTATATCAAGTGTCATTACGCTAACCTCGCTTTGACGCGCGCTATTTCTGTCTTGCTCATCGCTCTAAAGACTGCCCAAAGTTACTCTCCTTCGCAGAGGCTGTGGCAAACAACCAACCTTTTTTGTCAGGACCCGTGCCCGTCTCCCGGTCCATTTCAGCCCCTCTTTCCTACTTGGAACAAATCTACTTTCAATACACAAATTGAAACAACACCACTATTGTTCAATCTCAATACAACTCCCTTTAAAAACATGAATGTAAAATACCCAACTAAAGACAATTTTTGGAATGTCTTGGTTGAATCAACCTTTCGCTTCGCCTTTTTGCATGTTTGTTTCTGTCCTTGTTGCTATGTTGCTGAGATTCGCGCAAATAAATGTTGATTTTTTGACGCAGTTTATTTGGCAGAGGCACGCCGCAACTCGTTTTGAAAGATCGGTTGCCAACAAACGCCTCTGCGATGGAGAGTGACACAAAGTAATAGGTACAACTAGACCTATCTATTTAATATACAACGATAGGGAATGGTTTGCTTATAAAAAGGAATTCCATAATTAATTTCCCTCTCAATACTGCGGCTTGTAAGATCATACCGCACGTCAACCAGCCGTACACATCTGTTGATCAATAGATTGCAGAATTATTATTTCTGGTAACATGTGCATGACAATTCTCATACAAATCCAGTAGTTAAATTATTTCTGTCTGCTGTAATTTCGTGGATTATACAATCAATACCTGAAATATAAACAAGTAATTGTCGTTAATTTTCAAGAACCACCTTGAATGTAAACATGTTTAACTTCTCTTGTAACAAGACGAACGATGATGCTGAAGAAAAGGTGTGCCTTACAGAGGCAACAGAAGAGAATCCAAATGACGATGACGATAAAACGGAGATTGACAAGTCAGAGGAAATATTGCAAGAACAGAAGGCTCAATCATCCATTTTGCAAACATCGTTCAACATCCTTAACTTGATACAAGGTTTGTCAAATATATTTCTACATCTATTTGTTCAGTAAAATTGTGATGATGCTGTCAAGCTCTCGATACTTAAAGTTTACATGTCTTGACGTAATCTTTCTTTTTAATTTTTTTTATACACAGTCTAAAAAAAGTACATTTTACAAGAACAAGATTACAAAGACGTTGCCAATGGGAGCATGATAGGCATGGCTACCCATTGACTTAAACAAAAAAAAATACAGTAGCATCAAAGGCTATACCAAATCCTGTTTAGTCCTTGCGGAAAGCTGGTTCGATCAAAATACAAAGAGGCTACAACTTGAATAGAAGATAAAATTTGGACAAGGTTTTGGTGTGGTCTTTAGTGCTGATTCTACATTACTATACATTTAATGCTAAAAGATAAATGGAGAAGGATGAAATGTTAGATAAGTTAAACAATTGTGGTATTTTCTGGTGCTGCAAGAAACGTTCTGATGTATGAATGAATTTTACCGTAGATTCCAAGTTTTTTTTATTTTCATCATGTGAAAATCTTTTGTGACCATACAACATAATATGCACAAGGGTTTGTTTTGACGGGTTTGAAATGCTATTATCGCGTCAAGGAGATCACACCTTTGATCATCATATGCATGGCAATGCAGCAAGTGTTCAGTGTCCTCGATTCTGTCGTTAACTAGGCACATAGGATTGACTGTGTCCCGAAAGTTATGACTAAATTTGTGGGAATTTAGTTTACTGAGGCCAACGCGTAGCTGAGTGAGAATGGCAACACCTTTTGGATCACAAATTCCATAAAGAGGCTTCTGGGCAGGGCGGATAAGAGAAGATATTCTATTTTTGAATAAGCTGACTGTAGGCGATTCTCTGATCTCAGAGGCAAGGCTATTCCATTCTTGTAAACCATTTGGGTAGAAGCTTGACTGAAAGCGCTCTGTTCTTGCATTTATTCGCCCAACGACAGCATGATTTTTAAGTGCGTAAGTTGGCAAACGAGTTTGTGGAATAGGATGTCTTGTATATTCCGGAGCAAGGTTATTAATAAACTTAACGAAGAGAATTAGACGCCTGACGCCTACTCCATCTTCTGTCATTTAAAGGTTCCCAGCCAAGCTCCTCGTATATTTTATTTCTCGAAGTACCTTTCCATGCACCTGTTATAGCTAAGCCAGCAGAATACTGGACTGATTCAATTCTTTCCATTTGGCGATGTAAGAGGATTTCATGGCTGAAGTCACACACTTTCTGCGGGATATGATAAATAACGTCACTATAGTCAAGGTGGGGCCTAACATAGAGTTTATAGAGAGAGTTTAAAGTCTTTCTTGGCAGGTAATCAGATAGGAACCATAGCATACCAACCCCACGTCTCGCTTTATTGATTGTAGATTGAATATGACTGGAGAACGTAAGTCGGTTGTCAAACACTACACCTAGATGTTTATGTTCGTCAGCCTTCATGACAGTTTCATCATTAAAGAATATAGGCGGGTGATCAACGGGAATCTTTTTTCTAGAAAATGTCACTTCAACTGCTTGCTTCGCCGGTTCAGGATTGAACGACATCCTCCAGTCATGTGCCCAACGGTTGATACGCTCTAAGTCATGATTCAGATCTGCAGCGTATTTATTTGGGTTGTGAGCAACTGAAAAAATCGATGTGTCATCGGCAAATAACTTAACATTGCATTTGAGATCTGTTGTCAGATCATTGATCATGAGACAAGGAAGAAGAGGGGACCTAAAATCGACCCCTGTGGAACTCCAGCATCAATTTTGCCCCATTGTGATGTTTTGCCATTCAAGACAGTACGCTGCATGCGGTCTTTTAAAAAACTGCGAATCAGTGATAAAAACTGCCTAGAGACACCATTTTGCTGTAATTTGTAGATCAATCCATCGTGCCATACTCTATCAAAAGCTTTCGAAATGTCTAAAAAAACTGACCGTACATCTAGAGGAGGGTTGCAGTCAAATGCAACAAAGATAGAGTTAACAATTGAGATCAACTGGTTGATAGTAGAGTCTCCAGGGCGAAACCCAGATTGGTTTGGATTTAGCAGTTCATGGAAGGAAAGGTGCTCGTACAAGGAATCAAACATTAACTTTTCTAATACTTTTCCAAGAATAGGAAGGAGGGAAATGGGACGATAGCTTTGCTTGGGGTTCTTGTTGTTCTTTTTGTGAACTGGAACGACATTGGCTCTTTTCCATACTTCAGGGAAAACGCCTTCTTTCAAGCATGCTTCGAATATTAACTTTAGAGGAAAGACTAGGCTGTCGTCATAAATTCTAGTCATACGAACAGATATGTCATCCCATCCATGTGCCTTATTTGGGTTTAAGGAACGTATAATATTGAGTCTTTTCTCCTCTGAGACGCAGCAATCGGTCAATGAAGGTGCTTTGGATAAAATCTGATCTGGTACTTGGCTTCCAGTATCTATTGTAGTACATTGGAGTACAAAATAGTCATTGAACATTTGTGCTTTCGACTCAAAATCAAGAACAAAAACGTCGTTTTCCAAATAAGGGGGAGCAACTGGCATTTTGGCCTTGTTCAGTATTTTGTTTACCAGGGACCAGTACGTTTTTGGCCTGTTTCAGAATTTGAGAGAGGGTTTTGCCAATTTTGTAAAATACTGTCTTTTGGCTTTCTCGATGATTTTAGAGCTTTGTGCTATCATATTCTCGATATCCACTAGTTTGCTATCGGGTCTACCATTCTTAACAAAGTTTTTGTACGCTCGATTTTTCTTGCGGATGAAATTTTTTATCTACTTGGTTATCCAAGGTGCCTGACGAGGCCGAACGGTTTTAGTCGTGACGTGACGTAATCTTGTCATACTTATTCAAAAAGTTTTTATTGATTCAGCGATTGAAAGTTCGCTTTGGAGAGAAGAAGGGTTTGTACTTAGTGACTTAGGGGAAAAAAAGTTTTTATAAGCAGGAATTACATTATATTAACTAGGTAGGTAATAGCTTGCATGCTTGTTGGGTAATAACTAGCAGGGTGGGACATGAAAATGGTTTTGTAAAAAGGAATTACTTGAGTAAACTAAAGCTTTTCGTCTGACATTCTTCAGAGTTTAAAACGTCAGAACATAGATCGAAAATTCTACGCTAGGACATATATATACCCAGTTGTGGATCGAAATAGGCCAATCAAAAGCACGAGCACATGACTGTTGAGGTTGACCAATCAGTGCCGCTTGCCTAAAGAGGATGTTACCAATGGAGTCCTAATGTGAAAACGAACTCCTTTTGTTTACACAATAGCGGATTTTTCGTGCTAATGTAGATAGCTTCCAAAACTGATAGATGAAATGACGATCGGGCTTTACCAGTAATACGAAACATGTACGTTATTACAAAAAACAGAATACAGAAAACATTAAAAAACACATACGCTATTACAAATAATCTTTATAATGGAATTGAACTATATCTTGGCACATAAAGATGAAGATTTACAGGTGCAAGCCTAAAAGGCATAAACACTTTCTCTGTTCAGTTTTTTCCCAAGCTGAATCAATGCAGATAGGATAAAACTCGATAAATTCGTAATACTTTAATGTTTCTATCATTTCAATTAATATTTCTGTTAAATTTCATAATATGTAAAACTTTCAGGAATGGGAACGTTAGGAATCCCATACGCGATAAAAGTTGGTGGACTGTCATCTATAATCTACATCGTGATAATTGCCGTGGTCACGTGTTATACTGGGGGCTTAATCATCGACGCACAGTATGACGATGGGTTTGATGAAGATGACAAGGAAGGAAAAGAGAAATCAAAGCCAAGAGTTGGATACGCTGCCGTTGGTGAGTTGGATACCCTTTTAGTACATGACATGCATTTGAGTCTGCATTCAACTAAGAAAGCAAGGAAAATCACACCGTATTTTGTCAACTGGTTGTCCTTTGAACTTCAGAACAAAAAAATGCTCTAGCATGCAGAAATTTAGTTGTTCATCGGGCAAGGAATACCGGAGAAACCTTTAGCATAACAAAAAGAATTCAAGGTACAGCAATACAATTTTTATCTAAACTATCCGATAGAGAAACCTTTTCTTGCCCTAAGGGGTGAGAAATTTTTAGAATATCTTGTCGCATTTATCGGATCTTCTCAATTAACTTTTGACAACCCAGGCTACTTTAGGTCCTTTTTGCTCAACTAAGGCCTTGCGAGTTTGATAATTGACGATATTGTAAAGGCAAGATCGTCTTAGAAGTCAGCTGCTCATATTCGTTCAATTGCATGGCTCTTGGTATAAATCTCAAAATACCTCATACAGTAGAAACTCGCATAAAAGAAGCTAGGTTTTTTTCTGGCAGCCTGAATAGGTTCTTAATTAACAGGCTGCTATTCTAAATTCCAGTCTAAAAGGTTCTTAACAAGGCTCTTATATACGTACAGGCCTTGCATACATTAACAATGTTTTCCACCGCAAGAATTCTAATGGACACACTTAAACCAGCTTTTTTTTATGTTAAATTTCAACCAATCTAATGAATTTGTGTTGTTAGATTGTCCTGTTAGAATGCAACATACCATAACCTTATTTAATCTAAAAACAATTTTTTCTTATATATACATATATACCTTTCCAATTTTCAGCCTCCTGGGGGTTCTTAATCATGGGGTTTTAAAGGTTAAATTTCAGCCTCAATGTTCTTATAAAAACAGGTTCTTTTATGCGGGTTTCTACTGTATCATTCTCAGTATAAATCATTGTTTCTCGATATATCTCCACGTCAACCTCATAAAATGCAACACAAACAATGACTTTAAACAAAGTTGCAATTAAAGCGGATATGCAGCCGAAATTAAAATTTTTTTAGTTTTGATCTATAGTTTTATAGCATAGGTTTATTTTCCTAGGTAGCTGGATAATATTGAAAAAGATCGTTCCAAGGATCTAAGATTCGATTTTTTAAAATCAATTGAAGATATATATTGATAAATAGCTTAGCAAAGGATTTAGGGGTCGGGGCAAACTGCTTGAAAGCATTTTTCGTAATCTTTAAGAGACGAGAAGATGTACTGGATGGATAGTTTTCTGGTAAAATATCTGTAACTAGATGGAAAGACTTGAGATACAAATGGCAACCTAAATACTGAGATATGTTCAGAAAGCCTTTGTCTGTACGTTGATTAAATGACCATAATTAAAATGAGCGTCTTTCATCTTCTGCTTTAAGCTTTAACTCAAAGTCTACTAGTTTGTTTGTTTTATTTATCGTGTAGATAGGGCAATATAATGATCTAAGAAGTAATTATAACTATTTTCTTCTGAATTAATGCCATCTGTATTTACCATGCCAAATGTCCATGACGTCATACTTTTTTAAAGAAAAACAATGTAAAATTGTTCTTCCATCTTTAAAAACACCTGCGATCGTCGAAGTATAGTTGTAGCTTAATTTGCTAATAGAAATGACATTCTTTTGAACTCTAATCGTGCAGTGTTTCTTTTTAAGATTTTGTAACCAAACCCTCACAACTACTTATGTCATTAATCCTAATCAGGTCAGAAACTTAAACTAAAGGCAGATTTTTCAATTTCCATAATGATATTTTTCAAGGAGAAATATGTAGAAATGAACATTGTTCTATATACATTCGTTCAATATATACATTCGAAAAACCGAGGTTTTGCCAAATAGTTCAAATTTGCAACATCGTTTGAAGCATTTCTCAGCCTGAAGAGGCAGGTGCTATGTCGTATAAGAAACAATGTGTCTGATGAATTCAAAACGACATGTAGAAATGCTGTATTGTCAAATTATATATAGCTTGATGTTCTTCAATTATATTGTATTATTATAGGTGAAGCTGTTTGGTCAACATATGGTTCCCGAATCGTGAGCACAGTGCAATTGGTACATCTATTTGGTGCATGCGTTCTATACCTTATACTTGTTTCAAATTTCTTAGAAAGCATATTCCCAGAGATATTGCTAACCAAGAAACATTGCATGATTCTAGCTGGAGTTCTGGTCTTTCCGACTGCGTTCTTGAGCAATTTAAGTAACATCGCATGGCTTAGTTTAACAAGCGTTACTTCACTCAACATCGTCTTCGTTCTTTTAATTGGGTATTCCGTCAGCGAGTATCGTGAATGGAGGATATCATCACTTCACATGGGTAGCATTGATGGTATGGTAATTTCCATTTGCATCATACTTTTCAGCTACGTTGCTCACCCTTACCTTCCAAAAATTGAAGGTAACATGAAAGAGCCGGAAAAGTTTAAATTCGTTACAAACGTAGCCTTCACGATGGCAACGATGACTAAGATTGTTTTTGGGGTAGCACTTGCCTGCCATTATGGCGACAAGACCAAGCAAAGGGTAACAAATAACGTCAGGAGCAGAAGTCTCAAATTAGCAATTGACGCTCTCTTGGCACTAAGTGGCCTCTTTTCGTTTGCAATGCCGCTAAACGTCATTTTGAACATTATTGAGAAAGCAGACTTGCAGTTGCTTGTCAAGATTTTCCCACTGTTTCGCAAAAACAAGCCGATGAGTTGCAGCGAAAGAAGCATCGACCTAGCAATGAGGGTCATACTTGTTTGCATGAGTACGACAGTAGCGATGCTCATACCAGAATTCTCTCTTCTCATGGCGATCTTTGGTAGCGTCACTGCTGTTGGCTTGGTTATTCTATTTCCAATCCACTTCCATGCACAAATGTTTAGAGACAAGATGACTAAGAAAAGCCTAATTCTAAGTTACATGCTAGTCGCTGTTTTCATTGTTATTGGTGCAACTGGCCTAGCCTCATCTTTGAAGGCACTTGTACAAGCAATAAGGACATCTAATGAATAAATGAAAACTGAACAACGAAAATTCACCAACATTGACTAGAAATTGCCGCTCCTTTGTAGCAGAGTGACTGGTGCAGTAGCTGAATACTTGAAAGTAATACAGTAGACTCAATAATGTTTTGGTCTTTACATGCTGAGATATCGTTGAATGCTGCAAATATCGAAAGCATTCAAACGCTCTCTAAACCGAGAAAGTTATGAAAGGAAAACTTGCTGTTCAACATGAGGCCTTCTAAATATCAGACTTTGAATATATAAGGTTGGAAAAAATCTGGAAGTTTTCAGAGAGAACAAATGTCAAAAGTTCGGTCAACAATCAGAGAATGCTTCACTAACAACAAACAGTAAAAATACTGTATTCTCTAAGTGCGGGCAATAGGAACAGGCTTTTAAAGTTTTTTGCAGGAAGCAAAAAGAACAAATTATTCCTGTAAAAAAATTGTTTCATGGGAAAGGTTTGTCCATTAGACTGAGAATGAATTTCCAAAGTAGTACCAAACAGTTTCATCTAGTAAATTTGCATACTGGGTATCGTACTTGTTTTATCATTTGGGATTTAGCTAAGTCTTCGTTATCTTCCCATTTTAACATTGAGATTAAAGTCCTTTTAATTTAGTATTTGAATAGCTTCTCAATTGCAGAAATTAACGTGTTATTGTTTAATTCTTCAGGAGTATTACGAAACCTTATAAAGATGATATATGGATTTTTTTTTCTTTAGGTGAACACCAAATTTTTACTTTAAAAACAAATCACTGCAGAATGAAAAATGGTTTTAATCTAATTTTAAATTTTATAATAAAACATGATATAATCATTGAAATAACTAGCTTTCATTTTTGCAATGTTTACAAGTATGAATGATAAAAAATTTATCATATTTCTTGCAAAATAGCACTAGCTGAAAGTTTACCCCCGTAATGACTAGTAAATAAATAAAATAAACAAATTAATGTGTATGCTATGTAATCAAAATAAGTATTACTTATTACCTTACTATCACGGCGTCTTTTAATGCTTTACCATGCTCTGCTAGACCAATGATGTCCTTTGTCGTGAGCATCTGTGCCTAGGATAAGAAAAATACATGCATAGAGAAAAAATGTGTATTCATCATCTGATTCGTTTCGTTGAAAAGCAGCCAAATGTGAAACTTAAAATAACACTGCGAAACAACTATGCTTAATGAAATTTCAGTCATTTTAATGCTTGGTAAATTATTTCTTAAATAGAAGTTTCGTTTATTTGGGGTGCACTTAACACATACTAAGGATGGACGCTAGAGCATCTGAAGGAAAATATGGGAAGATGTGAGAAGATGTGGGAAGATGTGGGAAGATGTGGGAAGATGTGGGAAGATGTGGGAAGATGTGGGAAGATGTGGGAAGATGTGGGAAGATGTGGGAAGATGTGGGAAGATGCTGAAGATGCGAAAAGATGCGGAAAGATTCGGCTTCACTAATATCTGAAAGTTTTCTACAGGGTTTTACCATAGCTGCTGCGATGTTTTGAGGATCGTTGCAAAATATTTATTGACGAAGTTCGATTAAATTATACGGAGCAGCTAAATGTGCTTACAAAGGCTCAGGCAGAAGCGGACTGGCCCACCGGGAAATTTTCCGGTGCGCCCTTTGCCCCAAATTATTTTTTTCAAAAACTTTCAAAAGGCAACTAATCTTCGAACAAAACTAAAATTGATTACAACCATCAATTGACCTCCTGTCTAAAGTGCGTTTTCATTAAAAGTTTAGCTTTACCTTTAAGTTGAGCAATATTAAGACCCCGTTTACACTAGAGTGTTTTATCCGGATAAATTTTTATCCGGATAAATTTTTATCCGTTTACGTTGTACCGGATAAAATTTTATTCGTTTAGCCCCTCCGTTTACATGGTGAAACTAAATGGTGAGTTTTTTAATTGGGCATGCGCACAACCCTTGATTTAAGAACGGTCGAAAATAATTTTCATTGATGTCAGAGTGAACACGTTGATATTTCTGTCATAAAGTCGACAATGCCAAAGAAATCGGAGAATACATCGACGGGAAGTAGCAAGAAGGCTGATAAGAACTTCACATGGACAGATTAGGAAACTGCTTTGCTGCTCCAAGGTCTGTCCCAGAATCGGCGTGGTCGTCGATTTCTTCTTGAAGCTTTCAGAATACGGCTTATTCTTTGCAGCCGTGAATTGCTATAGTCAACTATCGATTCCAAGTTGCGTTGGCTAGCTCTATAGGATCTCTCAGATATAGCAGCTAGCTGAGCATTTAGCCTTGCTGCAGCAGCTACTGAGCTTAAAAATGCAAACAGAGATAGTATGATGTTTTGAAGACTTTCATCCATGATAGTTCAGGAAACAGCAAAAATGACATGAAATATTAACAAAAGCGCGCCAATTTTTTCTCTTGCGCAGTTTCGTTATCATATTTAAATGGCCTCAATATGAAACAGAATAGCCTCACTGTGTATGCGTATAAAAATTTATCCGGATAAAACTGTTTACACTCCCCTTTGCCGGATAATTTTCTATCCGGACAAAAATTTATTCGCTTTCGTAGCAGGATAAATATTTGTACGGCAAAGCGGATAAATATCTACACGGATAAAATTCGCTCGTGTAGACGGAGAGCCTATCCGCGTAAATTTTTATCCGGATGAAAATTTATCCGGATAAAAGACTCTAGTGTAAACGGGGTCTAAGATTGATTGTTAAGTTCAATTGTTAAGTTTAATTGTTAAGTTTCCAGATCTTTGTTATTGTAAAATTCATTGAAGACGAAATTTTGATCAGCAAATTCTGCAAGATTTTTTAAAAACCTTGAAAAGAACATATTTTGTTTTGGAAATTTTGGACAACTTTTAAACATGCTCAAATCTTTTTCATATGAAACCTCTGAGAGCATATAACGTCAGAATCAGGGTCCAAAAGAACAAGATGGAAAATTCGATCCAGAAATTGGCATTTATTCTCTATCTTGTTCTTTCTTATCTTTATTCTGACGTTTTATACTCAAGGTTCAGACGAAAAGGCTTTTAGTATGTTAAAAATGTTTGCTTTTTTCAAAGCCATTTTAAAATTTAGAAGCGCCAAAAAATTGTCCATATTTTGTTTTACTGACAGCAGTAGCTGTGGTAGCAGCCAGAAGGCCTACTCTCACTTCCAACCCTCGTTAGTTTTTAATTTTTCAAGCAAGTGCACAATACTTGAAGTAATTTCATTTCTGTTGAGGTGACTAATAATTTTGTGAAACCCATGACTTATTATTAACCATATTAGATTAACTATATTATTAACTATATACTTTCTGAACGTCCTGTTGGTGGCAAGCTATTTTATTTTGCAATTCAACTAAAAACTCATAGGCATCATGCTCTTTGTACGTTACAACTAGAAATTTTGTACCCAAAAGAAATTATGACTTATTGGAGCCAAAAATCTTGACCACTTTTTAAAAAACTTTATACGGAATTTGTTGAGAATTGATGGCATCATGTACGAACCTTCTGTAAAACTTAATGGAAAGTTAAACCGGCTGTTTTGAAAAAGAATTGGTTTCAAATTTACAGCTATCTATTAAAGTATTCCAATCTTTCTTCAAACTTTTGTTCCGGAATAAAGACTGTGCTTTTCTTGAGAAATTTTTTACCCTTTTTACCATGTTTTCACACAGTTTCTCATACAGAAGGAGCCTTCAATCTGTAAAGTCATCATTTTTCGCAAAACGGACGGCAGCAGGGTCTCTTAGAATTCATTTGTCCAAGATATGTTATCAGATATCTTTCGGACAAGTCTAAAGTTTTGAGCACATATTCAATACCTGATCATAATTCCACACGCTGATGTACTGGCATAATACCTTTTGTCAATGATTTGTATCTCTAGTGTAGAGGCAGGTGAAACACAGTCATTAGGCTAGCAGGTGCTAAGGCACCCCCTTTATTTTGTTTCAAAGATATGCTGCAAAACTTTCGAAAATTTATGAGAATGAAGTCATGTCTTTCGTCAAACTTCTATAGATTTCGAGATCGAGTTTAATTTAAAAGAATCTCGTCTCCTAGGCCAGAGAAGTTTCTTTCTTTCTAAAATCTTGGAAGATAGTGTCTCGCTAGCTGAAAAATCATCATTTGATACCTAAAATTGAGGGCAATACATCAATTGGTACCTACAAATGTTGTCAGCCGTGTAGACGTTTCAAATACATTCAATTTGACTGAGAATCGTCTTCATGCCAATGCCAATTATGAATAAAAAAGTTTGATTTTCAACATGGGGCATGTTCCGACATTCTAAATAATGTGATTTCAAAAAATTTTCCCCCGTTTCCTATGACAATGTTTGCAACAAACTGATTCTCAGCCAAAGCAAAGTTTTTCCAAGCCCGTTTTACAACCCCAAAGTTAGGTGACTTTAGGACCTATTGGCGCCCTTTTGGCTGCTTTTCCCGGTGGGTCAAATGATTGCCAGTCCGCTACTGGCTCAGAGGAAAGGGTGAGACGACTTTATCATATCTAGATTGGGTACAATAGATCAAAATTAATGGTATGAATTTATTTTTGCGGGTAACACTAAAAGTTTAGAAAATGTTTGAATTGAGTCGTAATGATGCTTTTAGAATAATTCATAAATTATAAAGTGTTTAAAGTTGGAGAAAATTAATTCGACCAATAAAAATTACACAATACACACTTTTTATATATAAGAATGTAGTCTATTCTTTAAGAAAATTAAGGCTCAAAATCGCTGAAATTTAAGAATAATTTAAGAATAATGCAAGGCTCAAGCTTCATCAAGAATAGAATTTCTTGTTTATTTGTGTTTTTTGAAAGCAAAACAAATGCGAGCTAAACGCTATATGTTTTGCAATGGATGTATCCGTGCAATGGATGGATATTAACACTATAATGCGACTCAGTTACACCTTGTGTTGCTTAAGAATAATTTAAGAATAATCTTAGGCCCAAAAGAAAAAAAATAAGTTATTCGTATGAAAAAAGTTTGTAACAAGAGTCATAATTAATAACCTTGCAAGCATGTTTTCGGTCACTGGCTTTTTGGGCCAAGGATTTTATGAGATCCCGTGTGTTGTATGACAAATTATATTTAGGTAACTCGGTACCTTTAATGTGATTATAAAACATAATTAAAAACACATATAAACGATCAAAACATTTTGATCGTGTATGTGTGTTTCTAATCATGGTTTGATTACGGTTATCGCACACAACAACAGGCTACCTATCTTTAACGGGGCGGTTTTTGAAGCAAAATGTTATGGTTGAGGACCACCATTTATTTTCCTACAATGTAGTCCAATGCCACAAGTTCGTCTTTCTGATTTCTAAGAGGTGGATAATGCTCTTTGATAATGCTGCACTTAGGGCACAATGTTTGTTGGTGCAGAGTTCTTTTGTTCGATTATGATTTTCTCCAAAACTTCAAACGAAAATCTAAACTTTCACAGTGTATTTTTTATCAACTAAAAACTGCATATACTATAACATAATTTTAGCTAAAGAAAGTAAAAGATTGTCAGTGCGAAGTTATGATTCAGTTTTTTCGCAAACGGTTTCTGATTTATCTATCTACATTTCATTTACCCCCATGCTGCAGTGTATTAATTAACGGTTTCTCTGATTTCTAAGAAGTGGAGCATTCATTACCTGTTTTCTTAGAACGTTGGTACGCTGGCTTTCTAAGAAAATTTATAAGTAAAACAAACAAGCACGATTGTTGGCGATATCAAACCTTCAAAAAATCTTAAAAGATACAACTCAGTGTACGAGATACAAGTAAGCACAAACACTGAGAAGAACGATGTACTTTGTGACGTCATCAAATGTCCATACTTCCAAACTACACCAAAAAAGATTCATCGTGAATTTAAAATCTCCAGGGTCGACTTAGTAAGAATCAGTGAAAGAATATCAAGATCAAGTTAATCACAGTAGCATGAATTTAAATTTTCATGAGAACCCAACTACTTTTGCAAGCCAGTAACTTATGCTTTTTGACAATAGAAATGCATCTGTTTTCAAATAAAGTCGCCTGACGATCGCAATTAGCGTGAAACTCTGGGTTGCATTCGAGAACCGTCCTGTTCGATACACTAAAGGCTTTCCTTACTCAATTCAAAAGAGAAGATCCTAGCAAACGCAAAGAATATTTTTTGATTTAACTAATTATCCAGGAATAGCTTCAGCAAAATCAGAAAAAAACCTTGGTTACGTTTTGTCCAAAATTTGATTATTTCTTAAACTTAAAACGCGGTCTATTCTTAAAATCAAGTTCTAAAATTGCAGGTTCTGAAAATTGTTGACAAAAATGCTGTATTTGCTTCTACATCGACCATACGTTGGCTAGAGTTGCCTTGATATGATTCCCTTGAATTCATTGAGAAATAATTAAAGTATCCAAACTAGAGAAAAAATTATGTTTTCGAAACAGTCCATTTACTGGCAAGATAGTGCCTTGGACCTTTCCCAGTTATACCTGTATCTCCATTCAACCACTTCTATGCAAAGGTGTTTCTTTAAGCTGGAATTAGTTAGCATCGAAGCTAAAATTACATCCGTTATGTTATTGATATACATCAAAGGTGTAGATCAGAATACCAAGAGCGCTAGTACACATATGGTTGCATTTCGCTTTCAAGTAAGCTTACTTTAGCCATATTTCACTCAAGAATTCAACAATCAGTGAGTGTGGCTCGACTTACACGCTTATTGATTGACTAATGTTAATAAATTAGGGTGGGAAAGTTTTCGAATTTTGATGATTCCCATTCACTGGAAAATGCACTCATTGGATAACTTACTTTTAGAATTAACATCCACAGGCGGAACATTATTGGGCCGTTTTAATCGATTTTCTTGTAATCATTCTCGTCATTTGCGCACCCAACCCTGAAACGTTTGAATGTGAAGTTTTTTCTCATTGGTCACAGTTTGCCATTTAACAGTTAAAAAACTAACGTGCCGAGGAGTGAAGAAGGTCGAATCGAAATGAAAATGCAAACAATCAAATATACCATCGACAATCATTGTTTTTTAACTAATACCACCAACAAGTTTGCTGAGTAGGCACCAAAAATGCCAAATCTGCCGAATTAAGAACAGATTCATAACTTAGAATTAACATCCACAGGCGGAACATTATTGGGCCGTTTTAATCGATTTTCTTGTAATCATTCTCGTCATTTGCGCACCCAACCCTGAAACGTTTGAATGTGAAGTTTTTTCTCATTGGTCACAGTTTGCCATTTAACAGTTAAAAAACTAACGTGCCGAGGAGTGAAGAAGGTCGAATCGAAATGAAAATGCAAACAATCAAATATACCATCGACAATCATTGTTTTTTAACTAATACCACCAACAAGTTTGCTGAGTAGGCACCAAAAATGCCAAATCTGCCGAATTAAGAACAGATTCATAACTCTGGGGGGGGGGGGGAGGTGTCGCCCATGTGTCTCCATGTGTGGGTTATTAGATATCCAAGGTTTTTATGTCATTTTAATGCTTGTATAGGGGGTTGTTTCCATATTTTATTTAGTTCCCCCTGTTCCCTACCGGCGCCACCAGTGGTTGCTAGTGGTTTAGCCACTTTTGTATTTGTATCTGGTCATCTGGTCTTTAATTTTTAGCCAGGGAACAAACATCAACCAAAGAGGCTCTTGAAACCAAAGAGGCATGAAAAAGACCGACACCGTGGAAATTCAAGCTAATTCCAAACTTTAATTGCCTTGAAGGCCATAAAGTACCAAGCAGCCTGGTAATCGGAACAGGAAATGGACAAGAAAAGATCCCTTTCCCTACCAGAGAGCAAATAGAAATTAACTTGGCAAAACAAATCAAGGGTTCTTATTTAATAGTCCTAGTCATTACTTAAAAACCTGGACATCATTTCGTCACTTGACAGTAGGACACAAGACATTTTGAAATCACGTTTCACCTTACAATTCACACAACCAGGAAAGCTGAGTGTTCTTTGTCAACCCCGTTGTTCATGTTGAGTTAGGCGATGTTTTGCTCCTTAATGGCAAACATATGTGCCTGAAACATTTTACACCCAATTAAAAAACATGCTTGAGGCAGGCGTTGTGTATAAACACAAACAAGTTGAAGCATAAACGAAAGGAGAGACAGGAGTTAAGCCAATCAGGCAGCATAACACTTAAACAAGTTCTGGCAGGAGTTAAAACAGGTTTTTCACACTACTAAAAAGTCTTATCTAAACTTCTATCATTCCAGTGTCCGCTAGTTAACTGATGCATACAGTTTGAAAATTCTGCTCAAATTTTTTAGTTGACTTTTTAGTTGACTGGCCCAAACAATACACTTTTCACTTCCTATCTATATTTTTCATACAAACACATCCACATCAACAACACAAATAGTTTTCAGGTGCCATATCTCAGTGAAGCCCATAGTAGGGAAAGTTAAAAAAATATGGCCCCCTCTTTTTTCTTCATAGTTCCTGCATTCTCATTCAACTAAGATGTGAGATCAAGTTTCTTCCTACGTAGCTAATTGGGATCAAATCATGAAGTTGTGCCAAAAGATGAAATGGTCTACAAGTGAACCAAGCTGAATGGCACACATTTCAGATCATAAGGAAACAAAAGGGCTCAAAGAGGGCATGGAAAGGCAAGATGCATGGCAGCCAGCAGGGGGAAACAGATACCAATAATCACAAATACTTTTGTTTTAAATTGTAATCAAACATTGTAGCATTTCAGAATCAAGTTTGCTTTCATTGCTTTGAGAACAATGGCAACTGCAAATATTTGCTCCTGTATACAGCTAGGGGAGGGCACAGTGGAATTGAAATTTTCTGGTTCAAGAGACAGTTAGAATTATAAAAAAAATGAAAATACTTGAAAGAGAGCGAAAAATAAAGCCTAAATAAAAGTGAAATTTTTGAATTCCCAAAATCAGAGTAGGTACCTGTACAATATGCTTTTATGTCCGCGGCACCCTTGCCTGTTGGCTTCAAAGTGCAACTTTCTTGTAAGAATTGTCATACCTAAACAGAATTCTCCAAGGGAGGTTGAGGTGAAGGAAGCTGCAAGGAAAATATAAAAACAAATGTAAGAGCTAAATAAATAGCCAGATTTTGGTCAACATAATTAAATTCAGTTTGGATACAAAATATTTTCTTCCTGTTGCAAAAGATTTCAATATACGCCCTTGTTAATTTAGAAACACTGTAAAGAACAAGTGTAGAAACAGAAATTTGATGCTGTATGCAAAAAAGAGGCTGTAGCTAAAACAGGACAATCATTGAGAAATTATGATCAATTTAAGGTGAATATTGGTATACTGGCTTTATTGGTGATGAGTTCAGTATTGGTGATGAGAAAAATTAATTTGCAAAAAGAGGACAAAAAATGTGAATGTTCCACAAAAAATGAGAATAAGACATGTTGAAAATGCTTGTTCTTTATAGTGTTGAGAATTCCTCAATTAGAACTATGGTTACAAAGAGTTAGGTAATAAAAAAGGCATCACCTATATTTTTATTCGTAAAAGGAAGGAGGTTGGATTGATTTAGTAAAGAAAAACTTAAAAACATTTCTTTATAGTTCTGACCCCTTTGCAAAACTGTTTCCTCTACCGCTTTTGCCCAGAAGACTTAAGGTTTTGCTTGCTTTCTCCTGGTCTCCTGGCTTTTTTACATTTTCTCCTTATTTCTCACTTTCTTTTTGAAGAGGTATTCTTTAAAGTAGCTTACAAATTAACAAAAAACACTAAAATCATTATAAGGTTATCTTTCAGCAATTTTTGGCATTTATGGTTTGCCCAGCACCACATATTTACAGGTATATATCAACAAATTCATATTAACCCCCTGTTTTTGGCCAAATCTCCTGATTTTCTTGAGAAAAAAATAAAGTCTTGAGGTTTTGAAAATTTTAAGTTTACATGTCTGCCTTTGTGAGTTATGAGGAAACAAAAACTGTTTTTGGGAATTTTTGAAATTGGACCACATATCCTGCAGAAAGATTACGAAAACCTCAAAAAAGTAAAAATAACATACATAGACATATGAACAGCAGGGTAGAGGGGCACAGGGGGCATGGTATCCCCACTTTCCAGAATCAGAGGTGAAGAGAAGAACCTATTCGCAGCTCACAGACTTTTTGCTGGCATGTTCCCCCTAACTATTGAAATGCCTTACAAATGATACAAATTACTTGGAAATCAGGGAAACACTGTTGACATGTCTCAAACTGGATTCAGGAAAGATTTGGTGATTCCTAAATTAATGAGCGTCTATTATATTGATCTTTGGCATTTTTCCTTTTCCATTACTTTCTTTTATCATCCTTCTTCTCCTTTCTTTTACTTTTGAACTTGTAACTTCTTGCAAAACTTAGTTTAATCTTCATGTTGAAATATTTTGCAATTCAGTGTAATTATAAGGGGGGCTATGACCCCCATCTTTTAATTTAGGTCATCATCAGCATTTTTACTTTTTTAAACTTTTATGACTTGTCGGCAATTTCATAACTTGGAATTCCGCTGTGAAGGCGCAAATTAGGTGAAAGGCATTCGATACGTCACATCAGCGTGTGAAAGATTTCACCTTTTTTAAATTCGATTTTGTCAACGTAATTAATGTCCTTATTGCAGATGAATAACATAAAGCAATAAGATAACATTTTTTCGAGTTTTAACCTTGAATGCCTGACCAAAGACCGCATGACTTGTAAATCTTGGGCTATCTGCTAGGCCAGTGAGCATCTCGTCACATCTAGCCTCTTTATGAAACGAATTCCATGAAAACGTGTGACTATCAAAATGGCCTGGGGATATCCCCTCGACCATAATTGAGATTAGAAGAGAACCAGTTTTCTTGGAAACCAAATAAATATGCTCTTTATCTCTACTGCAGTTTCTTACTTTTGTTAGAAAGAAGTTACCAAGCAAAGTGGGACGACTCAAATCGCATTTCTTAGAGATATTACCTAAACCGTTCGAAGTGTTTTAATAAGTGTTCAATCTGGGCAAGAGGGCCTTCCAAGAAACAACAACTGTTTGTAAGGCTGGACGAAGTCAACCTGTCTTGTTTCTTTGAAAGAAGGACACTTACAAGCTACTGCAGCCATGAATAGAAGAAGATGCTCAGCGATCCTCAAAATGCCAGTGGATCTCTTGTAAATTCACATTTGGAATCTCCACTTTCATCTAATATTCTACAGCTGGAAATTAGTGGTATGTATTGGAGGAACTGCACAAAAAATGACGCCGAAATGTCCCTGGAACACAGAGTAGACGGGGACTTCTTGATTCGCGATAGTGGAATGAACAATTGTTTATTTACCATTTCAATTAAATGTAAAAAAAGAGTGGTGCACTTGCGAACGATATATTCCAAAGGGAGATTTAGTATCGTGGGGGAATATTATGGCCAGGAACCAACGTTTTGTAGTTTTGTTGCTATGATTGAACATTACATAGAAAAATCGAAAAGTGGGTCAATGCTGGTTTTATCGTCATCGAAACATCGCAAATGTCACGTACAGCTACTTCGCCCGGTCAGAACTGTATGCCCAACATTGAAGCATCTTTGTCGGACAAAAATTAACCAGCTTTGTGAGAGCTCAGGATCTCCTAATATTGCCAACGACCTTCCAATGGACCTGAGGACATATGTCAAAGAATATCCTTTCAGAATTTGAATTTATCGATATCTAAATATCATGCTGTTTGAAGAAGCAAGGACAGGAGTTATCCAGTTGACTTCTTTGCGAGTTGAAGTTTGAAGACCATGCATCTCTTGGTTACAAAAGACCGTTCATCTTTTCGTCAGGGAGTTCTGAATGATTCTGCAAAGACTACAGTGACAAGAAGCCGTGATATAACGGCCAGAAATCATGCCGTGATATCATTATTCATTGGTAAATAGTTTCTTGAAACATTCATGCGTACACACACTTCAATGTAATTATTTTTATAGCCATCCATACTGTAAATGTCAAAATATTGAAATTTAACTTATTCTTTTTGTGAGATGATTTTGTAGTCTTGTTTTACAATTCAATGTTTGTTTTACAACATCAGAATAGGGTTTCTATATGATAAAGAAAAATGCTCATGAAATAATCAAGAAAACTCAAATTTTCTGTAACCAATCCGCTTAAAAGAACTTTGCACCTTTGGAAACTTAAATAAAGGCCAATGTTCGTCACACCCTGAGTTGCTATGAGATAAATTTCTCCAGCATCCATTGCTTAGCATCTTCTGCTAGGATTTGATCTTAATTTGTACTCACATTTCCCATTTAACAAATTTTTATGAACTTTGCTCGAAAACTTTTCTGAAAAATTAGTGCTTGTTACTTGATCATGAAAATATGCAGATTTCGTGCAGAAGCCCATTCAAAACTGCTGCCACAATTTACTATGAAAAACAATTGCGCAGACAGTGAAACAACAGAAAACACACCGATGAGATTCTAGACACAAAGAGCATCTTTGAAGCAAGTTACCACGCATATAAAGTGGTTTCCTTTCATACACTGCAATTCTTTTGCAATTTACGTGAATAATGGACTGATTCAGCCGGCGTGGTGTCAGATGCTAAAAAGCAACGCGGAACTTCCTTGCAATTCTAACACGCGTTGAAAAATTCATACAAGAATTGCGAATGACAAAACTATGCAAAGGAAACGTAGCTTATTCAGGAACATTTCAGGCCCTATCATGTATAAAATATGCAACTTCGTTCAAAGATGTTTTCTCAGAAATATGTTTTCTTGCGGTTTCTAGGAAACGTACGCCGTTTCCCTGTAGCCCAAGTAGCCTGTAGCCCTCCGTAAAGCAGGTATCCGGAGCCCTAATGGAAAAAGAAAGACTGGGCCCCTATTTACGGAGTGTAAGAATGTCCCATCGATTTCAGACACAAAAGTTGTAAAAATGAAAATTGTTCTCGTTAACTAGGGAAGATGAGTTGTATGCTTCAGTTAAAGAACTTTTATTTGAGAATTGAACTTGAGTGGAGTTTTGAAAATATAGATAAAGTAAGTTTGGGTTCCTTTTGGTCGCGGGCCCTTAGTTTTCGAACTAAGATGCCCCTAAACTGGGTTATGCCACTGCATAGCCCCCTACACTGGTGATCAGTGTTGGCACACCAGTTGAATTTGAGTGCATCCGAGCAGCTAAGCATAGGCGAAATTCAGAGCTGGTGAAGTTTGTTTGGGCAGGCAGGAGCCCATGCTCCTTCCCTGGGTTCGTTTTACATTTCTTTTTTTTATATTACCTACTTCGCTACATTTGGTGTTGATATTTGCCTTCAAACAGGGACATCAATTAAGAGGAGAATGTGGGGAAGAGAGAGCAAAAACAGTCTTAATTTACTGCGAGTGGGGAAATGTGCATCGTATCGGGAAATCGTACCCACAATGGGGTACCTGACCCTTAAAATACATACTTACTGTGAAAATGACTTTTTTCGTTCTACAATACTTGAAAATATCACATAATAAATATTAAACTGAAATATTGCTTGTTTTGGGGATATCAAATTCGACAAAAACATCACCCTAAAATATCAGACCGACCTATCCTTTTGTTACGCAAATGAGTGCCCTTCAAAAGCAATCGATGTGCCGAAGTCTTCCTACTACTGGAGGAACATCTTCCACACATTTCATACTTGTATACAGGTCGTTCTGAACATGCATGGGCAAGACTGAACAAGTGATCAAACTAACTGTATTTTTCACTGAGCAGGCATGTACAGCGTTGCTCTGTGAAAGTCTCATTTCGCCCGTGGTTATGATAATAATATTTAAAGCTTTATCAAAAAAGATTGCTCCAAAGAGACAAAATATTGGACTCGCGTATTAATGCGTTCTCTTCTATTAATATTGTCATTAAACTAGTTTGTACATTGATAAATAAGTTTTGTACACGTTAGTACACATCGCATTATTAACAGGTTTTTGGCCTAAAACTTTACCTAAACTACTCTAATTCTAAAACAATTGAGTTATAAATTTCAGTGTAGGATTTTATTGCATTCTAATTAATTATGGAAGTTATTTATAAATAAATAAGTTATAAGAAATTGCATGGCTTTATAAGTGGTGAAACCTCGTGAAAGCGTCCTGTCCCCTCAGCTGCTGGTTTGGTTTTCCATAAAAACCATCTTCGAAAACAATCTGCAACGAAAAGGGCAAATCTAGAGTGAATCTATCTAAAATAAATTAACACCATTTTTAGAATAACTTCAATGCCACCTATGAATGCGTCAGTTTCTTTGGCAACGTTTAACTCACGAGTTTACTAAGAACTAAATGCCCTCAGCGGAGGATTCCCGTGAACTTCACATATCAAGAATAGAGGAAATGAGTAGGGAATTCGGGAGGAAGAAAGACTTTTTTTTGTTCCTCCCTCTTCCTTCTCTTCCTTTCGTTCTTACTTCTTCAATACATAAAAGTGAAACTTGTAGTCAGTTCAGAGAACATGGAGTAGTTTGAAGCTTTCTTAAATTCTTTACTGTCTCCCTATCTATTACAATGCACTTGTTTATGGTTATCGTGTAAGCTACACGCTAAAAATGTAATAGACGCAAGCCGTACATTCGGCTCTAAAATTGGTGCTGATTAAAGAGATGTTGGTCTTTTCGGAAAGGCGTTAAGATGTTACTTAAAGTGAACCACTTTTGAAAATTACATAATAAAAGCGAAAAAAAAATTACAAAAAAGGTAGGGGCAAGGAAGCAATAAATATATGGTTCTGCGATGCCGTGTATTCAGATATAGAAGGGGAAAAGTGAACATGGGTTAAATCAAAAACAAAAATGGGTTAAATCAAACTGAGATATAAGGTAAAAAAGTAGAAGTAAATAACCGAGAAGTGACTACCACTTGGTAACAACAATTGACATCTTGAATGCTTTGGGAAAATTAGGTTGAATCAGAATCAGGCAGAAAAGCGTATAAAAGATATAGGTAGGCAATTCATCAGCCAGAGACAAATGAGGGAAAATTTGGGGCTTTTAGCAAGGTGGCATAGTAAAATTTGTTAATATAGGACTTCGGCGCAGTATTGGCACCTTTTTCGAAATTTGAAACACATTCCTGTATCCTTCAGTTTGCAGTAGAAAAATTAAAATGCATAAGTTGGGAGCTTTAAAATCTGCTCAAAATGATAACATTTTAAGAGGAGATGAAGTTATTTTGGCATCAAGTTGGTTAAGGTCGATATTGAACATGTGAGACATTCAGAGCCGAGCATTGAAAATGAAGGCAGCATTTAAACACCCATAAATGCCGCAATTGCTACAGTCTCCTTCGTACAACTGGTATACCTTACTTAACGTATAAAACCATCCAACGACACTTGTTTTCAAAATTGAATTGTTGGTTGCATTATATAGGCTCAGGCTGCATAAAGCATACGTTAGGTCGAAATAACCATACCCCTGACCGCTGCGGTCCGGATTGGGATCTTGATAGCAAACAAAAGATTTAGGACAGTACTGAAGTAGACTAAAATTTTTACAGCAAGCTGAATCCCGATGAGATTTTAAATACTGGTGATAATGATGCACTGCAACTTAGACTAAACCGTTTTTGAAGTGGCTAATCTGGATAATCTGGCGAGAGTATTCGAACTACAGGACATAAGCAATCTCAAATAAAAAAATCCTGGAATCTATCGCTCAAGGCACATGATTTACAAGCCTTTGAACGAAGGGGCACTTAGGTACAGGGAAAATAGATATATCATCTCGTAATTTTAGGAGTAGGAAAATGAGTATATTTTCCTGTCTATCTATAACAGACAATGAAATTGGACTGCGCAGGCCTATACAAGTTGGTTTTTTGCCCTGCATTTTTTAATTCCGTTGGATGTTTAATGGTACCGGCTGACTAAAATAAAACCAATCAGTTGAGTTTTTATTCTGATCAGTTAATTTCCATAAAAGAATAAGTATAAAACTTTGAACGCCTTTGGTTATCGTAATCTGATGAGTGGTTTGGAAAGCGGTAAACATAAGGGCGTTTGTGGTTACGTTAACCGTGTCACGTGATTCCGAATTTCCACACAATTAAATGGCCTATTTCTTGTTGTTTATCGTGTGCGTCAATGGACGATGGACGAAACTAGGTTTTGTGATAATCACGGTCTCTCGCAATTTCAGTACGCCAAATTGCACAAACTGTACGTCGCCTAAAATTGCTTTTTAAAAAAAGCTATGTTTATTATCAAAAGAGGAGGAAAAAGTGGGTCAAACGTAAAAATTTTAGGCGAATAAACTTCTAAATAATAATTAAAATTACCTGGTCGTTAGGATATGTAAGAGGAGCTGGAAACCGCCTTTCGAAACCAGAAAAATCAGGAATACCATTCCCTATTCTGAACTGCAATGAAACATATTCTAAGAACTACTGCAATGAAACATATTCTAAGAAACGAGTACTGGACAGTTAAAAAAAATTAAGAAACTTCAGAACTCGAAGCAAAAACATTAAGAAACTATTAAATCGTGATAAAACTGAGAGCAACAAAATTTTGTAAAATCCAATAACATGATTGCCCTGTTGGCCTAGAAATTAAGACACCAGGGATAAAATTATACTTCCCACAAAATTATACAGCGTCAGAACGGAAGCGAAAACCCTTGACGTGATAAAAAAGTTCACGAACATTTCATAACATCATTCATGACATCATAATTAAGAAATTCTTAAGAAACAATGAGTATAGAAATTTCCAGAACATTAAAAGCTGGATCACTCAACATCGACCTTTGTTTCTTATATGAAAAAATTGCTATCGGGATGCCAGAATTTGCACAACCAAACATTTTTGAAACCAGGCCTTAGACTATTATCGTTTTCAAAAGAGCAATATTGGAAAATTAGGCACTTGCAAAATATAGGCCATAACCCTTCTGAGTAGTGCTGGGTATAAGGGCAATGGGGGGGGGGGGGGGGGGGGGGGGGGGGGTTGTAGAGCTGGTTTTGTGCAAAGCTGGCGCCATCAACAACAGAAATTACAAGTACAATTTTCCTGGGAATTAAAAACACCATGTTAGCATCGTACTGTTTACATGCAAGTCTACTTTATCCTTTAAAAAGATGACAAAGAACCACTGAATAAACCGTTGAGGATGGCATAAGAGCTGTCCAAAGCAATTTATCGTTAAACGATCTAAAACAGTTTTTCACCAAATAACGAGTTCTTGAATAACATAACACACGAGATAATTACAAGTACCTTGTTCTGAGACTTTTCTCTGGCCCACAGCCTTGTATTGTCCATGATCTAAGAGAAAAAAATTAATGGCAAATTTTGAAAAATTATAACGAACTGTAGATGACGTCACATTTTAAAAGTCAGACATGAAATCCTTTATTTATATTCCATATCAAAACTTACATGACAAACTAACCAATTACACAACGTATAAGCTACTCTACAAACACTACAGAAACGTTACCGCGTAGAGCAATATACTTTGCCAGCCCAACGGCCATTACATTATAAAAAATTAAACACAAATACCATGAAACACTAAAAAAACACAAAACCTTTGATGGCAGAGCGAAGGAAAACGAAGATCTCATAATTTGAAATGATTAGTCATTTGGATGTATTGAAGAGTTAATTCAAGTATATTTTTGTTGAGGTCATTGGGGAGATCGGCAAATAATAAAAGTTGTTATATACAATATGATAAAGATATGAAATTTTAAACAGTTTCAAACAAAAATCCCTTAAAAAGTAATGTTATTTTTAGGTAACAAATTTGGCAATTGAAAAAAGATACTCAAAATGTCTTTAAAACTGGTAAAAATACATTGATGCAAAGTTAAAAAAATTTTTAACGCTGATGACTGATTTATTATTTTCATATTTTTCGTTACATTTTCTCAAAAACTATTAAAAATTAACAAAAGATAGAATAATAAGACATTCTGCTGACATCGTAACTTGACTGCGCCTTGAAACTTTTGCGATTGGCGGCCTTTGAAGCGACCTTTGATTCACTGTTGCAAAAAACGTACAAGAATTCCACCAGATCAAAAGTATTCCTGGAATTTTTCAGATTGAACAAGAGGGTTTCCACAAAAGGTGTACGAAATCTCCATGAGGCAATTGTTTGATGTTTGATGTCAGCCAAGTAAAATTGAAAAAGCAACACTTTGCAGTGAAAAGTTTAAAACTTTGCAAGTTCAGTGTCAATTCAGAAAGGAGTTGGGGTACCTGACTCTCTAAGGCCATTATGCGGCCTTCTGCCTTTTCCAATTTTTGCAACAGTGTCATTCTCTCTTCAACATCATAGAATTGGTCGTGATAAAATTTCTTGCTAGGCAGTGGATTGGGCACTAGTTGCAATGACGCAGGTTGTATGACTTGGTTCTGCAACTGTAGATTAGCTAAGATAACTACATATGCAATAGCCAACTCCAGACAAAGTGCAATAATTCTTATTTGGGTGAACGAAATGGATTACTACTTTGGAAGTAAAAAATAAGTAAATGCAAATTTTATGATTTTAAGCACATATGAAAAATTGTTAATGTTATGCAAAAAAGGAAGTTTTAAATGCATGATTGGGAAGCAGTTGAATGCATTTTGATCATTACGAATTTTACCCAGTGGCGGCATTGAATTCAATCTAATACCATGTCGGATAAAAATAGCAATAACAAATACATATGTTCACTAATATAATTGGGGAAAAATCTTCAAAAAGTCTGAACTCTTAGGATGAGGCCAACATTCATTGTTCTCCATAAGTTAGATCAAATTTGTTCTTAAGCGAATCCAATACATAAAAGGTTTGACTTGACATGAAGAAAAAACAAATTTGTGACTTATCTAGAGAGAACTAGCTTACCGGCACGAGTTGAGTAGATTTCTTAGAAAACGAAGGATCTTCTTGGAACGAAACAGTCTTCGACCTTTCTGCTGTGTTATCTGCAAACATAAGGAAAGTGACAGAAAAGCACCTGTCTTAGTATTAAAAATAGATGAATAAAATCACATTGGATACGCAGATGATTTTAATTTGTATTTCTAAGAAGTGGAAATATGACAAAAACCGTGCTAACTCTTTATCTTCACAAGCTTACCACAATCCCATGAAATAAAACCTTTTACAACATTTGTGTCAAAAGTGAAATTTCCCAATAAAATTTTAATATTCTAACAAAGATTGCGTTCAAAATGTAAAGAATTCATACGTAAAAGAATATTTGAAGCGACATAAACCTTATCAAGATATCAAAAATGGATGGGTATGTTACAATTCCTTTTCACCGGAAGAATAGAAGATTAATCGGAAAAATAATTCCATTAAAGAAGGTTTTATATTGTGTACATCGTCAAGACTTCGAAATTATCGGAAGCTTAAATTCATTAAATTTACATGATTCTACCGACTTAACTGAATTCTACGAAGATAAATATTCATCAACAAATTACCAGAAAGTGAAATCTTTTTTGATTTGCTTCTGGTACCATTTGATTCTAGCTCTCGAATTATCTTGAACACAAAAAGCCTTGTTTAATCAACCTTTTCGGCCATTTTCCATTGAAAAAACAATATTGTGACAAAATACATTATTCATAAAAATCACATTCTAAACGCATCTTGGCTGATCTTTTAATTTCAAGCACATATCTTTAAAGACGTGATCCATAAAATTTATCAATAATAGCTGTAAAAAATACTGACAGCTTAAAAAATTTCATAAGAAAAAAGAAGAAAATATGAAAAAGAGGAGCACGTGCTTTTATCTCAAACAGTCGAACTGTTTTTATGCAAAAGACAGCATCAAAAGACAGAACCCGGGCGCATTTACAGTTGACGTATTTTAATGCAAAAGAAAACAACGAAATCCCGAAAAATGACAATAAATTGCTTTGACATGTCATATCGGAGAGTAGTGAAAAATGCATGGACGTCTTAAGAACGTCTAAAGTCAGCTCAAAATATGATCCTTATTAAGAAATGCAATCTCATTAATTTGCCCATCATTGTCATCTGTCATTAAACTTCTCTGGAGATAAGAATGAATTTAATACCTTTTCTTGTTGCTTGCAGGTTTTCTCAAGAAGGCTATACTTTGACATTTTCCCCTTAAAAGTTAAATGATTTTAAACAACATTTAAAAATGTTCCGTTGGGATAAAAAAAGGCCAAAATAAACTTCTAAAGTGAAAACGACACTAAAATTGGTCACAGATGAGCTATAGCCAGCCGCTAACGGTAAAGTTCATAAGTATGATGCATGTATTTATATTGTTCACGGATACAACATAAACAAGGCGTGCAATACAGAGTGCCTAGGAAACATTATATCTTTCCAAATCGGTGGCTGTTACCAATGAAGAATCGTATCGCACAAAGATGGACGTGATCTAAATCAAACGCATATGCTAACAAAAAACTGAAACACAGGCAGCTAACTACAGGAAAACATGGTAATAGGTCACGTGCATACAATCTGTCAGTTCAGAAAACTGAAAAAGGGATAAAGGACAACATAGGTTTGCGAAAATATTTTGTTATGTTCACAAATCTCATATAGTCTCAGACCTAGCAATGATTTGGCCCAGCACTGCAGCTGATAACCCCAATAGCATCATTGTTTTGACATGTGATTTACAGTTGACACAAACCTGATAATCGTGAAGCATTGCTTGCTGGGATTGATGAGCCTTCAGTAGCTTTAGGTATTTTTTCTCATATTCATTTTTCTAAAGCAAAAATGGGGGGAACCCGATATAGTCAAAAAATATTAAAATAATTGACAAATAGAACTCTTAATGCAAAACTAAAAGTGTTCACATATTCGGGAAACACTTAGAACTCAAAGATAAGCGGTTTTTGATGTTTAAGTGGTTTAAAGTATAATTTTACCTCAAGGGAAAAATAAAAGAACCCTCAAAAATGCGATCTTTAGTTCCACTCCAATACTGATCATTTGCTAAAATAGGCGAGCGACAGAATTTGTCAGCACCAAACAATTAATGGTTCTGGTATGCCCTCTATAGCCATGGATTTGTATAACTAGTGAAGTTAAAGTGTTGGCGTAGCTTATAGCAAAAAAATGAACAAAATAAGATTTCCTTTAATTTAAATGTCGTAGAAAGAAGAAGAATTGCTCATGACCCAAATGTGGTTATTGGCTAGGTTACTGATACAAATCATTATCACCAAAAAGACTGCAGCCTTCTCACTAAATAGTCGAGTTCTATTACCTTGATTAATTCATTCTGTAGTTTAAGTATTGCAATCTTTTGTTCTTCCACTTCCTCGACTGTAGCCATGAAGTCCCTCTTTATAGAGCCTTAATGCATGAAAAGGTAAAAAAACATAATGCAGCTTTGTAGAAAGTAGAAATAAAACAGGCAAAGATAAGAAAATAACGATTCTTGAAGTAACTGAGAATCCGGAAACATGAACCCAATAGTTTATTAAACTAATAGTTTTAATATAGGAAAAACAAAAATTCTGAAATTCAAAATCTGCATTTGACTAGATGAAATTGAAAGTTTGAAAGCTTGAGGTATGAAGTCTCCAAATAGCGAATGTCTCATATAAAATTTGGAAAAATCAATACCTCAAAAAGATATTTAAACAGAAAAATAAAAACTCTTTTCGCTGGCCAATTCCTTCCTGCCACTGAGGATAGGCTGTTGGATAAGCTCAGCGAAAAAACCAAGGTCTTGTCTCTTTCATGTGAAAAGTGGATTTCCTTAAAGCAATATCCCTTGATTCTGTCTAATTTTTTGAGGATGTTAGTAAAGCATGTATGTGCATCATAACAGCTAAGTATACCTGTATATGAATTCTCATCATGGGCATCGACAGAAGCGCTTGAAGATCTGCCGGTATAATATACATTCGCTCGTAGTTGGCTATTTTTCATCTACAATTAAAATCATATATTAATAATTAAAATCGATGTTCACGTAAATCACTATAGTTAGTTGATAACTTGATAACCAGTACGGCGACAAAAAGGGAAATTTTAATAAGATATACAAATCCGGTGAGACATTTCAGTTACTAGCGATTTGCTTTCAAATAGCTAGTTGTTGTCACACATACTATGCATCTTAGAGCAGGAAAACAAAAAAGAAGACAAATTGATTTAATTACATCATATCATGCTAAGCACCATACCTCCAGAGTGGAAATTTTGCTTCTCAAGTCGACGATCAATTCACCCATTTGTCGGATTGCCTGTCTGTATCTATCGAGTTCCTAGCATAGAAAATAGTTCATTGGAACGATACTGGTAAAAGCACAAATTATCATTATTGGGCAAAGAATAAGGGCAGTTCAGTCAGAAAGGAATAAAAGTGTCTGTTATCAAATATATGAATATTAAGAGATACAGTTGAGAATGTTTGACCTTATGAGAGCGATACATACAAAAAAAGTTCATACAGAAAAAGTTCTAAGAAAGAATAATTAAGCATTAGTTGCAAAGGGTACCAGAATTGGAAGTTAACTTCTCATGGAAAATTTGCTACCAGGCCAAATTAACAACCAGAGCCTGTCAATTTTAGAATTCTTAAGATGTGAATGTGTTTCATTCAAAAACAAAGACAATGAAACGTTGCAAGGATTGAAGGATAGGTAAGACAGCATGCACACGGACCTTTCTCTTTTCTGTTCATTCTTGTTCACTCTTTTCAAGTTACTTTGATGGAAAATTTCCCAATAACGAATTTCACAAACATATCCAAATAGCATTTGAAAAATTTGTTGTCCCATCAACAATATTCAGGTGTTACAGGAAATTTTCAAAGATTAAAGACAAAATAGCTCATTTTACTATACCACCTGTGAGTGTCATAAAGATACGAGAAAGAGCAGCAAGCTGTATGACATAAAGGACAAACCGCTCTTTAAAAAACTTTTGACTGTACCTTGGTCTGATAATCTAAAACAGTGATGACATGTTTATCAAGCACGCTCTTGGCCTAAAAACGAAGCAGTGTAGCAGAGGTTATATGTATGAATTATTATATTTATAGACATATATATATATTCATATATAAGAGGTCATATATTTGAATGTAGGCCATTGATAACTTGAATCTTAACAGCTTGTTTTCTTCAGTTTCCTACTTAACAGCGTATCCTACTTTCGTTTAAAGACTAGGCATACCCTAAAGAGGCTAGAAAATAAAAATACAATACTAAAGAAAATGATATTGTCCAACGACCTACATTTGACCCAGTCTCTACATCAATTTCGTAGCATCTTTTAAAGAAAGCTTAACAGAATCAATTATTGATGCCTATCAAAACGAAGCACTGAATAGAACAATAATTAACAAACCAAAAGGGATAACTTAAATCAGAATCGATCAAAAGACATAAGCTGCATTTATGCTAAAACCACTCATCAACAAAACACAAACCTCATTATCCGCATTCATTTTTTCAGCATTCAAATGGAACGAGCTTTTGCCATCATTTAAACCACGACTCCTCTTTTCAGGGTTTGCACTAGTCATTGGGCATGCAAAGAAAGAGTAGGCTAACATAAAGATTGTGTTATTGATTAAACATACAAAAGTTTATCTGCATGAAATAAAAATTCCTACAGGAAAGCTCTGATATTGCATGGGAAAGAACATGTCCTCAATAAAAAAGTTTGAATTTCTCAATTGACATGAAATTCTTTAACTTTAAGCTTTTAAGCCAGACATGACACAACTATCGTTATAACCTTTATTAGTTCTGCACTCGTGACTATTTTAGCTTAGTAGCTACGGCGAGTTTTGAAATAGTTGCTTGGTGGTCGCAGTAAGCGTGAAACTCAAAGTTGCAACATTGAGCCACCCTATTCTAAACACGATAGCGTAGTTTGATCCTTCGATAAATATCTTTTTCACCTTTTCTAAAAACAAAAGTGAGATTTTCTGCGTTGCCTATCACGTGCATTGGTTCAAAGGAGGAAAACTGCAAAAGGACCAAGATACACTCTCTTTTTTTATAAGAACCAGTATATTTAAGTTCAGGCTGACTGTTCTTGATTTTTTCGAAAATCTGAGGCTGGATTGTTCTTAATTTGTTCTTAAATTAAGAGGGTGTAAGCAGTGCTATTGCTAGCTTTTTCGCTCTAAGGAGGTGTTCAGGCCTTTTTTACCAACAGACTGAGTGAGACAGCCTTAACTTGCTGACAAATTTGAATATTCACCAAATTTGAATATTCATAAAAAAAAGCACTCACACATCGCTAAAAATCCTCGATTTTGAGAAAAAACGTTGTTCAAAATTGCATTTTGCAGAAGCTCAGCTTCAGCTTGTTCTTAATTTGTTCTTAACTTTTGACCAGTTTTGAGGCTCGTGTTCTTATAAAATTGTTCTTATAAAAAAAGAGTGTATTGCAAGTTATTGCGAAGTTTTAATCTGGGCTTAGGGTAACCAGTTCTTCTGTCATTCAAAATCATCCCAAAAATATTTTCATGACAGTATTATTAACCTGAAATATTCAAAAGAAGTCAGGAATCCTGTCTTATAGTGTGAGGGTTTATTTGAAAATAGCTTAATCGATATGATGACATGAATGATGTCTATGAGTCCCTCAATTGTGGCTTTCAGCAGAAGTTTGTGAAGTTAAGCGAAACGTGTCCGCCAGTAAATAACAAAGATCCGCTTTGTTCTACTACACCAGGTTGTGACCTTACATACAGCGGGGAAATTATGGGGGCATGGGGGCCCAGGCACCCTAAATCAGCTCTCGTCGGAAAATTTGAGTTTTCATCGGAAAATTGACACGGTTTAATGTGCCGATGCTTACTTACGCTATTTATAGAGAAAGGATTAGCAAGCAAAATCTAGTTCGGAAAAGCAAAGATAAATCCAAGCCAAGTTTTAATGAAGTAAAGCTACCTGCGAAAAACCTACATAATTACCTTCCAAGAAAAAGGAAGAGGGAAGAAAGCGTGATAGAGCTACACGTTCTGAACCGGGATTCCCCTCAAGCTGGAATTCCCCTTCAAACAGGAAAGCGGTATATTTGATCATAATCAATCGAAAAACTGGTTAATACCTCAATCATGCCTGAAGAAGGTAGGAATTAATTTTGTTGTTGCTTAGAAAGTGCATCCAATTTAAAGAAAAAACAGAAAAGGGAAAAGAACGTGGATGAGAGAGTTGAAAGAAAGAAAGGAAAAGGTGATTGGTAATTTGTTGATCAAGAAAATGAAGTACATCTGACAATTTTCATTAGAATTTGTTACAGCCTATGACTCCAACAATAGTTAGGAACTTCTCAATCTAAATTATATAGTGATTCTCGTATATCTGTTGTATCTTGCAACCTGGAGCAGGCAAACAATTTAATCAGCAAGCTGCAACTAAAACTTCTGCCAGCATGGCTGCTCAAAAAAATAGGGGCTTTAATAAACATATACTGACTGTAAGAAGTTCTGCATCATAAGCTCAGACAAAAGTTGGAAAGTGGGGGCGGAGGGGGACAAAGGAGAATTAGACACTCATAACAAAAGATTTTGCAAAAAGTTCTACTGCTTTACAAAAAAGTGGTGGGGGCCTTCCCCATTGCCCTGTGCATGGATAAAGAATTGTTCTAAAGTTTCATTCAGCAGCATACCCTACTAGAGGAACTACTTTTGCCTTGACAGAAATCTTTTTTTGTAATAGCTGCTTAACTATGCACGTTTATCTGTTGTTTCTTCTAAAAGCTAAGATAAAGAGCTAGAATGACTCCTAAATTCTTTATTCAAAGAAAATTTGATAACATTTATTTGTTTTACATTCAATGTTTGATGTTTTTCTGCTTGAATGCTTTGTGCCATATAACTTACAATGTATTCATTAAATTTAATTTAAATTTCAAAATTCCAGCTCATTACATTGGATTCTGGTTGTTGCTTTGCTTTGTTCCTGAATATTTTTCATATTATTTCTCATTGCAGGATTCAAAGAATCCGGCAGACAGCCTATTCTGTGTTTTTCCTTCTTACACATTTTAACTTGCAAAAGTCTTCTTTTCCTGTGAATTAAAAGAATTAGCATTGCACAGGTTATTCTTCAGAATATTACACATTGTTTTACATCTCACAATTGAGTAGAACTGCACCTTAAAATATTCTGCTATGCCCAAGGTCATATTCAACACATCATACTATTTTAAGCCCACCAGTTTGCTCTATTGTCTCTTATCTGAAATGTTAATGGTCAAATATAGAAATCATACCCAGAAATACCATCGACTAGTTCTTCAACTGGTTCATCAATTTGCAAATAAGGTTTGACAGATTCACATCGATCTGGAGGAGACTTGACCAGTTGATAATACATGGGTAAAATCTGCTTAACAGCATCAAGAGCAGGAAGACTTTCTCTTGCCTATAAAAGAATGATTGAAATTTAAGGAATAAGTAAGATAAGCAAGGATGTTTAAAGGAATGGATATGGGGGAGACATGACAGTCCTCGCTTTTGAAGAAGCTACCCCGGGGTGAAAAATATTTGTTTCTGGCATCAAGCATAATAAACAATGGGAAATTTCCTGACATAACTTTTCATTTTTCAAGATCTTAGATGACCAGCAGAGTGCCTCTTTTCCATAATTGGTAAATGCTCTGTCAACAATACTTGAAATAAGCAATAAGACAGTGAATGCATAAATGAAATTAACAAAAATGCAAGATTCACGTATGGGAACATACCTCAAACATAAGATTTGGAAGAGTTGAAGATCTGGTAACATCATACTGTGACCAAACTTTTGCTGGAGATTGCCTGGCTTGGGTCACTGGCTGGTCAGTTTCCTCAAATATTGGTGAAACAGACTTCACAGGTAGTGACATCTCAACAGATTTTGCTAAACAATGGAAATGTCAAATATTGCAGAGTAAAAAAAATTCTTAGAGATCCTATGGACGAGGCATGGCAATAATTTCATCTAGTTTTAGGTACATTAGCTTATCTCTAGTTCTCCTTTACAAATTTTCAAATAATTGTGAAAAACATGTAGACATTAAAAAAAGAAACTCTTCAGTGCAAAAATATTTGTTCTCATAAAATGTGACCAGTATAAATGCTATGTTTTATTTGTATTTGTTGCTACCTAGCATCCAAAGGTAGTTTTTAGGACACTGAGAAGCTAAGCATATCGAGAAGTGTCCTGGTCCTTCCTCTCAATGTGACCACACCTCGTGATTCCTACACCTGGAATTACAGAGAGCTGGCAACTCTCCCCACTCTGGGTGAAAGTTTGGTCATGCCAGGGACTTGAACCAAAGACACTTGGGTCTGTAGTCAGCGCCTCTAACAACTGAGCCATCCTCGCACCTGCTATGTAAATCTGTGTTCCAAACAAACATGCTTTTAAATTCAGAGAAGGTTAAGATTTCTAATAAAACCTTATCTTAACCTCTTTTTAACTTTACTGCAAAGCATTACTTCTGCTATTTAGATTTTAAAAACAAAATGTTGATGTTATAGCGGATTATGGTAGATAATTCCTCTCTTTTAACATTCATGTTCCTACAAATGACATTTGTCTAAATGCCAATGAAACAGGGACTATATAATGTTCAATTTTATTCAAAAGTTCTCAAGCCTACAATGCTTTATAGTCTTTATCAAATCAATCTTGTTTACCAATGAAAAAGCAATTGGATGTATAAGAGACATACATTAAGTACCAAAAATCTGGTGCCCAAAATTTTGGTGGATTATTTTCAGTAGAAACAATTTCTGCCTTCTGGTGTACACCTTCATGACTGTACAAAAAAACAAGTAGCACAATGAAATGTCATAAACATTTGAGAGCTAAAATACCTGTTGAAAAAGTGTCCTCGTCATATTTTTCATGGATTACAGATGTTAGAGTGAGTGATCCTAAGTGAAATTTTATTCCACCAGAACTTATATTGCTGTTTATCATCAGCCTTTGTGTGTGCTCTTTTCCATGCTTCAAGTCTTGGTGTTTTGAGTTTAAAACTTTTCCAGGCAGTATCAACTGTAAAACACCACTTGCTTGTAAAAGTAAATGTGTTTTGTTTTCAGCATTTTGTGATGTAGAAGGGAAGCTGACAGGCAATTCTTGGTATAAATTTAAGCGAATGACAGTTGGTTTTAGAATGTTAGCTGTAACAAGGAAAACATGATACTATTCAAATAAGCAAATAAAAGCATGTAAATAAAATACAATCAATGGGAAAAAGAAGCATCTTTCAAATCCACCTTCTTGATTTCTATTTGTCTTTAACATATTTCCAAGACTGGTTAACTTTCAGTACTTGTTGAATGATTTCCAATTTTTCCCCTTTTGGAGATTACAGAGCTATTTCAGCCTTGAATATTTTATAAGCAAGTAAGCAAAAAATACTTTTTATTATAATCTCTCGTATTTTTTTGTGTGAAAAGCAATATCTATCATAACAAGATTAAGAATAACATGTATTGAGTTAACACTGTATATTTGCATTCAATTGCCAATGCACCTGTCTCTACACCCCTGGGATGATGGTGTTGAGAATTCATACTGCAACCTCCAACCCCACTAAATGTTGTTATGTCTGCTAATAATTTACACATTACTTCTGATAGAAACTTGAGCTTCTTAACTGTTTAAAATGTAGGCATTAAGTGAATATTCCAAGTCATATCTCCAGTGGCATTTGTGATACTATACCCCTAATTCAAAATATCTTAATACTTATTAAATAAATATCCAAGCAATATTTACTTGTGGGGGCCAAGTAGACCAGCTGTCTTGGATCCCTGTGAATTCATTCACTGGCCTCAATGGCTGATAGGTGTTGGGCAATATGAATGTTACTGGGTAAATATTTCTCTCAACAGGCCTGTCTATGATTGTAGCTCAATTGTAGAAAAACAAAACCAACAAACAAAATTCATACATTCTGACAAAAGGCAAGCAAATTTCAAACTTGGAAAGGTGTGAATGTCCCCATCCGAATTCGATCCAGATATGGGTCCAATGTCCCAAAGAATGCCATTTTTCTTTACGTTAAAAGGGCAATGCCCCTCAACTGTTGCATCTAATAATTCATTGTCATTGTAAAAGGAAATGTTACAGTAATATGTTCCTGGCTTTCTAAGCCACAGCTTTTGTAACAAAGTTTCCACCCTCTTCATAGTTCCATTGCTCTTTAACCTACAAGATGAAAAGGTAGCAGTGCTGACTTCTCCGATGAACTTGGCAACAATGTCACTGAAATATTTGTTTTCACAATTTTCATCAAATTTATCTTACCTATGTTTCCCTAAGCAAAAGTTAAATCACCCAGTGGCAGCAATTAAGAGGTATATTCCTTACCATCCAAACTATCCATACTATCCTTAGATCAATTGTTCATCTTCCGCATAATTTCTGAAACTGATTGCACACAAGACGCATTAAACCCAGACTGCTGAGTATGGCAGTTTCCAACGAGCCCAAGGATATCAATTTAGAAGGGAAAATAATCAAAGATAAGAAAATGTACATTTTTTTAGGTTTTTTGTTATCAAACCAAAGCAAGATTATGTCAATCTAAAGGAAACTTAATTCTCCATTTGCCCTAAGCAATAGGCACATCTTCAAGGCCTCCTTCTTTACTATTTTTTATTTTTTCTTAGGTGCTGGGCTCCTTCTGGCTACCATAAATGCAGGCCTTGGGTTGTGGTCCCTTGGACCCCCCTGAAATCACCACTGGCAAATGGACACACCCAGGTTACACTCAAAATGCCACACCCTTTACCAGCTTTGCAGGGACATTCTAAAAAAAATATCTCAAGTGTGTACTTGCCATACTCTGCAGTCAGGCATTTAACCAAAAAGTTTTAATTGTATATACTTTACTGCTGATGATACTATGTTGCTGAGAAAAAATTACAAGGCCTCAAGGGTACAAAATTTATGTTCCGATTTTTATTTATACAAAATCATCGTTCACCAGAGCTCTAGAGCGGATAAGGGCAACATCAGTTTAACCATCTGAGTGCGGAATGGAAGGTAATGGGAGGGGAGGGCATTTAAGAACTTTTACATTATTATAAGGTTAAGGGTCGTAAACTGATTTATTAATAATAATGCAATGTATTTCTGCGTGTTTTGGGTTTTATTAACGCTACTTTCACCTGGCTGCTTCAGGTCAACCTTTCAAACACGATTGGCATTTTACAGAATCCCTTGTGATTAGGGTTTATACTATTTCAAAAATAAACCTTGTGACGTTCGTATCCATCACATAAAAATTTTCATGCATTACCTATTGGCATTTTTCGTGCAACGTCACGTCTGTTTTGATGCAGTTCCTTGACCTTTGACGCAGGAAGCAGGGTTGGGGAAGTAGTTGTTGTGGTTGCTGAACAAGTTGTATGGTTGCTCATAGTAACAAGAGAAGTGTAAAGGCCAATCTCCACTGACGCTTTTTTGCAGCGTCACTTTTCTGAAAAATTCGCGACGACACATGCGCAGAAGGAAAAATCTTGAGAGAAGAGCGTTCGCACATCGAAAAATTCGCTTGACGAATAGTTGAACTAGGTTCTACTTTTCGTCAAGCGAAATTATTCGAGGTAAACATAGGACAAAGGAACTGCGTGATTTTCACAATAGGCCTTTGCAAGATGACATCCTCACAGCAACCGAAACTTAGTAGCAGTGAAACTGACTTGCAGTTACGTACTTTACTGAGTAGATTAGGGAATATTTCTTTTCCACAAGCAAACATGATTTTTCAAATGCCGATTTTATTGGTATTCACCTTTCTGATTTCTGTCTTCATGTAATTTGCGTCCCCAATCTTTACGTGTTTTTTTATGTTAATATAACTGAATTTCTTTCTTCTCATTAACAAAACTGGTAAATGACGGCCTGAGACAACTTTTTGCCCTAAGATTCTCGCGCGCGCAGAAATTTGATCGAAATCAGTGGAGATTGAAATGAGTAGAATTTTGTACGAGCGCTTCAGCGTCAGCGTCCAGCGAACGCTACAAAACAAGCGTCAGTGGAGATTCGGCTTAAAATAGGTCCTTGACGCAGCCGCATAATTTTGTGGCTTTATCCGGCTTTATCTTCTAGTTTTGTACATGTACATTAGCTGTCTTATCATAAAGATCTCTTTTGTGCCAGTTATAATGCAATTCTCTATAAATTCGTTGTATCTTGCTACAAAACTCGTTAATTATACATTCATACACATTATCATTAATTCTTTAAATCTAAAAGGGACAATTGAGGGCTTGTAAAAAATTGTCTGCAAAATCCTGTGCATATTCGAGAAGGATCCTTAATAGAAATATTACAATAAGAAAACATCTGATCTTACTTTTGTTTACACCATCTCTGATTCTGGTGTTATCAAATTTACTTGTCACCAGACAGTTTCATTGTACAGAACATTCCTTGTCTTATAATACACTCTTTTTTTATAAGAACCAGTAAATTTAAGTTCAGGCAGACTGTTTTTCGAAAATCTGAGGCTGGATTGTTCTTAATTTGTTCTGGAATTAAGAGGGTAAGCAGTGCTATTGCTAGCTTTTTCGCTCTAAGGAGGTGTTCAGGCCTCATTTGCCAACAAAGTGAGTGAGACAGCCTTAATTTGCTGACAAATTTGAATATTCACCGAAAAAGCACCCACGCATCGCTAAAAATCCTCGATTTTGAGAAAAAAGTTGTTCAAAATTGAATTTTGCAGAAGCTCAGCCTCAGCTTGTTCTTAATTTGTTCTTAACTTTTGACCAGTTTTGAGGCTCACGTTCTTATAAAATTGTTCTTATAAAAAACGAAAAATTTTATGCAACGAATTTAGAAAGACTTTTAAAAAATCTTTTCCATTAAAAAAGTACGGCAGCTATTACCATGAAGTTTTTTCAAGATATTGTTGCTGTTTCGATGCCTCTTGTGTACGCCAAGAAAATTCACAAAATGTCAGCCGTAAGATTTACAAAATAAGTGTACTTAAAAAACACTCGAAAGCTTCAAAGAAGTTCTTGTGTTCCAAAACATTTCCATTTTGTCCATGTGTTTCTAATGTTTTACTTAATTTTTTTAATATGCTTTTGAGAAAAAGAATGGTCAAGAAAATTTTCTTTTTGCGCTTGTATTTGCATGAAGAGAATCGTGCAAATAAACAAAAAACACTTGAATCATTATGAAGAATGATTTAAGCTTCTCATGAAAATTTTTGCCAATAACTTTTTGTCCAACACAAAGTTCAGAAGGTGTATTTTAGCATTTTAAACAAAGTTTTCAAAATTTTAGATTGACAGGACCTACACTTATGTACACATCAAACCTGTCTGCCAAATTTGGCTGTTATGCGCAGTTTCAAACTGAAAAATGCTTCAAAATAATTTCTGCTTTCTAGTGCAATCTTGAAATATCAGCTATCGCGTTAAGTCTAAAGACCTTCAGATTTGACGTAACACAGTTTACTTGATAAGAAATCAAAATTTTTTGACATCTTGTAAATAAGGCTGTTGACATTTCGTGGATTGGATGACACTGCGGAGGCAATGAAATGACGCACGCAAATGCATTTGTAGGTTTCATTTGCTTGGAAAGTGAGGCTGGAAAGCATGTTGTTCGAAGCAATTTTCAGAGAGCACTTGTAACCGAAGGAAATATTAGGTATTTATATTATCTGTTCTTGATTTATTTTGCTTTTAGTTTTCATTAGTATGAAGCTACAACACAAAATGCATGTTTGATTTCAAAAAGGTCTTGAATCATGTTTTAAACCGACGATGTGATGAAGACCTTTAAAACCACACGATAGGCCTAATTTGTGGAAAATCGACGATTCATATGAACCCTATGTTGGAAAATATCATGTCAGATTGTTTATTTGATATATAGCCAGTTTACTTTGTTGGCTACATTTGATGTTACCCATGTGCAAACAAGTACCGTGCTTTGAAAATAAGTATTCGCGGAAAGAGGTGACACTTGAAGAAAATGGCGCGAGTACCTGTGCTTGCCACATTTACTGCGAATTGAAGCATCATTTTTAATCATGGTAATTTTGAATTGTTATGATAGTTTTAAATTTAACTAGAATCATATTCTGAATATTAGTTTGTTTATGTCCTGGCACAGACAGTTGGTGCAACAATTTGCTTCCCAGGGGTGGGAGAGGGGGAGGGGGGACAAATGTTACAGTTTGCAAAAAAACCAATTTGTTTAAGTCTTCCATTATTCGTTTACTTAAAAAAGGTGCTTGTGAAAGAAGAAGCAAACCTGCCTTTATTTATAGTTTCATAACATTTTTTATTCTCTCATTTTGTTTATCTCATGATACTCTGAGAAATATGAGAGCTGTCAACAGAAAATCAATTGCTTCAAAACCTATACCTGCACAACAAAAAATTCATGCATTCCCCTATGTGAATATTTTTTGGCAGTACAGAACTTGAAAATAGCTTTGAATAATCATACCGCCTTATATATATTGTGATATGTTTGCTTTTTTCAAAACCACTTTCAAATTCCCCCATGTATAAAATTCATATCTCCCAACATTTTTGTAGGAAAAAAGGTTAATATCGCCCAAATATTCCCTTATGTTGGCCATTTTATATGCAGGGTGGACAAATATGACTTGTTATTCCATATGATAACAAAGTTGAAGCAAATCTTCAACCCACCTACCAAAATATGTAGCCTTTCAAACATATGACATCAAGCAATGAATTGAACTAGCAACATTATTAAAACTGATAAAAACAGATTTCTAAATATCAAAATTACTGTCTATCAGTCTGTCATGGTGTGCCTGGTACTGTATAGACAGAGCTATATGCGCTTTTTGATGTATAGAACAGGATGGTTCTATGTTGCTACTCCCAGTTTCATGTTAATGCAATAACCCAGCAACTATCATATATTTTCACATATGTGAAAATATAATTGTGAAATATATATGTGAAAATATATATATGTGAAAATATTATATATATATAATTGGGCAGCACCCTTGTGGAAAGAATTTTCCTCCTGTCAGCATTTGCCTTATGATTATATATATATGTATATAGATATGTATATATATCAGAATAGACAACGCAATCTGGAATATATATGTATATATATATATTTAGAAATTTGTCTTTTGATACATCCGTAGCACAGTTCTCAATACGTTAGCACGTAGAGCGTGATATATCATAGAGTTGAAGAAAATAAGACTACATGATTTATCTCTGTTTTGTGAGTAACTCACTCTTCAGGAGGTCATTCTTCTCCTGAAGTTTGGTTTATCTCTACACTTCTGTTTCGTGAGTAACTCACTCTTCAGGCTAATATATATAATATGTATAATATATATATATAATAAAAAATAGAATATAGACTAGAAATGAGACATGTTCTCTGTTATATCTATTGCTCTGTGCTTTTGCACATTGAGCATTGTCACGTCAGAATAGACAACTCAATCTGGAATATATATATATATATATATATTGAAAATTGCAGTTTTACTAGGCAGTCAGGGGAGAGCTAAACAGTCTTCAGTGTTTAGAACAAGGTGTTTCTTACTTGAAAGTCAGTGTTACACTCTAGATGCAATCATCTGACAACTGCATGTTGATTCTGCCTGTTTACTTCTTAACACTGTAGTATGCAACTAGAAATAACCTAAACTTTGTGATTTTGACTTTGTATTTCCAACATTTTTCTAATATTATCCATTTGATACACAGTTGCTTTGGTGGTTCATTTTCATCAGCATAAATGTTATTGTTACTGCTGTACATAAGCAGGATACTTTTCAATTATGTAAGCTAAATGGGAACTATAAATAAATAACAGGAATGTTTCTGTTAAGATGACATGGCTGGAAAAAATGGATATCTGATACAACAACAATATGCTCATTTGTGTATAAACAACAATTAATTTTTTGTTGTCCAATACTGAAAAGTTTCAAAACTTTCTATTGTCATAAAATTTACGATAGTAGCACAAATACATTAAATGTTATATCTTATTGATCATATGGTAAACCCTAATCTGAGCTTGTCTAATCTGAGGTAATTTTCAAGACAAGGCTGCAAGTCGAATTTGTGTATTATCCAAAAATAAATTTACAATTTGAAGTGTCTTTGTTTTTCATTCTTAGTTATGGCAATGTTAAAAGGTGGCAATGAACTCTTTGCAAACATTGATGATAAGATATCCTCTTCTACAAAGAAGGTATTGATGCAAACTATTGAGTTCAAAGAAGCACAAGATGCAGATAATGAAACTTCAAAAATTTACTCCAAGTATAAGCCAATCAATGCTGCTTACAGTTTCAAAAAAGCTGATAATGTCAGTCAAGTTCAGCGGCAATTGTCAAATGATAAAGAAAATTCTTTCTGCCCACCAAAAGTTATCTTGTATCCTCCAGAGAAGATTGAAATGAGTTGGAAAGAAACAAGGAGAATTGGACCAGGTTTTGCGAATCTGGGAAATACATGCTTTTTGAATTCTGTTTTGCAAGTACTTACATACACAGCTCCTCTTGTGAATTTTGTAAACTCAGATGCTCATAGAAATACATGTAAGTATAAACAGTTTTCTTCTTGAATTTGACTTGTTTTAGTTTTACAGCAAAACATTTGTTTTTTGACTTTCTGAGTTGATAAAGTTGGAGATCAAGAATTTACAAGTCAAACAACCTTTGAGCCAAGTTTTTACTTAAACAGAAGCAGCCAATTTTTCCATGTGGATTGATATTGAATAATTAGGTGGATTGAATCTATATATATGATACATATATATATTTAATCATAGTAGGCTTTAAGACAGCTGCATGATTGTCAATACTGTTTAGAATAACTATTCCTATATGTTTTGAAGTACATATGCTGGCTCTATTCATACAAAGTTTGTTTGTTCTGTTTCTAGGTGTATCTGTTGGCTTTTGCATGTTGTGTGAATTCAGAAATCATGTGTTGAGAGTAGCAAAGCATCATCCACAAAATGGACCCATAAGGCCAATGACTATTATTCAAAGGCTTTCTTGTAAGTTTGCTGGCTATTTGCCTTGTACTAGTCTGTTTTGGTTTTGTGGGTTATCACCTGAATTTAAAGGGAAGTGGGCAAGTGATTACATTGCTAGACTATTGTGCAAAGGGTTGCAGGTTTGAATCCAAGTGGAGCCTCCTGTTCATCTTGCACCAAATGGGTAATTGGCTGTAACAATAGAGAGGCTAAAGGAAGTGAGGAAAGTCACTGACAACCTGATCTCATCTTGCAGTTGGCCCAGGACAAGTGCCCTCTCTAATTCCATTTTCCCCACACACAGGTGAAATACAGGGCTAATCTTTACCTTTTTTCCCCTTCAGCCAATAATGTCCTCAACAGTGCCCCCACAGAATCATTAGTGCAAGCTAATAAAAACCCTTCAAAAATGCCTCTGGTCTCATAGGATACAATAAATAATTAGAGGAACAAAATTCTTTTGAAAATCTCTCAATTAAATCATGGTCTGAAGGGTTTTGTTGCTAACAAAACGGTTAATTGTTTCATCATAACTTGATTTGTTGCCCTACGGCATCAAAGTTTCTTTTAATCCTAAGCACTTTGTTCACAAATTGAATTTAATCAAAGTTTTAGAGACCCTTAGGGGCTTTCTTTATTTTTGTTTGTTTTATGTCTATTATTTTTTTTGATTGATAATCACCCTTGTACCTATGTAAGCTTGAAAATGTGGGCATAATTTGGGCAAAGCTCGAAATTAAATATTGTTTAACTTAGCAAAATGCATAAGTCATTATATATTTTCCTTTTGCAGGTATAAGCAAAAATTTTAAGTTTGGCAGACAAGAAGATGCACATGAGTTCTTGCGATATGTGATTGAAGCTTTAAGAAAAAGTTGTCTTGTTGGCAAATCAAAGTATGATTATAGCATTTTTTATTTATCTTTGTAGTTTATTGGCTAGTTATTAGAAGGCTCTGTAATTGGATTGGATGTTTGTGGCAGTAGTTGTTTACTTGCTGCTCTGCCATGTTCATTGGCCAAGGAATGAACAATCTATTTCATTATCAACTTCAAGCTAAAGGACATAAGATGAATGGTTGTAACCTCTGCCCATGTCTGGGTTCCAATCTAAATATTCAAAACAATTGATATATACCTTTTTTGAGACCAATGATTTTTGTTCTTAGAATTTTTTTGCATTTTGAAAAGGACTAATATTTTTTATGATAATACTAGTCTGGCATTGTTACTTTTTAATAATTTTTTTAAGATAAATTGCTTACAAAATAAAGCATAAAAGTGGAAAATAGCTTGTATTATGGCGGCGCTATTTTTCATCCAACACTGTCTACAGCTCAAATATACCTATTTGTTTATATGTTTTGCATTCCATTGCCTTCCTACATATAATGTATGTAGAATTTCTTTAATTACATAATATTCAAATAAAAGCCAAATATGATGGCAGCTACAGCTACCAGTTTCACTTAACTGATTTAGGGAACCAAAATCAACTTTCTCAAATTTTTCATATGTGCAATGGGAACAAAGAGGTAATGATTGGTTGTTTTTCTAGAAAATGTTTATGTTTGTCAATACTCAGCAGCTTCATTTATCTCTTTTACTAAACTTTCTACTCTTTATTTGTCATTGTTGCTCATTGAGACACTTTATTTTTCTCAGCCTTGATCGTTTATCAAAAGAAACAACTGCAATAAATCAAATATTTGGAGGGTTTTTCAGAAGTCAAGGTAAATCAGTTTACTGTTAAACTGACCTATCATACATAAAAGTGTAGCACATGCTCTTTCTAAAATGAACATTTTATGAACACAAGAGGCCAATGCACTTGTTGGGTTATTGTATTTCCAAGACATGTATCCTCTAATCTGGAGCAGTTTAAATCAGCCCAGAAAAATTCAATAGAGTTGTATCCCTTGGTTTTCTATTTTTTGCCACAGTTAAGATTTTTGGCCTGCCATTTTGGTTTTGTCAGATTTATTGGAGTCATTTAAAATTTTTAATCTGAATTAATTCTCTCTTGTACACTCTTCTTAGCCTCTCTGTAACATTTTTCAGTGACTTGTTTATCTTGTAAAAAGACATCAAGCACATATGATCCAATGATGGAGCTGAATTTAGACATCAAGGTAAAAAGTAACATTTTTATCATAGCTTTTGGTTTTTTTTATATTAGATTTTGCCCACTTGCAGAGCTGCACTGCAGCATTCTCTTGAAAGGTAGAATGCACCAAATATTTTACTTATCATTACTTAGTATTACTTGGTATTTCTTGGTATTACTTGGTGTCACTTTTTGTTTACCTATAAACATGAGGTTGAACTAAATTTTGGGGAAAAGACAGGGCCTGTTGATTGTTTTTCTTAGATAAAAACTCACTGACTTTTTAGCTTGTGCCTTTTTAAGGTTTCTAATTGAAACTCAATTCCTTTCTTTTTAGGAAGCTAGCTCAATTGTTGGTGCTATGAAGAAGACTATTAGCACTGAAAAGTTGGATGGAGAAAATAAGTATATGTGTGAAAAGTATGTCAAAGCAGTGTTGTTGCTTTTTTGTAATTGAAATTCCTTTACCCACAGACAAAGCCAAACATCATAAAAGCTCTGTATTCCTCTTTTGAGTTACTTTTGTGGTAGAGCAGAGTTAGCAAAAGGACAGTCAACTACAACCAGTGTTGGTAAACAAATGATGTTTGTTAACATGCAGTGGGTTTTTAAACTCAATCTCTGTATATGCATACATACCGTGCTTCTTCTAAAATTTCTTTTTGTGATTGTAACTAGTCAACTGCATTTTCACAGGGTTGGCCAGCTTTGAAACAGTAGATTTGGCCATCCTCACTATCTTTTAATAACTGATTACAAGCATTATTACTATACTGTTTTCATCATCAAAATTTTTCAAGAGAAGGGTGATTTTTTAAGGGGAAGGAAGCATTTTTTTCAGGATGGGTGCTTTTAATTTTTTTATGGTACAATGGGTGCTTTTTCGAAGGGGGAGCACTTTTTGAGGATGGGCACTTTTTAAAGGAAATGTGGTAATATATTAATGAATTATTTTATAATGTCTTTTTCAATGAACTGTTTGTATATTTGGATATTTTAGACACGAGTCTATATTTATCACATTGCATAATAACGTGTAACAGCACATTCCAACATAGGTTTCTCTGTGTGTCTGATTTTATCAATTTATTTTGTAGATGCAATCGGAAGACACCAGCATTGAAAAGATGCAATATTCACGTAGCGCCAAAAGTACTGACTCTTCAATTAAAAAGGTTTGTTAGATGCCTTTATTTTGAACATTTTCACCTTATTTTTATTGCTTTCCTATAACAATATTATGAGTTTCACCATTTATGGATTTTTTTTAACCTGTCCTGTCGATTTTATTTAAAATTTTGCAATTTGAGTTAATATCTTACCTCCTTTCATTTTTTGTGTCAGAGTTAAATCGCATTCAGCAAATATTTTTGGTCAACAAAGAAATTAAATCTAGATTTATGGAAAAAAACTGGTTATTAAAGGCAGTTTTGGAATTAGCTTTGTGGTTTGGTATCCTTCTACTTATATCTTTTCTCCTCAACAAACTTTTTTTCAACATGATAAGCTAAAATACTAACTTCTCTTTTTTCCAATTATGCTTGTGACGGTATTTTATTGAACTTAAATCTGCAGATTCGATTTTCAAAGGCTGTTTGGCGGCAAAATTTCAAAAGAAGTTCATTTTCCGGAAACACTTGATTTGAGTTCTTTTATGAGCACAAAATCGGTAGGCCAGTTTTTCTGATTAATAAATAAGAATATTTACATTAACTATTCGCTAGTTAAGATTGTTATCTAATCTTTAATATAATTTGAGAATGCTAGTAAAGACAATACAATTTTCCACACGGTATAGATTGTTCAAGGTTACAAAAGCTCTGTTAAAAGATAATTTATATATATAAATATATATATGTATATATATATGTATGAACGAAAGACTGGAAATTCGGAGTCTTGTCCTTGTGTCTTTGACTCAGAATGTGTCCTGTATTTTTCTCAATTGTATTCACTTCTAAATACTGTTTTCTTCTAACTTATTATCTAACTATATAAGTATCTATTTCTGTGTTGCTGCATCTTACAAGTAAACTCGATTTTTATTTGAGTCCATCTGTTTGCATATTGATTTTACTCTAGTTTGAATAATATTTTAGGAAACACAGGTTATGTACAAACTCTTTGCGGTACTGGTGCACTCTGGGATATCCTGTAATTCTGGGCATTACTATTGTTACGTAAAAGCTCCAAATGGTACGTGGTATGAGATGAACGATAGTCGGGTAGGTTTTAAAGAGTTTTTTAGATATTAATCACAAATTCCAATCTTCAAACACTAATCACTAATCACAAGTATTGGAGAGTTTTAATTAAAAGTTCTAGTCTATGACACTAATCATCGTCATACTTGCTGGAGAGTTTTTCAGGCATTAATCACAAATTCCAAGCTTTGAACACTAATTACTGATCACACGTTTTGGAGAGTTTTTCAGACATTAATCACATGTTCCAATCTTTGTACATTTCTCATCAGTCGCAAAAATGAAGAATCCTTTTGCTAGTTTCCTCACTGCTGGACATTAATATCTAAAAGTCTTTCATCATGAATCATGGTACGAGGATATTATAATCTCGTATACTGTGATTGAGAGGAATAATACCATACAGGCACCGCTTTTCGCCCCCCTCCCCTAATTTTTTGCAAAGACAAAAGAAATAGACCACAAAAGAAATTGGAAATAGACCACAAGTCAAGCCTCTTTTTATTTGGCTTTAGCACTGCGCCCCCCCCCACTTTTCTCGACGCCCCTTTGCACGGGTCATGAGAGGAAAGATGACCTAATAACCGGTAACCCTTTCTCTAACAATTCTCGTTTAAGATACATTGATTGATTTATAGTTGACTTTATGAAGTTCACATTCCCAAAACGCTTTGTTATTAAAAACACTTGTGAAATATTATACTCTGTCACTAATTTTGTAGATAACTTGGAAAAGCTGAGCAAAAGATATATTTTTTTAGGCTGGTATTCAGTGGAACTTTGTTTTCTACGAATGTTTTTGTGGTCAAAATAAACAAATTTAGACTTTCCTAAGATGCTATTATAATGACATTCGAGAGTTGCTGATATAATTGTTCATATTCTAACCCAGGTTTCTCAAGTGGGACTACAAACTGTACTCCGTGCACAGGCGTACCTCTTGTTTTATGCAATAAGTGGACAACAACAAAGCAAGGTAATTTTTCACACTTTTTCTCATTAATTACGTTGCCCCTTCAAGCTTTCGTGTTTCTGACGAAACTTTATTTTTTGTGTTGCGAAATACCTTTTATTGCATGCGAGAACGTAAATGATAGATGAGTAGTCTGTGTTTCTGATCAACTCGTGTAAACAGAAGCTTAATGTCAAAACCTGTGTAAAAACATTGCAAAGAGATATTTAGTTGTTAGTGGTGGACTTTTTGCTAAGGATACTCTTAAAGGAAGTTACCTCCTTTTTCAATGATTCAATTTTGATTGCCACCCCCGTCTTCGAGTTTATTCGTTATCCGCCAAGATTATTAAATAGCACAGAAGGTATTTGCAAACGGGTGTTGTATAATAGACACATATACTATTCCAATACTTCCAATCTGTGAACAGTTGTGTTTGTAGCAGATGCATTTCCGCTTTCATTTGAGAAACTAGTTAGTATTTGCATCGAAATATTTTTAAGTGTGTAATATTCAAATGATATAATTGGGGGAGGGGGTCGCAGACAGTTGTTTCATGTCGGTGACTCTAAAAGTTTTTCACAGGCTGTTAGGCGTGAAATATCCAGCGTTAAGAGTGCCTATCTCAACGGACAAGCAGCTTCTAGTCCAGCGCAAAAGAAGATCCCCTCGATTCCTAAAGGTGAGCTTAGTAGTTGTTTCATTTTTATTGTTAAAATCAATATTGTTTTCCTGGCTTCCTTTGCCTTCAGCTTTTCGTTATTGTTATTGCATAGCTTTTTAGCCTTTAATATGCCATAGTTGATGGTTAGATATGAGGCGGTCAAACCTATATATGTAGACCACTTTCAAACTTCAATTTGGACCAAATTGTTCAATGATGTTAACAGTAAATGCAGTATATTTTTTACAGACCTGTAAAAAACTCAAAACATTCTTTAAAATTCTGTTTTCTCAATTTTTTGTTCAGCGAATTCTGCCAAGCCTACATTTTGATTTTTTTCTTGTCTTTAAAGAGTAAGTTTTAAGCTGTAGGGTTTGATTTTGAGTAGACTTTGAAACGGTCGCTGAATACGAATTGTTTATTTAAAGATTGTTCTCATTTCTTTTTCTTTAGACATAGGTATATCGATTTCAAGAACAGAGCCTCGCATTGTTCCACTAGCTGCGAATCGAGACAAGGTCAATTTTTCTTTCACGAAAGACAATGTAAAAGAAAGTAAAAAATCTCCGGCTGCGTATCTATCGCAGCTTAACAAAAAGGAGGAAAAATCGGAAAAGAAACCTCCTACTGTTTCTCGGTCAAGTTTAGAAGCAATTAGAAAAGGGTACGACAGTAGTGGCTCGGATGGTGATGTTTCTGGTCCTGGAGAAAGAAAGGGTAAACAACTAGAACAAGAAGTGAAAGGTTAGTATTATTAAATACAATGTTGTTGTTTGCTTTAAATTAATTAGAATGCAGTTTTTGCACAAGTCATTGGCTGTTATAGGAAAAAATACAGACATTTTGAATGAAACCTGGGATGGTTGTAGACGGAGTGGAAAGGAAAGAGCGGAGGTTTACACGTTTTTTAGAATATCCTGAGAAGCCTTCGCTAATCGTTAGCCACCTTACTTGTTCTCGGTTTTGATGAAAATATCTTTTAACAGAAAGTTTAGTGTTGTGGCAGTTTTTGGCCGAGAATCTAACAGATCCCAAAGTAGCACGAGAATGCAAGCTTTGGAAATATTTTGCTATTTAAGCTGCCTGCTGTTTGATATACAAATACGAAAAATAAAGAAAGAGTCAGCATTGGCGACACTCTTCACATAACTATGCCCTGACAATAACCATACCACCCCCTCGTTATAAATAGTTCAGGAATGTATATTTCTTTTTTTCTAGAAGCAAGTATACATATATTGGCAATTTCTCCTTGCTTTTCAACATTACAATTTTTATTTTACTTATACATATTTTTACAACTTTCACATATACCCTTTTAGATAAAGAAACTAATAAAAAGGAAGCTAAGAAAGTTGAGCCCACGTCTGTGGCTGCTAAGGAACGCGAAAACGTTGGCACATTTGAGAGAAAAGGTTCAACTAAAGAGGACAAAAGGGCCACCACTGTAGAGGTGAAGAAAACGGATAAGGAAGCGAATGGTATGAATTTTTCTGATCCAGCAGATCTAATTTTTGAGAATGACTGTTTCATAAAACATTGAATAGTCTTTTTCAAAATCTTCTTTTTGTAATCGCTTTTCGTTCAGTTGCAACTGAGTACGATCCAATATCAACATGCCCTCCAAAGTATAAATATAATGAACATCACCATATTTGCATCAAGTTGTGGTGACTGCCCTGTTCTGTACGAAGTGTGGTGTGCTATGTATTGGTGTTGACGTAGTATTTTTATGGACTCAGTTATTGATCCTTGCACACTTAGTTATTCTTTCTTAAACATGTTATGCTTTATCATTATAATTTTTATATGGATAAAAAGATATTAAATTTTGTGTGACGAATTTAACCGTTTGATAAAAATTGCTTCTGGTGATACTAGCAGGGCATTAGAAATTTTTTTTTCATTTACATTTGACTTCATTTGGGAAAGCCCAGTTTGTAATTATTTTTAATAATTATTTTAGATGTTAATGTTTCCAGTACTCCATTGAAAGAAGCTGAGAAATCATTAATTGACAGACAAACAGTTCTAGAAAGTCCGCAAGATTTGATTTCTCCGCCGAAGTCAGCAAACACAGAAATCCTGCATCCGAAACGAAAGTTGAAGCTACACTCCGGAACGCCTCTGAGTGCTAAATTGGGTCGATGGATGCCAGTGACAACATTGAGCAGCAGTTTTACGCCAAGGGCAGTGCTGCATCGTAGCTTGTCTGATTCCCGTGCATTTGAAAAATGCAAACCAACCGCACGAGAAATGAGGCAAAATTCTGTTCAAGAACCAATCATGTCACCTACAGGACACGGTACTCTATGACGTCATTTCTTTTTATATTTTTTGAATATGATCAATCCTTGCCAACATTGTTGAAGCATTTGTACATAGCTAACGCTTTTTTGATAAACAACCCCCCCCCCCCTCCTACCCCCTATTACAGTATTGTTCAATTTTGCCATTTCGATACTGAAGGTAAACATTTTGTCACTGAACGCTATAGGAAAATTATTGAGAGAATAATTCATGGCAGAGGGGGAGGGGGTCAAAAGTTTGGAAGCAACACTAATATATTTATTAGATGGTGTGGTCTGTTGGCATGCCGTCAGGGAAAGGCCTTCCAACTATTTTTGCCAAAGATTGTCAGTGGCGTCATTTCTCGTTTGATATCATTGGAGCTTCATCATTTCATTTCTGCATAGCCTCCCCCGTCTCGATGGCCACTCGGGTGCAAATTACTTGAAACAAAACTCCCAGGGTTTAATAATATGTTGCTACATTAGAGATGAGACAGAGTTTATGCAAAAGCATTAGCAATGACAGAAAATGAGGAGTATTAACCTTATCTCGATTTTAATGTCTATTATGGTTAAAATCATTCTGAATTGAAATTTTTTTTATATTGTGCGGACGTATTTTCAGATGATTCCTGTTAAATAACTATCCATTCGTTTTAGATAAATCTGAAAAGTCTAATCGATGGAACGTTGAAATTAAAGCGACACCTCAGATTCACTATGGCCCAATGACCCCACCCGTCAAACCCCTCAAATCTGATGATCTTCTGAGAGAGAGGACATGCTCTGTGACGTCAGAGGTGTGTGTTTGTTGCAGTTATTGGGTTTTATTATGCTGATTTCTTTCAGCTGGCTGGTATATATATAAAAGGCCAAAAGTTTAGCGCAGTGTTGGCACTTTCAATTATATCCCTAGCGGTAGCCGAATAACGCCGTCGTTTTGTGTGTACTGTGGATTCTGGAGGGCGTACTAACGCCCGTCATTAAGGTCATGACATTGCTTCAAAGGCCACCAATTTGCAGTTGAATAAAAGCAACTAGCTTTAGCCCTGATCTTTGTAAAGAGCCAGTAAGCAGGAAGCACATTTCAAACAAAATGGATACACATTTCATTTATATGTTCAAGTCCTTGATGCATTTGCGTTTTGTGTGTATGAATGAGAGAATTTTTGTTTTTTTTGAAAAATAGTAAAAAATCACTGCTCAGAATATTCCTTTTTTCGAAGTGTGGTCAGATTAGCTAAAATAAATTCCAACCAAAGGGAAATTGCTATTTTTCAGACCGGATCAATATCGACCAAGACAGGTGAATGGGACGTCCATGAAAAAGATTTGGAGGAAGGCTGCGCACCCCCTTATATTCCAGAGCGACACTTTGCTGGTTGGAGTGTTGAAAAGACAAATGGAAAAAGAATCGACAAGGAACACCTAAGAAATGAAAATGCAACTCCGGCATCGAAAAAGACGCTTACAGACAAGTTTGCTGACAAAAGCGAGAATAAATTTAAAAATCGGTGAGTTGTTTGCATACTGAAATTGTGTTTTTCTTGTTATAGATAACAGAAATCAAAGAATTTATAATATGAGTAGCTATGTGACGAACTGTTCTGAGTAGCTAGGTTTATCAAACCAGTTTAATAGCGATATGAAATTTTTGCCAACCATGATCTCTATCAGGTAATTGGTATTTCTCACGTTCCAGAAAAAATAATCTTCCAAACGTTCGCAGGCATTGATTATCAAAGTTTGCAATATTTAATCTAGGTTGAATTTGTAATGAATTCTTTTGATTTTGTTTTCTGTTCTGGTTTTGATATTTCGGAAACCTGAAATTCTAAAGTAACCTCATTCAGTCCCAAATTTCTACAAGTGAATTGCTGACATTTACAATTTATTAAAGTCGATATTATTCTTGAGGTTGAGACAGCTTCCATAAGAGAATGTACTCCGATTGTTAAACCGAACCTTTTGCAGATAATTTTACATTTTTCTGAAGTTCAGCAAAATAAATCTTTAGATCTAAAACGTGCGGTAATGAGGAAAACGAAAATGATATACCGAGTGGCAGTGACAATATTTTTGACGAAAAGTCACAGAGGGGAGGAAAGAAATCAAAAAAGAGAAAGCACGAGATAAAGTCGAAAGATGATGACGAAACAGGAGCTAGTAGTAAACGCATGAAAAGGAGACACAGCGAAGAGGGTGATTCCGATAGCTACAAACGAAAGCACAGTTCAAAGAAAGCGAAAAAGAAAAAGAAACACCGGCACAAGGATAGCAATGAAGAGGAGAGTGACAGGCAGCTGGGTAAAGATAAAGCTGAAGTTGACGGGGGTTTAAGGGAAGACAGAACTTCTGATAAGAAACATCGGAAATCAATTGAAGAATCTGATCGCTCGTTCAAAGACACGCCATCTCACTCTAAGTCGAAGAAAGACAGACTAAACTCAGAGGGGAATGAAGACTTGAGTGATGAGAATTCGGAAGAGAATCGTTCTAAAAAGAAAAAGAGGAAGAAGAGGAAGAAGAATAAAAAAGGTCACAAAGAAGAAAGCTTCAGTCAAAGTAGAAATTCGTCGCACAAAACGTCAATTGAAAAAGACAAAGAAGGTGAAGATTCAAAATATGCTGCTGTGAAGACACCAAGGAGAATTTCATTTACTACCATCAGTAGGTTTTTACAGCTTTTTTGGATCTTAACCTTCATCTAGTTTTTAATTTTCTTGATGGTTATTAGAATATAATAGATGGGTATCGTTGTTCTTGATTATGTATAAAAATTGCTGTTTTGCTGGTCTGTCAAAACGTGCTCAATGCTGCACAAGCTCCGGTGTAAAGAACTTGGAACCACCTTGTGACATAATGTTCCAACATTTTCAGCATGTAAATTATCACCAAGTCATTTATTTTCGGTATCTCCAACATGAAGTTTTGTTGTGGAATGTTTCCAGTGTATAGGGCTCTAGCACGTAGTTCCTCTCTACGAGATCAATCTCTGGCCTTTTTGTCTTGAATTTTCCCGTCCCAAATTATCCCATCTCGGCAGGATTACTGTGTGATTTTCATTGTCGAGTATTCTTCAGTAGAATGCAAATCCGTTATTTGTCAACATCATATTTATTGTAGTTGAAAAAGATGCTCATTCAAGTAACGGGAAAAAGAAAGAAAAGAAGAAAAGTTCCTCAGGTGAAAGAGAAGAGAGAAATGGTGGTCTTGAAAAACCTGCGAAAAGCGGCTCGATTCAAAAAGTGCAGTCCGGTAATTTTGAAATGAAGCTTGTCACCCTAAATAAAAATAATAATAGATTGTTAGTTATGTAATTAGAGGAACATCATGCCATTTTGTGATAGGGGTCTTTGTAAAAACGAATAAAGTTGTACGTGTCCTTAAGAATATAACAGGTACTGTATCTTGTAAAAACAGTCACCTGTGTAATTTTTAGGGTTTTAAATCAACGGAGCTTTCGTTTATTTTCTTCCGAGAAAAGAAATAACCACTTCTCCTTCATAAAAAGAACCTTAAACAGTGAAGAGTTATCATAGATATGTGACTCAGAGTAGCCTAAGAGTTAACGAGATCTTCACAAAAACAATGATCTAACACTTTCCAGTTGTAATAATCCTCGCCCTACTTCTTTAAATAATGGTTTCCAACAATAGTTAAGTTACAAATATTTTGTATTTTTACTTGTTTAAGATACTATTTATCGACGTCACTTCATCAATATTTTTACCCTGGGTACTAAAGCCACAAAATTTCGAGTGCGTAAATAGAATACCAAGGGGAGCAGCGGAGGAGCGTCTACCCAAGAAGATTGGAAAGCTTTTCCTATCTTCTTCACCCCTATCTTCTGTATCCGCTCTCGAATTTATGTGGCTCTGGTACCCAGGGTACATTATTTTGTGATTTGCTATAAGCTTTCAACTTTCTGTAGATGCACCTGCAAAGAACTGGGATGAGGCTCCAAAGAAAGCTACCTCTTGGAACGGATCTAATGACAATGCAGTGCTGCACACTCTTTTATCGAAGAATTCTCAAGGTAGCAACCTTGTTTTCTTTTGTGCTGCATTCTGTAGGCCTTCTTTCTGGCATTGCAAATGTATTTTTATTAGAGTTGATTTTAAATCTGTCGCAGCCACCAATACATCTACGACGTATTTTCATGAATAAACATAGAATAATTGGGGCCTGTATTTTGCTTTGATGTTACTGTTTTCATCGTAATGAATTTCGGATTAAGAGCGATTGTCTGTCCTCTATACCAACAATTCTTTAACAGCAAATCTCATCTGTATACTTCATTGGTAAACCTGGAGTGGTTTTTGCAATTTAGATAATGAACCCAGGCGCAGCAGTAGTTGCCAATTTTCGTGCCTAATCCTTGATAAACAGAAACACAATAATGATAAAGGTGCTTGTTTCAACAGTTGAAACCTGGGATAATGAATCAAGTCAGACAATGAAATTTGAAGTGGAAGATAGCTCGAAAAAAAGACGAGATCGTTGGGATGATGATTACGATCAGGGCAAAGTAAAAAAAGCGAAAAAGCACCACAGTCAGGGCCATTCAAAACAGAAATCAAATCTTTTCCAAAGGCTGCAAAATCGACGCAATGTGGACAAGGTATGGTAACATATTAGACAACCCCAAAGAAGCTGGAAAGCGGGTGGGGGCTGGAAGAGTTTCATGCGTCCCTCTTGCTCTATCATAAGAGATTCAAGGGGGACGAGAGAGGCCTTCTTATCAAAACGCCTTAGAAATTGGCTTCGATCTCATTTGCATTCCCCTTGACCAAAAAAACACATTAATTAAGGGCTAAAAATAGGCGTACGGGCGTATGATCATACCTAAATATTAAGCTATTAAAATATTATATGTTTGAAATTACCTCATTTTAAACTCTGCGAAGACACTCATTTTAGTATGTTTCATTGCTTCTTGCGAAAGCCAGCCGCCATTATTTTTAAAAATGCACATATTCTCCATCAGAATGATTGCTTTAGATGAAGGCATTGCTACAACTTTAATGCCACTCAATCAATTACATTACATCCAAGCTATGATACCAAATTGGTTCTGAAGATGTTTGCTTTCTTGTAGAACACAGATAGATGAATCGTGGTGTGTGAAACACAGAATGAAATGCACATTGGAATATAGTTTCTTGGTGAAAACTCGTACTTGTTGAGTTTCGTTTATGGCCAAGATATTTTTACTGCGTGCACCAGCAAAGACGCGACTCATTGCAATTTTCCTTTGGCTGGAGACCCATCTATAGGTAAACCAAAAACCTATTGTGAATCATGCATTGCGGCAACCAAGGCGGATTGATGCGATTTCACTGCCACCGCCGTTCTACCTGATCGATCAGCGTTGTATAATTGCAAACTTGTTCATATGAGTGACTAATAGTAGTCTAACGCAACAAAAGTTCCCCTTCTTTTGTATCTTCTGTGTCAAATCCAAATAAACAACTTGATTTTAATCTGAAGATGGTATCTTTCAAGCTTAACAGGTTTTAATGTAGAAATGAAGGTATTCTTTTATCTGCTGTAAATATGCTAAAAATATGTTGTAATCCAACTATACCGTCCATTATTGATATTTTTTCCTGGGCATTGTCCATATTGATTTGCTTTCGTGTTCATTTTTAATTGTGTCATTTTTTAAAGATTGATGTGTCATTTGAAATTGAAATTGAATGTTACCAATGATCTATCTATATCACTGTATCATTGAACTGAATAGCACAAATGACAATATAGGTTTTTAACTAAACCAAAAGCATACGGAGGTTTCATTAGGGAAAATTGGTATATTTTAGGTGGGGGCAGTGCCTCTCTTGTGCCTTTAATTTTAGATTGCAGGGAATATCGGTGCTATATAGTTTTCTTTTTGCAACCTTACCGGTATGCGGAACCTTACGGCGTGAACGATTTGTATTCTCAAAGTAACTGGGTTAAACTGGTCCTCGTTGTTAACACGACGCTTTCTGCGAACACGACGCTACTGAGTTTATAAAGCCTGTAGTTTAACGGCTTAAGAATTAATAGCGTCGGAAACCTTTATTTTTTAAGAAAAAACAAGCCCCATTGAAAAATGAAGCGACCATGATTGTGAGTCGTATTTATAAAATTTAGCTGTACATAAGTAGGCCAAACTAGCACATATTGTCCTCAAAGGACGCTACAATCAGAACCTGTTATCTGCAAGGATCAGTTAAGGAAGCAGAAACTGATGTATACATCTAGCTTCGTTGTAATTTAATGATATATGTATGTATTTAAGTGTCTTTCAAAAAAACCTGAAATTTTGTTTGATTTCGTTCTTTCTCGTATTGTTATGCTTCGTTATATTCATCATCATCTCTCTTGCCTCTTGGAGAGTATTACCCTCATCAGATGCGTTTTATTTGTCTGAAAAATTTGTTCTCCTCAGTTGACTATCATCCAGCATAGTAAACTCTGATAGCTTTTTCCTAAGTTAAGATGATTTTTTGGCCGTTTCATTAAAGAGCAACTGCTTTTGAAGAGAACTATTATCTTTGCGGGTGATGTGTGCGATTTATTTCAGATGCTACTGCACATACAGGACCAGAAAGACGATGATTTATTGTCTAGGCCCCAATTCTAATTTCAATAGAGGACCGTATAACTACGATCAATCATAACGTATTTTCTAGTTTAGATTCCAATTTCGATCCGTACTAATTCTATGTCTTCTCTAATCTCATGCAATTCAAATCTAATTTATATCGCATATTTCAACGTGACTGCAACAACAACAACTATTGTTAAGGAATACGTCATACCATACAATTTCTTACAGCTTGTACGACCAATCAATTTCCTCTTGCGGTATTGATTTATCTTCCTTGTTTTTGGGAGCATATTGCCTGGAGAAACAACCTTTTACCATTCGTCTTAGCAAGAAAGCCGCACCAAATATATTCAACCTTTTTTATTTCATTTGCAGATAATTGCCATGCTTGTACAAAATACATTATTATTATCAATCAATTTGTTTTGCGTTTGCACTAGAAACATTTCTAGCTGTTGCCTACAATTATGAGCTAATTAATGCCAACTTCTAAAGAATGAATTAAAAATATCTACAATTTGACACTACAATGAAGATTAAATTACAATTACGTTCTAAAATACAAAAACCCAACTTTCTTAAAAAAAACTTGCTGTTTCCGTGCCATACTTTTATTCTTCTTTTAGAGTCAGTCTGTTGATAAACTTTGATTTCCTTCAGTAAAGAAGAATATAGAAGGCTCCATCTTGGTTAAATACTACCAGTCCCATAAACTGTGATCTATTTCTTTGCGCTTCTTAGACTTGATTCTTAGACTATAAGTTAACAAATTTGAAATTTCAATCACAAAACATTGCAGATTGTGGTAATGAACAATTGGAACTGTTTACTTTAATCTCTACGAGCTCTACATCGTTATCGTAGAGTTTATACACAATTATCTACATTGTATATATCCAGTCATGGTATGGTTTAGTCTTGGAAAGTTTAGACCTTGCTTGGCAAGTCTTCACATTCCAACTGTGGTGGTTTTGGCTCCTCGTCCGTTTCATTAGTAAATGTGTACGATACTTCATCGGGGTTTGTGAATCTTGTGAAACCAATATCCAGACTCTCCGGTTGTTCTTCTGTCACTTCGTTCTGTAAGCAAAGTTTATTCTGAGTTATCATTTGTCATCAGATTGTAGAAGCATTAATAGCATACTAATTTGATACATTGATTTGCAAAGTAGCCTTGATAAAATATTTTCCATATTCGCTTAAAGTTTTAGATGAGTTACATTATCTGTTGCAGGGCCAGCGAAACGTATTTCAAAGCGTTGGGGCCAAACTGTCAGGACTGTGCGAGGGTTTCGTAAAGGCCGCTATCATGGTTAATTGGCGTGAAGAAAATTTTACAAATATGGTATTTAAAGCAAATCCCGAAACTCTATCTTAATAGGTTTTGACCGAATGAAAATCCGGGGGAACATTTTCAAGTTTCCAGTTATCATTATGCTCCATAGTTTCATGTTGACTCGAAACAAGAAAGGTTTTCAAAAGTACAACTAAAAAGTCTAACCCTAACCTTGAGTATAATCACAGTTTGGCAATAAAACATGGACACAAAAAGAATACCAAAAACACGATCAACTAAAAATTAAAAAAATAGCAGTTTTGGAAAATTGTAGTATTATTTTATTTAAAATTTTCGAAAATAAGTTGCTTCTATGAAAAGCGACAGTAGGCATGAAAATCTTTCAAACTGGGCTGTTCAAAATAATTTTGAATTGATCATTGCATCTAGATTTTCAGACCATAAAGTTAAATAATTCTTTTTGGCGAAAAATAGTAGTGTTGTTTTTGCCCTTATTTAAATCTCCCTTTACCAAAAAATATTCGTTTATAGTTTTTGTAATTACCGTTTCGTCTCTTGCAGTGCAGGAACATCTATAAAACCTTTCTGTTTTGAAGCTTTTTTGGCGATACTTTCAAGGAACAATTCTAAAGATCCTTAGTTTCTTCTAAACAAAATTTTTCCTAGCTGTTTTCTTTTTTCAACAGCTTTTATTCCCTCTGTCTGTAACGTTTTTGGGAGTTTTTCTGTTAACAAATAAACTTTGTGAAACAGGTTTAGGTTAGGCCATCGAAAAACGAATTAATTTTGCTTTGGCACAAGGTTACTCTTGGCTGGATTTCTCCGTCTATTTCCTAAACCAAACATGCATTTAAAAGACTGTACTAATAATTGGAAACCATTTTATAAAAATCTGCAATCCGTACAATGTAATGGGCAACGCACGCTAAACTTGGATAATGATTCAGCTATTTCCATCAAATTGTAAATATCTAGATGCTTAAGGTAAAGCTAATGGCATATTTAAGGAAACACTAAACACAACAGCTTGCAGAAAGATTTCTTTCAAATTTGACATAGGAAAATTATTTCGCTAAGCAGAAAAGTAGGGAGGGGGCAAAGCTCACAGGGCAAAGCAAGTAGATATGGAAAGGGGGCGTTCGTAGGACTGTTGGGGGATGGGATAATGGCCTTTGATTGGTCTTAAAATAGGCGGCTGCTAAAATTTCAATGGTATATGTAATTTTTTTCTGAGGGTGAAAAACATTGCATTGCATCCAAGATCTTAAAAGACGCAGAGACCGGTTATTCTGAGTTCTTAGAACAATAACAAATAGAGACGATGCTACTTACGTTCTTTAGATGAAGAATCACATAGCCTGCCAAAACTGACGATGCAATAAGCAGCAGCAGCCCAAAGCCAAAAAAGGTGCCGACACGAATAATTGTTCTGATTATAATTTCTTTTTCGTGAGCTGGATTACAGAATATTGCTGCAAACAGATTATAAAATTATTACCTAAAGTGCAAGACAAAAGCCCTAACTCCAATGATAGCAATTCCAAGTGCGGCGAGGCTATTCGAATGTTTGACCGCAAAACATTGGTGCTACAAAATACATCAATTCCATTTCAATATCAGTTTATTCGAATCATACCTAATAATCAAATGGATTCAAATTAAATCAAGGACGCATATAGCAATCACATTGTTTGTTATTTTAAAAAAGGAAGAAGAAGAGTAAAAAGGTGAAGAAGAAAAATGAAAGAAGGAGGGAAGTAAAAAGAAAGTTGGCGAAGATGAAATAAAAGTGGAAGAAAATAGAAAGTCAGGGAAGAGAGAGAAAAATAAAAGAAGAAGGAAAAAAAGAAAGAATCAGGAGAAGAAAAAGAAAAAGAAAAAGACGAAGAAGAAAACAAAGATGAAGAAGAAAAGAAGAAGAAGATGAAGAAGAAAATGAAGATAAAGAAAGAAGAAAATAAGAAGATAAATACGGTCTTATCCATGGATAATAAAATGGCTGAGCAGAGTGCTTTTTTCAAAATAGTGCTTCAACCCAAGACAAAAATAGTTGAGACTTTTCAAGAGAGGGTGATGTTTTCTGTTTGAAAAGAAACTTGCTACTCCTCCGAAAATGTTGAATGCATGTTGGTGATGCAAAAGTTATAAAAACACAAATCCAACATTGATTTCGGGGTTACAAATCCAATTTTGCCGTGATTAAAAATAGATGTAGTGAATAATTTGAAAGGAACGGCCCCCTTTTTACGAGACTAAGAAGCCAATTCAACACAAAGTTGCTTAGAAAAATAATCACTAACACGTGCGCCGGAGACGCTGGAGACGCTGGAGCCGCCGGAGACGCCGGAGATGCCGGAGATGCCGGAGACGCTGGAGACGCTGGAGACGCCGGAGATGCCGGAGACGCTGGAGACGCCGGAGCTGTAGCCCCTCCCCAACTTTTTTGCTACGGTATGATATATAGGTTGGGGCATCGAAGATAATGATTGCAAATTAAGTAAGTAGCCCCCCCCCACTTTTTTTGAGCCCCCACTCTAAAATGTGCTCCGGCGTCTCTGACTAATAAAGAAGCTATCGTGTAAGCCTCATATATTACCTTCACAATATGTCTTCAAGTTGGCAAGAAGAAGCCTGTAAAACATGATATGGACTCCAACGAAAATAAGCAGTAGTATGATGGAGAACAGGCAATGGCCAAGATAGCATTGAACCTAGTGGCAAGAGAAATAATGACTTAAACCGAAAGTACCGTTGCAGTAACCTGTCAGTTCAATATAATATCACGAATGGAGGGAGGGGGTTGGGGCTCATAAATAGGGCTGCTGTTGGAAGCATCTTCTAAAGCTGGAAAATCAATAAGCTAAGCAGTAGAAGCAAAATACTAGGATTGGGGTTCGATCACTTCCTGTGACTTGATAAGTAGGAGATGTGCTCCTCGTGGACACGTAAGTAAGTCAGTGGCATTCAGGGTACGACTTATCTAAAATGATGGCGAAGCTTTTAGGATATATGTATTTGCACAAGACGTGTTGTAGTTAAACGCAGTAACACATCTAACCCCCTGTTCCCGTTCGGAGCTGGTGCTTGTGCAATAAAAACACACAGATATCAATTCTAGGGGGCGAGGGTGTAAGAACCCTCTTGATGTCCTTTTTAGATAAATATTAATACAAATAATATTCTATGCTACATTAATATTTAACCTATTAATTAGACACAAGTGTGCGTATGCTGAAGTTGTTGTCAATTTGGCATTGAGAATTTTCTGTATTGCACGGCACACCCCAAAGCATGTGACAAAATGGACCGCGAAGGCACAATTTTCAAATTTTTTACCCATCTGGAAGCATACAAGGTTCAAAAGCATGCAAAATGTACGCTTGAAGAATGGGGAGAGAAGTTGGGGGTATGTTTTGTACACCTTTTGAAATTTGTGATATTGGGGAACACCTCTAAATTTTATATTCCTCTATATTCCTCTTATTCATCAAGATCGCTATTAGTACTGAAATTTACTAATTTCAATCTGAATTAAAGCAAAATCAAACACTACGAGGGTACTCCATATGCATTGCACCATATGCATTGCACCAAATGCATTGCACACGGAACCGTAAATTAGTCAGAGACTTCAAGATGTTTATCGTTGTCTTCCAAAACATTTCTATTACATTGAGGTTTCCTTCTATTGGTATTCTACTGATAGCAACGGGAACTGTATTCAAATTCGTTAAAAAATAATTTGTCACCAAAATTACCAATAAGGTCAATAGCAAAGTTATCTGGATATCTTGTGAGAATAAACTTTCATGAATTTCGCATTACAAGGAGCTTCGTGGATCAAAATTTTGCGATTTAAGGCCATAGCGCGAAAAACGCAAGAGTATCTCAAGGTCTAACCATGGTTTAACAGGGACTTACAAAATGATAGGGACTCACCGTTTTCAACTTTTTCACAAATCCTGCAATGACGCCATTGATCCCAGAAAAGATAATCTAGAGAGGATTAATAGGTTAAGTGTAATCTTCGGGATTTCTTTAGAAGAAGGAGAGGTTTATTTGAGATCAGGTGTTTCTGGAAAGTAAAACTGTGCATGCTTCGGTACGTTTACCCGGCATTTTACCCACGATTTTGCTGCGAAATTCACCTTGTAGAAATCTGCCTTAAGCCATGACTATTTTGCAGACTACTGACTCTTATGTATGAAACTGAGGTAAAACTGTTGTAGAAAAATGCAACGCGTTGATATTTAATTAGGGAAAGAAAGCAAGAAGCTGTTGTATTGATTGAGAGAATTTTAGTTCCTGAACAGAAACATGCATCATCTTTGTCTCGAATATTTTCAGTAGGCCATGTTTACACATCCAAAATGCAAACATTGTAATGATACAGAAAGTTATCTGCTGAATTGATGCAAATAATAGACAAATAATAGAATATACCTAAATAAACTATAAAATAACCTAAAAAACCTGAAACCTAAAAAATATACCTAAATAAACTAGTAAATAGAACCAAATAAAATTAAGCAGTATATAAACAGCTTGTTCTCTTTTATTCCATACTTCGTTTTCGCATACGGTTAAAAAAAATTTATCTCTGAAAAAGTGGGGGGCTTCAGCCCAACAGCCCCCCCCCCCAGTGGCGCCATGCCTGATGTCTATATGCCTAGACAAGAACTTCCGCTTTCAATTACGTCAAAAATGGAGAATTCATTCTCTTTGGAACTTTGACTTTGGTACTTTTGAAGAGAGGGTAAGAAAAGCTTAGGACACCAGATGAACTATTCACCTTTGTTTTGCTCAGTTAGTTCTAGGAGCCATTAAACAAATTTGAATCAAAACTAATTTTCAAAACATTGTTTAATTGATTATTTCAAGTATAATCCTACTGTTACCTCAGGCACAAACGTACTTCATTGACATACATTCAATAACAAGAAATGATGACTGTCGAAGTATTTAAAGGATCACAAATGACGATTTCACGACAACAAAGATAATAGGAGCAAAAAAACCCGAAGGGAACAGAAAAGAGGAAATTCCAAAGGGTACAGAAAATAGGGTACACGGTACAGAAACCATAAACATTTTTGCAAAAAAGTAGATTTCAATTTTTCGTACATCATCAATTAGAACCAAATACTAGGAATTTCATACCGCCACCCCTGCTAAAGCTGCAAGGATTGGTTGCGACACATCGTCAGGGTTTCTCATTGATATCCCCATAAACATCAGAAGTAGAAAGATTGGTCCAAAGAAGATTTTCATCAAACCAAACACAATAAAGATGTACCCTGAAATACAAAACGATATGTGTGAGAATTGCGGAGAAAGTCACTACATGGCCGAATTTCTATTTTATTGCGGGAGAAGGGGGGTAGACTGGACTAAAGGTTTGGTATGAGCTGCATAGAGTTCTTACGTCATAAATCTATGTTTGAAACTTTTGATTTTTGATCACATAACCTTAAAAGAACACAACAAAATACTTCTAATTACGCAAAATCATTTAAATATATCAAATATCGGTTGAGATATGGCAGATGAAAGATTTGAAGTTTGCTAACAGAATCCGTTCGATCACTGTTACTTTTACCCTGTTCATAAAATTATGAATAGAGACAAAATAAGAGAGGTTTTATAGGAAAGAGCCAATACATATGTGGCAATATCTCAAACAAAGATTGATTTATATAGGCCTGACGATACGGACGATTCACTCTGACGATTCCCATGCAAACTGCCCTCCAGTTTTCCTTTAATAATTTTTGACTAGCTAACTTAATATGTAGGACTGGTTAAATGTTACGTCTAAGCAGAGTCGTCGTGACCGGGGAGGTGTGGGGGTATCACACCCCCTCCCCCCCCCCTCAATAGTATCTCAATAGGAAATTTCAGGTAAAATCCGCTCGGTGGAAGAAACGCTTTAGGTATTTCAGAGACCTTCATGTCATAAAATCAATAAAGGATCAAGCAAAGGTAATTACTCCGTTGGTTAAATATGATATTCCTTGATATGAATGAAGGTAAACAAACTAATGATTTGAAGATTGCTTGTTGGCAATAAATCTAAAAATCCAGGCCCTCTTTAGGTAAATTTGTGTCTTGTGTCCATTTCCCCTAAAGTTTCTCGCTAGAAGCGTCAACTGCAATTCACTATGAGCTCCAGATTTTTTTTAACATTCAAAAGGCATGCTAAGATGGAAAGAGGGATCTAAATTGACAACCAGTGCTGCTTAGATGTGAGTGTTTCTGGTATACCATGAATAGCGAAGATCTTGTCCAGCTTTGGTATAACGGTTGAAGCTTTTGTGGATCGCACAATTTCTACTTCAGGATATCGCGAGTATCTGTCTACAACAACAAGCAAATACTCTCCAGATGGCAATGGTCCGTAGAAATCTACATGAAGTTTCTGCCATGGTCCTTGCGGCATTTCAGTCATCTGTAAAGGCTCTGGTGGGTTTGGTCTTCTAGTACCTTGACAAGGTACGCAATGATCGATTGTTTCTTTTACCAGCTTATCAATATCTGGAAACCAAACTTTTTCTCGGAGAAATGATTTGGTCTTGGATAGGCCTTGATGAGTGGTATGTGCAAAGTCTATTGCTTTCTTTTGAAGTGATTCTGGAATGGCAATTCTGGTTCCACGCAAAACTATGTTATAAGCTCCGATGGTGAGCTCAGGGGCGGACTGGCTGGTCGGGCTATTCGGGCGATCGCCCGAAGGGCCGGTCTGTTTAAGGGCCGGTTGATAAAAGTGCAAAAAATAAATTAGCTTAAAAAGTGAATGCGAGGCAAAAAGTATACCCACACGTTGATCTGTTTGCCTTGATTTTTCAGAGACTTTGTGGGAAAGGATAAATATACACGCGAGTTTCTTTTTGTCACCGCAGCCCAAACACACTTCTTCAGAAAAAATGTTATTGAAAATTTTTATATTTTCTCTTGACGGTATTTCCTTTTTGGCAACATATTATACTGTAACACCCCTGTTTCAATGCGATACATAAGATTTTAACCATGTCTTTTTATTTAGCTTTTGCTTGAGGCTGGTCATGTTTTTCCCTAAGCACAAGCTATTGCTAAATGTAATAAATTTAAAAGTCCAAAAATTAGAGTTCACTAAGCAATTCGCTCTGTGATGTGAAGCAATGAAGAGGACATACGTAGAACCAGTGGTGTACCCAAGGGGGGGAATAGGGGGGTCCAAACCCCCCACTTGTGATCTAAAATGTGATCCTCGAGATTTGTCCTAAAACGATGTAAAACTCATCGAGGTGGGGGTGTAGTATACTGTATGCTTGTGTCAATAACAATTGTAAAATACTTTCCTATTTACTGTAGCGAACATGAATCAAATAATGGCGGAAAATTTTGCAAAAAGGGCGTTTCTCTGCATTTGCGAGTGTTTGAAGGGCGTGGTCCAAAAAATTTCTGGGGGCTGCGCCCCAGACCCCCCCCTTCTCCGGCCCTGGGTACGCCACTGCGTATAACGAGGGAAAGCAAGAAGACTTCAACCAAAGGTGATGCACAGAAATTTTGTGAAGGAAAAGCTGCGAGTCTTAAAAAAGGATTCAGCTACGATACAAAGCTTTTTTATCAGGCAAAAGCCACAAACGTCACTAAAAACAGCAGGGTCTTGCTCTTGCTCCTTTCAATAAACTCATACAAGTTTTTGTAAGTTTATTTTTAGGCCTATACTATCACAAGTCAAATGCACCCCCGCCCACAGGGGTATGGTGCTACACGATAAAATTTCAACAGGGGTGCCTATTTTTTGGGGTCAGAAATTGACAAATCGATTTTTTTGGGCTGCTGAAAATCATTGTGGTTTTCCGGAGGATTAGAAAATTATTTGTCACAAGTGGAGTGTGATAGAAGCTTTTCCGCTTTAAATATATAAAGAACAGATTACGTAGTAATTTTTCGCAGCCAAACCTGGAGTCCTTCATGTTAATGTTCTTAGAAAAACACCTGTTAGATGACATCCTGAACGATCACATTATCAACATATAAGTTACTATATTTAGAAACAAAGTCAAACCAAGGAGTTAAATTTTTTGTTTATTTACTGTTTAGTCAACAAATGACATATTTATCATGTTCTGTTAAGCATATTCTGTTATGCTTATTCACTTGTTATGTTATGCAAGCATTCAACCATGCACAAAATTACTGAATTTAAAAACTTGTTTTCCTTGCAGACTAACATTTACTTGTATTTTCCGAGGAGTTTTTTATTTGCTATTATTGTGGGCCGGTTTGATCAAAATTTGCCCGGGCCAAAAAAATTAGCCAGTCCGCCCCTGGGTGAGCTCATCTTTTATCGCTTTAAATGACTTGATTGCATCACAGTCCCATCGGTTTAGAGTGATAGCAGCACGTAGAGCTTGCAGAGTCCTATCACTGTCAGTAGCGCTTTTTGTCTCTGTAATTGTCATCGTTTTTGGAACTGCTGCATTGGTCAACATGGCGATGTAGGGTTCCGTCATCTCCTCTTGTTTGTATGTACTTTCTTTTGTTGGATGGCGGGAAAGAAAGTCTGCAGGATTGTCTACACCTGGTTTATACTGCACTGTAAATCTGTAAGGCTGAAGGCGCAAGACCCATCGTTCAATGCGAGCAGATGGCTTTGATTTGGGGCTGCCATATATGATTTCCAATGGTTTGTGATCTGTGATCAGTTGAAATAGCTTTCCATAAATAAACAAATGAAAATGCTCTACCACCCAGACGATGCTCAATGCCTTTTTCTCAGTTTGTTAGAATCTTTTTTCCACAGAAGATAATGCTCGGCTTGCATATGCAACAATACGACAATCATCACTTGCTGAATCTTTCTGAGCAAGAATAGCTGATATGCCAACAGGACTGGCAACTACAGTAATTATACTGTCCTTTGTGGTATCGAAATAGGCCATTACTGGAACTGATGTCAGAGCATTCTTTAACTTTTTAAACGCCTTTTGGTGTTCAGATTTCCACTGAAAATGTGAATTTTTCTTTGTTATTTCTCTAAGTGGAGCACTGGTAGTTGCGTAGTCTTGAATATATTTACAATTGTAGTTCGCCATTCCTAGAAAACTTCGCACTTCATGCACGTTGGTTGGTACTTGTACATCTTGCAAGTCTTGCATATGCTTTGGATCTGGTCTTGTACCAACAGCTGAAAAAATCTGTCCAAAAAAGGACAATGATTTCGATAAAAACTTGCATTTAGTTGCATTCAGAGTGAGACCTTTATCTGATAGTTTCTGCAGGCAGTCATTGAGTGCTCTATCATGATCTTGATGGTCTACTCCAAAGACAATAATGTCATCTGCTATATTGCAAACTCCTTTAATTCCTTGTAAGGCCGTTTGCAAGGCATTTTGGAAGATCTCTGCAGCTGCGTTTGTGCCATAGTTTAGTCTTTTGTACCGAAACAGGCCTATGTGTGTACTAAATGTTGTAATGTAGCGACTGCTTTCGTGCAATTGGAGCTGATGATATGCCTGAGACATGTCAAGTTTTGAAAACACTTTTGCTCCAGTTAACTTTAGATTAATATCATCGACTGTAGGAATGAGATGCCTGGTTCTCTTGATAGCTTGATTTGGCTTTCTCATATCTACACATATGCAGGGCCACCGAGAGGCGGCCTGGGCCCTGGGGCAAAGTCCCGGTTGGGGCCCTAGAGCCGGATACAAAAAAATTCCGGGACCACGCCCTTTATAAAATGGGAAACGCCCATTATTTCCAAACGTTTGCGCACGGTTGCTTTTTCAGTTGCAAATTGATCAATGATATTGTCGTAATCAATTGGTATTGCTAGTTCGTGCTCGATCGAAAGAGTCACGAGGCTTGATAGTCTGTCTTGAGTCATTGTTGAGCGTAAGCGGTTCTTTATTAATGCTAGTTTGCTGAAAGGGGCCCCAAACATATAATATAGCTTTATGCAACGAGTCTAAATGCAAACATAACTCACTTGAACGGGCCATAGATTAAAACAGATTATATGGGTTACCTGATTTTTTATCAGGGCTCCCTTCCCCCAATAAGTACGATTTTGCGAAACTCAGGGAAACTCAGCTTAAAAGATGAATCCGTAAAATTTGTGATCTAAGGTTTATTCAGCTTTTCTCGGGGCCCCAGACTCAATAAATAAAGCTGATAGGCCTTAAATTCAAACAAGACTCAGTGTACGGACCCAATGAAATTACTGCCATTTTACTGTCTCAAAAGAAGACATTTTAAAAAGATTTTCAGAATTATTTGGGGGCCCCTTTCAGGCCGAGGCACTGGGGCAAATTGCCCCCCCTGCCCCCCCCTCTCTGCGCCACTGCACATATGCGTACGTCATCACCTTTCTTTGGTACTGCAACTATCGGGCTAATCCATGGCGTAGGTTGGGTTTCTGGAACCCTTTCGATTATGTCATCCTTCTCCAGCTTTCCAATGGCACGCTTGACTTTTTCACGAATATGGAACGGAATGCGCCTCTGCGGCTCCGCAACTGGAACTACGTTTTCATCAATGTTCAGCTTTACAATGGCGCCTTTCAATTTTCCTAATGCTTCGAACACAGAAGAATGCTTTGCAGAAGTTTATTCAGCTTTCCATCATCAGTCACGGGTGATGAAGGCGTTTTATTTGTTGACATTTTATTTAAATGGAGCGTAACAAGACCTAATTCTTGTGCTGTATCTCCACTAATGAGATTACCCGACTTGTTGTTATTGACAACGTAGAATCTTTGTTCTTTGTCTGTATCTTGTCGTGGAATTTTGCTGGCTTTTTGCACTAGAACGACACACTATAGCAAAGTGGTTTGGTTTTCCACATTTTCGGCATTCCTTCCCTTTTGCGGGGCAAACAGTGTCTTGGCGGTGAGATGCCCGTCCACAGTTTCGACATTTGTGGGTCGTTTTTGCCACAACTTGCTTTGTTTCGGCTGAAAGAGGCTCGATTTTCTGAAATTCAATTTCTTTCGACTGAAATCGACTTATTTCATCCCTTCTGCCATCGATAAGCATGGCTTTCAAGTCGTATGTGGGGTCTCGCAGGGCCTGCTTGCTAAGGCGAGAGGAAGTTCCCCCAATGATAATTTGCTGCTCCAGCTCAAATTTTAGATTGTCACCAAACTCACAAGGTAAAGCCAGTATTCGCAACCTAGTGTGATATTGGTCCAATTTTTCAGTAGGCTCTTGATGTGCCTTTCGAAAACAGTACACGTCATATCGGCGATTTTTCTGCGGTTCAAAATAGGCTGTAAGTTTATCTTTGGCTGTATCGTAGGCACTTGCTTCACCGGTGTTTTCGAGCTGATCAAAATCTCTCTAACTCGGGGGACAGCTTGGTATAACAACAGCGCTCGTTCACGAGTGTTATCGGCGATGCCTGCAGCAACAGTAAACATTTGAAAATCGGAAATCCATTTTTTCCACGAAATCGCGATACTTGCGCCAACCTCTCCGCTATCGGGATTAAATTTGGGAACAGGTTGTAGTGAAACGGCGTGCGACATACTGGTGCACTGGTTTCCTCTTCTTTTTACTCGTCGCCAATATAATATTTACGTATCTTGAGGTGGAAGGCCAAGGCAAGACATGAGACTTATTCAGCAAGCAAACTCATCTCTCTATATTCACACACGTGTTTACAGATACCTATGTTTTAGTGACAGCGGCAAAAATTTGTAGTCCACAAATGTTTTGAGTTTGACATTAATTGTTTTTGCAAATAACATAAGGCCACGTGCAATAAAACATCAATTTTTCATATACAAAATTTGCTAAAGAAACGTGTACTGAACATGAAAAGGGTCAAGAAACTTCCAAAATTTTCTATAAATCTGGTTGGATAGGATGATTGCAACATAACGTTTAAAGCCAACAACATAAATTCTTCAAAGGCCCCATTAGCTATTGCGTAAGATCACGTTCTTTCTCCCATTGCAAATATCACAATACGAAAAACGGAAATGAATGCAATTTTTCCCTGCCAAGACTCTCCCGTAAGGTAGGAGATAAAAGATTATTTACCTTGACATTTTGAAACTTGCTCCATATTGTTTTCTCGATCATAACACCAATTCAGTATCTGGGTACCTTTGGCGCGACCGGAGGTCTGGGGAGAGTTATTGGGTGAAACTTTTCTTCGACGTATTATCTTGCAGTGAATTTTATTATGCAGGGCACGCACGTAATTGTATTTCAATATACCAGAATAATCTGTTGCATGCTATTCGGTGGAATGAAACAATCGAAGACAATCATTACATCCTGTTTGCTTGTTTGAGTCGTGCAAGGATGCTCGTCCTACACAGTTCATAAGTAAAGTCATTTTGAATTCCATAGTTAATTAGAAGTGACAAATCGATCATCAAGTGTACTATTGCTTACAATATATTTTCTGGTTTTGGTGAGAAAACCTGGAGAGTGAGATAAACGTCAGCTTCAAATTAAAATGGAGCAATTCTCAAAACGACAAGGTAATATATTTGATTAAATAGGAAACTATTGACAAAAAGGGGCTCTTTATACTTACTAAAATAATTATATATGTCTTCCAGAGCCTCTGATGGCCTTGAATATTCAATTTTTGCACTATCCCTTCACAATCTTTTTTGAAAAGAATATTGTATCTTAATTTTATTGAACAAACTGTGAATTCTCAACTGGCAAAAGTATCTGAATGGCTAATAGCTAATAAGCTGTCGGTAAACGTATCTAAATCCAGCTTTTTTCTGATCAGCCGAAGAAAAGTACCTGAAACTATCAACTGAAATATAAATAATGACCAACTTAAATAGGAAAATTATCCAAATTATCATTCTTGGAATTATGATAGATAAAAGCTGGAGCCCCCCCCCAATAATTGTCAAACTGTAGTATGTTTCCTTTATAACAGTGTACTGAATGTTAAGGAAAACAATGGGCAGCCCCCCCCCCCAATATGAATTTCGTTCCGACGGCACTGCACTACATGAGCTCCAGATTTTTTTACCATTCAAAAGGTATGCTAAGATGGAAAGAGGGATATAAATTGACAACCAGTGCTGCTTGTTACCTAGCTATAGAAGTAACTGACAACGTGGTATTTTTCAAGACCACGGCGAAGTTGTTGTTTTTATCTGCTTCAGGTAGTAACTATATTTTTTGCCTGTCCCGACATAGAAATTTCACAAAACTATTGCGAAAGTCCGTTATTATCATATAAAAATGAAAGTTGCGAATTATATACAGAGTTAGATTGACAAAATGTATTGCAGAGGTTTGTGACAGCAGCTAAAGAATTTCAGGCAATAACTTTTTAGTGACAGCGGCAAAAATTTGTAGTCCACAAATGTTTTGAGTTTGACATTAATTGTTTTTGCAAATAACATAAGGCCACGTGCAATAAAACATCAATTTTTCATATACAAAATTTGCTAAAGAAACGTGTACTGAACATGAAAAGAGTCAAGAAACTTCCAAAATTTTCTATAAATCTGGTTGGATAGGATGATTGCAACAAAAGGTTTAAAGCCAACAACATAAATTCTTCAAAGGCCCCATTAGCTATTGCGTAAGATCACGTTCTTTCTCCCATTGCAAATATCACAATACAAAAAACGGAAATGAATGCAATTTTTTCTGCCAAGACTCTCCCGTAAGGTAGGAGAGAAAAGATTCTACCGATAATTTACCTTGACACTTTGAAACTTGCTCCATATTGTTTTCTCGTTCATAAAAATTTCACTCTGAGCTGCCCATTATCTTGCAGTGAATTTTATTACGCAGGGCACGCACGTAATTGTATTTCAATATACCAGAATAATCTGTTGTATGCTATTCGGTGGAATAAAACAATCGAAGACAATCATTACATCCTGTTTGTTTGTTTGAGTCGTGCAAGGATGCTCGTCCTACACAGTTCATAAGTAAAGTCATTTTGAATTTCATAGTTAGATAGAAGCGACAAATCGATCATCAAGTGTACTATTGCTTACAATATATTTTCTGGTTTTGGTGAGAAAGCCTGGAGAGTGAGATAAACTTCAACTTCAAATTAAAATGGAGCAATTCTCAAAACGACAAGGTAATATATTTGATTAAATAGGAAACTATTGACAGAAAGGGGCTCTTTATACTTACTAAAAGAATTATATATGCCTTCCAGAACCTCCGATGGCCTTGAATATTCAATTATCTTTTTTGAAAAGAATATTGTATCTTAATTTTATTGAACAAACTGTGAATTCTCAACTGGCAAAAGCATCTGAATGGCTAATAGCTAATAAGCTGTTGGTAAACGTATCTAAATCCAACTTTTTTCTGATCAGTCGAAGAAAAGTACCTGAAACTATCAACTGAAATATAAATAATGACCAACTTAAGCAGGAAAATTATCCAAATTATCATTCTTGGAATTATGATAGATAAAGGCTAAATTGGAAACAACGTGTAAAACAAATAAATATTCAATTATCCAAAGGTATTGGAGTTCTGTATGATCTTTTCATCTCAAAGACATTTCATGCCAAAAACTACTTTAAGAACACTCTTATAGCTCATTCGTTAAACCCCATGCACTGTATGGCATATTTGATTGGGGCTGCACAAACAAAACAACTTTAAAAACCCTAAAATGCAGCTCACGAAAAGCTGTTAGGGTAGCTGACTTTGCATCGTACACTGCACATGGCGACCCAATCTTTTTAAACCTTTGACACTTTTGAACTTCGATACTCTCTACAAGCTTGAAACAGCTAAATTCATGTTCCAAATAAATAAATATGCTAGCTCCTCTACTTTATGGGTTTATGAGCAGAATTTCTAAAAACAAAAACCCTTGATCATTACAATACTAGACAGTCTTCTAGCCTTGGTTTTTCCTTCAATCGATTTCCATGGATTTTCCTGCCTTTACTTTTTTGAAATGCTGCCACTAAGCTATCTTTCAAAAGAACCATGAAAAATTACCTACTTGAGCACCTTTAATCCTATTTATTCCCATTCTAACACAATTGAACTATTTGTACATAGTGTGAGCCATTATCATTTGATTTGTTTTTTTTTAAAATTGTAATTTTTTTTTACTGTTATTATTCAAACAAAACTAATAATAAATTTTCGTTATTTCACGTCAAATTTGGCACATGGCTCCGATAGCTCCATTATGAGTTCCATGCGTCCAATAGCTGATCATATACAATATATTATTATGTTCCTTATAAATTTTGTCCGACCTGATATCAAAAGGAAATAACTCGAGTTATCGGGACCCGTATGTTTTGCAGAGGGTTACCACCGACCTTTTTTTCTTTGGTTCTCGTATATCGGTTCTCGTTCTTTGAAAGTTAGGCAATTTCATTAAATTAATCTTATTTCGTTTTAAAGTAAGGATAAATTTTTGAAAATGATAATGACGTCTTATTTCCGGGTCCGATAATTCCGAGAGAAAGGGAGAAAAGAGGTTTTTGAAAAATGAATTCAGTGCTTCCGATGTGTCAAAGTACCAAGCTTTGAACTAAACTTCTCCCATTTTAGCCAAAGTCTGTAAGAAAATTTGCTTTTTCCAACCTTTCAAGGTATGCTGAACCAAAAATTAAGATGGGGAACAAAGGATTCTGGAAGCCATATCCAATTCTATTAATAGTGTTCTATATTGTTTTTCAACAATTCAATCTATTTAAACATACCCACCAAATATTACAACACACTTGCTATGTGTAACAAAATTACGTAACAAGCTGTTTGGTTTATTAACACAGTTTCAAAAAAACTAGAATCCAATAAGAAAATATTTTGCCAAACATAATTTTTCCAAGAGAACTCTCATTGGAGGAAATGCAAAATCCATCCTGCCAAGAACTGGGGGCATGTCTCCCAGTTTCCATTTGGTGCCTGCGAGGGGAGAGTGTCTCCCAGGATTGTTGGGGCATCTTTTGGGTTCTGCTGTCTGGATAAGGATTAAAAAGGCACTAATCTGAACAGCATTTTTTGTTTTCAGGGATAATTATCATTGTCCTCAGTATTTTTGAATGCATAGCTGGTGGGATAATTTTGTTGCTGGCTCTGCTGGGAACAGCTGCGATTGGTCCTACAGGAGGAGCAATTTTTGCCATTGCAGTTGGCGTGGCGGTAAGTTTAGAAATCCATTTTATCAGAACTCAATTTTATGCATACTCCACTCAGGGGCGTACCTACCGGGGGGTGTAGGGGGGATGAGGTGTTACACTTCCCCACTTTTGGAAAGTTGATCGGTAAATTTTACAGATGGTCGGTAAATGTTATGAATTGTCGGTAGATGCGTATCTTGGTAGCACGTGGAAGGATCTCATTTGCTCGTAATTGACAAGATCATATTGATAAAACAGTGAAAACTGTAGAATAAGCTATACATTGAATAGCAAATATATAACTGTAGAATAAGTTATGCATTGACTAGCAAGAGTTGAATTTGGTCGGTAAATTCACCCATTTACACCCCCCCCCACTCCAAATCGTCAAGGTACGCCCCTAATTGCACTCTTCCATACCTGAGCGCAATGCTTGACATTTTGCCAATCAACCCCCTCCCTGTCCCTACACACCCCAATAATTCAGCACAAAGGTTGTAAGATCATCAGGCAACTGAACATCAACTTGCGATTAAACCTTTTTTATTTTCGTTCTAGTTTCTCGTCTGCGGAATTCTAGGAATAGCGGCTGGTGTTAGCAAGGCAAAAACTCCAGTAAGCTTGGTACTTTCTATCTTCTTTTTGCCGCCCTAAAAGGGCTTGGAAGTTGGGCTGTGCCGCAGAGAACTTCTAGAATTCACACTAAGGACCACGCCCATGCTCATCCCTTAAGTCCTTGCATTGCGTTTAAACCATTCAAACTATTCACCTTCACTGAAAGGCTAATAAAATTATCTCATTATTGCAAAACCAATAGCATAATAAATGGTTAATTCGCATTGCCATGTACGGAATTCGTTCAACAAAACATATACTGGTTTGTTAAGGGAAACTGAGCCCTAACCCGCACCAAAAAAAATCTCTCCTTATTTTAACAAGGAGGGCTGAGCTCCCCTAGCCCACCTCCGCAGCACGACTGGACAGATTCCTCTTATATTTAAAGCAATTTAGTGTGACCACAGTTTTTCCAAACAAATTTACGTCAGTGCTTCAAAGTTTTCTTCAAAAATACAGAAGTATTGACTACCGGATGCACAACAGAAGTTGTATACGTTTTCACGATTCCTGTGTAAGCTCTTTCTGATTCCTGTTTAAGTTAATCTTGAAACAGTCCTAATCTTGATATTGAAGTTATACATTGCCAATTACCAGGAGAAATCAATTTTTGCAGAAAAACCTCGAATCTCACCCCTAAAGATAAAAAAGACGGGCAACGAATCTTCTCAATCCTTTTAGACATTTTTTTGGTAGCTTCTAGCTTCTTTCGTTAATTACACATAAACATTTCTCAGAAAAGTTATTCTTAAATCTTTTGTTGCTATGTACATAATTTAGTGCTGAGGATATGTATGAAATGAAAATTGAAATGAATCATCGATCCCCTTTCTATCTTATAAGAAACAAACATAATTTTGTGATCTTTGCTAGCAATTTACTTGACATTTTATGCAAGTTGCAATTAAATCTTCTAAGTTGATTTGTTATTATTTCCATTCACGCAGATCTTGTGCTATGCTGTTTTATGCATATGTGCATTTTTACCGTTTTTTGTGTTCACTGGGCTGAGTATAGCCGGGGATAAAGCAATGATTGACTCAGTCAACGCAGGCAACTGTTTTAGAAGCGGGTACGGACAATGCACATGTTATATCAAGGGCGATTCAATTTCTGGAAATGGTATGGTATTTGCAAATTGAAAAATATTGTTCATAATCAGTAATGATCAATCGTCATCATTATTATCATTATGGTTGTTAACAGAATGCCAGGACAGGGGTAATACTGTTAGCATTCGTGTTAGTCCCATCAGTTTATGATGTACATTATTCTTTCTATTCCCTTCAATTAATCATTATAATCTGATTGAATAGCTTAGGGGAATCTCATCTGTTTAAAATTTTCAGCGAGGCCCTCTGCAACAGTTCTTGGTGCCTAGATATTCCTGATTTGCGCTTGATGCACAGATTTACGCTGAAAACTCAGTTATAAAACTTTCAACGATGATATAAAACTTTCATATATTTTGGGAAAATTTTTGCGATCAGGTTTTACAAATTATAGCAAATAAGAAACACAGCAAAAGCCCCGTATGCCGGGGTGAAATATTAGCTTTCACTGATATACGTGTATTTATTGTTGTTTATTCTCGGTGTATTGCGGTGTTTCTTATTTGCTACATTCTTATCGACTTTTCGCCGCAAGAACTCCTTGGAGCCCGTCGAGCAGCCTGCTACGGTGACCTTTTTTTCAATCACACATTTACAAATTTGCTTGTTGAACTTCTTAATCTTGTTTTTAGTAGCAAAGCTCTACTGCTGATGTTCTTATGTTAGCTTTTATGTTAGCTTTTATTGATTGTGCCATGTTCCATTTCCGAAATGTTTATAAAATTTATATTTTATTCTTGCTTACTTAATATACCGTACAAAGTTGTGTACAAGAGAGTTAATTGTATTGACAACAATTCAAGCATAGCCCGTTATCAGGTGACAAGGTATGCTCGAAATGTCGTTAGTACAATTTACTATTGTACATCTTCGTTCTTCGCTCAATTTTATCATAGATGCAAGTTCTTGTTTAGCATGCTAATTTATGCGAAAAGATAAGGGGGTAGCGTGCTGGCGGAAGATGTTTCAGAGAACTCGTCGGTAGAATCAAATTTATTACAAAATAATTTTATACCAAATGTAACAAAAGAATTTCTGTCGGCAAAATACGGTTTTGCATCTCTTACATCCCCCCAGCGAGGAAGGTCACGCGACGCAACTGGATAGTGGGATTAGAGCTTGCGTTCATAACATGGTATGATAATATATTTAGCACAATACAAAGTTACATTGTATACGGTCTAAGCAAATTTTATATGTTCTTTTACTTTGAAAGTGTGATTTTTAAAATTTTGTCTTTTTTTCTTAAAGCCACTTTCATTGGACTGTCACAGTCATTTCCAAACCCATGCAATGAAGTAGCAGATAAATTGACGAGGGTGCTGGTTGGCCTGGCTATTTTCTTCTGTTTTTCTGCCCTTCTGCTCTTGGGCTCAGGGATTTACGGGAGCTACTTGGCATGCTGTCTCAAGGATGACGTAAGCAAGCTTTTTTCATAGAAGCCCTTCAAAAGTTTTTCGTCTTCTACTCTACTGACATAAAGCTTTTTGTTGGGGGGGGGGGGGGGGTTATAGGCGTAGGAGATTGAGGAACTGTGGGCTACAGCCTCCTAATCAGGAGGAAATTATCGCATTTCAGGCCATATTCGGCCAGTTCTATGTTAATTAATGAATAATATTTCTGGCAAGATCTATACTAAGTCTCCCAAACCTTTAGGATCTGCTACGCCTCTAGTGGGGGAATACAAAACAATTATTCAGGTCCGCCAGTTTTTTACAGTCAGAAAACCAACAGAAAACACCGATGCTGCTAGCAGGGACGCCATGACTAGATTTTCTTACAAAGCTGCAGCTTCAATCACATGGCGAAGTGCCTCGTCAAAATTTGACTCTTTTCCCAATATTTCTTATCGATTAAAATACTGATCCTGCCGTGAATTGGTAGAGACCCCCTCGCCATAAGTAGCATAGCTGTAGCTACTCATACAAAAAATGTACTCGAAGTTGCAATGATTTCAATTCTTCAGTCCTCTGTATACAGAATGATAGCTTGTATTTGTAACAACCATCAATTTATGACCAGTGTGAGCGAAACTATCGAGAGCTTTTTGTATAAAACCCAAAATGCCAGGCACTTCCAAAAAATTAGCCAAAAGAAAATGTTGCCATTTTTCTGAGAGAAAATAATTATACTTACCGAATCCCATGTCACGTCTTTTCTTTGTTATGCTGTAGCTGGAGAACTTTCGAAAGTTTTCTCGACTCTGACTTTGCAGGGTAACTTTCAAAAAGGGGTGTTTTAAAGTTATTCAAGGTTTAAAGATGTCTGCTTTTACTGCGAAAGGTGCATTGCGTTTGATCAATTGTTTATATTCTTTCTTCTAACTCTAATGGTATTTGTTAGAGTGATCTTGTTGCCTTGCTATTGTAGTATTTAGAGACGAGTAACATAGGAAGCCAAGAGTTGCCTATCGTTTCTTTGGAGTCGCCTGCCCCGACACGGGAGACATGATCTGCCTGATTCAGTACCGCAGACGCGCGCTCTGTGACAATAAAATCTACTGGCAACACAGCTAGACGAAGAATCAAGTGAAATTGATCATTGGCTTTTGATGGGAACAACTATGCCATATTCAAAACATTAAACATTAAAGGATTGTGTTTTATATTTTTGCCAGAAGTCATATATTGACTATTTCCTTAAAAGTTGAAGGGATGAAGCTATTAGTGGACTTTAAGTTGCACCTGTCATGGACCCAGATAAGTACTACTCCGTTGTCGTAAGCAACTGTTTGCCCTACTTCAAGCTCATTTTTGGGGTAGATATGACGTGCGTAAACAAGGGATAATTTCTACATCTTTTTATTTTTCTAAGGACTTTTCCACTCATCTGCAACATTGTCCTATATTTCGTCAACATTAATCCGTGTAAATTGTAATGTCACGATCGATGTGACTTTTTTCACAAAGCACAGCAGTTGTCGAATGTAGCAACAATTCAATTGATCCTGACATTTGTGTAAAAGCGCAACAAAACTAAATTGAGTGTAAAGATTTTTGTAATCTGTTGTATTGTATTTTATTAGGATGACTTGTATATTGTGTATTAATATTCATAATCTTAATCGTATTTATTGCTTTATAACCAAAAGAAACAGAGTGTTTTTCTAAAGTTCTTTTTCCGCAAAAGTTATTGATAAAAACGAGATTATTTCTAGCTATTAGCTCGGGTTCAAGGCTCGCACGACTGGTTCCATTTTGATTATAGAATATCAGTATACCAAATTTTCCCGATAAGTATTCCTTGAATCTTAATTTGTTTCAAATGAAAATAGCCGTCAGTTTCAGAAAATAAAATCAAGAGAATAGAATTGCATATTACAAAATAGTCCCAATTATTCGCATCTTAAGATTAGCTGAAATGGCCGTCAGTTTTCACACCAAAATAGCTAAAATGGCCGTCAGTCTCAGAAAGGCAACGTACAATTTTGGAACCGATGATAGTTATTCGTACTCTTTATTATCTTTCTTGAATTTGAAATACCAAAATGGTTATCTGCATTTTATTAGTTTGAAATGTATATTTTTCCCGAACGGTTCAACATGGACACAAGAAAGACTTCATTCGCATCCTCAGAAATGAGATTTATTTCCTGTTTCAAAATTGCATCACTCGGGCATTTTCAATTGGAAGCATCGTATCTTGGAGATCCCATCTCCTGCCAAATGCATCGCATAGAGATCCCATTCAGGGGCGTCACTTCATACTTTTGTTAAGGGAGGGGGGTGCTGGCTGCATTTTTGCCCTGCTATAAGATATAAGAAATGTTGCCTTGCATCGATATAAGAAATGTTGCCTTGCCAAAAGTTGAAAAAGCCATGAAGGAAAATTAAAACTATATAGGGTTTGAAGCTATTTTCTGGTTAAAGAATGAGAAATTACATTGTTTTCTATTCTATAACGTCACATTTTTGCTTTGACAGCTATTTGATAATTTTCTTTGGCCCACTGTCAGGTTGTGGTTCTTCTAGGAAAAACTTATAATAGACCTAAAGTAGAGAAATGTGCTTCAGATATAAAAGACACACCTCATATTTTGCAAAAAAATTCGATATGCACACTGTGATCCCACTGAACTCGCGGTTGGTAACTACACACAAACGTTTTTCAAGATTAGGTTGGGAAGCTTAGCCACGATGCCATAAAAATCATAATTGGAAAATCACCCCACTGCATATTCCAAACTATAAATCTAACAAATTCTGATATTTATTCAAATTATGAGGAGATTCCAGATGAATTTAATAATTCAGCAATTCGAAAAAGTCACAGTCACAGCTTCTTAAACCGAACAATACAGGAAAGAATGGTCTTGCGACGTCCATGGGCCACATTTAATCCTTAAAAAACCATAAGGCAATCGCACCATCCATTTAAAAACATTCGGTAGATTACAAAAAAAATGGTCGCAAATCCCATTCTTGTCCTACAAAGGCACAATGATCTGGGAGATTGGTTAATCCACAACTAATTTTGTGTCATACACTTTATTGCAACCCAATTCACTGCCACATTCCTGCAACACATATTACAATATATCCAAGTGTTCCACACTAGACAATGTGCATAAATGTATTATTTTTTATGTGAAGAATTGTATTTACATCTACATCCACACTATATCAATAAAATCGTACAAACATACAGTTGTTCAGTTGGAATTCATTTGCGTTTCAAACAACGCTTCAATACATTGATACACCTTTGCTGCCATTATCCCTGGATGCAGGGATGGAGGGGAATACAGTTGTAAAGGAGCATACTGATTAAAAGCTCAAAATGCTCTACCTGGTGAGGACTCAAATTTCAAAGCACAACATGCATAATTATGTGCATAATATCTGGAGCATGTCTGTTCTGACACATACTCCAGATAATTGGACACACTACATTAACAACAAACTGGATGATCTTTCCCGGCAGAAGGCAGTGTTGCAATGTCCGATTGATATTGCATCAATCTTTTCTTAATTTTCTGACAAGCTGTGTTTTTATATTTTGCATGGTTTTAGAGAAAGACACATATCGACTACACTTAAATCTGCAGTGAAAGGAAATCGGAATCAATTTAGAAATCCATTCCCTCCAGACCAAACTATCATTGGTAATCCCTGGTGTATCGTGTGACTTTCAGAACAGACAATTTCCTACCATAAACCATCTTCTAGCTACAGTTATATAAGAAAAACATTAAAGCAGATCCATTGGGAGAAAATACTTGCCCTGCCAGAATCAGTTTTGCCTGTGAGAAGGCTATATTTTCGTGGTTGAAGGGTGAACCACCTCATTCCCTCCTCAAGTGACGCCCCTGGTCCCATTCCACCCCTACTAGTCAAAACAAAGTTTGCTTCTCCAGCCATTGTTACACAGAAGTGTTACTAGACAACTTAAAAACATAAAGTTGAAAAATTTAAGCATTCGGCACACACAATTATCCGTATTTGTCAGTAATCTTGGCTTATTATTGCAGTCAGCTTGCTTCGAGTTTTTATCATTTTTCAGATCATCCAGGACCCGCGCCACTGGGGGGGGGGTTGGCCATGCCCCCCACACTTTTATGTAATTTCAAAGCTACAATCAAAGGTGAAAGAAGCCTTGCCCCCCTTGCCCCCCCCCCCCACTTTCGTTAGCCTTGCCCCCCTTTTGAATTGAACGAAAAGCTTCAGTGTGTTTCAAAATGTGCACCCGTACCCGTTTATACTTCATCCATCTGTCTTTTTTCATATTGTGGCCTCGATTTCATTTTTTAATCGATCCTAACAAATTAGCGGGAAACTTCACAAGGCTGTGTCATTTCTATTCTGTGGCTGTGTCGGCCGATGGAGATTCAATCGAATATAATGTTTACATGAAAAACAACTAAGATTGCATATGTTGCCAGTTTAAATTTGGCTGTTTGGTGCCAGTTCCTTACGGTTGTGAGTGTCTTTTATTTTTTGTTTGTTGCTTGATATATAAAAATTCAGAAGTAAAACGTTTTTAGGCTCGGACATGCATGTTTAGTTTAGAAAAATATTTAGAATCATTGTCGTCTTAAGCAAGTTTTTTCCATTTCAGAAGATAAAACCATGCAATCTTCAGTCATGTGACCATTACCGCTTGAGCATAAGTTGAAAGATGAGAGTATTGTTTGATCAAGCTCATAAACTTCTGCTTAATATTACCACAAAAGCGATGTCTTTTAGCTCTTGAAACCATACTTCAGAATTTGTTCGATTTGTTAAAAATATTTTGAATTTCAAATCCCATGCTGATTTTTCACAAGTAGTTTTCATGCACAAACTTTTTACTAACTTGCAGGAAGCTGTTTAATTTCATATTTTGATGGTTTGAAACCAACTTAAAATCCAAAAGTAAACAGAACTGATAATAAAGACAGTGAATGGCAAGCAATCCCTTAAGATCAGAAGCAAAAAGAAATGTAGACATAATATTGTTTACTTTGAAAAGGAAGAAAGATTTATAACATAACAGTATTGTAAAGATATGCAGGTCTTAACAATGTTTTCATTCAACTATTCAGTTCACTTTTGTTGTCAGTTTGCCACAAAAATAAAAGTGATGGACAGATTTCTTCAATAAGGATGTCATGAGTGGATTTTTTCCAAAAATTAGAAAGCAGAGGATGACATAGAGGATGATCTTTTTGTGGACACAAGGGTAAATGTGTTTACAGGTCAAAACTATATGAAATCTCAATGTAATCCTGTCTTTTAACCATGAATCAATTGCAAACTCATTGAAGTAAGTTCAGTTTTTCATGCAAATAAATCCACTATAGATTGTTTAGAGCAATAATGATGCAAACATTGGCAATTTAAAATGTTTGCATTCGCACCCAGCTTCACTATGTGGTGTTAAAAATATTTTGTTTTGGGTCTTTTGTCTTTCATTGCTTGTGACTCTTTTTAGAAAGAATCATGTCAATGGTTTTTAATTCATACTACAAAATAATTTTGAGGAGAATATATCAAGAAAATACAAATTTGAAGGTGCATGGAAATATCTTTAGTATGAGAAAAATCTAAAAGGCTAAATCTACTCATTACACCTTGTTACAAGCCTACACACTGAAAGCATGTGATTATTTACTTGCATACATTGGCAGACTGGCCCAACAGGATCCCGGGAAATTTTTCAGGGGGATCAGGTCAAAAGTTGTCTGTGATAACAAGTTTATGAATTTACCATGTTACTTTATTTTAACAACCATTTTAATTTGTTTTTAACAATGACTTTTAACAAACTTCTGAACCCTGTTACTTTTTGTAACTTCTAACGCAATCTAAACTCTCCCATCCCCCCAAATTATGACAAATTATGATGTAGTGCTAGTGCTGTTAAGTGCTAAACTTTTCACTAAAGTAATTAACATCTTTAACAGGTGTATTATTTCAATTCATGTCTAACTATACTGCAACACTCCAATTGCAAATTAAACCAAATGCACAAAATGTAAAGTTTTTGGGCCCTGAAGATCTATTTCCTGGCAAGTAAATGGCATTCCAGTCTGCTCCTGCTTTCGTATAATTTTCTAAGTTCAAGGCTTGTGTAAGAAAAAAACCCTTTACAAGCTCATTTTACCTTGTACTTCTCTTATGCAAAAAAGAAGCATTTATTAGATCTCAAAATACAAATCTCTAAACAAGCAATAACAAAGTCTACATTCTGAACAACCAATTATATAGATACAGAAATACAAAAATATTTTCAGTTCCAAAACAATTCTGTTATACAAGGACATTATGCATGTTTGTTTGCTGTCCAATGAACCTATACATAGATAGTGTATAGTGTGACCTAGCTATGACAGTTTTGTGAAAATGTATTGTTTAAGATCCTTTGAAGTTAAAATGTCCTCAAATGTGGCATGTTTGCTATTTCCATGAGCAATGATATGTACATCAAACAGAACTCTGTTAATTTGAGTTGAGATTTACTTCTTCCACTATCTTAGCTTTGGGGAACTTAGCTGTGAAAACCCAGATCCCTTCTCCTTGTAAGCAAGCAAGTCATCGATGTAACATTTTCAAACATACATGTTCTGTTTAGGCTCTTGCCATGTAGGTGAAGTCATATTCATATGAACTGTTTCTGACTCCTGTAGAAACAAGACAGCTAAATGAATTATACAGGTGCCCATTTAAAAGTAAAATACGAATGTTACTTTGTAGAAGCTAGTGGATTGACAAGAGTTTTAAAGGTTGCAAAGTCTAGTACATAAGTGAACCTTTACTTACCTCATGTTTTTGTTTCCATGCTAAATAGCACCCATAAAGTCCTGAGACCAGAAGCACAAAAGCAGAGCAGTTCATGGCAATCATTACACCCAATACAATTTTGCACATACCTGGCAGTAGAGAAAGTAGATCATTTTGGCTGTACAAAATTAAAAATGGCTTTGAAAATAGCAAACATTGAAATTATACTTATATGCTTTTCAAAGTATGTTTTAAAACTTTTTCTTTGCTCAAAGCAAAGTTCAGATTAAAGTATTTATATCTAGTGCTTTGTAAGGATAAAAAAATTATCCATCCTTTAAGCCTATATGTTTAAAAATGAGATCAAACCTTCTTACAACGCTACATGGTTTTTAACTTGTCTTTTCACAAGGAACGTTTCATCAGGGGGCAGTGAGATCCTTCAAAAAGCCTTCCTGATGTGGTGGAGTCCTTCTGGGTGATATTTTCCTAATATGAAAGTTTAATTGGCAGGAAGGAAGATTCAATTCTAATTTCTGCTTAAGGGGTGTGTGCCCCAGAAACAGTGTATGCATGGGCTCCGACAAAGGTTGAAAAGTAGGGGGGGCAAGGGAAAATTTAACACCCATAACAAAAGATTTTGAAAAAAACTCTATTGTTTGGCAAAAAAGTGGGGGGGGGGGCAAGGCCCTCCCTTTGTTGGAGGCCCTGGTATGTATGTATGTATGTATGTATGTATGCATGTATGTATGCATGTATGTATGCATGTATGTATGTAAACTATACAGGGTTCCAGTGTCAGAACTAGAAATTATTTATATACACTTTTTTAGTATCTATGTTTATATATATTTATTTATATATAAATATAGATACTAAATAAAAAACAACTTGTTTGACATTTCACTGTAAGCTTCTTCGTGTATATATATAGATATTCAAGCAAAATAATTTTATGTTTCGATTTAAGTCTTCATCAGTAATAGGCCTACTTTTTAAATCAAATGGAGGTTACATATAAAAAATAATACAAAAGAGTTTATAAAATAGAGTAAGTACAATCAGGACGTTAGAGAAGATTGCCAACAGTACGTCCTGGAATAACACTTCAGTCGAAACGTCTTAGGAAACGTGTTTTCCTAAAAATGATAATCAGTAAAATATACTAAGAGTGGTTATTATCAAGGACTGAGATACAAGGGGGCCAGGGGGCTTTGCCCCCCCAAAAAATCTTAAGTTGCGTAAGTAAAATACTGTTATTTTGTAAAATATGGCTATTGTTACACTGATTTATCAGGGCTGGCCCCTCAAACAAAAAATCGTATCTCGGTCTTTGGTTATGATAACTGTAAAAATGCCTACCTACTTGTATGGTGAATCCACAATAAAAGTGAGCTGTGTCACATCAATTTTACATGCCATTTAAAAAGACGGTATCTGAACACACATACCTCTGTCTAATCTTCCATGTCCAGTACAATCTGATTTATAACTTAAAACATCCGCGATGTTCAAGCCACATATGGGGATGAATGCCACTATGCTACATACACCATAATTTAAAACCTGCGATTAAAAGATAAAGCGACTACTCTCTAGATTGACAAACACCTACATGCTACTTGTAAACATGAGACAGGCAAGAGTATACTGCATCCTCTCCAAAAAAACTTTTCATCAACCTTGGGACAGAAGAAGAAAAGATCACTGCCGTAAGGATGAGTGCTTGAACTGGGGCCTTCCCTCCTTGATCCAGAAAATTTCTTGAGAGAGGGCAATCATTAAGGCGACGTAAACGGCTAATAAGAAGCTATAACAGGTATTTATGCAGTCCTGCTCATGGTAAATTAAACAAATTGTTACTTCAAACCTTGAATCTAAGCATGGTTTAAGCAAAAAGCACAATTTGGGTCGAAAAACTAGTAATTTCTTAATACATAGGCTTTAACCAAAGGCTCGCGTTTAAATGAAACTTTTCGGGGTTTTCAAAGCCAGTTTTTGGCTCCAGCGAGTTCTGGTTAAGGTATAGAGTAGGCAGTTGTTAATGAATATTGAAAAGCCTCTTAACTGCACGTAATTCAAAGAGCAGTGGAAAATATTTGATATGGGCATCATCTTTATTTGATATGGAAATCATCAAGTTCGGGCTTTCGTCGGTGAATTGACAAACTTAACGGACCGAAAGCCCATCCTAAACATACCTAGTTTTAAGGTGCAGTGATAACCAATTTTTGCAGTGATAAAGCGGTTTGGTGCACTGATAAACAGCAGGACCATCGGAAGCGGGGGGAGGGGCTGGGGGCTGGATCCCCCCAATAATTTTGCAGCTCTAGGATATTTCCGTATTTTTTGCAAACTTTGATAGCCTAAACCTACCCAGAGTCACAAATAGAGGGGGCAGGGTTGACCACCCGGTCACAAATAGAGAGGGCAGGGTCACAAATAAAGGTCATTAAGGAATGTCATTAAGTGAAGAAGTCGATTATAAGAATTGAATTAATCAAACGTAGCAGAATTATGGCTATAAAACTAAACTATTTTAAACGAAAGATTATTACTGGAAGAAATCATTCTGAAATGTATTTTAAGCTTATCTAAAGGGCGAGCCAAAATTTGCTGCTTGCTCTGCTTGCCAAGGATCTAAGTTTCCAGTTTTACCCCAGGGGCCTCTATAACCTTTCTGTGCTCTTGAACATAACTGATGCAAAATTAGCCAGTAATAAATCATCAAACAAGCTATTTATGATAACATCAAAGCTGCTTGCGAATTGTATATCTTATTTAGATTCCTTAAAAATAAGCCAAATTTTCCATCGAATTCTTTCAAACAAAAGTTATTTTCGAACATATTTCCCATTGAAGAAAACAATGAAACTGGGCAGAAAAATGAAAAAAGAATAAAGAAAAGATAAAAACAGAAAATGAACGAGTTACAAATAGTTACAATTATGAATGACTTGTCAATAGTGTAATCGGTCGACCTATTCGTCCTCTTGTATCACCAATTGCCTTAGATGAGATATCAATCATGGTATCAAAAATCATTAATAGTTTTTTTTTCGCCCAAAAATCACCTTTATTTATCAAAATGTACGGGGATAAATTTTCCTTAAAAATATATTTATGATCCAAGATGTTATCTTGTTGGAAAATCTTGGGCCTGAGCCCCAACGCTCCTCCCCCCCAGGGAAGTCTGAATTTCTGCCACTGCCGACTTTGCTTGGCTGCATAAATTTTGCATTTAGCAAATTAGGTAATGCTATAAAAAGGTTGGTTTCCTTTGAAAATGAACAGGATAAGTTCAGAGCTTACTTTGTTGTCTGGTTCGCCTCTGGCCATTGTCACCATAACTTTTAGTGCGGCACATCCACAGCAGAAAAACTAGAACAAAGAAGAAAGAACTATCGGGTCACTAATGATCATGTCTATTTACTTTACTTACCCATTGTTAGAAAACTCACCTTGATGTAACACTTTACTTTTCTGGTGTTTGCTACGTCTTTGCTAATCCTAACAATATTAGGTATTTATTTTCAATTGTTCTCTTTCAAAAATTTTGCACCAATCTAACAGGAACAAACTTGAAAAATTTTGCACCAATCTAACAGCCTAACCAAGATCTAAATCCCATTAAGCGTGAAACTTGAAGTAGCAACTTAAGACCGGTTTCCACTTGAGCAAAGTCTTCAGCGAATTCGTCAGCGATCGGAAAGTTTTTTGTTCTTCCCGGGCATAGGCGAATTCGCTAGCGAAATTTGGCAGTTGTTAGAAACCGTCCTGTTTTATACCCCAAAAGCAAAATCTAAACCTATGTTAGCGAGTTAGGTCTTTTTAAGTTTGTAATTGTCTTATTTTAGGAAAGCAGGCAAGCCAGTCACAAATTACAATTGCAATAGATATAATTTTTAATTTCAGCTCAACAGTAGTTCGAGATGAAAAGTTTCCATTATTAGCTATACACTTCTCTAGTCAAAGACTAAAAGTGTTAGCAGAAGCCAGAAAATATGACTGCGAGATATGCTGATGATAACAAAAGAAACAAAAGTGCCACGCCCAAACCCCGCCTTATTTTCTTTGCTTTTTAAGGAAGGATTCCAAAGGAAACAAATCTTTTGCTCTAAAGAAGTTTCATTGCATAAATTATTTTCAAAAACTAGACCCAGACCTCCGCCTGGATAGGGTATAGCGCAGAGTAAGAAAAGCATCACGGCCCCACGGCCCCACGGCCACTGGCCGGAGGAAGGTTGCAGGAACAATGAGAAGTAATGGAAGGTAAAGTTGACGAAAGACAACATGAGAAACAATTTTGATTAATAAATATTTTCGGCGGACATGAAGAATCCAGAGAGCTATTATGTTTTGCTAGATGTCATATTTTTAGGAGAGCATAACCTGACCCTAGGCGACCTGTGCTGTGATCCGTTGATCCAGTCAAAAAACTCCTCGACGTGTGTGACACGAGGTTAATTGGATTATCCGAACAGGATTTTTCACCGTCGCAAATTTTCAAACAAGGGCTTCACTTAAAGTTTCTCGGTAGATGCGTCAAGTGCAATTCATGAGCTCCAGATTTTTTTACCATTCAAAAGGTATGCTAAGATGGAAAGAGGGATTTAAATTGACAACCAGTGCTGCTTGTTACCTAGCTATAGAAGTAACTGACAACGTGGTATTTTTCAAGACCACGGCGAAATTGTACCAGTTGTTTTTATCTGCTTTTCAATTTGTTTGCAAAAAAAGAATCTTCAATAGGATTAGGAAGATTGCTTTAGTGAAATTTGCTTTAAAAGAGTACATTTTCCAGGGAACTGGAGGCATCAAAATTCGAAAATTGTCTCGTCCTTCGGCGGCAACCATGGTGCCACCTCAGGTAGTAACTATGTCCTTTGCTCGTCCCAATACCGGACAAAACGATTAGAAAAGTCCGTTATTATCATATAAAACTAAAATTTGCAAATTATATGCGGAGTTAGATTGGCAAAATGTATTGCAGAGGTTTGTGACAGCAACTAAATAATTTAAGGAAAAAAATTATTAATTAGGTAAATTTGTAGTCCACACCCCCCAACAAGGCTTGCCTCGCGACGGTCCTGGACGCACGTTTTCAACGTGCCGGGCCCCGGTCCCTAAAATCGCTGCTGATTCTGTGTGTAAGTTCAAGCAAATGAAATCCAAAGCTCTCTATGGATTTTGCAATCAAAAAGGTTTTGAACTCACCAAACAGCCAACTGCTAACATAATATATCTGGATAAAGACGCTGCACTAAAGAATCCCAAAAATAAAATCACACCTCCAACAGTCAATTCAAACACACCCGACACAGCAAGAATGATAGCTAAAAGAAAAAAAAATTCTTAGGTACCCTTTGTAATGTATATTAATCAAAAGTGCCATCTATCGTCAGAGATGTTCTTCTATGGAATATCTACAATGCCTGCCAAAAGTCTTGAAAAACTGACGTCAATCTGCAAGGTCAAAATCAATAATCCCCCTCTCCCCTACAGAACAAATGCATAATGCAGCATAAATTGCTGGGTGTTCCAAGTACTTTTGGCAGACATTGTAGGAAAATTTCACAAAACTTTATTCTATTCTATTCTACTTTTAAATATCTAAAACAATTGAGTTCGCTAAAGTGATGATGTCACCAAAATCTTTATTTAAAACTTTTGACTTTGGATCACATAACCCTAAAGAGCGTATTGAAATATCACTCAAAGTGTGAAGCGCTAAAGTATGTCCACGTATGAACAGGCTCATTCCTCATTTCAAGCTTGTTCAACTGATTTTCAATTTTAAGATGTATGTCATTGTGTTCTTTAAGGATATGTGGTCAAAAATAACAAAAGTCTAAGATATTTTTTATGACGTCACACTTAGGAACCCTTCACGAAAAATAAATTGAATTATCAAATCTCGACGTTGATGCATTTGAAATATAATAATTATTATACAAGTCAATCAAATTTTACAAACTTCGACATTTGCAACCCATTTTCTTTCGATTGAAGAATGTTCGCTCTCCAATTTAACTTATAAAGAACTGTAGTGACCATTGTCTAAACGTTATCATGTCCTCCATTGTGATTCTGTCATTAACACTTTCCATTGTCTTCGTATCCACGTAACGTAATAAACAACACATTTGTATCGTCTCTCATTATATTTGTATACGCCCTAAATTGTAATTAGTCAGTCAGTAAATTCATCAAGACGCAACGGTCACGCAATATCGTCTCTTGCTGGCTCCGCGTTTTCTGCACGTTAAATCAGAGATAAAAACGACAGCATTCGCAACAACAAAACCAAAATTAAATATAGGAACTTCGTCAAGCAGCGTACCTAAAAATGGTGACCACGACGTGACCGACTGGTAGGTTCTGCACTGTCGTTTTTACTCGTTTTATGCCCACCGTCTCAACGTCAACCACTCGCAAATTCCTGGATTCATCACGTTACAACTGCCATCACGCACACGTTCAACGCCTACGCTGGCTCACAAACAACGTCCTGTTGGCTGTTCCGATGCACCCTGGATTTGTGATGTCTGTTTACTTATTTCAACCCGTTTTGCGTACAATGTTTTAATTCACCTCATCAACTAACCCCGCTCCGCCAGCACACTCGACCGACACCATCCTACAGCACAGAAAACTGTCCAACAGCACTACACCGTCCATCGCTTCGCTGAAGTACACACAGAATCACGAAAATGCCTTCGTTAAACACAACATCAGACAGGTTCGGCAGCACACCCTACGAAAAGCTGGTGTTTATCACGCTAGGTCGACAACATTCCGCGCCCAGAAAATGTTGCAGCACACACAAGGCAGCACCGCAGCACTCATCACACACAGTGCCATCACCCGCCTTGCAAGCATCCAAAGGTTCCTGGTCACCCTACTCACAAAACCTCGCATCGCATCGCAAGCACCGCATCGCAAACATCATGGTTCCTGGTCATCCTTCTAAAACCTCGCAGACACAAAGGCACGATTCTACAACATAAAGACACACGAAGCTTCACGAACATGTACAATCATTTGAACATTTAACGCAACTATTCTTTCGGACATTTTACTAACATTTTTTTTCAAACATTTTCGATAACATTTCATCGTTCGCTTCAACCCACTCGCTCTCTAGGGGGGGAGCTCTGTAGTGACCATTGTCTAAACGTTATCATGTCCTCCATTGTGATTCTGTCATTAACACTTTCCATTGTCTTCGTATCCACGTAACGTAATAAACAACACATTTGTATCGTCTCTCATTATATTTGTATACGCCCTAAATTGTAATTAGTCAGTCAGTAAATTCATCAAGACGCAACGGTCACGCAATATCGTCTCTTGCTGGCTCCGTGTTTTCTGCACGTTAAATCAGACATAAAAACGACAGCATTCGCAACAACAAAACCAAAATTAAATATAGGAACTTCGTCAATCAGCGTACCTATAGAACCACTAAAGTTCGTTTACAATATATCGTTTTCCGCTAGAACTGTTTGATTCTGAAAAACTGCTTTCCTTTATAGCGTTTTATAATGACTTAAAGGCTCATTATAATGAGCCATTGCGCTACGCAATCGTCCCATAATGCATTTTCAGACAGTCTGAAATCAATTATGGTTATTCAGTAGAAGTTTACTGCCATTGTTTGGATTTTCGCCTGGATAATTTGCCACCCTCGCAAAGGCTCATTGTTAGCAATGAGTCTTTAAGCAATGTGTCTCTGCACGAACGACAACCAAACGAGGAATAGAATATTTCTTGTTCATTGTTTCGGTTTCTAAGAAGACGCTCGGCAGTTTCTTCAGGAAAAATTTCTCTTTAGAATTAACCGGAAAGAATTCGCCATAGAGACAAACCGCAGCAATCTTTATCTATCCTCCGTTTTCATGTTGTATCGCACGAACACTTCCGCACAACTTTCTTTATACGGCCAGTCTCCGCGCAGCCTGTATGCGATCTACTGTTAACTTGACCGTGCCAAGTTTCACGCGCTTGAAACTTGTGTTCAAAACATTCTAATTGCGCGATTTTTAAAGTAGGTAGGGCTGGTAAATTATCTCTAACGCGACGTTGCTAAAACGAGGAACAAGCGGAACAACCCAGTAACAAGCGGAACAACCCAGTAACAACCCAGTAACAAGCGGAACAACCAAGGAACAAGCAGAACAACCCAGAAACAAGCGGAAATGTGAATTAATTGTTTAGTAAATACCACATGGGGGCGTTTATAATCCAACTCTCTGAAGTTCGTGTGGGCTAGAACTATCAAGAGGCCGTCAATCATGTCTTCGTCTGTTTCGGAGGCTTTGTGATTTTGCCAACGGACAGAGAGAATCTATCGACCCCGGATCGGGACGAAAAATAAATAGTAAAGCATGCCTATACATTCGATCACAACAGACACACTGTTGCAAATAGATGTGCAAGCCATAGTGTAAATCTGTACATGTAGCCCTGTTGCAATCACATTTTTCAGGCCCGTCGGAGCCGGGGGGCTGGGGGGGGGGTTTCTGAAGCCCCACCAATAATTGTCTTACTCTTACTGTAGTATGTTTCCTTTATAACAATGTACTGCATGGGAAGGAATACAATGGGAAACCTCTTACAACTTATAGCCCCCAGAGCAGCCACCATTTTCAAAAATTTCTGGGTGAGCATTCCCCTTACCATTTCTGGGTGAGCGGCGAAAAATTCGCTTCGCACGAAAAAATTCGTCTCGTGTAAATCAGGCTTTAGGCATGCTTTACTATTTATTTTTCGTCCCGATCCGGGGTCGATAGATTCTCTCTATCCGTTGGCAAAATCACAAAGCCTCCGAAACAGACGAAGACATGATTGACGGCCTCTTGATAGTTCTAGCCCACACGAACTTAAGAGAGTTGGATTATAAACGCCCTCGTGTGTTTTTTACTAAACAATTAATTCACATTTCCGCTTGTTACTGGGTTGTTCTGCTTGTTCCTGGGTTGTTCCGCTTGTTACTGGGTTGTTACTGGGTTGTTCCGCTTGTTACTAGGTTGTTCCGCTTGTTCCTCGTTTTAGCAACGTCGATCTCTAACGCCATAAACTTTATCCTAGACGACCTAGATGGTCAAGGTTACCGAAATAAGGCCTCTAAAATACCGATAATTTGCGAACGTATAATCATTGCAAAATGTACTTGGAGCACCCAACAATTTGCGTTGTGTTTTTATATTTTTTAATTCTTTTCCCAAATACTCCTACTTCTGCACCCTTTCCCTCTAAGTAATGTTGACAATTTAGAGAAATATCATAGAAGTACCAAAGAAAAAACGTACTGCTTAATCTCTTAGGTCGTTTTGTAGTAAACCGACATCGCTCTAAGGGGGGAAGGGGAATGATTTAATTTGCCCCTGAGAACTGACGTTTGTGTACCATGACTTTTGGCAGGCATTGTATTTCATGACAAATAGAACATTTTTGTATCAATATTGTGCAATCAAGATAAATTAATAGAACCTTTATTTTATCTGTGTAATACATATATTTTTCAAGATATTTATCGGTTATTCGTTAATAAACGTGACTAAATGTGGGCCCCTATACGTAACTAAATTTGTGTCAAGTTTTGGAGCCTGAGTACTCACACTATAACGGTTTCCTGTAAAATCCAAATAAATAACATACAACAATATATGAAGGAAATTCTACTGCCTGAGATATTTTCTATGATCATTATCTAAGCTTTTCCTGGATTTCCATGCAGCGTATATAGATGCGTCTTGAACATGCAGGTGAAAACATGTTCAGAAAAATGAAATGGGAAATAAATTAGAATTTTAATATTTGTTATATTCTTGTAAATCAAATACAAAATATTATAACGATATGAATGTGTACTAAGGTGGATTTCCACTTCACAGTATAGACGGAAAATGGTAAACGTTAAACGGTAAACGGTTCGCAGAATTTCCTCTTATCAATTTCCACTTCTTTTGACTTGCTTTCAATTTCCATTTCGTGCGATGAAGCATGTCCGAGGAAGGGGAAAGAAGGCATGTTTATGTTAAGCAGCTTTATGATGCTTCTTTTTTAGAACGTTAAAGGAGAAAGAAATACGAGAATAGCATAAAATTGGTAAAAAATTGGGGGGGGGGGTAACCTTAACGTGTTTGAAGGTATGGGGACGTGCCATTATTTAGGGGTACCTTTTCTCTGAAAATTGCGGAATTATCAGTATCAGTTTTTGAAATATGGGTACAGTATATAGAAAAAAAATATGGGTATAGTTTATAGAAACATGCAGAATTGTGGGTACCATTTTGGGAAAAATGTTGCAAAATTATTATGAGGGAGATTTAGCCTTAACAAAATGAATGTCCAGTTAGAAATTTGTGTTGTATTGAGATTTTGGGGCAAAAGACATGCAAAATTTGTTTGATGATTTTTTACATGCTTTTAAATTTCTTTTGCTTTGCTGAATGCAGACATTTGCGGAATTATGGGTTCAAATTTTTGACCAAAATGGCACGTCCCCGTCCAAAATTGGGCTTAGTTTATTATCCGAGGATAAAAATCATTTCAAGAAGCAAAAAGGAAAAAAGAACATTTCCACCCAGAAAACTATGAGAAATTCTCCGCCAATGGAAATTCATTTTAAGAACAAGATTTTATTATTGAAATTTGTTTCAAGGAATCCAGTTTCTGACGAACTCTATTCTTGTCCTAACCTACCGATCTAAAGAGTTGCAAAGTGTCATGACCGTTCATAATAGGTATGAAGAAACAGGGACAAGATAAAAGTGCATTTTAAATATCTCTCCAGCTAAGACAAAAGTTGAGAGTTTTTCTGCCCCCATTTTCACTTACATGAAATGCTTCTATTTGATCAAAATGAATCAAAGAAACTTTGTCGGAAGATTTTTTTCCTGGCCCCCTCTATAATTCATTGACCACGACGCCCCTGTGCAAATGACGAAAATTCTGTTTGTATTCTTTTGGCATGCATAAATGTTGAAGTTACAGTATAATTCGGTTAAAATCACGCCAAATGTTGCTTGAAAACCTGCGACAATAAGCGGCGTCTCTGTAAACGGAGCTTAATCAAATAGCTTTGATACTTGGGTTTAAATTTAATGTGACTGTAAAAGTTGCTATTTTGCACCTCTGTCTCCATTTTTTTTATTCTTTAAAAGTTCTGTATTCTTTATTTCGGAGCCATGGTATGTTGCACTTTACTTTGATACCCACAGAAGAATTCAGCTGTAATTATTAGAGATAGGTCAGGCTCTCTCAATCTTACACTATGCAGCTAAAAATTGTTTCTTTTTAGCATTCTCTATCGTTGATTTTAATTAAAGACATGAAATTTTTGCAGATCACCCATAACATTATCTGAGCCAACGTCGGGGAAGCACAGTGAGTGAATATGAAGAACAAAACGACAAAAAAAAACATATAGGTAATACTTCTATATTTATTCACTATATTAAGTTAATTGATATAAAGCATCTTTTTCAAAGAATAGCTTAGACAAACTTTCAAATTACAAGCATTGCGAAAAATTAAGAAATGCTGTTGTTTACTAACAAACTCTTAAAAAGTATGAATAAAATAATTAGATACACGGTACTGTTTCCCTCTCGTTAGGGACCTTTAGCTAATTTAAGCTATGACCTAGACACAGTCCAACTGAAGTAGAACCAGGCTATGGTCTACAGGCACCACGCACCAGTCTAAAAGTGGGTATACTGAGGTGTGGCCGAAATTTTTGAAGCCACGCCTATTAGAAACCATGCCCTTTTGAAGCCACGCCCTGAGAAACGCCCCTTTTAGAAAATACTTGCTTCTTTCAACTCATTATTTTTGAACAGTCCATTTCAAAGAAGGTAACAATTACTATAAAATAGATAAACAAGATAAGACGCCAAGAAAATGAACAAAAAGGATTCCCAGTCAAGAAGAACTGCTACTACTTTTATAGGTTGCGCTAGAGTAACCTTTCTAAAAATTTTCTAACCAATTATTTAAAAAAAGTAGGTGGGGGGTGGGCTTTAACCCCTGCTAGCCCAATGGCTGCGCGGTGCCTGATGGTCTAAACTAGACACCGTCAGTGCAAGTTTACTTCCTATAAACTGCATTTGGTCATAATTAATGGGTGTCATTCGCAGAGGTTCGTTTACCTTCAATGTGAGGAATCAGAGATAAAGTTTCGTAGGTATATGGTAAACATAGAAGCTTCCATCTTTTCAATCCTCTGTAGTTTAAACAATTTGTTCAATATCTATCCTTCCATTGTGAACCAATATATACGAATAATAATTATATTTTTTAGTTTAACGAGTCCTCTTTAAGTGAATTCAAAGACGCTATTTTAAGCTTTACTTTGTTCAGTACAATAATGAAAAATGACTGCAGAGAGTCGTTTGCTTTCAGTGTGATCAGCGTTGTTACATGTGATTTTGACCCTTTATTACATCTGATAATTAACAAAACCACAGGAAAAACCTTTAATCAAGATCTTACAAGGTGACTTCACGTCAACAGTCTCATATCAACCCATAGTGTTACAGGGCGAAAATCATGACTTAATGACATGACAAAATCATGACATGAAAATCAAATTATAACTTGGAGATCTCCTTCTTCTCCCTTAATCATGACAAAATCCCTTCAACTTGACTTGCAGTTAAATGTTCTATTTTGAGTATTCAGTCGAATAATTTCATGCAAACAGCTTCAATCAACAATATTTTCTTCCTTGCCTTTAGAATTTTGCTTGAAAACGTCAGTGCATTTTTTGCCAGAAATTTATCTCAGTTTTTAGGAAGTAGAATATTCTGAGACTGGTTGAATCGTCATCTTTGAGTTGTAAGTACCCTGGACTGCCGGAGCCTCAGAGAGTCAAAGGATGAAGAACGGGGGAAAGGAATTGCGGAGGTTCCTCTCCCATTCTCCTTCGCAATTCCTTTCCCCCGTTTATCATCCTTTGACTCTCTTGAGGCTCTGGCACCCAGGTTATGTTGTAAGCTACTGTAGATAGAATATGTCTTGACATGTAGGTTAGATTTGAGTTTTTGGTGGTTAATTTTTACTTTGTTAATTTCTATTCTGCAAGGCTTGATCCAGGTTTGTCTGACAAAGAGCAGATTGGCATTCGAGAGAACCAGGCTATAGTCTTAAGGTGAGATTTAGCAATTATTTATAGATAAATGGTTTTGTGAACCCGCACTTTATCATAAAATAATCAAAAAATAATCATTTTGCAGAGATACGATTTCAAATGTCTATATAACATAACCGTAATCGGTACTTTCGTAAGGATTCTCGTCGCCTTCTTTACTCCCACTGTCTTGTGAAACATCTGTCCTGCAACAAGAGTGACAGCACGAGTGACATGACTGTCCATAAAGTGATAGTGACACTGCCAGTTGAATACTGACAATAAAATCATTTTCTTAAACAAGATAGGGCCGTATCTACTACTGTTCTCGGGTGACATTAGCCCCCACCCAATAAAAAGTTGCAAAAATTAGTTGTTTCAGAACAAACAATCTTTTGTGCTCCTAATGTTCTTAAACAATGGTAATCGTGCGCTAATTCTATCCTTACAACAGCCCTGTAGGAAGATGGTACAACCGAGCCTAACTGGGTCCTTATTCAATGATTATCTTATAGTAAATTAGGGTTTAGGCTCTTATAAAATTGGTTCTTAGAACTGCTCTTTGAAATTGTTTGGTATGTCATCATTTCAGATCTTCACTTCTTGATGTTGATTTTGTCGCACTACTCATATCTACACCGTGAAATGTGTCTCAAACCTTTTAAATGAATAGCAACCTTTTGCAAATGAAGGTCAAGAAGGGACACTTTTTAGCTTACAGGTTTTTATAAATGTATGTTCTTATATGCGTGCATTGCTAGTTCCAAAGACAAAATTTTCATCTCGTGGGGACAGAGCATTTTGTACTGCAGCCCCTAGGCTCTGGAACAAACTGCCCGTTGAAATTAGAAGATCTCAGAGCGTCCAAACTTTCAAAACAGGATTAAAAATGTATTTATTTCATAATCATTTTAACATGTGAATGACATTTCTAACTTTACTTTCTGTAAATTAAGGTTTTTTAACACTGTTCAGCGCTTTAGAATATGTATATAGATTTTAGTGCTCTATAAGTGCATTGTTATTATTAATCTAAAAAGCAAGATTGTAACACTGTCTGTGTCAAGTGTGTAAAATATAGCTTGCAGATAGCTTACTTGGTAGTGGCAGGATTCTGTGCATAACTGTAGCCATCAGGAGACGTTTTTGATAGAACATCCGAGTATATATGCTGCTCGTTCGCCGTTGCATATTCAGCTTCTTCCTCAATTGTCCCACTGCAATTCAAAATGACATGGTATCAAATTATTTTCAGCAAACAAGTACAGTGACTACTGAAGAAGAAAAAGAGCAGAGAACATTTTTGCCACAATCAATTGTGTTGCAAAAGTTGATAGTTGTGGTGTTATTGCAGAGGAAGAAGCTCACAAGAAGGCAAGCACCTACCAAGGTAATAAATTGAATGCGATAATGAAATTATTGTTTCCTTGCTCAAGATCAGCAATTAATCAGTTATCCAACACCAAGGCTCAATTTTCCAAAAAGACAAACAACGTGAGAACTTTCCCCATCTCGGATGAAAAAATAAGAAGAGAAAGCAACGCTTCTTCCAAAATCTTCTCTCGTGCTAACAAAACAGAGCAGATTTCATCAGCAAAGCAATCGTGCTGCTTAAATTGATATGCAAAACTGTTCCTTTTAGTATTTAGAGGCAATTTAGAGTGTATGGCTGTAGAAAATTAAGTTTTGTAGTAAAACAACATTAAAAACATCCGAGCCTCAAGTTCTCCCAAAAAACATCGCGCCGCGACAGAAATTATCTGGTTCTTTTAAAAAGGGTATATTTCAAGGTTATTCTGCTGCTTGCCTCTTGTAACAAAACTTTTGTGATATAATGTATTAAAGGTAATCGAATGATGAAATCTCATTTTTAGTTTACCTCCGAAGGTTGATAAAGAAATAATTTTCCATATGACGTTTCTTGGGTTTTTAAAACTTATAACATGGAACTTTATAGAAAATGTTTTAACAGGCATAGAAATGCGAAGGTTCGTTCTTGGGATGAGTGTGTAGTGTATTAGGTATAGACCATTATGTATTAGCCTCGAAATGAGGTGCGGTTGGAATAACTAGATCAGGGTCGGAGTGGAAACATGATGTCCTATCTCTCGGTCTAGCGTTGGATCGCAGCGGATCTCAGGCATCTCAGCCATCTCGCGCGCATACACAACAGCGTTAAAGATGTCAAAACCTTTTCCATATCTTAAATCCTGAACAGTAATCGCATCCCACTTTCACACAGACAGACAGACATTTCCTCAAGCATTTAATATTTACCTGTCGTTATATTGAGAAGATAGCTGTGTTTCTGTATTGCTAGAAAGAAGTAATAAGCAATATTATCTCTAAGGTATTAGTTCTACTGCGAGGACGATTCTAAGAAATAAACTTTGGGAAATTCTAATCGTGCCATGATCGCGACAATTAAAACTTCGCTTTAAAGCAGCTCTGCTTTTGAGCATGTAGTTCCGTATGGCCCGTAGTGAAGTCCATAAGAACTTTTCAATATTCCCTGTAGAAGAAAAGAAACTTTCGAGTCAGGGATGAACCATGTGCTGTTTGATGCCACCGCTAACTGGAAGATAACTGGTCATCTGGCTGTTGCTTGGTGATTGAATGAAGCTCAGATCTTGGTGTAGCATCTTAGAACCATTCTACTCCACAGACCATAGTCTATAATCACTGACTTTTGTGATATTCAAGATTATTATCGTTACCAGCTATCAAACACAAGTACTAAAGGTATACCCCTTATGATATGGGTATTGCCACCCGTTCAAACATGGGTTCGGTCATTGAACATCTAAACTTTTGTGTCCTTCTATGTTTCATTTTCTTCTTATGTTTTATGTTTTTACTCTTATAGAAACTATAGATCTTCTTTAAATGGCATTCTTTGTAATAAGAAAACGTGTAAGGATTAAATTAACCTTATGAGGGGGAGGCAAGCAGCCTCTGTGATATCTATGGAGGTCCTATTACCTTGCATAGCATGGATTGATCTTTGCATGTCGATGATCACTGAAAAAAATCAAATAATAATCACTGAAAAGAATAAAAATTTATATTGGTTGCGCTTGGATCATCAACCGTTTATTAAATTTCATAATTTTAAAAAAGACTGTCTCTTTTTGAGACACAACCCAAGGGGAGTCACTTGAACTTTTTATATACGGGGAGGTCCATCCGCAATTATCAAAATTCCCCTAAAGGTATCGAATAAAAATTTTACAGACCAAAAATTATCAGCTAAAAAATGTTGATAAGACCCAAAAATGTCAAAATACAAAAACTGGTTGTTGAGCACATAGGATACCGCTAGTCATAGTAATTTAGACTGTTTCCTATGATAATCATTTTAAACACGTCTGTTCTTTTATTCCTGTTTTTGATATCGTTTTGTGACAGTTGGACCCACGAGTATCAAAAAAGTAAATCGTTAAATCAGGTACCCAGAAGTAACAGATCAAAAAAAATTCTTACTCATAATTATCGGATGGAATCCCCCCGTATATAACAATTTCAAGTAACCCCCTGGGGACACAACACACCCTATAAGAAGTACCAGAGTATCTGACTGAATGTTAAAAGGTTACGCACTAATTTCCATTTTAATTTGTGTATTTTACACCGAGCTCTTGGATGATTACGATTCTTAAGGCTGACTGTTCTTTGTAGAAATAGACTTGAAAATACCTGGCTCTGTAGTATGGGTTTTCCATTTCCTTGCTTGGTATATTCATTTCTGCATAGCTGAAACATGCATTAAAGTATTAATCAGATTCATCTAAAGTAATTGGTAGTAATCATTTAAACCCTTGCTGGTTGCTTCTATTGAAATGCATTTTAGAAAAAACGCTTATGAATATACGTACTACAGGGCAATAGCCCCTCCAGCCCTGATTACGTTTTTATTTAAGAAAATATGACAATTTCTCCCTTTATGTGAACAAAGGATTCGTTCCCAAGTCAGTGTCCTTTAAAAAAGGCTTTAATACCACATCTGCCATATCAACCGGAAAACTCTATATAGTACAAGACACGGATTTGCACAAGGTAAAAAGAAAATAAGAAAAAAGGAAAGCATACGCTATGTTTTCAATTATGCCATCCAGTGCGTTGTTTGCCAGAGACCTACACAAAATGGAGAAAGTACAGCCTAGGAAGACGAACCAGCGAGAATCTTATTTCAAACAGCCATAGAGTTCTTAAGTGTGACGTCATAAAGAACTATTTTCAATTTTTATTTAGCTTTGACTAGATAACATAATATAAAACTTCTTCTAAATATGGAAAATCAATGACAAATTCTCAATATGGAAAATCAATAAAATGTGTTAATTACTGGATGAGATCCGGCCACTTTTATTATTATTTATTGTATCATTTTTTGGAATTTAGTTACTTGGTCCTGGCCATATGAAAGAATTTGAGTTCAAGTGATGTAAAACCCAAGTGAATTGTCAATATATACTTTTTTGCTTACATTTAGCAAATACAAAATATAAACCAGATAAATATTTCTTACGTCTTCCTGGCATCATCCATGCTAACTAAAGGCATTGCACTGCAAAAAAGAAAGTTTTTCCGGTTGTTATACATTTGTCTAAGACCATAATGTTAGACCGTTACGATTTGCTTGTTATTTACATATCGCAAAATAGAAAAAGATACTTCTACCCATCTCTCATTAGGTAATAGGCCTATTTTCACTTGAAAAAATCTTTCACCGTGTTCTTATGAAGCTTGTGATGATAGTACTCTCTCAATCGCTCCAACGGTGCCAATCACACACTTAATAGTAATCACGTGATAAATTACTAATCATGATAATTAAACATAGTATATCAATCGGTTCTTTGTATATAAAGAGGGAAATGATGATTTGAATGAAGAGAAGAAGGCTGTTTCGTTCTCTAAAGTTCTACCTTCACAACCTATCAGAAACCCCTCCCTCAACCTCATCAATGAACCTGAATAACCCCTGAGTGAAATTTATATGAAATGTTTCAAAGGAAATTGACTTTTGAGAGTAAACTGCTTATGCATAAATAAAGTCATGTGTGCAATCTAAGTACACATGCATCGTAGTTGATACACCCTGTGTATACTGTGGTTAAGGCTTCTTTGATCGTTGAGTCTATGGCTTATGTTGATAAAATTTAACGAGATACAAAAGGACGGCAAATTAATGCCTGTTTTGCCGTTTTCTTTTTTTGCTTCTTTCAACTTGATCACTGTTTTCCTTTTCTGTCTGGTGGCTTCGTTTCCTCCTGAAAACAAGTGATTTATCAGTTTTTAGGTGCAGTTGGCATGTTTGTTTCTAGGTACGTGGTAGAAATGAGTTGTTAGTCAAATCTGTCACAGTTATAAGCTTAAAAACATCGCTTATCTAAACTCTGGTAAACATTTGCCCAAATAGGCCTGGATGTAATGCAACAATAATATCAATTCTTAAAGATCAGGGTGTGTATACAATAGAAACGAGAAGCGTTCGTTCTCAAAACATTAATACTGAAAATATCCTGGTGCAAAATATCTCCCTTTGCAGAACAGAATCTTAAGGCTTCTCCCCCCTTTATAATACAAGATGATAAAATATGAATGTACAATTGACAACGAATTGGAGATATTGATCTATTGTGTTTCCAAATTTTACCCCAGTATTGAATTTTTACCCCTATTTGCTGTTACTTTTGATGATTTGGTCAACTCTTTAGGCCTCAGCCCCAAAAGCCCCCCTTTCTTCCCTTTACCATATATGCTAAAAATCCATAGTAATTTCAATTAATATTCATTTTATCAACCTACCTTCTTAAAATTGCCAGTATTAAAAACCCCATACAAAGCATTATAACGGCACCAACCGTTATTGTGGCGATATAGAGATTTTCATTTGAAGCCACTGACTTTTTAGCTTTCGCACTAACGCTTTTCTTTGTCTGAATAGTAGAAAATAACTGAGAAGCCTTTGTAGATTTTCTATTCTTTGATTGTGTTTGAGTAGTTTTTTTATCAACGGTGCTGCAACAATTTGTAGTCTGAATACTGGTCGTGTTTTTGGAGGTCCTCAGAGTTGTGGAAACTGATGTTGTTGCGGTCGTCGAAGGGAGTCTTGTAGTCATTTTCACAGGGTCTACGAGAAAAATAGATAATTTTTCTAGATGGAGTTATTCGAGTTTCAGTCATTTAATGTGACTTATAAAATGCAGAAATATTTCATTGTTACAATATTACTGCAGTGTTTAGTAACAAGTATTACCCTATCAAGTATCATTTTGAGTATAATTGAAATCAATCTAGTGAAATAACTTAGTAGCAATGTGGTACCGCTTTATGTTCGGAAACAATGGTTACCAAGGCGGTTCTGAACGGATAAGTGACACCCTTATTTCATCTTGACAGGGGGTTTGCACCTACTATTTTGACAACTGGAAAAACAGTTTCTGCATAAATTACTAGGCAAAAGTTTTTCACTCATTTTTAAACACCTTTTAAATTTCACCGTTCCATCCTCTTTGAAAAGCATTGACAAATTCATCCTTTTCTTCTTTCTACTGTGAAAAATGACCCGACCCATTTACAAGTACGAATTTGGCACTAGACTACCCATTACATTTACAGGAATAAAGTCACAACCATATCATTATAAATCAAACAGGGTGTTTCTTGGAATATACCTTCTACGGCAGAACTCACATTTACCAAGCAGGTTTCTATTAAGTCATCAGTATACAGGTTGCTTAAGATATTCTATAAGCCGTGCCAACCACGTTCTCAGCAAACAAAAATTAGGAAAGGTTGTCAGTAGTGTAGGAAGATAAAACTAGCTGAGCTTTATCTCGTGCGCATATTACCTGGTAATGCATTTATCAGAATCTTGAACCCAGTCCCAGACGTCAAAACGGTAGTGTCACTGTCACTGTGAAAGCGGACGGTGATGCTTCCATTGATCATAATATTCTTATTCAGTTTTTCACACAAAGTGTACATCAGGGTGACATTCTGCCCATTGTTTTTAAAGATTTCTACATAATCGTAGTGAAAGTCGCCATAGCATCCAAGATCCATCATGACAGTTGATACATTTAGCGGTAGAGAATCTCTGGTCGTGGTGACTTCCCATTGACACAGGGAATTCGCTGGATAAGATCCGTATTCGTACCGGGGCGAAAGTATTTCCAGACTTTGGCCCGGTGACAAAGAGAATCTGCCTCCACAAGCTCAATAAAAACAGAATCTGTGTTACAGTCAATAACGAAGTTTGCAGTCATCTACATTCAAGTAGCATTGTTGATTTATGATTAAAGATGGATGATTGATAATAACTGATAATTGTTGTTGATTGTCGATAATGATGATGATGATGGCCAATGATTGGTGATTTTGATTGATGATGAAAATGAAGATGGTGATGAGGCTGCTCGTAATAATGATGATTGATGACCATGATTGATGACGATTGATGATGATTGATAGTGATTGATTGTGATTGATGTTTATGATTGTTGATAAGGATGGTTATTGTTGATAATGATGATTGATGATGATTCCGAGGATGGCGATAATTACTATGATGATATGCTTGTAATGTTTAATAATGATGATGGTGATTTTTTATAGCAAAGATAATAGAAAAAGTAAGGAAGTACCTCTAAAAGCAGTTACGTTTATCGCAAATCCTCTGTTTTCTCTACCGCTATCGCTGTGAAAATGAAGTACTACATTTCCATTGATTATATAGGGCGTATTAAAGTTTTGGCATATTGTGTGCTTCCATGTCTTGAGGGTTGTTATTCCTTTGTATATTTTGATGTAATCACAACTAGAGCAGTCGGAACACGTTTCTAAATACATTTCATTGATAATAATCTCCAGCTCAGTTCCGTTGTCACGAAGGAGCATCCAGCGGCAATCGCTATTAGCTGGGTAGTTTCTTCCATAATGTGGGGACTTTATTATTTTCGAGTCCCCGATTTTAAACTCAAATAATCCACCACAACCTAGAAAAAGTAATGAAACTTCATATTTTCCATCCATTTAACATTAAGACTGTAAATTTAACATCCAGTGATTCTGTTGCTTGATAATCTGATTTCTGCTTATTCAGAGAATTATTACCCTTTTATTATTATTCTTGTTCATTCTTGTTAGCCAATTTAAGGTAATTTTTTAAACTGTTCGTATTAGTAACACAAAAGCTGCATAAAATCTACATTTTTTTCTGCTTTTAACTAACTTAGGCGTCTACAACGATTTAACATTTAGAAAAATACACATCTAATAGCACAAACACTACACGCTCCTACCAAAAAGCAATGTATGAAAGGACCATCCTGTGTGGAGCAAGATTTTTCTTTAAGGAGTCTTGGCTCAAAATGCCTTGTTTTTTTCAACAAATCACAATTTTCACAACAACAGAACTACAGGAGCTTAACGTTACTGTGAGCCTTGAACTACCAATAAGGGTAAATTTAAGGATTAAATTTGAAAATAATGATAAGCACATGAAAGACAGAGAGATAACAAACATATTGCTAACGTACTTTTTACTTTAACGGGAAAGGAGTCTAGATTCCTATTGCTACGGCTAATATTCTGTCCATCCATTCTATCTATTTGTCTGAGCCAATGAACAACTGCATCATCGCACATGCGCATTAGGGCGAAGGCTTGTGGATAAAATTTTCATCTTATGGCGCTTGACAGTATTTGATCAAAACTATTATATATCATAGTTGCATTATATAGATCAGATATTCATTCTCACTCTGCGGTCATGACACCCTTTTCTCTAAATGTTCTTCATCTTTTGATTCGAGACTGGCTTATTCCCATTAAAGCCATCAATGTTCCTACCATATAGTACATTTAACGATATGAAAATGATGTCATTGATTTTTACTGCGCATGCGCAAAATTTTGATAGCCAAAAGATCTTCGAACAAATGCTGGTTTGTCTCCCCAACAAGTATCTGTTTATGTTTCTGGCTTCTAAATCGAAAAGACAAAGCTAGCAATAGGTGCCCACCCCAAAGATCAGCTAATGTGAAAGTTTTAGTGGACAAGCCCTTAAAATGCTCCCAAATTCTCTATTAGAAATCATTTTTGATGGCATTTACGTGTTTGACAATGTTAGTGTGACATAATTGTATTGAATCGTTTTCTACAGGGCAGCAGTGGCGGCCTGGCCTTTTTCGCCTGGAAGGGACCAGCAGCAAAATGGGGCCCTTCATAACTAACATCTCGGGGAAAGATTGGCTGTCTGGAAATGCTCTTATATTTTTGACATTGTATGTCAAGGATAGACTGACCCCCACGTGAGCACAGGGTCCCAAATATAACAATTTTCCATGGGGGTGTCAGGACAAGTTGAACCTTCTCACGTACGAAATGATTAATAAAAACAGTACAAATGTTTTGTCTGGTTAATACAGTACTTAAGGTGCCCAAAGACGTGTCCTGAAGTAAGACTGTTTTAGGGGGTATGGGGCCATGCATCCAAAGAAAGTTTTGAATTTTAAGGCGTCTTCTTTGTCTCTGCTGACCTTCTTGAGGCCCCCCCGGCCCCCCTGCCAGCCCGCCACTGTAGGGCAACAACGTTATTGTAGCCTGAGTTTCAGACCCCTACATTTTCCCTGAGAGTCTGGGGCTCAGGTTGCACACTTTAGACCGAATTTAAGACCAATAAAAACAAAATATATTTTGATGCGAAGCCCAGACACCTTTGTTTGTTTGTTTGTTTGTTTGTTTGCTTGCTTGTTTTTTTGTTTGTTTGTTTGTTTTTTTGCTTGTTGTTTGTTTGATACGAAGCTTCTTTATTTTCTCAGAATATCTTACAAAGCTTGAGAAAATTGTCCAAACGCTACTGACGAATAAGAAAAACAATTGAAATTTAATTTCGATATTTTTGAGAGGCGGGTAAGGGTTTTGTCACCCGCTTGCCCCCTGATTTAAAAATCAAACTGATCAAACTAACTAACCTTTATTGCTTGCAAAGAACGACACCTCTGTTTCTTCAATGGCTTCTTGCCTTGCTTCGTAATTGATTGCAATTGTAACGTTTGAGTTCAAAAACGTCGAGCCGCTTAAAGCGCTTGAGCATATTTGAGTATCCAATTTAAAAATATTTGCTTTTGTAGACCAAATTTGCAACTTCCCTTCACTGCAAATCCTGGAAATATTATTGATAAAAGTGAAAAGCTGGTCTGCAGATCTTTCTGGCTTGAGTAAGATAAGTCCACGAACATTTTCCTTTGGGTTGCTAGCTCTGGTCAGTTCATGTAAGGTTTGGTTTTGAATGTCATCGACACTGAAGTATTCTCTGCTTGCGCCTGAAAACAAACACTTAACATTTTTTAGAAAACCTGCACTAACCTATTCTAATCATTTGACAGAGTCGTAGACAAATTTTTCTTCCAAGGATTATACAGCAGATGAATTATAGTGTAATTTCTCAAGTTTTGAAGTTAAGCAAGGAGGACTCAGACATTCTTGTATATAATCACTTGCTGTGCAGAATGCACTCTTTCTTGTGATGAATAATTCATTTCACTTACCCATTCATTGTCATTAAAATCGTATTTTCAGGGTGGTATGTACTATGGTAGTGGGGAGGAGATGGGCGCGGCGTATGAAGTATAGTATGGAGTACGGTGTACATTTTCGAAGTAAGATGTGCATATTCTGAGATAAAATTAGAAAATATTGTGATATCAATGTAAAACATCACATTCTAAGGGCATTCAAAGGGGATGGTCTGCAGATACATTTTTTTGGAGAATTTGCTCCTAGATCCCCTTCTTCTAGCTATCTTCTTAAATAAAAATGAAAAATCTTCAATTGTCTTATTATTTGAATGACTCGGTGCAAATTGAAGAAATATTGACTATAATCATACAACGAGGTAACTTTTATGGTTGCAATTTACCCGCCTTTGCCTAAATATCTCATTCATTTTTTCCCATGTTTGCCTCCCTACACCCTAATTTTCTTAAAGGAGCACACCCTATTTTTTCTTAAAGGAGCACACCCTGTTTTTCTTAAAGGAGCACACCTTATAAAGGACACCGAGACTCGATTTCTGTAAGAAAATGCCGAAGCCTTAAATGAAAATCTAGACGAAAGAAAGCAATGTGTTTTTAAAAATTTACCCTGTTAACAAAACAGTGCAGAATTGATCTGATAATCAGCCGTGCTACTGCAAATGCCATGCAAAACTTTTATCTAGACCTCTTGAAAACAACTGATCGCATGTAGTTGTAGGAGAATCAATATTAAATCAAAAACAATATTGAGAACACCCGAGCCTCAAATTATCCAATAATAATAGAACATCGAGCATCGGCAAAAACCATTTGGTTCTTATAAAAAGGAGTGTAATAGGTGCTACTGTTCCTGGGCAAGGTTAGCCTGCGTGCAGACCCTACGGAGGAGAAAAAGGTCGACTCTAGTAAGGACTGCTTCGGAAGACTTTTCTCAAGTTTGTTCTGTTGCGTCTGCCAAATGATGGCAAATTGTCAAAAGAAACAATACTCACGGCATATCTTTATAGGTTGTATGCTCAAACTGATAAGCTATCGATTTTGCTTATTTATGAACATAGAGTAGCGGAGTGATGACGTCATGAAGATTTTTGATGTTTCTGGGACCTTTTAAGTTTGCACTATGCAATATGACCGAAAACCATACAATACTACTGAGCGTGCATCATCAGTTGAAAATTAGCTGAAATATGACCACATGAATACAGGCCACAGAATAGAGATTACATCTGTGTACAGGGTCTGTCCCATTTAAGTCGCTTTTGTTTGGTCTTGTTCAAGAATTTATAAAAAAGCCCAAAATAAAAGTAATCTGTTAGTAAATTTCAGGCCAGTTCCTTACAGATTTTACTGATTTTGCACATTTAGAGAAATAGCACAGTGTTCTTTTATGCTGTGTTGTCTTTTTCACAAAACAGTATAAGACTGAGTCAGACAAAACAGGTATAAACAACCCCTAAGGTTGCCGGCTGGCTGGTTTGAGCCAAGGTACACCAGAACAGCATAGCGGAATAATCTTTGATTTTGATTTGCATAAATTCAAAATGGCAGCGCTTCAGCCAATCAAAAGATTATCCCGCTATGCTCACCAGAACAGGTTAAAACGATTATAAACCCAAATGTTTCTTACCTGGACTTGTGGGAAGGCAAGCAGTAAGAATCCTCTCCCTTGTCGATGACGCCCCCTCCGAATGTACTGTCACTACAAAACTTTTGCTGGTTTGAATTTTAAAATTTTCAGGCAATGCATAATTAGATCGGGCGCATTTCCTGCTTCTCTGAATGGTCATACCAGTGGATTCGTTAAATGAGCGCAGCTCAATGAATTTTCTGATAGACGTGCATTCAGGATTAAAATCATGAGGAAAATCGAAGTGGGAGACAAGAATGTTCATTTCTTGCGGTGCCATAAAGTGAAAATACCAGACGCAATGAATTGGAGAATTGGTGCTTCCATTACCAAATGTTTGTGAGTCAAATGAAGCGGGAACATAATTCGATGAATCGTTAAACACTCCTCCACAACCTAAAATTAAAAAAAGTTTCTAAGGTAATTTTTGAATTCTGGTAAAAGTATTAATTTTTGGGAAAAATTGAAATTTCACAACAGCCCAACGAGGCAAAGTATCCTCGAAAGCTGGGGTGTTTATTTGGGGGCGACTTATGAAGAAGATTTATCTACATGCAAGTCGCAACTCGATATTCTGAACTGCATATTCGCAACTAGATATTCGCAGGTCGATGTTTAAAACTTGCTATTTGCAACTCCATAGTTAACTGCAAACCAAACTTGACTTACTTATTCATTTAGTCAGGAAAAGAGGGGGAGTGGGCTTTTTGTCTAACAGAGTATTCAACGAGAAACAACAGATCCCTTGCTCTTACTACAACCCTAATATATCGTTCTTTCTAGGGGCTTTATACGACACTCTTTGTATATACAAAATCATTTTAGACTTTTATCTAGTGCTATTATCAAACCACCTTTATCAAAGGCTGCACCTTTATCAAAGGCTGCACCTTTATCTGATTAAACGACTTTGATCTTACCTGGTGATGAAGCTTCTACTGAAACTGCCATTGATAATCCAGCGCCTTTTACAGTGTTCTGATTATAATGCAGTTCCACAGTGACTGTCCCATTTACCCTTAACCTCGGTAAAGCCCTTTGCCAACAAAACTGCTGCGAAACATCCAGAGTACTTCTACCAGAGTCACTCGATTTAATTAAGAAATAATTACCACTGCAATCCGAACCTGAAGATTTTTGTGGCGAAGTGATATTGATGAAATAAAGATTTAGCAAATAATTTTCTGGACTTGAAAACTCCCACGAACATGTTCCATTTGAGAAAGGACTCGAGCTGGGCATTTCAATTGAATAAATTTTACCAAATTCTCTGATTTTTGACAAACTAGGCAAGTCAGCAACAATTTTCTGTTCACATGTTGCTGTCTCACTTTTGCCTGTGAAAGGAAAGAGTACTTTAATTTATGCAATGATAAAGTGGTAGCTAGTTATTAAGCGATTGAAAGATATTTAATCAAATCGTGTGATTTATACTGCTTTGTTGTCAGTCTTGCAACGTAACAGCTGGAAATTATAAGGAGGTGTAGCAATTTTTTGGCTATTGACTGAACACAATGCGTTTTTATCATTTTCTGTTTCACAATATGACTCTTTATAACATGATACTTTTACGAAAAACAATTTATTTCGGTTCTGGGAAAGTTTAACAGTGCTTTACGAATATAAATTAAAAGCATATAAAGAAAATCCTATGCATCTTAAATCCATATTACCTTACAATCCCATAATTTGTTTGAAATGTTTGTCGTTTCCCTAGGATACCAGATAAATACGCAACCTCTACCCCTAGCTTGTCACGAAGCCCTTCGGGAATTCCCCCACATTTTTATTACCGAAATTGCAACATAATCTGCTTCTCAAACTTTTAATACGAATACATCTGATCATCTGTCATACAATTGTTATTTCATATATTTGCATGCGGAAAATTTGAATCCATTTTGGTCAGAGAGCAAAAGAACAGGGAATAGAATCTACAAAAATTATATATGAACAGATAAGGATCCGAGCATAAGGGTTTTGCACCCGCCCTTAAGTTCTCAGAAAAGAGCCAATATCTTCTACCGACTCCAGAGTGACTATCCTATATACAAAGCTTCCGGTAAAGGGGCAACCTTGATAAGCATATAATCTTTTAGAGAACTCCTTTGAAATGAGAGTGTGTAGAATGCTTTGTCTACAAAAGCGTTATGCACATGCACAGTACTGTCTTGCAGTAATCAGACTCCCAGAAAACCTCTGTTTATCAGCCTTAATTGGCTGCCATTTCATCAGAACATTGAACTACAAACTGCCGTGTTAATGTACAAAATCAAGCATGCAATATGTCCTCAGTATCTACAAGAGATGTTTGTGAGCACTTCTAAGGTAAACACTCACAGGACCAGTTCAGTATCCAATGATGCCATGTACATTAAAAGGGGGCCAGTAATAATTTTAATAAGACTTTCACCTATTACGGTGCCAAATCATGGAATTCATTGCCATCTGCACTGAAGGACTCCCCATCCTTAGAGATTTTTAAGAAGGCATGTAAAAACTTTTCAATGGACAAGATTAAAATTAAAACAGTTTTAACTATGGATGGATTTTGCAATTGTTAATATTTTCTTTGTTTGCATTGAAAATCTTATACTTACAGTACATATTTTAATTTTTATTCTTTTTCAAATGCTAATTTAGCCTTTCACTATTTTTTTGTCACCAGGCTGAAAACAAGTATTTTACTTAGACCTGCTATGTACATTAAAGATATGATACATACATACATACATACATACATACATACATACATACATACATACATACATACATACATACATACATACATACATACATACATACATACATACATACATACATACATATAGAACATGCCTTTTTCATAGGCCAATTTTTTGAAAAGAATCAAATTCTTTGATTCACAAATATACCTGAAGACTTCTTCCTTAAAAAAATTGAAAATTTAGCAAAGTTTTCCGTATACAAATGGCTCCATTTGAATAGCCTACGACTTTCTATATGGACAAAAAAACGGCATTTTGAAAATCAATTTTTCTAATCAAAGAAGATTTTTTAGTTAACAAATAACTAATTTCCTAAGTAAACCTATTAACATGTATTACCAAAGACCCTGATTTCTTTAAAAAAATGCCTTTTTGAAACACATGAATTTTCGCAAAAAGGTTTTATGGGCTGTATTTACGTCAATACTTATGCTAAAACTGCATATATTTTAAAAAAGAAACCATTAACGTGTATTGGTAGGTCAAACAACCTGATTTGTTTGAAAAAAAATTCTAGTTTCAAACTGATAAACTTTGGCAAAAAAGGGAGCCTGTAGGCTTTGCAAAATGAGCGGTTTTCCCTTCGAAATTTTTACGTCAAAATCCTTGCTAAAACTGCATATGTTCTAGAGAGGCAACATTAATCGGGAATTTATTGATTAAAAAACCTGATTTATTTGTGAAATGTTCTAGTTACAAACTGATAAATTTTGGCAGAAAATCAAGGCTATAGGCTTTGCAAAATGAGCGATTTTCCATGGGAAATTTTTACGTCAAAACTCTTGCTAAAACTGCATATATGTTTTAGGGAGGCAAAATTTATCGTGATTTTATTGATTAAAGAACCAGATTTATTTGTAAAATGTGCTAGTTACAAACTGATAAATTTTGGCAGAAAATCAAGGCTATAGGCTTTGCAAAATGAGCGATTTTCCATGGGAAATTTTTACGTCAAAATCCTTGCTAAAACTGCATTATATGTTTTAGGGAGGCAACATTTATCGTGATTTTATTGATTAAAGAACCAGATTTATTTGTAAAATGTGCTAGTTACAAACTGATAAATTTTGGCAGAAAATCAAGGCTATAGGCTTTGCAAAATGAGCGATTTTCCATGGGAAATTTTTACGTCAAAATCCTTGCTAAAACTGCATTATATGTTTTAGGGAGGCAACCTTTATCGTGATTTTATTGATTAAAGAACCAGATTTATTTTTAAAATGTGCTAGTTACAAACTGATAAATTTTGGCAGAAAATCAAGGCTATAGGCTTTGCAAAATGAGCGATTTTCCATGGGAAATTTTTACGTCAAAATCCTTGCTAAAACTGCATTATATGTTTTAGGGAGGCAACATTTATCGTGATTTTATTGATTAAAGAACCAGATTTATTTGTAAAATGTGCTAGTTACAAACTGATAAATTTTGGCAAAAAATCAAGGCTAAAAGCTTTGCAAAATGAGCGATTTTCCATGGGAAATTTTTACGTCAAAACTCTTGCTAAAACTGCATATATTTTAGAGAGGCAACATTTATCGTGAGTTAATTGATTTAAATACCTGATTTAGTTGTAAAATGTGCTAGTTTCAATCTAATGAATTTTGGCAGAAAATCAAGGCTATAGACTTTGCAAAATGAGTGATTTTCCATGGGAAATTTTTACGTCAAATCCTTGCTAAAACTGCATATGTTCTAGAGAGGCAAAATTTATCGTGATTTTATTGATTAAAGAACCAGATTTATTTGTAAAATGTGCTAGTTACAAACTGATAAATTTTGGCAGAAAATCAAGGCTATAGGCTTTGCAAAATGAGCGATTTTCCATGGGAAATTTTTACGTCAAAATCCTTGCTAAAACTGCATTATAAGTTTTAGGGAGGCAACATTTATCGTGATTTTATTGATTAAAGAACCAGATTTATTTGTAAAATGTGCTAGTTACAAACTGATAAATTTTGGCAGAAAATCAAGGCTATAGGCTTTGCAAAATGAGCGATTTTCCATGGGAAATTTTTACGTCAAAATCCTTGCTAAAACTGCATTATATGTTTTAGGAAGGCAACATTTATCGTGATTTTATTGATTAAAGAACCAGATTTATTTTTAAAATGTGCTAGTTACAAACTGATAAATTTTGGCAGAAAATCAAGGCTATAGGCTTTGCAAAATGAGCGATTTTCCATGGGAAATTTTTACGTCAAATCCTTGCTAAAACTGCATTATATGTTTTAGGGAGGCAACATTTATCGTGATTTTATTGATTAAAGAACCAGATTTATTTTTAAAATGTGCTAGTTACAAACTGATAAATTTTGGCAAAAAATCAAGGCTATAGGCTTTGCAAAATGAGCGATTTTCCATGGGAAATTTTTACGTCAAAATCCTTGCTAAAACTGCATTTGTTCTAGAGAGGCAACATTTATCAGGAATTTATTCATTAAAGAACCTGATTTATTTGTGAAATGTTCTAGTTTCAAACTGATAGATTTTGGCAAAAAATCAAGGTTATAGGCTTTGCAAAATGAGCAATTTTCCATGGGAAATTTTTACGACAAAACTCTTGCTAAAACTGCATATATTTTAGAGAGGCAACATTTATCAGGAATTTATTGATTAAAAAACCTGATTGATTTGTAAAACGTGCTAGTTACAAACTGATAAATTTTGGCAGAAAATCAAGGCTATAGGCTTTGCAAAATGAGCGATTTTCCATGGGAAATTTTTACGTCAAAACTCTTGCTAAAACTGCATATATGTTTTAGGGAGGCAACATTTATCGTGATTTTATTGATTAAAGAACCAGATTTATTTTTAAAATGTGCTAGTTACAAACTGATAAATTTTGGCAGAAAATCAAGGCTATAGGCTTTGCAAAATGAGCGATTTTCCATGGGAAATTTTTACGTCAAAATCCTTGCTAAAACTGCATTATAAGTTTTAGGGAGGCAACATTTATCGTGATTTTATTGATTAAAGAACCAGATTTATTTGTAAAATGTGCTAGTTACAAACTGATAAATTTTGGCAGAAAATCAAGGCTATAGGCTTTGCAAAATGAGCGATTTTCCATGGGAAATTTTTACGTCAAAACTCTTGCTAAAACTGCATATATTTTAGAGAGGCACATTTATCATGATTTATTGATTAAAAACCTGATTTATTTTTAAAATGTTCTAGTTACATATCAGAAAAATTTTGGCAGAAAATCAAGGCTATAGGCTTTGCAAAATGAGCGATTTTCCATGGGAAATTTTTACGTCAAAACTCTTGCTAAAACTGCATATCTTTTAGAGAGGCAACATTTATCATGAGTCTATTGTTTAAAGAACCTGATTTAGCTGTAAAATGTGCTAGTTTCAAACTGATAAATTTTGGCAAAAAATCAAGGCTATAGGCTTTGCAAAGTGGGCAATTTTACATGGGAAATTTCTACGTCAAAATCCTTGCTAAAACTGCATATATTTTAGAGAGGCAACATCTATCATGAGTTTATTGATTTAAGAACCTAATTTAGTTGTAAAATGTGCTAGTTTCAAACTAATGAATTTTGGCAAAAAATCAAGGCTATAGGCTTTGCAAAATGGCAATTTTCCATGGGAAATTTTTACGTCAAAACTCTTGCTAAAACTGCATATATTTTAGAGAGGCAACATTTATCGTGAGTTTATTGATTAAAAAACCTGATTTATTTGTGAAATGTTCTAGTTGATATATCAGAAAAATTTTGGCAGAAAATCAAGGCTATAGGCTTTGCAAAATGGCAATTTTCCATGGGAAATTTTTACGTCAAATCCTTGCTAAAACTGCATATATTTTAGAGAGGCAACATCTATCATGAGTTTATTGATTTAAGAACCTAATTTAGTTGTAAAATGTGCTAGTTTCAAACTAATGAATTTTGGCAAAAAATCAAGGCTATAGACTTTGCAAAATGGCAATTTTCCATGGGAAATTTTTACGTCAAAATCCTTGCTAAAACTGCATATATTTTAGAGAGGCAACATTTATCATGAATTTATTGACTAAAGAACCAGATTTCTTTGTAAAATGTGCTAGTTACAAACTTATAAATTTTGGCAAAAAATCAAGGTTATGGGCTTTGCAAAATGGCAATTTTCCATGGGAAATTTTTACGTCAAAACTCTTGCTAAAACTGCATATATTTTAGAGAGGCAGCATTTATCATGAGTTTATTGATTAAAAATCCTGATTTATTTGTGAAATGTTCTAGTTGATATATCAGAAAAATTT